CATGCAGATGCAGCCTGAATCAGGAAACCCTGTTGTCGAATCATGGATGTCCTCACAGTAGTGGCGTGGGGAAAGATATGATGACAGCCAATGATAGGGCTTCCAAAACGCAACTATGCGGCTATCGATCTTGCGTTTGATAGGTTGGTAATCGTGCATATATGATGCTTGTTTGGCTCCGATACTTCAGTTATCATCCGTACGGTACAGGACAAGGATTTGTGCATTCGCCATTTGGAGAGAAGTTTAATGCTTCATCCATGGGAACGCAACTCTTTTTTTTTTTGTCCTCTACACACGGAATTGACAACCATGAATACCTATCGGCGAATCCAGATGCTGATCGTCTCGCTTGTTCGATCCCTCTTCCGGTTCCTGGGTATAACAGAGCCATCATCCAGGTTTTCCGCTTCCGAGTCGGCATCCGTTGGTTTCTCGTCGTGGCCATTGGGAGGTAGTTGGATTCAAGTGTTACGGATATGGGAATTATAGAAATGCATAATTATACTTACAAGTTCAAGTTCAAGTTCTGCGCAATGCTCTGTATCTCTCTAGCTGAATGCTTCTGAGAGTTGGATGTAGGAAGGAAGTTTAGTCTCTCGAGTAAAAGTTGGGTATTTCGCTAATTGTTCTGGCAAGAGAAAGAAAAGAAAGAGAAAGAGGGAGCAGTCGAAGGGGAGGTGTGGGCAACAAGTCTGGCTTTTATGGATGTATGTATTAGGTAGAGCGGGAGAGGAGTCAGGCCGGGTTTAGAGATCAGATCAAGGCTTCTACACAAATTTCCAAGTCAGTAGGGGAGTAAAAAAAAAATATTATTATTATTTATTCATAAGGAAGAGTAACAATTTGGTGTAGAACCTGGGACGTGGAGACAGGATCGGCCTCCTCCACTAGGTTAGGTTGTTAGCCCCAGTCATCAAATAATAAGAGACTACTTCTAAGTGGGGGAGGGGCAGGAGATGGCCGAAGGACGGACGACAATTCCTTTCAGAACCCGGCATACTGTTTGCGTCTATTGGTCCATTGGTTTAGACTGAGCGGCTAGGCGTTTCGGTGACGTTACCGGAGTTCAATTTTCTTTGCCTTCCTACATAAAAAGTTCTCTTTAGCTCATGAAGATTAACAAAAGCACTATGTTGATTGGCCTTTTATAACAGGGTCTATGGTAGTTGCTAATTGCTAGTTGCTAGTTGAATCCCCATAGATTTTTTTTATTACTTTTATTATTAGTCTTGCCGCTATAATTCTATTACTATGTTGCTAAGATACTACTGCATATTTACTGCGTACGTACATACGTACATACATACATAACACAGCGGCCGGCCGCAACCTAAACTTTGCCTCTAGAATCGTACGGACATACTACGTATGTAGTACTTACACATACATTATATATCCCACCTAACAATACGCGAGGGGGGAAGCGGAAAAGGAAGGGTGATATTCGCGCAAACTCGGGGTTTGGCATATATCTGCACTTACATGACATTTACTTAATGAGAATTCATCCAATAGGCTTGATTGCTATTCGTGTGTGATCAAAATAGGCATCGTGAGAGGTAAGTTAAAAGTAAATGACCACGTACTCAAGACGAAATAGTGTAAGACGCAGTGGATAATAAAAAGCAAGGGGTGTGTCATCTGTATAGAAAATTCGATAAACTTTGTGACTTTGGAGGGTTTGCTTGTAGGCAATGCACAGGTTACCATAACTATGAGAAATGCAACATGCCATCAAGTTAAGATGGAGGTATTAGTTTTTTACCTTCCTGAGTCCTATTAGTTACTAAAGTTGATTCATTGCCCCTCTTCTCTCTATTATTCTAACTAGCGTTTGTCTTAAGTATCTGTTTGTCTATTTCAGCGCTGATCTTGTTACCACGCGAGCAAAAGAATTATTAATGTAGTACCGTTTACGGTCTTCTAAAAACCAAACCAATTACTGACACGCGAAGATCTGTGTATGAGGCATGCTACGATGACGCAGTTTTGTACAGTCTATAACCCAGGGCCCTGGTTCATTGGCGGTCGGCTCCCCGAGGATCGCGTCTGACAGACATGAGTCTATTCGCTTACGAGGCAACTTGGTCGCTTCTGATTGAAGCTTCGCTAAATAAAAAGAATAATAATTTGGTGAGTGTTTGCCGTTCATCGGAGGTCTGCTACCTCGAAAAGCTACGTAGCCGCAAATAAGGATTTGAGTAACAGAAACGTCTCCCTGCCATACTACGCACAACGCCAATAAACCAATATGGACAAAGCTAGAGTCCAATTCCAGAACACACCCTGCGCACCCTGCGCACCCCACACAGACATGCATATCCCGATGACAGGGGTCTAGCCCAGGACAAGTCTCACTTCCGTGTTGGCGGATTGGCGGATGTGAAGCAGAGGTTGCCCGAAACGTCAACTTGAGTAGTTTGTAGCTTGAGAAAGTCCGTCCATACAAATGAATACCCAATCAACGCAGCTAGCCTCGCTCCAGAATCGTAAGAGAGACCCATGGTCCGATGTCGCGTCACCCGCTGCTGCGGAACACTAAATATTAGGCGTTATACTACGTACTGTACAGAGGTATGTATGTTATATATGTTATATATGCATGTACGCCTGTGCGTCTATATCGTACCTAGTATGCGGCCTCTGCGCTATGCAGCCATATGCTGGGGCTAGGTAGGATCTGAGAAGGACGAATCCGTTTATGAGAGCCTCCATTTGGGGTGTGATGCGTGGCAGCGTGGGGTATATCTTTCCAGAATAGACAAATACGTTTTGAGAACCAAATTTAGGAGCTACGGGGAAATTAACTGAGATGTCTTTATTTCTCGGATGTCTCACGTACGTATGTTCGTCGTTCAAAGGGGCAATGCCATTATATCCCTCAACAACTATTAGTATGTCTTGCCGAGCTGACGCAGCTATCAGTTTATTAATTTACCCACGAGGCCGTCGATCGAATACCTGATGAGGAATATAGTTAATGCCATAAATAACGAGTAGTTCAAGATGTGTCTTTGAGTATGAGTAACTAACATATAAGTTAGACTTACCTCAAGAGTATGGAGTATGGAGCATGGAGCTTCTGAAGGTTGATTATCAATTGGCTTTACTACTGGTTTCTGTTGCTTGTGTTATACTACGTAACTCCTATACGCCCGATTTAGGATAGTGACAATATCATGTAGCCAATAAAACAGCTATTCTATGCTTGTCAGATTTGTTAGAGACAGCTCCCTGGGTTTCCTCTAATAACTACTGTTCGGTGTTATTCTGCAAAGCGAACCTGCATTTAATTTTAAGTAGGACGGACGGCAGAGTTACATACAGCAAGTCGGATATGTGACTAGGGTTACAAGAGACTAATGCTAGATGTGTCTAGGCCGCGTGACCTTCCGTACCATTGCACATTTAGTTCGTGTTTTTTTGGTTCGCTTTACAGACCTTGTAAAGCTAATAGGTAAAAGAATCGACAAACAGTAAATAGTCGAATACCACCAATCAGAACCTATGTTTTATGCGATGAGTGTTATCTCAAGCTAGGATTCCTTGCGAGCCGTTTAACTATTTAGACCCTAGACCCGTAGTTAATCTAGATCTCGGCGAATATATGACAAAACCGTGATCTCGTTTTCTAAGCGTCTGAGCGTGTGTATATACGGACCACGCGATTCGGAGACCATTGTTCGTCAGATCCCCAGACCACATCTGTCTATAGACTTACACAACATCCGTCTTCGATGCTGTTGCATACGTACTGTATCTCAAGACTTATTAAGCAGGCTGAGGAAACGGAAGGATCAAGCGAGATCGGCCTTATGAAATCGGAACAAGCCTTGAGGAAGTGTACCTAGGGTAAGGTCTTCCCCTCCTAATCCCTGCTGTCGCGGAGGGAGCGGGGCGGACTTAATTAAAGAGGGCTGACGGGCGGCGGGGACCAGGTCCCTTAGCCCTTAGCACGTGCACCGCATATGTAGCATACAGATATGTATGTAGTGTCTGTACGCAATATTAAGGGAGAGGGATGTATGTCTTCGTTGTTCTTCTAAGCGCAAAGGATTCCCACTTTGCGTTCCGAAAACACCCGTAGTTCAACAACAGCCCCGTGGGCCAGCCTAAATAATAAAAAAGGTATGCAGTCAAGGTGTCTACATACTAACACACGCAGTATGTACATATGGGCCTACGGCTCGTTTATGAACCGCGGCTTCACCGCTGTCGCCGATGCTCGTAACCGTACGATGTGCTTGACTAGTAATTTCAGGGTATTCTCATTACTTGATGAAAATATCTTCCCTAGTATTATTTGTCAGTAAGCGTAATTTGGGAAGATTTGACTTGCTGCAGCAAGGCTCTTTGTCGTAAACTTCGGATGAAGTGACATGAAAAAGAGGAGCTTGACGACTTGGGACAAATATTTCCTTATTCCTAACTTGCTTCTGAGCTAGACTAGAAAGGTATTGATAGACATACTATGTAGTTGTATCGCAGGCTGCAAGAAGCACTTGACTTTTATGACAGCTTTGATCACATGCTCACGAGAAGTTCCCTTGCTTCAAAATAACAACGAAAATAATTGGGAGGTATAGGGTGGATTTTTTTAATGTCTTAAAAGATGTATCTTAAAGATGTAAGGTTGAAATTTTATATGAGTTTCTGACCACAATATAAACTTTATGCTTGAATACTGTGGCAATTGCCTATAACAAAGCTCTTTCCTGTATATTGTCCTGACAGTAGAAATAAATTCACACCTACCATGCAAGTGACCCGCTTAGTCATAACAATCCGTAATAATAATTCTTCAATTGGAGCCTCACCAACACACATCCCACTTTGAATCTTGCAGCAACGCTTCCCTGAAGAATTGCCTTCCCAAAACAGCATATTTCCCTCTTCACTACGACCGGGACAATATCACACGAAATGGTCGCTAGTTCGGCACTTCGCAGAACCGCCGATTTCATTTAGTCGCGAATCCTAACCGAGCTCGACTTACCATGTTGTCTCTCCTCCCGGACCTAACACCACGCGACGTACGTTGTTGGTCCGCCCTACACCTCACCCCCGGGTAATCTTCTAGCTTGGGAAGCTAACAATGGCAGAATAGTCGCACTCGCTATGGTATACCTCCTCCCGCAACCCCCTCTCGAGCTTCACGTACGATGCGAACCCCCAGCAGCTACAACAGCAACAGCAGCAGTTACAGCAGCAGGACAGCTCTGCAGGGAACCCCCACGGAGTTAATAACCACCGCCGCGGGGCCCATCTGATTGAGCGGTCGCCTCTCGCACGCCTACGCGCTGACGAGCAGAACCTCGAGCGCCGCCGCTTAAACGTCGCTAACTTCGGCAGCGCATGGCTCAAGCCCCCTGGTATCCACAAGACCCTGCACCAGTTACGCGAGGAGCGCCGCGAAGCTGAGGAGCACCAAGAGGCGCTTCGTCGCGAGCAGCTTGCGCAAGAACTCGCCGAGGCCGAGGCCGCGGACGTTAATGCCATCGACGCGCAGGGCGACGATGGGGTTATGGACGACGTACAGCTGGACGGGGCTAGGGATTTAGACGAAGACATTCCTGAGGCGGATGCTGACTTTGGCATTGGATCCGACGACGAGGATGAGGACTCTGAAGACGAAGATGATAGCGATGACGACGAGGACTCTGAAGATGACGATGATGATGACGACGAGGATGATGATCCGGAGCAAAGGGCAGCCCATGCGCAGCAGCAGCTCATGGCACAAAGGATGAGGCAAGCTGACGACGCGTTTCGCGAATCGGGGGTTCGCGGCCGGGATAGCAATTACTACGGTGTCGACGACGAAGTAGACGACGAAGACCAGGCCCAGATGATCGAGGAAGACGATCTAATCGGCCATGGAGACGGTGTGGACATGGACATGGACGCCGACCTCGATGATGATATCCCCGAAGCAGAGGACGGAGGTTATGAGCACACCGACTCTGAGGCGGATATGAGCAGCGACGAAGAAGATGACCAGCCCGAGTTGAGCTTCGCCGCGCAGGCATCCCAGCAAGTATCCCAGCAGACGTCACAACAGCATAGGTTCAGGCATAGTCTAGCACGAAGCGACGCGACGCGGCATAGCCTCGCTATTAGCGACATCCTATCGCACGACGGCGACAGCATCGGAAGTAGCCCGCAACTTCAACGGCGAGCCAGCGGCCCCGCGCGTCGAGCCCGAGGTTAAAGATAATAGGGAAGTCATTGGACCTTGCTTGTATTCATCACATCACTTTGCGCTGCATCTGCATTACCTTAAGATACCCCATCCCCTTTTATTATTATTCGTTCTTCCGCATCGCCCCCTATGGAGAATCCGTAGCCAGCCAGCCAGCCACCCAGTCTTTAGTATTTTCTAATGCAAAAAAAGTAAAAATAAAATAAAAAGACGATGAAGACATGAATTATGATACATTTGATTACAAGGGCTCGTAAAATGACTCGGCCGGCCCGCGTCTTCCCATATGTGCTCGTGAACTCGTACCGTACCATACGTATAGTGTAGTATGTCCTATTCAGAGAAGCCAAAAAATAATAACAATAACCCTTTTGCGTATCGTCATATCGCTCCCATACCAAACATCCATCCTAAAACGCCGTTTTCATAATGCTTTGCTTGCTTGCTTTCTTTCTTTCTTCTCTTGGTGTCTCTTCCATTTTTTTTCTAAGTCGTCTTGGTCGGAATTATACCATCTCGCCTCGCCTCGCCTCGTTTCGTTCCGTCTCGTCTAGTCTCCGTAGGCAAAGTGAAGATCGGAGATCCACAAACCACAAACCGCGAACCGTAAACGAGGATAGAAATCAGAACAGCCAGACGTAGAGGAAAATAAAAATGACGGCAGCAAAGAAGGCCAGCCACACCTTCCAGCCGACGCCGGTGCGCTCCGCCATAACAAGCATGCGGTTCATAGTGCCGCGCAGCCGCAGCCGCGTCGAATCAAACGTATCGTTCATCTTCTCCGCGAGCGCCGAGGACTCCCTGATCTCGTCGCCGATAGCCGATGTCATCTTGGGACCGGGGTAGGGTCGCGTTAGCATAATCTGGTTCAAAAAAACGGTTTGCATCCCCCTTCTCTCTCTCTCTCTTGCGCAGCCACACTGGTTAGGTTGCTTCTTTTGTTTGTGTATATGATAGTTATACTAGAATATCCAAAACAAGCAAGCAAAACCTCTCCCCCCCCACAACTTACGCGCAGCATCAACAGCAGGACGAAACTCACATCTTTCAGGATCTTGACCTTCCCTAAGATGCCCTCGACCTGCTGGTCGTTCTGGCTCTCGAGCTCGTTGAGCACCGCGTCGCTGTACTGGCCCCTGTACGATTCATCCACCCGTCAGCTGGTTTGTTCCTTCGGCGTCGTAGACATATAGGTTAGGTAGGTAGACGAGGTATAGATCTGAGCAAGTGAGTAGGTATTCGTACCTCGAATTCGGTGTCGCAGGCCTGTAGTTTCCCCGACTATCCACGCCTAAATGATGCGTGCTACTCCCGCCGGTCGCCGCGCCGTTGCTTCCCCCGGGATACCCATACCCGTAGCCGCCCGGCGCCGGGCTCGGTCGCCTCGCAGGGTCGGCGCTGTTCCGTCCGCTGCCGCTATAACCCTCGAACAGGGCGCTGCGGGAATCTCGCTGGTGGAGCGTCGAGTGGCCAAATCTGCGACGATGAGTTCCATTAGCTTCAGCTTAACCTAGACAAATGAACATATATCCATCCATCCAGCCATCCCATAGTGTTGGTAGTAGCGCTTGTGCCGTATGCAAGCATACACGTAAATAAACACAAATATGCAAACACCCTTCCATCCCTCCCCTTTCTCGCCTCACCGCGGGCGCGATCTACAACAAATCTCCTAGTGTCCCAAGAAACCCGCACCCCAGGATTACCGCGAAGCAAAAGACCCAAACCAGAAACAGCAGTTTATTCCAATAAATGTTCGTACGTACCTTGATGCCATGCTGTTGCGAAACAGTTATTGGGAGGAAAAAAAAGTATGGCAAGAAAAAAGGATTAACTTAAATATGTGACAACGTATCTTATTCGATGTTGCGCGACTCAGAGAAAGTGGCAGCTTGGCAGTTACTTATGTAATTAATACATATAAGGTAAGCAGGGCACCTAGGTTAAGCAGACATGAATTAATTTGCTGGGGATAAAAAAGCATCTGCCAGGTGCTGCCACGTGTGGTTGGTTACAACGTTATTTCCATCGTCCGTTAGGTAGGTACGTACATGCAACTTACATAAAACATTTGACGGCTATCAGCGCAACCTTCTCAAGCCGACGGCAGCCACCGAGGAAAAGATCCAGAATCGGATAACATTAAGGTTAACCTAAAGTGAATTGTATAAGCTTACATGTACAGCTTAAAATAAATGAAAGCTTGAATCGACTTTATGTTAAGCGGTGATCAGTTACTTATCCTAAGTGAAATCATCGGATAATCCCGTAGTAGCATCCAATTTAACTCAGCATGAGATGGTTCACCTAACTATGCTACTATGCTATAAGTATAAGAAATAATATCTTAACTACACAATTCATACCAAACACATATTAATACAGTAAACTATGTATTCTTCAAAATGTAAGACAAGAAGTCTAAAACAGGTTTCAAAAATCTACATAGTTACATATAAACAAACATCAAATCCATACTAGTTAGTCACAAAGTAAACAAAGGTTGTCAAGTCCATGTTCTCAATAGTATTGACAATGCTCTCGCTATAGTCTTATTATTATGGATTAGGAACCCAAAAATGCCCCTATTCACTTTCCCACACGAGACGGTCTGGATTAAACCGGAGAGCGGTTTCATCCAAACCCCATATCAGTTAACTCGTAATCCCGCGCCGCTGTTTAGATCCATCACTCCGCCTTGTCCATACACATGCCCGTCAACCCTTCCTCCCTGCTCCTCAACTCCTCGTAAGTTAGGCTACCAAGTTACCCTATTCAGTGCGTAACAATGGTGTCGAAAGGTAAACGATAGAGTTGCACGTCGCTTCAAGTAGGCAGATAACGATGGTGGTATTAGTTTGCGGTACAATGGAACATAGGAAGCGACCTGAGGATCAAGCAGGACTCAGGACTGTATCGTAGAAGTCGCTTCAGTCGAATATATATAGCAGTCGCCATATTCCCTTTCTTTGTATGTTGTGATCTTGGAATTAAGATCCCCAGAAGAAAAAAAAAAAGACATCTAGAGCAGATTCGCTAGTTGAAATATTATGCACAAAGGATAGTAAGCTGTGATGCAAAGACCGCTGAACTCCTTTTAGAATCCAAGACAAAATGTAAAACACGACATAATACCGTCGCCCGAAAGAAGATATATTGTGTCCAGGTTCGGGTATCATCTGAACAGTAACAGAAAACCAGTACAGAGAATTTAAAAGTTTTGAGAAATGCCGGTGCTTTGTTGAGGATAGTGCGACGGGTTCTCAATGCGGGTATTGCGTCGAGCTGGGTTGTCCCGTATAACAGGTTGTCCGTATGCACCGTCAGCATACGGGTTGTTCCCGCCGTATTGATCCAGGTAAGCTGGTCCTCCGTAAGAGGCACCATTCTCCCCAGAGCCATCTGATCTGCCGGCTGCACTATAAGACGATGAGGCATTGGAGGGTCCACGGCGAACATCACCATTGCCGGTATTGCCATCGGCAGCTGGGCCCATAGCGCCGAGGATCTCACCCTCAGTTGGCGAGTTAGAACGATCGCCCATTAAACCGTCTCCTGATCTCGTGTCAGAAAAATTACCCCTGGTTGGGGATGTTGCATCTGAATATGCCACACCTGCTGCACCACCAGACATTGTGGTGGAGGCTTTTCTCCCAGTTGAACCCGCTAGGGTAGTAGAGCCCCATCCACGATAGCCTGATCCATCTTCCTTCATCTCGTAGGCTCCTGCGGCACCAGCGGCTCCTACTTCTGGCAAAGTCGGATCGTTATTTGGGTTGTAGCTGTAGTCTTCTACTTCTTTTCGCCTCTCCTCTGCAGCATCCTTTCGTTGCTTTCGTCTCCTCCAGAAGAAGATACCCGCAGCAACTAGCAAAGCCACAGCAGCAATTGGAACTACAACAGCAACAGCAATCTTGGCCTGCTCGGCCATCTGGTGCGAGTTAGAAGCACCTGGGGATATAATTGCATCCGATGGGCCTGCCGTAGATGTCTGACTTGTCGGTTGCGCAGGCTGCGCAGTAACCTGAGTCGAGGTAACGGTGATAAATTGTGTACTTCCATCTTCCCCGGTGCTCACTTGCGTTGTAGTGATTATCACGCTTGTTGGAGTCGGAGTGGGTGTCTCTGAAGTAGAGCTAGTCGATGTCGATGTCGATGTCGGTGACGTGGGGGTTGGGGGGGTTGATGTTGACGTCGACGTAGTAGTAGGCGGTGGGGGGTTAGAAGTACTTGTAGTCTCAGACGTGGAAGTAGGTGGCGGTGGTGGTGCTGAAGTAGAAGTTGATGTTGTCGGGTCTGAAGTTGGCGTTGGCGGATCGGATGTACTGGTAGAAGTGGTTTCGGGAGGTGGTGGTGTACTACTGGAAGTCTCAGCTGGAGGACTGGTAGACGTAGTCTCAGTCGGGCTCACAGACGGGCTATCAGACGGACTATCAGATGGGCTCGACACTGCGTCCGGTGTGGACGTGTCGGCGTTTGTACTGTTAGAAGACATGGTAAACTGCCTCCTAGCTAGCAATCCGGAGAGATGCCTAGGGAGCGACATATTAGCATAAAGGAATGGCTCAAGGAAAGAGTGATGATGAACATTGAAGGCGGTTAAGATGAATTGAAAATATCGTATAGAGAGCTGATCGCAAGAGGGTCTAAACAAAGTGGAACACTATTCGGATGGATGGGGCTCTGGGGCTCTGGTACTTAATGGTCCAATGAAGTTATCGTGGAATGTGTCGCAAATCGCCACAGCACAAATTCTCAATGAATAACAAAACGGAATGAGAAACGTACCTTTTACAAAAACTTGCTAGCCGACTTAATCAACTCACAGTCGAATAAAGACTGGATGAGAGAGCCGCAACTCTTTTTTTTTTTTAGTGGAATCGACAGTTGCGCTTGGTTGCTGTTTCGAGTTGGGTCGTCTTGAGACGCGAACGAGGAGAACTCCAGAAGGGAGAACGAAGACGAGAATAAGACAACAATACCTATGGGGGAATACAGTATTGTACAGTGGTACGGCCGGCGGATGGGCTGGGCTGGGCTGTCTTAACTAGAGCAATTGAGAACGATTGGAACGATTGGAACGAACGAATAGGCTAATGCATATGGAAGTACACTGTGCAGGGGGACTCCTAGGTAAGGCGTGGCTGAGCTCTTTTTTATTTTATTTTATTTTTTCCCTTTTCCCTTTTCCCGCTTGTGCCTCTTATTCTTCGTGTCTCTCTCAGCTTATGCAAGGAGATTAGAAATGATAGGACAGGAATGCAGCAAACCAGAATGGGTCCAGGAGTTCTAGTTTTGCAATAAGTTTCGGTATGTAGAAACGACGCTGGATTTTTAGTAAAAACGAAGGTCAATTAGTATATTAAGTCATAGACTTTTACAATGTCGTCAGAGGAGAGAACCACAATAGATGAAGACAAAAAAATAATTGATGAATGGGAAAGGTGAAAGAAAGTCGACAAGGGGGTGGATTCCCCATAGGTGAAGATTGGCAGCCAGGGCCCGGGCAGCACATAATAATAAAAAAAGTTGGAAATGTTAATGCAAGACGGATACGTTCAATCCGGGAAGGTACTCCAATTGAGTTTAACCTCGCAGCTTTCGCAGGAATATCTCCGGCCGCTATGATGATTTTTAGCGACTTCGTTTAAGATGTTAGTTGATTTAGTTGTGTAGTACGAGGTACACTAATGATAGATTAGTAGATCTGATACCTTAAACGACTTAGCGCATTTCTTTTCTGGCTTTGCCCCTGGCGGCTTGTGGCTTAACTACCTTAACTTAGGTACTCAAGTAATAATAAGTCCGAAGTGATGAAGCCCTCTTTCGGTCATCATCTTATTATTATCCCAACCCGCATATCCAAGCCGCATTTCGCTTCTATAACTACTAATAAGAAGTCAAAGAAAGATTCTCAAAAGCCGAGTATCTATTAGCTTATTTCGGAGAACCATAGCTTGGGTAAATCTGTACAATTTCATCTGCCTCGCTGGCGTTCCTTTGCCCCTGACTAACAAAGCCGCGGTATAAACTAGCACGACTCAAAACCTGTTCAGAATAGGGCACGTCCACATTAGGTATTGACAGTTCGCATGCAAATTCCGAGACAGTTAAACGTTAGTAACTCTATTTAAACTAATGTCTAAAAGGGTTGATAGCGGTATTAGCCTCATAGCCTAATCTGTCTGCTATATGTATCAACTCTATAATTGACTTTAAGGTTTCTTCAGCTCCCTTTTTAGCTAAGGAATACTCTACTAAGGTTCAGATCATTACGTGCTAGGTAAGTATATAATCAGTCGATTTTGAAAGAAAACATAATCCACAGCTTTATGAATTACCTACTAATGCTGGGCTCATCAACATTTGAGGCTGTCATAGATTTGACTAGCCCTATGCCCTAACTGTGGCATACGAGAAATATTCGTTTCCATATGAGCTACGCGATTTAACATCGTATCGACGAAGAAACCATCGTCTTTGATAAACAGCCTCACATACTACACATACCACTATTACACATGACATACGTTCTTCTATAGGACAATCTCATCTCTAGCCTACATCTCTACCTCTGTAAGCTCTGTAGCCCCCATACCATGCGATAATACCTCCAAACAGAACAAAATTTTAGTCTCCCTTTCCAACCTTGGAAAAACAGTGCTAAGTAATTGAACACATCAACGTCAACAGTGACCCATCGGACGGACTTACAATCCCGTTCCAGCCATAGCAGCAGAAGCAATTCCTGCTTTGAAGTAAGATGTCCCTTGGACATATAACACCCGATTTATAGTTTCCCTCCAACGTCATGTCTACGAAGTACCGCAGCCAAAAAATTCAATACATACATACATACATACATACGTCCCAAGATGAGACGTAATTGGCCCACCTCAGCCCATCCATGACGATCCGACCCGACATCAATGTGAACCTATGTACCTATCTATCAGTCTATGTATACCTAAGTACCTTAGCCTAACCAGCTTACCCATCTCAGGAAAACGCCCTCCACAAATCCGATCTGCGATCCCACGCGGAGAGCAAAAGATCAACAAAATCTCATTGCCATTTCCCATCCACCTAACCCAAGGATTTATTTATTTATAAATAGGTTAGGTTAGGTTAAGTAGTCAGCAACATACCTACCTAACATTAGAATGATCTAAATACCTACTGTTTGTACACCGTACCTAGATCGACGCGCTCCCATACGAAACACCGCAAGGGCAGGATCTCCGTACGCCACTGTCAGAGTAAGCGCCAAATAATAATAAGTCTTACACCAGTACCTACCTCATATGGAGGTACACAGTACCTAACCCAGAGCCGCCACGGAGGAAACGTTACAAACAATCTTCGGACGCCAAGACAAAGTACCTACCTACATCCAGGATTTTTTTTTAAACCGCCAAGTCAAGAGGCTGAAAACAACAACAAAACATAAAAAAACGATACGGCGTTAGGTAGGGTTTTACCTGTCAACGAAAAACAAACACAATTTCTCTCCAGATATAACCTACCTAGCAAAATGATAGAAGTAAAATCCATATTATAACACGGTATAGGTATACTAGTAAAAAGATTGGTTTAACAGGAACTATTTTGCAACGCCTACAATAAAAAAAAAAAAAAAAGAGAACTAGCCACACCACTTTGGTTATAATAATTGTTAAATAAAATCAATAAGCAAAAATCCCTAGGTATCTGTCGGTATAAACTGCACCGATCCTTCTATATGTTTCCGCCATGCAAGGTAAAATGCTTCGCCGATCATGATTGCTTTCCAAATTACTCCCCCGACTGGAAGAAAAACGGCATTAACAGTACATATTTGATCAGATATACAAGACAGCTGGCTTTTGCCGCCTTCTAAGTCCTGACTGTATATATCAAGCCTTATATATTTCATTAGTCGCTCTAGTCCCTCATGTTCCACGACGGCTTCAGAGTATTGTTCATCGCCTGTTGTGTGAAAACGGTGTCTCCTGGTAGACGACTGACTCTACCTGCACCGCCGCGGATGGCGCTTAGATTAGCAGACGAAATACCGCTACGGTTGCTAACAACACTACCCGCATCACTCATAGTGTCAGCATCCTTAAACCGACGCGGAGGAGCGAAATCTAGAGCAGTGAATGTTCCTGATTTACGCAACAAGTGCCTAAAGATTTATGTTAGTATTTAACTCGCAAAAGCATTATTAAGAATTAACTTACGGGCTGGGTAACGCTGGTGTGTCGTCGAAAGCGCTCACTAGCGGCGAGTGAATTGGCGTATTCAGGACGTAAGGCTTACGTTCACCAACAGGACTCTGCGACCGACCAGCTGCGATGTCCTTGAAAGAAGGGGGAGGAGCAAATTCGATAGAACCCATGATAGCAAAAGAGTCATCTCTCAACTTGGAAGGAGTAGGCAAGGTGTTAAGCGCAGCAGGAGGGGGCATCGGCTTTCGCGGTTTGCCACCCATCCCATTACCTGCGAAGCGGTTGGAGGCTGATGAGCCTGGACGCGGGCTCATTTGTGCCCATCTACCAGCTGATTGTGTGGAACCAGCCCTGGGTCTTCCACGAGGTCCACCAGGCATGTTCATACTTCCGTGAGGACCGTGACCAGGGGGGCCACGCGGGCCAGGTGGACCACGGGGTCCTCCCGGTCCTCCTGGTCCAGGCATTGGTCGTCGGTTGCTCGGAGGGGGAGTCATAGCACGGCGAGTAACAGGTTGCGCGTAAGGCATAACGAATGCATTGCTGTCGGGGTCGAAAAATGCGGTATCACCGAGATAGTTGGCATCGTAATCATCATAGTAGGTGGCTTTCTGTGCTTGCTGGGGAATGGGTGGTGGTTTTCCGGAATCTGTCTTGGTCTCCTCGAAGTACTCTTTGTAGAATGAACGAATCCTGTTGGCTCTGAATTCAGGATCTTCCGACTCAAGGAAGTCATCAGGCGGAAGGGGACGGAATCCAACAGATAGCCTACGGTTATCCTTACCGGGTACGCCCAAGCCAGCGGAAAGTGGGTGCTCAGGCTCGTTTATACGTGGCTGCATGTGTCGATCGTTGCTACCCGTTACAACATCATCGGCATCGTCGATCTGGAAATGAGCTGTGTAATCCTCGTAGTCATCAGCGACATTAGGTGCAGCAACGAGCGATTCGTTCCTTGGCGGTCGCGATCCTGCTGGAAACGAGTTGGTATCCCTTGGTGAGCTATCCATCGAGTTCTGAGAGGCGCGAGCATCCATAATACCTAGGCCTTGGACGCCGGGCTTTGGCATAGCAACAGAGTTCATGGTAGTCGCAGATCCGACAGCGTTAACGGAGCCATTAGAAACACGCGAAGCCGCTGCTGCCGGCTCCTGAATCTCAGGGACCTTGGCGACAGTTGGAGCGTCATCGACGAAGCGGAATTCATTCTTAACCGGGAGGGCAGGTTGTTTCTCTGCCGACTCACGACGCGATGATCGCTTCGCAGCGGGAGGTACTGGCTGAAGAGGAGATGGAGATGAAGGCAGCCCCTTTTGACGGGTAGAGAAATCGCCGGCCGTGTTAACCCCGAGCCTCTGCCCGGGTCCTGAACGCCTATCAGGTCCTTTCTGGACGGAGCGCAAAGAACCCGCATCACTAGCGCCATAGCTGGTAACTGGTCGATACGGATCTTCAGCTTGGTTGAGGCTCCTCGCAAGTGATTCCCGGGAGTTCTGTAGATTGGGCGGAAGGAGATAAGGACTTGAAAGATTCATATCCATAGAAAGTTGCATTTTGTGACTCGGGTCCTTCTCCTTTCCGAAGAAAGCACTCCGCCTCTTACCAGCTTTGCCGGGCAAATTACCCTCAAGACCAAAGTCCATCGACTTATACTTGTCCGTCTCATCCTCTTTCCTCTGTCTTACAGTTGTTCGGTGGTGTAAATAAAGCAGAACTGAAACTGCTAGTCCTACCGGAATGCTACGAAATTCGTTAGTCATATCAGAAGCTGAACCAAGAATATTAATCCTCACCAAACACCTAGGATGATCGGAAGAGTCATCGAGCCACCCACTGGCTTTTCATCGAGGTTATTTTCCCTCGGGGTGAGTTGAGCAATTGTATTTGTCCCAGTGAGAAACGAATTGCCGATCCCTTGTCCAGTCTCCAGTTGGGCAGGCTGCTCTGCCTCCAAAGGTAATCCTCTTATATGGAAATGGTGGTGGCCGTGGCCATGACCACGGCCGTGATTAAGATGCCCCGCCATAGTGTCCAACTTCACACCCTCAATTCCTTCTCTTAAAGTTTACCTAAAGCTAGATAGAACTAGACAGGTATATTAAAGCTGATGTCGATCAAATCTAGCGTGATATTAGGCTCATGCCAAAGCGGTATTCAGGATAGTCGTCGAAAGTTGAAAGAAGCGCCGTTTAAATCAATGGTCCTACCCACTATGCTGGAATCGAATATTATTCTACGAAATCGATGTCTCAACACTAATTGCCCGGGTAACGCAAGATCGGAAAGAATGACTTGTGTGATCGGGCACAAATGAATGACTCGAAGTTAGCTATTATTAATGAATGGCACGCCCGCTGGCAGGCAGTTAGGTCAGGTTTGACCGATTGTCGAGGGACTCCTGTATTAGGTGTTGGGGTGAATGGGATGAAGGAGAGAAAGAGTAGAAGCGAAAGGGACAAAAGAAGGTGATTGACCGAATACAAATGCAGAGTCTCTTTTGGTTGACCAGGATTAGGGGAACCAACGAATGAAAATTAATATGGCGGAAATGAGTGAAGGGGTTGTGGAGACTGCGGTACGTTAGGTACTGTGTAGCTTCAGATGGGGAAGAATTCCAACGGAATAAAGGGCACTGTCCTTAACTACCTAGGTACTGGGTAAGCCACCGGACAGGGCAAACATTCGCTAGAGGGAACTGAGGGAAGACCCCCAAGTCAGTAAGCTGCCACTGATTGTGACAGGTCTGTAGTGTCTGTAGTACAGCACTGTGTATACTGTACAGTCCCTGATAAGAGCAAAGAGACTAATGCAGGAACAGAAAGACCATCCAATCATGACCCATAATTATCCAGAAATGCTGATAGGAGGACATGGATTAAGCTACCCTAGTCCGAAAAAGAACTGGTCCAATTAGCTCCCCCCTTTTTGGGCAACTTGGTTAAACTTGGTTGCGTTTCTTAAATCGTTCCAATCAGCCCTGGCGACCTCCGCTGCCTCCGCTATCTTCCCCTTTTACCATGTAGATTTTTACCATGTAAATGCTTTAACCAGCTTGTATCCGGCCGAAATGAAAAGACAGCCTGCTTGTTAATTTTCAAGGTTGTGTAAGAGACTTGAACAAGATAATACATTATCGACAATTAAATTGATTTAGGTACCTATGAATAGAATCTATTGCTTCATAAGATGGTTCTCAATTAACCATACCATTTAATAGATCCTATTGGTAACGGCATGCATCCGTTATAAATAGGTTCAAGTGGTTCGTTAGACGGCTCCAGATTCGATCCTAAGGTAACATATACCACATGCTCGAACCTGTCGAGGTAGGTCGGTCAATTAATAGTAATCAAGGAAAATCCCATAAGTCCGGGAATTACCTGATTGAAGCTTAGTTGGTCAGAGTTGGTGCAGCTAACCTGGAAGTGCACCAATCCAACGAGAAGCTTGTTTCTTTTTGAAACTATCCCTGGCGATTGGCTATTTACGTCTCAGCCTCAACGGGTTCGACTGCAATATTGTTTCATAGCTTGCTTCTCTTTAACGAGCATACCTCAACTACCTGTCTTGGATAGGGAGGTGGATAGGTATCATTAGAATACCTAGCAATGCCTAGCAATACCTAGCCTTCCAACTTAGGAGCACGATGGCCTCGACCACAATAGACCTCGTCGTCGAAACATACCAGGTCAATTGTGTCAATTGTCTATTCTAGTAACCCTTATGACTTAACTTGGTAGTATCCTGACGCATACTCTAGAAGCCACTCCTTCTCAATTTTGCTAATATCGCGAATGAATATCTTGCTGCCGGTTTCCATAACCTCGTGGAAAATTACCCAATCAGCTTTGCGATTGAACATTAAAGAGCTAGGGTGCGCATAGAGTGTCGTTCCACCTTCAATATTGCGGAAGCTTCCATCGGGTTGCATTCTAGCTGCGTGGGCAAAATATCCCGTCGTGAGACATCGTCGAATCTGCTCTCCTTTATTTACTGCTGATGTCTTGAGGCTCTCGTCTACTGCTATTCCAAACCGTTCCAGGTAGCGTTTCAGTTGCGCTCTGATGCTTACGGCGCGGGTCATAGCTTTAAAATTGAGATGATTTTCGTGACAAAACTTCGACTCTTTCTTGCCCTTGGTTACAAATGCTTGGTAGACATTTAGAAGCGTCAAGTGATCGCCTTCTTCCGCAGCGAATTTGCGTCGCGAAGACTCTGTCAGCTTCTTTTCCCCTTCTCTCTGAACCCATATAGAATTACTAAGGGTTGTCATCGCCGCGATTGTAAGTATTTCGCTAAGGCAGTCAAATGATGAGGCTGTTAATAGGGTTTTCGCCATCATAGGCTCCACCGCAAGCTCCGCCATCCGCATACCCAGCGGTTTTGTAAGCTTAGCGTACTCATCCAGGGCACCTAGGGTAAAGAGCAGTTCTGTTGCTTTGGCCATAAGTTCCGCTGGTGGTGGGGTTAGATAGTCGAAGCGTACGACGTTATCAATACCAAGCGCCTTCAGTTGCAAGATAAATGGTGCAAGGTTAGACCTTTGTATTTCCGGGATGTTCGCATCAGGTAAGGCCTGAAAAGCCTTTTCGGTGTAAAGCCGAAAACATTTTCCTGGCTTCGTGCGTCCAGCCCTTCCCGCACGCTGTTGCGCCGCCGCCTTTGAAACAGGTGTTGCTGTTAAAGACTCAATGCCAGTCTTAGGATCGAAGGCTCTTAGCTTGACGAAACCCGAATCAATGACATAGAGAATACCGTCGATTGTGACGGATGCTTCCGCGATATTAGTCGAGATTATGACCTTTCTTGTGTTCTCAGGCGGACTATCAAATACTAGCATTTGTTGCTCTGTTGATAACCCCGCATATAATGGAAGAGCAGATATTGATTGAGCGGCTGGCGGAAGTTGGGCTGCTCGTTCCGCAATGGCTTGGACAACAGTATCGATCTCTTCGCGACCGGTCATAAAGACAAGAATATCGCCATCTGGTTCTTTAGTATGAATGTCGAAAATCGTAGATATCGCCTTTTCAACGTAGTCTTCCGCCGGTGACTCTAAATAGAGAACATCTACAGGATACATCCTACCTTCAAGACTAATTATTGAACCTATCTCACTCTTTTCGCCGTCGGAAGGTCCTTGGTTATCAGACTGCTGGGAGAAGAAGTTGAGAAAATCTTCCGCTTGAAGAGTAGCGCTACTAATAATAATGCGTAGTTCTGGTCTTCGCTTCCGTATCTTCTTAAGAAGACCAAGAAGAATATCCGTGCTTATAGACCTCTCATGGGCTTCATCAACCATGATGACGGAGTAACGCGACAACAGCGGGTCGACCAGAGCTTCTCGAATAAGTAACCCATCTGTTAAGAATTTAATTCGAGTTGCAGCAGATGTCACATCTTCGAATCTAATCGAGTAGCCCACCTCCTTTCCCAACTCACAGCCATACTCCTCGGCTACTCTGATTGCAACTGTTGTAGCAGCTACTCTTCTGGGCTGTTTAAGTTAGACATAACTATATTATAAGAAGAAGCAAGGAATCATACCTGAGTAACACCAACTATCTTACCGTCAGAGCACCATCCCGCGTGCTCGAGGAACTGCGGTATTTGTGTGGTTTTACCGGAACCTGTGTGCCCAACAACGATTGTTACCGGGTTTTTCTCGATGAGGTAGAGTAAGCTATCGTGATGCTTGGCGATGGGTAGTAAGGCCGAAGGTTTATGAAGAGCAGGGATGAATGTTGAGTTGAGGTCAAAGTCTGCCATGTCGAATAAAGTTTTCCTTTTTAAAGGAATACTGGTTTGTCGCTTTACCACGTTTCTAAGTGTAAAGCTTGTGTACTCGAAAACATTTGTTGAACGTGCATCTCAGACTTTGTCTAGGTAGTTTAGGATCTACATACGTACATGTAGTTCGATAATTAAACCAGTCTCAGAATGCTTCTATTTTTTGAGTTTATTAGATATCAAAACATTCTTTCTTCTGCGTTGAAGCAAATAGATATGAGTTTCAAGCCTTTAGAAGTCTGTTTTAAGATGCTTCAAGCTAAAGAGCCAATAGTATAATAATATCGAATACATGCATGTGACTAGAGTTAGGATGTATCTTTTATTTTTATGGTACATGAGTTTATCATCCACGGATGGTTGAACTGCGTAAGGTCTGTGGCGCAGTATCTTGTAGGTACTTGTGTACCTAATTCATTGTCACTCAGCCCTGTGGCGGGGAACGTCATCCACGTCGCAACTCACCTTGCCCCTCAGGCCGCCGAGATACTTTTAGAGGTACATATATACATAATATAGTGAGAGGTAGACAGACATGCGCATGAGCATATCTCTAACTCTCTAACTTCCGTCTTTAACTCTCCTGTTTTACCTTAGCTGTGCCTAATTAGGCAAACAATTTTTTATCCTCTTTTACTTCTACAAACCGATAAACTCCATTTTGCTATACTCTATCAATAATCATTCGTTAATTTATATCAACCTCCTATTTTTACTTATCTCTCCTATATCCACCCGATCAACATGTCGGCTCCAACTGATACGGTAAGTTGCCATGTGAACCCGTTGCCGAATTTAATGCAATGTCCCGCATTTTTATTATCAACGAGAACTTCATTCGTTAACATCGTACCTATTAATTACCTATAGAGCAAGGCTAATCCAGCGCCTGAATCCCCTACCACTGTACGTCCGTTCGAAATGGACGACGATGATATTCAAGACACGGGCATTCTTGGCGATGATAATGCCCATCAGACGACCGCGAACGCGACCTCGACTGCTGCCAACCCACCCACAGCCAGCGAAGAAACCGCACCGCCCAAGCCTCCTCGGCCAGTTACCGAGCAACAGAAGAATGAATTAATTCTCAAAGAGGCCTTTCCGAGTATTGAATTACCGGTCATTAAAGCCGTTTTGATCGCGAGTGGTGGTCAAATCGATCCTGCTTTTAATGCTCTGTTAGGTATGTATAATGCCGCCGAAGAACCGGTCCGATTTATTAATCATAAATGAAGCTATGAGCGATCCAGATGCTGTGCAGAACGAACCCCCGCGCGAGGCTGCCCCTCCGCCTCAACCTCCGCGACCTACTGGGGCTAGAAGTCCTATGTCGCAAATAGAAGCCGACGAGCTTTACGCCCGAGAGCTTACCCAATACTACGAAAATGTTGGTGCCTACGAAGCGAGGACGACAAATCAAGGTCCCGGTGGCCAATATCGCCGACAAGCGACAGGTCTAAAGCCCAACGAGATGTATGACCGAGACCACAGCTTTATCGATGATGACCTGCCTGTTATTAAGGAAAACCTCCGCAAAGGGTTCCTTGAGACCCAAACAAAGGTCAACTCCTGGTTTACCAACTTAAAGAAGAAGATCGATGGCGAATATGATGAGAATGAAGACGAGACGCAGCCCTCTAAGCATCAACGCCAAGGTTTCAATAGACGTAGCGGAGAAGGCTCGAGAAGAAGTGCCGACTACGATCGCTACGATGCTGATCCACAAGTTCTCAGCGACGACTTTGCAGGGATGAGGCTTCATCCGGATGGTAGTGAGTGATACCCGATTATACTAAGTATATAAAAGAAACGTAGCTAACACCAGCGTAGGGCCATCTCAAGAACGCCCATCAGGCAATCCAAACCTCTATAGACCACCGCCATCTACATCTCCTAAGCCTGAGAGTCGCAAGGTTGCCTTCAAAGAGGGAGTCGAAGACATTGACCAATATAATGCATCCCCAAGAATTCCGCCCAAAGACAGCAGCGCAACTCCCCCTCCTGGCAAGCAGAGCAAATGGCAACCTTTGTCTACAATTGAACCCAACCCGATTACAGATAATGATCCCTTTAGCCTCGGCGACAGTGAGGACGAGAAGGATGCGAAGGAAAAGAATGGCGGAGGGATCAAGATGGAAGATAGCGAAAGGCTTAAGCAAGCTACGGCAGATGCTATGGCTGATAGCTTAGTTGGGGGTTCTGGAAAGAAGACCAGTGGTAAGGATTAAATGAGACGAATTAGAATACGATTACTGCACATTTAGTGGTAGAGATAGGGTAATGTTAAAGTGACGCGGCTTGATTGTGCCGTACGCGGCTGGGCTGGGCTGTGCTATTCATTGGCCTTTTACATCTGCATTTCCGATTTGTTCAATCTTTCCATTCCGTGTGAAACCCGAAACCCGGTTCCCGAGTTGAATGCCTACCTTAGACAAGACGGCGATCGTACCAGACTACAAGGTAATAGTAACGACATACAAATAGCAAAGGTTTAACTGGCTAATTGTATAGCATATATTCGTATCCGTATTATACCCTAGCGTTAAAGCCATATGTCTCCGTTGGTTCTATGCAAGACAGGGTCATGCAACCCAGATTGTCCCGTCACTATCTTGGTACGGGAATATAGACAGCCCGTCAACTCTCCAACGGGTATCAATAAGTATCCGATACTACTATACCTATACTTCTTCCTATGTAGACTACGTAAATTTCGACACCGCCCCGCATTGACATGACTCCAGGAAAAGTGTATAGTACAATACATGGGAAGACCTTGCGGATGCCTAGGGATCCGAACATCTTATATAAATATGTGATTCGCCATTTATCGTATGGTAACTTCCCTCTTTTTTTTTAAGATAGACATAGTATTATATCTTATATAAGATATAAAAAATGTCGAGGTTACTAGAGTTGTTAGAGGTTGGGAAAGCCAACGCTGCGAAATATGCCATACTCGCAGCCGTCGTGGTACGTTCCGAATCGGTATGACTATACAGATATCTAATAATAGCTAATAAGATCATACGGCACAGCTAATCATATCCGAAATAACGATAATCGTCTATAATCTTTATTTTCACCCCCTCCGTGACTATCCCGGGCCGATATTATACAGAGCATCCCGATTACCATGGGCTCTCAAGTTTGCCAGCGGTTCTCAGGCCTTCTTCGTTCAGAAACTTCACGATGAATATGGACCTGTCGTTCGTATCGGGCCGAATCACCTTTCTTATACGGATCCGAAAGCATGGAAAGACATCTATGGTCATCGGATCGGCGGCGAAAGCAGCATGAATGAGATGTCGAAGGCGCATACTTTCTCTAAGACGATTCGCAACAGGCCCGATACAATCTTGACTCTGAATCGCGATGATCACTCCAAGTTTCGCCGTGCCCTTTCTCACGGTTTCTCTGATAGTGCGATGCGCGAGCAGGAACCAGCAATTGGGAAGTATATCGATCTTTTAATCAGGGTAAGTAACCTATAAAACACTGGAAGCTCTCTATATTATCTCAGGAGCTATTGTGTCCTCGAGACTAGGTACTCTACTCCTAAGGTAGAAAGCGAAAGGGCTGCATTATATACTTTCGTTGACAGTCTCTTATATTTTAACTGCCTCTTTAATTGAAGATAACTAACACATATCCAGAGGCTACACGAGGAATGTGATAACGGGAAGAAGAAACTGAACATTGAGGCTTGGTATAATTGGACTACCTTCGACGTAGTCGGTGATCTTGTTTTTGGGCAGTCATTCCACTGTCTTGAGAACGTCGACTACCACCCCTGGATCGAGACCATTTTCAAAAGTGTACACTTCGGCGCTATGATGATCGCTTTGACATATGTTGGCCTGGGTGAACTTGTGCAGATAATATTCAAGTTTGGGGTATCTTCTAAAAAGGCGCGCCAATACACCAGAGACATGCTAACTACACGACTCGCTATGAAAGGGGAGCGCGATGACCTCTTCGAGGGTGTCCTTAAGAAACGTGAAGAATGGGTATGGTCATCCTTCTTCTCATTGTGAGTTTATAATTTTAATGTTATAAGTGCTGACTCTATCTTCTCACTTAGAATCTCTCATTCGAAATGTTGTCTTCAAACGCATTCATCCTTGTGATAGCCGGATCTGAGACGACAGCAACTACCCTATCCGGCGCTACCGCTCTCTTACTCTCTCACCCAGATATCCTCGAGAAGCTTCAGCAGGAAGTCCGCTCGTCCTTCAAAAGCGCTGATGAAATCACAATCAATTCGGTCAACAAGCTGTACTACATGCTCGCCGTTCTAAATGAAGCACTACGACTTTACCCCCCAGTAACTTCTGGTCTAGTTAGGACAGTCCCCCCTGGCGGCGAACATGTTGCCGGTCGTTATGTTCCCGAAGGCGTAAGTAGTTGTCCTGAAATGCAGAATCGCTCATGAATTAGGTGTCGAAGACAAACTTACACTCGCACAGACATTCGTCGAGGTCCAGCAGTGGTCGATGAATCACAGCAAGGACAACTGGAAAGACCCTTGGGAGTTCCGGCCTGAGCGGTTCTTGGATACTCCAGAAGCAGCTGCAAAAGCAGGAAACAGGCTGGACTCATTACAGGCCTTCAGTATGGGGCCGAGGAACTGCATCGGACGCAAGTATGGCAGCCCCTGACTCCCGTGTCGATTACGTATATTGACTAACATCTTTTTTTTTTTCACAAAGTCTCGCATACACTGAAATGCGTCTAATCCTGGCCCGTATCATCTTCGAATTCGACATGAAGCTTTCGGAAGACAGCCAGCGGTGGATTGAGCGGCAGAATACGTTCTTCCTTTGGGATAGGTTAGTACACGTACCGATTTACATTTGTCCGAATTCAGAATTTCAATGAGAGCCATTGATCTCAGCCATAAATAAAACCATTACTAATGTTTCCTGGAATATAGGATTCCCCTGAACGTAACCCTCACACCAGTTAAACGGTAAATTCCATCATGCCACGTCTTACCTTATATATAAAGCCATAGAGAGAACATGCCCGGTTTGTAGGTTTCTAGAACTAAACAGACAAGTGCGTGTGTCACTTGGGTTATTTGTATGGAATGGTTATGATTGTGGATGGCCCGGAATTCACGCCTTTTACATTTACCACATCAAGCATCGCGGCAGTCAGCCGCCATTTCTTATGTAAATATCTATGTGTAAAGTATAGTCTTTTCATAAACATAGTCAACGAGTTTAAAACTCTTCTTACAACAACGACATTGTATTTCATGAAAGCTTTATAAATAAAACCGGGGTAATAAATAGTAAACCGTTTCTTCAGCCTTGACCGTCGTCCTTTTTATATAGGTAACCTACCTACCTACATAAGTTATTCAATTCCTTCTTCTACGAGCTCGTACATCCACCAACCGGAAACCGGCTGGAGTGTGTCTGGGCCCGTCTTGTCGCTAAGTTCAGTCCTCCCATTCATGAAATACGAGGATTCTAATTCGACTAGTTCCCCGCTGCTAGAGACGGCCATCCCGATAGAACCAGCCACCAATCTTGTTTCATGTATAACTCCATTATCATTTACCGTAACCGGGACCGAGGCAAACGCGTCCGGTATATCAGCCATATCGATGATATGAAACACGGTGCCGTCGAGATTACACCCGTGCGTGTCTGGCGTATACGACTCAAAAGGAACCAGCGGCGACGTGTACATGCACTCCCCGTTGACCTTCCAGAACGTAAACGCGGTGATCCATCCCGAGAAATACTCAACGCCCGAGCCGCCTTGTCGGTCTGCTATCCTGGACCAGAACGACTGCACCGCGGGACTAGTCGGCTCGTCAAACGAGCGGATGAAGTAGTCGAGCACCGCGGTCAAGAGCTTTGCGAACAGCGCGGGCTCCTTTCCCATCCGGGGTAGGTACTCCAGGCGCCGCCGGATTTTAACCCAGTCTTCTCTCTCGCCGAGGAGAGTCACGGAGGGTATCCCGCAAGTTAGAAGAAGGAAGTACTTGAAGTATTTCTGCAGGGCGCCCATCATTAGGACCGCGGCCGTCACCCTGTCGGTGTCGGTCGTCGTAGTAAAGTCGGGCATGATCCACGCCGTCAAGTCCGGGTCGACGACGTTCTTTTTGATCTCGTCCGTCATCCGGATGGCCAGCTCGCCAAAGTCCACGGTGGTGATGGTTCCCCTTTCGACGACTTGCAGCTTCTTCTGGCCCTCGTGCGCGACGAAGAACGGCCGCAGCTCCTCGGCGTGCGCGTTGATGTGCATGCTCAGCTGGGCGACGATGGAAAACCAGACATCCTCCGGCCGGATCTTCAGGTGGTGGTGGTTGCTGTAGGCTTGGTAGACGGCTCGGACGAAGCCGTTGGAAGACGGGAATACTTGTGCGTCGTCGGGGATTTGGATGGAGGACTGCACGAGTAGCTTGCAGCGGCTGTAGTCAGTTGGGCAAGAGCCTTTCAGAAGTTCTTTGGGGGTTTCTGCCGCGTCAGTCCTCCTCCAAGCTCGGGGGGGATGGGGGGCGGTTCGAAGTGTGATAGGCATTTTGAGATTGAGGTTCAGGGGTAGTTTGATATACCGTAAGCTATCGATTAGTAGGTAGGCATATAGTTACTTATATATATACCTATATAGGAAGAATATAATTTAGCTGCCTATCAGTGGGGTGATTGAATCTACGCCAATGCTACGCTACTGCCTGGCCGTGTATCTTTATTGGATAGGAGTACGCTGCTGTGCCTTGTGAGACGTAATCAGATCTTTTAATTTCAAGCATTTTCTAAGCTCTAGATTTAGAGCTATTTCCCGAACGACTAATATATATGGGAGCCCATGATTGGTTCCTTGGGACTTGTTAATACCCCCAGCCTTATCCTTCTAGACGATCTCGATTCTCGCTGGGGCTAGGTCGTATCAATATGTATGCCTATTAGGTGTTTTGTTGTAGACTCCTGTGACTCAGTCTATACTCTAGGTAGAAATATGGTTACTGGATTCTGTTTGAAGGGGGGGAGGGGGGTTGCCGTTGCTTTCTGGGAGAGCCTCGTTCTATTTTTTATTTGGGTCAAGAAGCTAGAGATTAGATGCCTAAGATAATTATTGCTTTGCTAATTTTTTGTATTATCTATTGGATAACTGCTATTAGCCGTCGCAAGTGAGGCTTTTACCTAGATACATTCGTAATATGTCCTGAACTGGTTGCCTGAACTAGTTGTGGGGAAACTCCCCCTTTCTATTTTTCGCCCCTTGCAACGAAGCATCGCGATGTTGTCAACGTAGTGTTCAACGCCGGCTCCACGGCCTCGAAATTCTTTCGATAGATACCATATATCCAGTATCTGACCTAGTCATGAGGTCCTCTACATACCTGAGAGTGCAGCGTATAAGAAGCCCTTCGTGGTGCCCCTGGAGTATATCGGAGGGTAATTGCCGAGTTGCTTGTTGCTATGAGTATTTCCTATCCCTCCTTATGAAAGGTATCTATAGAGGATGAATGGAAGCTAATTCTCATAATCTCACGGATGGAGGATATAGCATAAAATATAGGTAAAGGTAATATATCAGCCTGCCGCTAGAAATACGTATTTGCATGTCGTAAACCTGATAAATTACCTAGGTATTCATGACAGTTAAAATCGATGTTAATATTCAAGGTAAAATGCATCTGCTGTAAGGAAAGTAATTTAATATATAATATTCGTAAAATAGAACGAAAATAACATAATAAAAATGCACGGCATGGGAAAAGGGAGGCAGGAAAAGAAAATAAGGCCGAAAATAAAGTACAAAAAGTGAAAAAAGAATTGCAAAAAAAGCTCGGCCTGTGTGTTGAACATAGAACCTACGAAAAACTACTTTGTAAATGTCGTACTGTCAAGTCACGGGCATACCGGTCCAGCATATGACACCACGGTGCAGTTTTCTCTAGCCTCCAGTCACCCAGGGATACTTCCTTTTTACGGGGTCGGCTGAACGTTTGCAGTTTATTTAGATATATATGTCTTGTTGCCTGGGTCGGTACTTTGCCGGATATACCTCGTTGCCCTTGGTGAGGGGCCTTGCAGGTGTTGCTGCATATCTTCAGGTGCCAGGTGTCAGATGGGGTGCCAAAGTTGCGAATAGCCTCTGGGGCAGTAGCATGCAGTGGCTTAATAGGTACCTACCTACCTAAAGTACCTTAATGCCTGGGCCAACAAGCCCCCTTTCGACACTCTACATTGCAGAGTTTGCCGATTTGCGTCTTCTGGTCCCTACCCCTTTAATCATATTGGAATAGATGCGATGCCGTTTAGTAAGATATTGCTAACCTGCGTTTATTGCCTTGGTTTTATTATTATGCCTACCTAGCGAACTACTGTAGATTTAGAATTACTTGATGTTATCAAATATTTACTTATTAATATCCTAAGCCATAATATCTCTAACTGGCCCTATCCCGAATAGATAGATAATTTAAGAGGTTTCTATGAACTTTAAGCTCGTAGCAATTTGCCCGTTAAAAGACGTGCATGTTAGAGATATATGCTATGGCTGTTAGCTCGCCTTGCAAGGCTGACAAGATAACAGTTGTGATTTCTTCTCTTTGATTTATGAATTCTAATGCATAAAATTACGCCCGCCCATTCTACGTAGCTAGGCATAAATCATGAGGCTTAAAGAACTATATATTTTGCCACCTTCTACTTTAGTTCTAATGGTATTTGACTGTGCTTATAGATGAGTTGTACCTTTGCCCTTGAGTGTAGTAGGTTGAAATGAAGGTAATTATACCCCATTGTAGTTAATATAAAGACCCGGGCAAGTTGAGATTGTATACTTAAGAATGTAGGTTGAAACTCGGAAGAGTAATACTGTATTAACTGTTTGAGAAATTTACCTACTGAGATTTTTCGAACTTTGCGGGCATTAAGTCACTCCCTGAAAACTTCAATATAATCAAATCATATATTTATTAAAGTGTTAAATTTGGTCATATTTACTCTGAATTAATATAATCATCAGCTCGCTGTAATTCTATAGTAGGAGGAATAACGCTAGTGTTGTATTTATTTAAAGAAGTTGACGTTGATATCTTCTAGGGACATAGATGTTAGATATTCACTTGAAAAAGGCATCGAGTATTGATGTAATAGTTGACGACAATTTCGCGGTTAATATCGACCAGTTCCAAGAATATCTCATGAAGATTGAGCTCATATTTACACCTATGAAGATGATATATTTGAAAAGGGGTGTAAAGTAAGGAATGTGATATTCCGGCAATAAATAAAGGATGACGTATAAGTCGGAGACCCGACAAGGTCTGGTGATAAAACGGACGGAGAGGACAGCGGAGCACCGGGACCTGCCGATCTCACCCGGGGCTCGGAGACAAACCCCGGCTCTGCTCACTCAGCCTCGTGCATGAGATGTCGAGGGCCACGAGGTGAAGATAAGAGATCTTATTGGTTAAAAATGTTAATGGGAAAGAGGAGAAGAAAAAAAAAAGTAGTTGCGATGTAAAGTGGATCGATCGCCCATTGTGGGGCTGAGCTGCAGCCCGTTCCCGAAAAACTGAAATCCAAGGTATCCGGTACTCTGTACGTGTGCCAGGATTCGCTCGGGAGATATAAATCCGCCACGACTATAGGATCGTGAAGAAGTTCGTTTAAACGTGATGTGTCCCGGCTTTCCTTTTCAAGTTTTAAATCATGTGGCAAGTAATTTTTTTTGTCTCGCTGATATCTATTATTATATAGACATTTTAGTACCTAGCTTAGTTTATTTAGGTAGTGAAGTACCTATCTCAAGTATGAGGTACAATGAAGTTGCTTCTCCGGGTGCTAGTGCCCCACTAGAATAGATGAGTGGAAAGTTGTGTCCCCTCCGACTTCCCTCTAAAACATACTAAACCTACTAAACCTACTAAATATACTAAACATACTAAACATATTACTACTAAAATACTCTGCCGCTAAAATACTACGTTCAAAAAATAAGACCCCTCTAAAAGCTTGTCTGTTATCAATCTAGAAGCTTACATCAAAGACCATTCGACGGGGCTCAACAAGCTCATTACGTATAAGATACAGAACCCGCTAAGCTCAAAACAATGACTTCAGACTCTCGATCCACATTCGGATGACCCGTACGAACGATATCATATGTCTGTACGTGAATGTAGCCCGAATAGTCTACATAGTCTGCAAGGTTACAAGGTTGTTTGGTTGTTTGGTTGTTAGGGTTGTTAGGTATCTGGGAACTAAGAAAGCGTTAACACTAGCTTCTCGGCGCTCAAGAATCCAAAGGCTATCGAGAATTAATAGTACCGAGTACCGTACGGATTTGACGTCGTGAAGTTATTCGACTGGTGAGAAATTCTCCATTTTTTCTGTAAGGTACCTTTCTCCTACCGTTTCCTACCTTACTTCCTACCCCTCCACGGGAGTCACCACATCGCCATATTAAAGTCTGGGGCATGTCCTCATAACAACTCTCCTGTGTTACATCCGTCTTTGTTGAACCTATTAGAATCTATTAGAGCCTATCAGGTCCTTCGTTTTTCCTGTTACCTGCTACATATACAAGCTCCAAGCCCTCTCATCGGGTTCACCAGCCGCTTCATGCAGAGAACAACCACTACATTTCACCCCGTCTGACCCCCACATCTCTGTCTAGTAGCAGTCATTGGATCTAATACCCAATATCTCGGCCTGCATACAAGCCGTCTTACCAAACGCCTCGAACTACCTGAAGCTCTGACTCTAGTGCCGAGTTGCTGTTGTACGACCGACCAGATCGTCGTGAGCGTGACCTCCCCCCCCATCAGTAACTTACTGGACCTTGGATCGTGTGAATTCAGATCCGTCAGGAAGGGATAGTACAGCACACCGGCTATATTTATTAGGTCTGAGGCCCTCATTATCATTACGTCAATCTAGCCTAACCCTAGGCTCTTCTATGCAACATTCCGAAGTAGTGGCTGATACCTAGAAGCTGCAGGTTGGGCGGGAATCCTACCCATGAGCTCACGCCCTACTAGAACGCGCCCCTCTCCTTGAGTTGCCACATGCCTGGAGCTTTAGTCCGTCTGGTGTTACTTTATCCCTGACTATTAACTTCGTTCTTCCGTTTGTCTCTCTTAGCCCCCCTGATATCCCTAGGGCCGATAATTATATGACTCGGGAGATACGTCTTTGAAATCCCTAGCTTCTTATATCTACGTCAACCCTACTGTGCCGCCAATCTACGCCTCTGCCTTAGCTCCCCTGACACAACCGCTCCCCTGCATTTGGTTACACGCGGGAAATAGTTGATCAAGTCATCTTTACTGAAACACGCTTTTACTGGCAGCCTTGAGGCATCTATCCAAGTAAACAGCCTTCGCAGGCTGGTTGCAGGCGCCTCTGCCGCACCATGTAAGTTTTACTCGTTTGTTGCGGATTACCTTATCATCCCTTTACCTACTGCGCTAGAATATCTCTTTCCTGCGTCGGCAGGGGTTACTAATGCCTGTACAGGAAGTTCGGTAAGCAAATCCAGAAGCGTCAGCTTGAAGTGCCAGAATATGCTGCTAGCTTTGTGAATTACAAGGCGCTCAAAAAGGTATGTTAACCTGCCTGTGTTAACCTTTTGCTCTACCTTGCATATTCTAGTCAATGGTGTATCTTCTTCCCGGACTTTAAGAGGTCTAGGTCCATGTCGATCAGGAAACAGCATAGTTCCTATTTGTACCATCTTATATGAAACTTATGTAGCTCGGAAAGTGGGATTGTTTCACTGACATCAGCCAATAGCTCATCAAGAAGCTCTCTGCTACCCCGACGCTGAGCGCCCAAAATGACCCTCGCTTCACTCCCACGCCGGTGGACACCCAAGTTGCCTTGCAGGCAAACAAAGCAAAGTTCTTTTTTCAACTGGTAAACTCTAATATCCCATGGAGAAATACTACTCGTGGGCGGCGCTCATATCTTATAGGAACGAGAGCTCGAGAAGGTCAATGCATTTTACCTTCAGAAGGAGGCTGAAGTAAGTATAGCTTCTGTTACCCCATATTCTACGCCTGGGCCCCTTATTGACACCAACTAAGCTGAAAATCCGGCTTAAAACGTTGCTGGATAAGAAGAGGGTTCTGCAGTCTCGCCAGGGCGTATCTAGACGGTCGGCCAAATTCACGACGTTGGAAGAAGGATTCCAACAATTTGCAAACGATCTGAATAAGCTTCAGCAGTTTGTCGAAATCAATGGGACTGCCTTCTCGAAGATCCTTAAAAAATGGGATAAGACCTCCAAGTCTAAGACGAAGGAACTATATCTCTCCCGCGCTGTAGAGGTGCAGCCGTTCTTCAATGCCCCGGTTATTAGCGAACTCTCAGACCAAGCAACAACTAGCTTACAAGAGCTTGGGGCGTGGTCAGATGGGGACCATGTCTCGTTTGAAGCTCGGTCGGAACACATGGTGAGTAGCCAACATCTCCTCGGAACGGATGAAGGCGACGCAGATAGCCTGCTACTCGATACAGCAATTAGTGGCAACCTAGAGTCTCTAAGAGACTTGGTATCAAGAATGAGAGCTGGTTCCAGTTCTCCATCGGGGAAGGATATCTCCCTGATGGAAAGAGTAACCCGTACCTTTCTCGCTGCTATTCACGAGGCGCCACAGGCTTCTCTTGAAGTTCTATTGGAGACTGGGCTCGTCGACGTTCGATCCGAAGATGACATCAACGAGCGAAACTGCCTCCACCAGGCCACCATCTACGGGAATTCGTTTGTCTTAGACGTCGGTCTCGCAGGAGGGGTTGAGGTTAGCAGAACTGACGTCTATGGACGTGTACCGCTTCATTATGCAAGCATGCATGGGCGGTTGGACATGCTTGAGCAGCTTCTTCGAGGTAAGGAACAGTTTAAATACTTGACTGAATCATGTTGTGCTGAACCTGGTGCGTAGCCGATCCGACGACAATCGACCTTATAGACCACGACAATTTTACTCCGTTAATCCACGCTATCATCCATGGCCACCTTACATGCGTGCACCGGCTTCTCGAAACCTCTTCCCGTCTAGATCCTAAGTCGGAGACGGACCATATACCACTCAATCTCGCCTGCGAGCATGGCTCACTCAATATAGTCGAGCTCCTCCTGGAGCATGGTGCCCAAATACTTCCCGATGCCGAAGGCTTGTACCCGCAACATCTCGTAGCTCGGTCGGGCCAGACGCCTCGATTACTCCGATTGCTGCAGAACTATGGTGCCGACTTGGATCAAGTCGATAAGCTCTACGGCTGGACCCCGCTGGTACATGCGGCGAGCGAAGGGAATGTGCCTTGCTTAGAGGAGCTTTTGAATGTAGGCGTTGATCCAAATATCGTCGACGAGAAGGACTTGCCTGCAATGTACTATGCAGCCTGGGAAGGTCATCTGGAATGCATACAGAAGCTTACACCGTACCAAAGGGGCAAAGCAGAGAGTCCCCTGATGATGCAAACGACCGGTTCTCTTCTTGCCCCTATGGGGAGTGGAAATAGTCCTATCCCTATGTCGCTCGATGTCGACGCTATTCCTATCCTTGAACTTCCGCCACCTATAATACCTCTGAGACGCTACGGTCATAACTTCCTCGACACCAAGGCTGTGATTCAAATCAGCTTCCAGGAAGAAGGAGACCAGCCATTAGTGTTCTTCCACGACAGCAAATACCCAGCCGCGCGACTAACCATCTCTTCCAAAGCATCAGACCTCATTCCTAAGAATATCATATTACCTTTTCAAGAAGATACCCGACTCGTATCTTTCCAGGTCGACAATCTTGACACTTTCACCCTTGATTTTGACGTCTTTCCTACTTACGGCGCGAAAGTAATTGCAAAGACGGTTGCTCTCCCAAATACGTTTCGAGCTTCCTGGAGCAGCTCGGGGAAATGCTGCCTCCCGTTGTTTGACCCCAGGCTCCGGGCTATTGGCCAGATCATATTCAATACCCAAGTAATCAAGCCCTTCCAAGGCACTCCGTTGGAGATAACAGATTTCGAGACGTATTGGAAGGCTACGAGTCAGCTGGACAAAAACCCAAACATGTTTGTCACCGGTTCGAGCTTGTCTGGCGACTTTGTTCAGCTATACGTTCAACATACTAGCGATGGTATCCCTGTTGTATGGCCGCAGTGGATGATACAATGCGGCGGCATCGACGTATCAATCTCACGGTTATCATACGAGCAATTCTCTACGGTTACAGCCTCTAATTTTGGTCGAACTCAACTTCATCTAATACCCTCGCACGGCCTTAATAACATTGCCGAGGTTCATCGAGCTCTCAACACGGCAGGAGTTTCCTTGGAGCAAGCCCTCTCCCTGCTCCCTAATTCGATGCATGTCAACCTGCAGATTATCTACCCGTCAGAAGAGGAAGAGAGAAGACTCGGATTAGGGCCGACTGTGAACGTAAACAGCTTTGTGGATTCCATACTAACCATGGTTTTTGACCACGCGAGAGAACAACGAGCGCAAACGATGTCGGCTCCTGATACAGTTAGGTCGGTGGTGTTCAGCTCTTATAACCCGACGATTTGTACAACGTTGAACTGGAAGCAACCCAACTTTCCCGTTTTCCTATGCAACGACCTCGGCCGGGAAGACGTTATGCTTTCGCCGAGCATGATCCAGAGTAGCGGACGAAGGACGTTTTCAGTTAAGGAGACGGTGAGAATAGCACAGGGTAACAACTTTATGGGGCTCGTTTGCTGTTCCCGACTGCTGGTGAGTTGTCTTAAAGCGAAGCTGGCTGTGCATATGGTATACTGATATATAATCCGAACTAGAACATGGTCCCCGCGCTCGTGGATGCGATAAAGTCGCATGGATTGGCGTTGGTCGTAGACAAATCAGCCGAAGAGGCCACAGAGCCACACACGCATGCGGATGCATTCCCGGTTCCTAAGGGTGTTGATGGTATACTGAAAGGTAATGGGGTCTTAAGATTTAACGAGTCTATAGATGTATAGACAAAAAGCTGCGATTTAGAGTACATGTTGGGTTTTTATAAGGATGGGCTGCAGAGCTTGGCCTATGCCAAAACTAGGTCCTTAACACCGGCTTTGATGACTCGCGTGAGAACTTAAAAAAAGAAAAGAAAAACATAAAAAAATATATTTGCCTTATAACTTTGCTTTTATGATTTGATATAGTGATGTATTTATTAATGTGCAGATAATGCAGTAACGCCTCAATAGTATTCACGTATTAATTAAGCCCCCTTGTAATCGTACCGCAGCGCACTTAGATCCCTCTCCGGGTCCACGCCGCCCATGACTATTTTGGCGATTACCACGACCCCGTACACGACGGCGGGTAAGTTGCTCAGTCCGACGTGGCCCCATTTCTGCTGCGGCCCCTCCGCAGAGGCATCTGGTTTCGATACGAGCCCGGCGAGGACTAGGACCGCGCAAAGACCCACGTTTAGATACGGTAGGTACGCGGCTAGCGGGGAGCTGCGACGCCGTTCGCCCCGGAAAGGCGTGTTGACGGCGTTGTTGTATCGTTCGGGCTGGTTTTGGTTTCTCTTGCTCTTATCGCTTTCTTTCCTATTCCTACCATCATACCCACCATCACCATCACCACCGCTGGTACTGGTGTTGCTGGCCCAACTGTCGACCTCGCGGATCCCGGTGGTCCCGGGCGGTAGGGCCCATAGGGTCCAGGCTGTGGCTGCGAGACTGGTTAGGCTGAGGAGGGCGCGTATGCGGTTGTTGTTGTTGTTGCTGTTGTTGTTGCTGTGGGGTTGAAGTTGGAGTTGGGTTAGGGCGAGGAGGTATGGTATTGCGGATACGAGGGGTAGAGCGAGGAGGAAGAGGCGGAATTGAGCGTTGCGAGCGTCGTTTTGGTGGGTGAGGGATTGGATTAGGGCTTCTTGTTCTTGCTCGTCGAGGGCGGTGGGAGAGGAATCGGAGTCGGAGTCGGAGTCGGAGTTGGAGGTGTGGGTGAAGGGGCGGCGGGGGCGGAGGGATTGCATGGCTGGATGGATGTGGGTGGTGAGGCTTCTTTGGTGGTGGGTTGGTAACTAGGTATTTTTGTTGGTTGATTGTGGTAGTCTAGGTACCTATATTGGGATGTTCATCTCGAGGTTGTGATTTATGATTTATGGTTTATGATTTATGCGTTCTTGGGATCAGGCTGATGTTTTAGGTAGGTAGGTAGGTAGGTAGGTACCTAGGTTAAGCTATGGCATATGAAAGAGACATGCAGTCGTGAGGCTTGGCTTGTAATGCGCAAAGGTCAAACTTTAGGATGGGTTGGGAAAGTTAGAAGTGACGTAAGGCGGTAGGGTTAAGCTGCAGCTGATAGTCTGCTGCTTAAATCTAATCTAATCTAATCTACGAAGTAATGCCGAAGGTATTTATGGCTTGTGCACTTAATTGTGGCTTGGCTAATGCCCCTTAAAAAGCGACGAAGGTCTATACTACCTATTGGATGTATGGGTATAGGTATTTGTATATCTTAAACACCTTAATAGTACTTATCTATTACGATGGACATCGTCGTATAAACCTAACACTTATAACTAACCTGAATCCTAAGTACTATAAATGCTAAGATGTCAGATCCCAGTGTAAACATCTGACGTACTTAACTTAAGCAGTAGAAAAGGGGGAGTAAGGGGTCATCGTTGTTTCGCATGAGACTTGAGATCAAAATCCTCTCAATACTGATACGGAGTTGCCATTCATTTTAATACAATATGATACAAAATATCTACGTCGTCGGGAACGACTTAAAGTTCCCATTATTATCATATTTCGCCTCTGCGCACATCGTCATTAGCTCGACACTACACGAAACCATAGATAGATAGATAGATAGATATAGGGGTAGGAGTAGAAGCAGGAGTAGGAGTAGGAATAACGCACTGAAAAACGTATAATTCAGCGTAACCTCGTTGATCCCGCGCATATTTAAATCATTCAGCATATCCGGGTCCAGGTAGAAGAAGACGGGCATATCAACCGTCTCCCCCGCGTTCAGCCGCTGCTCCTCGAAGCAGAAGCACTGGATCTTGCTGAAGTACGGCGCGACCTGCGCGGGCGTGACGCTGTACGTCGCCACGCCGATGATATCGCTGTCGCTGCGGTTCGTCGCCGTGTAGAACGCCAGCGCCGTCTCTCCGGGTAATACGCGCACCTCCCGCTGCTGGGGCACGAATTTCCACGGCAGGACGTCGGATACCGACGCGTTGAACGTGACTCGGATGCGCCGCGCGTCCGTTACGGGGATCAGTCGCGATGCCGGGTCGAAGTCTGCGTCGTCGCTCGAGGGGCCGTGACCGGGCGCGCGGATGGGCTGGCCGCCCCAGCCGGTTGTCTGGCAGATCTGTTTCTCGTAGTTAGCCTCTCGTCGTTTATATATCGTATACATATGTATATATAAAAGGAAACCACTCCAACCTACCATCTTATACATCGGCACGGAGCCATACGAAAACGCAACGGTACCGAGTATGATGCTAAGCGTATAATACCTATAACACCACTAAGCCTCGTCTTCCCTCTCACATCCACTCGCCCGCAAGAGCAATTGGGATTAGGTTAGGTAGGTAGATGGGTATATACATAGTCGTGCGATTCTTAAATCTGTAATACTCGCGCACGCGTTCCATCGACGGCATTCCGGCGCCGGGGGTAGTAGGAGTAATCTGCTGTTTCTTCGCGGAGGAATTCGCTACGTTCCGGCGAGGAGACGGTCGGATAAGAGCACGGCGGCACGATGCGCATGCCCATTGCGAAGTTGACGATAACGTGCTAGCTCGAAGCGCCCGCCATGAGGTCTGAGAGAGGGCGTTCATTCTGGTTGTTGGAAGAGTTGACAAGCAAAGCTCTTAGAGAAATCATATCATCGTATCATGTTGTGGGGTCGACGACTGGTCGACGTCAAAACGCTGTACTGCTAGGAATTTTAGGTGGGTCCCGTAAGCTTTATGTACAGGGTCTCCTTAGTGGGTTACTCGCTGTAACTCTGAGCTGACAGGGTGTGCATACTTTTGAAGAAAAACATGTGATCCGTCTAATAAGTCAACTCAGGTACTAAGAGGGCAATAACTTACACATGGCTATAATCTTTATAATTGTATAGTTAATTTACAATAACCATCTTGTTCAAAAGTCTACCTAATCTATACCAATTTCCTATTTACCAATCTAATTATCGATGCCTTTGCCGTTCCATTTCCTATACCGTTTACTTGTGTTGATACCTTCTTCTTAGTCCTGCCGAATACCCTCTCCAACACATTTATAATAAATACCTGAATTAGCAGGATTATAACTCTTACAAACAAGTCTACTATACCTAACCTAGGTTGCTTTCCACGACTGTTGGTTGAGTCTATAAACTGGAAAGGCAGTCTGGCTCCGAGATGAGCCTGAGCTACGTACAGCCCGCTACTGAACCCGTCTTCGTGGAACCCGTACTTAGTCCATGCGCCGGCGTAGCTGATCCCTCTAGTATTTTGTATTATCGGTAAGGCTTGCTGCGCTCGGATCGCTGCAGGATTAAACAGCGGGTGTGAGTATGAATACCGCCCTTGTACCGTCTCAGGCTTCGGTTCCTGGATGGGATTTAACGTCACCAGGACATCGCCAAAAGGTTCCCTCGGAATATGTTGTAGTATATTCATGTTATAAGTCAATGATACTTGATCAATGTCCTTATTCGTCCAAGGTGATGACATGGCGAGATAATTCCAAGCGGACCAGGAATTCTGGCGCCTCGGCATGTGAGAAAGATCTGAGTGGAGAACGCAGGTATTGTCCGAGGTTTCAAACGAGGACATGATGGCCCGCTCCTTTGCAGTTGCCGAAGGCTTGATGATCTGGTATGCTTGGTCCCCATGTGTCGCTAATATGACATGATCGTATACTTCCGTCTTGCCATTTTCTAAATGTATCTTCACACGCCCGTCTTTATCGTTGCTAAGATGCTTGACTGTAGTTTTGAGAAATAGATGGTTTGGTGGGAACCCTCTCATCACGGCGTTAACGTACGACTTAGCGCCATTCTCTAGTGTAAGCCAATCTGGTCTCCTTGCAAATGTACTTAGAAGATGATGATTCCACCTTGTTGAAAATTAGTCTTCATTCCCTAGTCACTTTTATTCATTCAACTTACATAAAACGTATGAGCGTCGCAGCCGGAAACTCCAAGGTGCACTTATCTGGACTCGTACTCCATACAGCTGCCGTCATAGGGATTAAGTAGTCATTGCGAAAAGCTTCAGAGTACCCTTCTCTATCCAAGTACTGCCCAATAGTCTCCATAGGCGCAGCCGAGGTTTCGGTATTTTGATAGACGTCATTATCGTCATTCTCTAACAAATCGAGCGCAAATTTATTAAAACGGATGATATCAAAAATGAGCCTCCACATCCGTAGGGAAAAGAGGTTCTTCCTCTGACAGAATATGGAATCTAAACTCGACCCTGCCCACTCAAATTTCCCACGATCCCTTGAAACGCCAAAGGTCATCTGAGTAGGTACGGTCTTGACCTTAACATAGTTAAGGAAGTTGATGAAATTTGCTGTGAATGATTAGTATATCTGCCTATTCAGAGATTCGTTGTTTACTAACGGTATGTTGCTTCGTTGAGGACGATGAAACCTGTGTCGACTAAGGTGCTGAATTTGCCCTTCTTCCATTCTACCGTATTGGTATGACCACCAAGGCGATCAGCCGCTTCGTAGAGATAGACATCATGATGCGTACGATTCAAAGCCCACAGAGCACCAATACCAGCAGAGCCGCTGCCAACGATGGCAACCTTTTTTCTGGGCACCCAGTTAGCCGGCGATGTCATCGATTTCTATATGATAAAAGAGTACGAAAGCTGAGGGTGCTGTAATAGTTTGGGCACCAAAAGATTCATAGAAGGATGAATATATGAAAGAAGCAAAATTCAAAGTCGAAGCATGTGATAGAGCATTAGGAAATATGGACTCCGAGGAATAGAAGGAAGCTAACTATGCGGGTAGGACTCCGTAGGCAGCCATACAGAGTGGTCCAAGTTTCGATAGTCATACCAGATCGGCAAAGTCGTGGTTGCAACTTGCAAAACAAGAAAACGGGATTGAAATGATTGGAATGGAAAGTGTTGAAGGAAGTTATGTTATGTATGTACTAAATAGAATTAATATAGAAGCGGGAACTTGTAATTCCACATTAGAATGTACTTTCCACACTTTCCATACTTTCCACTTTCCACATGCAACTTACATTCCCATATTGTCAAGAGCGAATAGAGTAAGTAAGGCGCGCTAAGACTATTCAGGAGTTCATAAATAGCTAAATATGTAATTTAGTCGACCGTTGTTCGTTGTTGCCGAGATGAACGTATGAGAAAAATAGGAGAAGCCCCAATTCTTATTTTATTTCTTATCTTATTTCATCTCATATCACGAAGTTACCTCTTGAAACCATTTTGAGGTTGATAAACAAGGGTTTTAACCACTACTATATATATACCTAATTTTGTGAGACAACTCCGAACGCATTGACTCAAATACGACTCTACACAACCATGTATGTACAGTGTCGGATAACTTATTTAGTTTCCGAAACATGGCATCATTGAAAATGACCGATCTAATGCGGTATTGAGACGGTATCGAGGCTAGATCACCGAATATTATAACAGTCGCATCAATAAGAGACAAGTCATCATATATATCACTGAGGTTTATAGATTATTCAAACTTCATCTTCAGTCTAAAACCAGACCAGACACTTCAACATATAAAACCGTAACGTGGGTGAGACGCACAAAAAAAAACATATGCCGTCCGATCAAAAAAATGTCGAGGCTCAACGGGATCGAGTACTCAGAGGCGGCAGTCCGAAGACAATCCGTCTAATGCCCAATTCTTTAAAGCTCCATGTTTAGTCTGCCCGGCTAATACAACTCTACGTCCGTCGTAAAAATAGGACGCAGAGCCTGATATATTTCTGCTTTTCCGGGGGTTCAACTTTCATGGAGAAGAAAAGAAAAGGAAAAAGAGGAAAAAGCAAGGGACGCCTGAAAATGATTAAAATAGTTCCAATTCTTCCAAAGATGGTGAATCTCCACTTCTTGTGGCTAGATGGCTGAGTATATACGGAATAATGTGGCTGAATATGCAAAGTGAAACCCACTTGGATCCACATGGTCTGGACCGCATTGACGGGAAGTTGTAAGAAGCCGTTCCTGGGCTGCTGGGTTACGCAACCGACCCAGTCTCTCCTGCAACCTTCATATGTAATTTATTAGTTATTTCATATCTTAGATACTATCTACAGTTACTATCTACAGTCAGCCAACCACGTCAACCATCCGAGTCTAGTAAGCAGACGTATACATTTATCCTAATTCCAATACTACGATATCTGAGCAGCCTACATCCCTCGTCGAACCACCGTTCTCTCTCTCCGTGAGAGCCGCCTCCTAACGACCGACGCAATTAATCACCAAACTACAACCATCATGGCCAACCCGCTCGACACCGACGCCGGCTCCGAGCTGTTCAGCAGCTACGAAGCCGAATTCAAACTGGTCCAAGCCGACCTAACCCAAAAGCTCGACCAGATCCCCGAACTAAACGGCGAGCCGCGCAAAGCCGCCATCGCCGCCGCCGAGCGTGCCCTCGAAGAAGCCGACGAACTAGTAATAATCCACCATCTCCTCATCCCGTCATACCTCTCTCTCTTTCTCTTTCTCTCTCTCTATCTCTACGTACAAGCAACATCCCCCCCACTAACCTAGCCACTCATCCCTCCAGCTCGGACAAATGCGTCTCGAAAAGCAAAACATCCCCTCGTCGACGCGGCCCAAGATAAACCAACGCTTCCGCAACCTGGAGACGGACGTGGACGGGTACAAGCGCAAGCTGCGCACGCTGTCGGACGACCGCGCCGCCCTCTTCGGCTCCCGCTACACGGACAACCCCAACCACCCCAGCAGCCCCTCGGACCTGCAGCTCGAGCAGCGCCAGCAGCTGCTCAGCGGCACCGACCGCCTCGACCGCAGCTCCCAGCGCCTGCGCGCCAGCCAGGCCCTCGCCCACGACACCGAGCAGATCGGCGCCGGCACCCTCGCCGACCTGCACCAGCAGCGCGAGCGCATCGCGCACACCTCCCAGATCCTGTACGAGAGCGAGGGCTATGTCGATCGCAGCGTTAAGACGCTGAGGGGTATGGCTCGTAGGTAATTACGTTTTGCCCTTCCCCCCCTTTATTTTTATTTTTATTATTTTTTTATTTTCCTTTTTGTACGTGTAGAGAGAGATGGATAAAAGGAGAGCACTTGTTTATAGCAATGGGGAGTATCGCTGTGCTAGAGGATATATACATCTAAGAGAGAGATAAGGCTAACGAAGAAAATTACCCCAGGATGGCTACGAATCGGGTAATCACCATTGCTATCATCGCCGTCCTCGTGATCCTCATCTTCGCTGTGATCTACAGCAAGTTCAGGTGAAGAAGAAGAAGAAGAAGAACAAGGGAAGAGTATTCTATCAGTCTAACGGCATAGCCGGTTAGGAGAGCCAGTCAGTGATAGAAATACCATGTGTAAAAACAAGATACATACCTAGGTATCAATCCTACCCGCGAACGCGCAAGCAGTCTCGAGCAAGGAAGAAAGAAAGAGTAGCAACCAACACGGCGTCTGGAGCGTAAACAGGGAGGGAGGAAGGGAGGGCCCTTACGGAACATCGGATCAATTCTCACAGTCGTTTTTTCTCGTACATATTCGTTGTCGTTGTCGTTGCTACTATTATTGTCATGATATCGAATTTTTGATGAGAGTTTTTTATTTATTTAACAAGACTTGGTTTGGTGTCTGTTGTTGTTGTTATTGTTACTAAAGTAGCTAGGTATCTTAGGAGGTATCTAGGTTAGCTTAATTATGTACCAAGGACGATGGATGATGACGATGATGATGTATTACCGTCGTCCTGTTTAATTATTTAGTCCTGCAAGATGAAATATGGAACGAAATAAAATATATTTTCCCTAATCCGTGCAAACAAACCCTATTTACGCCGTAACCCGTTCAGAGGACTGACCAGTTAGTTAGTTAGTGAATAAACATGGGACTCGTAGACATATAACCTAAGATATCTACATAGAACAGCAGCAGGTAGACAAGCAAGCGCTGCAAGCGGGTATCAAACTTGGTTTGGAATCTGCTATAGGCCGTTTATCTCCTACCAGGAGACTTGGGCTTTCCAACCTTGCCCGCGAACGCCGGGCCATGCCTCTTCTCCTGTCCGAGACCCCGTCTACCAGCCGCAATACCACCCCTCCCACTCCTGCCGCCGCCGCCACGCATTCCACCACCACCGCGTGTAGGCCGGCCGCCCCGGAAACCAGCACCTCCCCCGTCTCCTCTACCGCCGCCTCTGCCGCCCCTGCCACCTCTACCACCACCGCGGCTGATCTGCGTCTTGATAGTTGACACGTCCTTCTCATCGACATCCATCTCGTCGTCATCATCATCTTTGCCTCGTTTATTCGAGAACTTCAGCTTTCCTCCTCGACCTCTACGTCCAACATCCTTGCTCTTCAGCGCGGCGACGTATGCTCCGACGCCGGACTCCTCGGCACCATGTTTGGGGGTGTCGATGACCATGGCATCGTCACCGCCGTCCTCTTCGCCGAAGATCAGCTTACCGTCTAGGTCGGTCTTCGCTTTGGTCCTGCCAGCCTTGCGCAGCTTGCTAGGTTTCGTAGATGAGATGCTAGCGAGCGCCTTGCGATCCAGGAGATCCAGGGGCTCATCCTCATCTTCCATAATATATGTGGAGCCGCCCTTCTGTGCCTTGCGTGGTTTTCCGAGGACTTCGGCGTCGGAGTCGTCGGAAGCGTCTGACTCTTCGCTGCTATACAGCGCTTCGTCATACTCGCTTTCGAATCGGTTTCGTCGCTTCCCATTCTGCTGGTTGTCATCTTCATCGTCACCTTCTTCCTTAGCGGCGTCCTTCCGTCTCTTGCTGCGTTCCTTAGTCTTCCGGATGTTGGCTATCAACTTGCGATCCGCTTCGGGGCAGTTTCGGTTGACGGCATCGAAGCCAAAACGGCGGACCATTCGTTCAACGATATGCTTGACCTTCGCTCTAAAGTGACCCTTGTGCTCGTGAGCCCAGACCATCAAGTTTGGAACCATAGTCGGTAGACGTGGGGCCATCATCTCCATCGGCAAGCTAATGATACACACTTTTACGAATCCTAGAACGCTCTTCACAATCTCTCGGTTGTTGGAGGTTAAGAAGAGATCCATAGTTTGCACAAGGTCATTTAGCACATCCTTGTTGACGGTCTCTCGGAACTCGTAGAGGATACGAGTAAGAGCAGTGATGGAGGCAGAGATCATGTGAGGCGTGCTACCCGCAAGTCCGGCGCTGACCATGGTGAAATACTCCTCGATGCTTGCAGAAACGGCCGGGGCATTACTAGGCATATGAGGAACCTTGCTGTTGTCGATCGACTTGCCCTTCGCTTCCGCCAATGTTCGTCCCATAAGAACAAGAAGTTCAAAAGCCGATGTCCGAGCCTTCTCGTTGTTCTCCTTACAGCAAATGACCACCTCAGATAGCACCGAGGGAATAAAATGGAGTGATGTGTCGGGGATGAACGGCATCAGGGCATTGATTGCCGCTAACCGTTCTCTTCGTGCAGGAACTGAGACCGTTTCTGCACTCGACAAAATCAATTCTTGAAGTTCTGTGCTTCGCTCCTGAAGTGCTACCTTGCCGATATCCGACTCGGCAAGTCGTGGAATAAGCTTGTAGGCTTTCTTCTGTAGTTGAGGGTCGTCATCCCTCACAATGATGAGAGCAGCAATGTTGAAGAGAGGACTAAAGCTTTGACGAGGAAGATAAATAGACATAGTAATCACTAAGTCCATCAACGTTTGGGCTGTGGAAGGCATCGGATCCTTTGCCTTTTGAACCTTCTCTTTACTCGCCCCGACCCCAGCTTCACTCAATGAAGAGGCCAACATCGTGCTCACACGATCAAACGTCTCAACGAGACCCTTTTCGGGGGTGATACTCAAATAGGCATTGATAGTCTGGAGTATAGGACCTCTGGACTGCGGAAGTGTTTGGCTGTAGACGTTAAAGAGGACCGCTAGGAGGTTGCCTGCAAAGCTTCCGAGGTAGGTCAGATTCTTCTGTGCATCCTCTTTAGAAACTCGGCTTCTGAGAATCAAATCATCTTCACTTTCGACCGAAACTACGGCTTGATTAGACTCGACAAGAGCCTTAAGGGCTCGACAGACATCGAGTCTGAGATCGACCTTTTGGTATAGGAGGTTGGCAAGTATCTCAGCAAATGCCTGGTCAAACGCCACTGTTAGGTCAAGAGGCAGGTTGCAGTAGCCGGGCAAGATAGACCAGGTCTGATGAACTATGGTCTCGAAGATCTTAGTCTCCATAGTCTTGGCATCTCCATTTTCCACGACGCGCTGAAACATTGCCTCGCTTAACGGGATGAATTCTGTCTTGAAATGTTGGAGATTAGTGTTGGCGGTGAAGTCTCGAAGGATTGGCAGCATCCAAGCTCTACCAGGTTGGCCTGCAACTGGCTTGACGAGATTTAGAGGGAGGACATCAAGGACAGCTTCGGGGCCCATTGCCAGGATTGCCTTTCCAATCACTTCATCTGCTTCTTTTTTACCCATGAAAGAGTCGTTTCCGCGAAGCTCGCCAACCGTTCGCACGACATTTAGCATCATCGGGTTGGCGCGCCACCTAAGCGCATCAAAAATGGCACTTAATACGTTGAATGACTCCATCCAGGCCGCTTGGTATTTGACGCTTAAGAGGTTCTCGGCTATCTTAGCTATCTTCTCAAGGATCTTCTCGTCGTAGATCGAAGGCTCGATTATAACTTGATCCGGGATACAATTCACCAAAAATGAAATTAAGCACTCCGAGGCGGAAACTCTTATGTTATGCGAAGAAGACTCCATAAATTCGGATACCATCGTAAAGAGGTCCGGGAGCTTTTGGAATGTCTCTTCCGGCTCCATCTGAGAGGAGACATCATACCCTCGCGATAATATGGCAATCCAGGGGGGTAATAATTGGGTATCGTTAGACGAAGGGCGCAGTTCGGAGATGGTCTCAAGGAGACGGGGTAGTTTAGTAGACGCAACTCCATCTGCCATGCCCTCGAAAATCATTTCGAAGATTTCGAAAACAGCCATCGTCATGTGTTCATTCCCGCTCTTGGCGATGCTAAGCAAGAGTTCACATAGCGCCTCAATATTTTTGCTCGGCCAGCCACCAGTCGCCGCCGCTACCGTCCTTACAAGCTGCAGAGCGTGTATAAGTGCGGGATCGTGTTCCGCCGACGGCTTCTTCTGCTTCCTCGACGCCGCAGCTTTATTCGCTACCTCGGCCAGGGTCCTCATAGCTGATTCGGCGCACAGGTCTGCCGCCGAGTGGTCCACGGACGGGCTCGGAGGAGGATTTTGGAGAACTTTTCGCAGGGCCATCTGAGCGCGCTTTCGTACTTTCGGCCTATGGTCCATCGCAAGGTGTAAAAGACCTGCGACAGCTCGTCGCGGACTTATTTCGCTCGCCGGTAGTTTCCATGCTGCGGCATCCTGCGCAAGAAGCAAAACCTCGAGGCACCCGATAGAGGGCCGTAGTAAAGGCGCTTCAGCATCTTCAAGGAGTAAGACAGGCGCTAGTAGGGTGAGAATCTGTGTAAATTTCGATCGGAGGAGCGGTTGAGGCGCATAAGGCGTAACTACATCGAGAAGATAGACAATTGACGGTGTTAATTCCTGGTTGACCTTCCCACTCTCGAGGGATTGGTTCAATAGAGCTAAAAGCGCAGCAAAGTATCCAGTGGGCGTCGGTTCGGTACCCTGTTCCTTAAGCGTTTCCTCGACAGCTTTAAGAATCACGACGGTCTAGAAAGGACTGAGTTAGTGATCTAAAACTTGTATTTTGGGATAAAGTATTTCACTGACTTGCTGTTGGCTCTGAAGATTTGGCGATCGGATCTTGTCCAACTTCTCCTCCAGGGTCGACATTTTGAAAATCGCAATCCCGTAGATGCTTGAATTAGTGAAGGTTTCGAGACTTTGCTATCAAGGAATTTTGGATTTTTTTGCTTATCGGATGTTATCGCTTATCGATGAAGACGAACCCCACCACTGGTTTGGCTTGGCATAGTAGCTCTAATTTGTGCTTAGGTACGGTAACTTAAGTATAACCTACATGTACCTATATAAGGAGGTAACCTTAGGTAGTTAAGTGTATAAAACCATCAAATAAAATATTCACTGTCTTTATGTAAATCTCAATCATAAATTATATCCGAGGCCATAGATAACATCAATTCCAGTCTTACGAGGTAGCTTCTACTAATGCAATGGATATGTAAAAGGTCAATCCTAATGCTGTTCCATTTCCGTCACGAATGTGTCTGGTCTGATCTGGTCCAGCTCATATGTATTTCTAACCCAAACAACGCAAGAAAGCTCCATCCTGCAAATCGCAAGATAAAGTTGCATTATGGTAGTATAATGCACCCAATCCATACGCCAAAACATCAAGTTTGGCTTGCACTTGTCAAAAAGCCTCCCTTCTTCAGCTTATAACGCCACAAGCCCATCTAAGAAAAGTCCTCACCGGCCTCTTCGATGGTGTTCTTAACTCGTACAAGAATCGTAGTCTTCCACTTGTCAAGCTTGCTTAGTTGGTCGTATTGGAATAGCTTGTCTGTAAACTGGTCCTGATCACCTGCTTCAATGGCAGCAGCCAGATCTACCAGTAGCTGGTGCTCTCGGGTGCTTGGGAATGTCGGGTCTTGATCTCGATACTTCTCAAGTGCGCGATTCGCAGCGACCATATCACCTGTCGCTAGATGGCAGATACCCGCCTTGAGGAAGTAATCCTTGACCGAATAGCGCATCAAGTTGTTGTTAATAGAGGCCCCTGCGACCTTCTCGTACTGCTCGATCGACTTATAGTAGTCGCCTTCGAGGGCAGCAATATCTGCAACTTTGAGCCATAACTTGTTCGCAAGGCTAGATGTGCAAATTAGCTTCCAAACATCTTATCACAATACCTAGTGACATAATGGGGATACTAACGCTGCAGCATTATCTCCTTCATACCACCCAGCAGCAGTCTCGTATGCCTCGAGCGCACGCTTGGTATCACCTATCTCTACCTCGAAAACCTCACCCATGTTCTCCTTGTGCTGTGCCGCCCGCCTAAAATTCCCCTTCTTGCAGTACTGGCCGACGGCAACCTCGAGACATCGCACGGCATCTTCCGGGTTCTCTTTCCGGTACACCTTGAAAGCATCGACAAGCGTATTTGCAGCATCGTCGGGTTCGTTTAGATGCTTGCTCTGGACCGTAGCCGCCTTCTCGAAAGCCTGACCGGCCTCTCGGTTCATCTTTTGGATCCTAAAGGCATTCGCCGCCTCGACATATAGGTCCGCCGCATTTTGGTATTTTTCTTCTCGGCCACCGAAGAAGCTGAAGCCACCGGAGGCGCCGGAAAGTGCCTTGTCTGCCTATGTTGGCGATCGATGTTAGCGACTATGTAAGTGGGTATGGGGATGGTGGCGGGGCAAGTAGACCGACCTTCTGGAGTAGCGCACGAGGATCTCCAGCCATGGTGATGAGATTTTATGTTGTTGCTATACTAAAAGAAAAGGAAAGTTGTAGTAATGGTAGATCAATAAACTTTATTATTGCTTGTTAACCTAAGCGTTGTTGACAAAGGAGTGAGAATGGTAAAGTACAGTTTCGGATTGCGACGCGGCTACTTGACGTTAGGTAAGTCTCGAGCTACCTATGACATCGCCCTGTCTCACTTTAGACCCTTGTAAGTATTCATGTACATTCAAAAGTACCAGAGTTATTTTAATCAGATGAATCTAAATAACAATAACCTATTAGATACACCCAGATTTTATATGTTATTACAGGTGAAAAGAGAATGTCATATATTCACAAGGATTTCCTAAATTCTATATCGTAATATGTTCTAATGTCTGCAATTTGAATAATATTTAATTCATATTCCTCACAAGTACATATCCTTTCGGCATAACCTGTCAGCCTGTTCAGCCTCAAGACCCAACACCACCTTCGGCAGGGATCTTCCATTTCAATAAAGTACTTCCACATCAACCAATCGACTGCATAATCTTCACACCTCGAAATCGTAGACAAATACAAATGACAATGAATTCACAAATATGTAACCATTGTCGCAAGGCACTCTACCAATCTATCCAAACCCTACAAAGAAGAGGGCACCAATTACGCACACTATCATCAACCACCCCCCGCCAAAGCTCAAGCTCAAGCTCAAGTTCGGCTTCAACCGAACCCGAGTCCCTAGCAGCTCTCTTCTCGAAACCAACCTGGTCCGTCCGGTCTCTCCTCCCGGACCCATCCTCCTCCTCCTCCTCCTCCTCCTCCTCCTCTTCGACCTTTAAGACTGAAGCCGAAATAACTCCTCGCACCCTGCAACACCTCCTACGCCTCTCCGCCCTCCCTCCGCCCTCCTCCCCCTCGGAAGAAGCACTTATGCTCTCGACGTTAACCTCGCAACTACACTTCGTACGCTCCGTGCGCTCCGTGGATACAGCCGGCGTCGAGCCCTTGCGTGCGATACGCGACGAAACCGCGCTCGGCCAACGTGAGCAGACCATTGGCTTAGAGCAACTAAAAGACGCCCTCGCGAACGAGGATGTAGTAGGCCACGCGCGACGCCCACGCCGACGGCAGCAGCATCAAGGAGGTAGTGGAGGTGCTGATCCCGGGGTAGAAGGATGGGACGTTTTAGCCGGAGCCAGCGAGACGGCAGGACGGTATTTCGTAGTCCGGACAGGATCAACTGGTCCGGCGCGGACAGGCGCAGGGCAAGTAGAGAAGACGGAAGAGACTTAATAATTAATAATAATAATAATAAGATGATATGAGAAATTACTACGCAATGTGTAAGTAAAGTCTTCTGACCTGCCTATCTGAGTATGCTGTCCTATTTTTGGTGTATACGCCTGGCCTACCTGCCCGCATAACTGCACCTAATACAAATAACAATGCTTAGTCTATCTTACAGCATCACCTCATACCAAAATTCATCAGCAACTAATAAAGACAAAGCCGATCATGTATCGCCATCTGGTCGATAAAAACCCCTAGAACCGAAATAATGTACATCCCTCCGTTGCCGCATATCTTGAGGGTCGGATCGGTGCGTTCCAGGATGTCGTCGCTACTTGCTACCTCGCTTCACACCTTTCGTGCCGTTCACGACTCTCCGGTTATCCTCCTTGCACTTAGCTTGGCTCTTCTTTTCGCGCTCTTCGTCGAGCTTCGTCTCGGCGTCGATGTGTGCGTTCAACTTCTGCTGTTCCTTCATAATTTGGTCATAGTTGATGTCCTCCCAGCCGACCTTCTTCAGGACGTTACCGACGAGATGGTGGTATCGAAGGTGGTTCGTAGCTATCTGGGTCACGTCGAAATTTTCGACGTTCGGTACGCCTTCGATCTTCTGTAAGCCAGCAACGCCATATTGCCAGCTACTACTGCGATAGAGGAAGCCCAGCATGTAGTCTTTCCTGGAGTAAACGTTGACTAGTTTGCTAGCAACGACGCTCTTCATTGTCGCCCAAACGCGAACTTCGGACGGGCAAGGTGCGCCCATAATAATCACGTTTTCTACTAATCCAAATGCTCGCTTCTCGGCCAGAATCATCAGGCAGCAATAGATTATGCGGGCCCCCAGGCTATATCCTATCAATGTAACGGGCCTCTCGCCGTAGATTCTGTTTATGAGAACGTCGGCGAGTACCGCACCTGCCTTTTCTGCTCGGACCATTCCGATACACCAAGGATTTTCGATGACCTTACTGATCTTCACGAGGGCTGTAGGCCATATAGACTTCGTCAGCCTGTCGTAAACTAGAGCAAGAAATTAGCTTTTGTTCCACTATAGCATGAGAGGCCTCCTTACCAGTCATCGAATCAAGTTCTTTTTTTGCTTCGCTCCAAGCTGAACTCTTCGCGAGCGTATCTAGAGCGATACCCATCTTCGTTAGTGCTTCCAACTCCCATCTCATTGCGTAGGATTCATTCTGTTGACCTAGAAACTGCCAGGATGTAAGGAAGTCACCCGGGTTGGTGAGCAACCCAGTGATTCCGATGGTGACTCGCATTCTACGATACTCGGCGGGTACATCCTTAGGGTCGATCAGCTCCGGGGTGTTGGTTCCATGTAAAGGTATCATGCCGAAATCCTGGATGTCCTTGCCGTGTGCGTCAATCGTTTTGCTTCCTTGCCGGGCTCCATATAGACCAAACAAGGTACCAACGACGACAGTGTTATCATTCATAGGTCCCAGTAGACCAGCTGTTGCTGACTGATCAAGTCCGATACCCCCGAAAACAGTACCAAGTCCGGCTGCGACGAGGGGAGCTGCAAGGACGCCAGGGTTTCCTCCCAGGGCTGCGCTAGCCATGCCCGGTTTCCAACGTCGAGAAGTTTTGGCTTCCTCTGCTCGCCTTTGGGCGATCTCCTCGATGGGGATGCCCAGGATGACCTTTGAAAGGGCCTGCGAGACTCTGGCCTCGTCTTGCAATAATACCCACATCGGGATGTTCATCGACGAAGCAAGTCTTACTAATAGAATTCGCGAGTACAGGGAATATTGGTCAAGCCCGAGCAGAATTAGTAGCATGGAATGCAATATCAAGGCACGCTTCTCCTTAGGGCAATCCTTGAGGGGCGTAGGAAAGGGGGGATAAAGCCGAACAAGAGCCAGCGAGGAAGCCTCAGCAGCCGTATTAGATCCTAAGTTATCGGATTAGCTCTGCTAGGAAAACTAAATGTGGAATATGAGGGGGCATCAGAATTCTAAATTTGCAATGAAGCTATTCAAAAAAAAAAAAAAAAAAGGAATCACGACGACGTTTATTGGTGGCAAGCCTCTCAAGGAAGAACTTACCACTACCACTTGGCAACAAAGGTCTTCCTCTTGCGACATTACCTCCTGATCGTCTTGCATTACCTGGTACTTTGGGTATCTGGCCGCCAACATTGCCAGCTGTTCCGCCGTTTTTAATCACGATATCCTGGATACGCTTGAGCAAGTTGACGCGCCATTTGCCGAAGTGTGCTTGGGCATCTCTTTTCAATTCGAAAAGACTTGAGACCAGCACATCGTGCTCCGTCTTTTGGTACAAGTGGCGAACTTCTTCGGGAGACTTGGGCAGTCTCCACATGGGATCGAGTGACCTTGCTGTCGTGGTAGCTTGGTGGTTGGGTCTTGCATTCTCCTTTAGGGAATCTGAGTTATTATTCTGGCCCACAGCAATGTTACCGTACAAGTGTCGATATTTCTCGCTACGGGGATTAGGGACAGTGTTGCACACTACTTTGGGTGGGTTGATTCCTTGGTCGGGTTTAACATGACCAAGACTAAGATTCTCGAAGTTGTCGCGTATCTGCTTATGCATATCATCGACGATAGCGGAAATGAGTTTTTGAAGTTGAAACTTTTGTTCCATGTTGATACATGCACTGAGGTCGAGTTCAATACGCTTGGGCGGACGCCCTCGCGTTGGGTTGTTGTTACGAGGCATTGTTTGATCTTCGTCTTCCGATGAACTGGAATAGTTGAGGGTTAGATCCATTATAAGATAATCCTCTTTGGGTAAATAAAATAGATAGGCGTAAATGTGTGGGGTTGCAGTTGCTATTGCAGTTGCTATTGCTATTGCTATTGCCGCTGTTGCGGTAGTGACGACGTCGCTTAAGATATGGGGTGAGGTGCGTTGCTAGGCAGTTATGAAGGAAGGAAGTGACGAAGAAAGTGATGAAGGGGGCAACAACGAACCAAAAATGGGTATGTACCTTCTCTAGGTAGGTTAGGTATGTTAGGAGGTACGATGTCTGCCTGACTGTACTTAACCTATAAAATACCTAATGAGCTACCTACCCAGGTAGATATGTAACACAGATTGAAATATAATTGCAAACATAACCTACTCGTGTCTTTATCGTTAACGCTGCAGCTATCCGGATCCCTTAACATAACATGTACACCTTGTAGAATAGAACGAGAACCTAGTACTAGATGTTACCTCCTATCTGTTTTTTTTTATAGAGTATTTCCGATGTTATGCTATTTATAAGGGATAAAGGGGATATAAAAGGGGGCGCATGGATTAAACCCAACAGAATATACTTCTCACACTTTGAATTGTGAGGTAGTCTGAGCACTTGACTTGTAGCATAGATAAATTTATGACTAGATGGTATAACTATTTAAGATTAGAGACCTAGCTTTGCTTTGGTCCATCCAAGCGAGCAAGCTTCAAGTGTAATACGGGATGATAATAAGATTCAGCCAACCTGACTCACAGAATGTCATAGCTACTATACACGCAATAGTCGCATACAATAATCCTCCTCCTTCTTTATATATATTTTCATTTCTTAGACTACAATAAATATATACTTAACTTAATCAAGCATGATTAACTGTCTTACCTTTAGGTATGGCTAGTGGGTATAAAGGGGTAAAGAGTAATTACTGAATATAGAAGACATGATATTTACTAGCCGCCAAAGCAACAGTATTCATGTTAAATTATTAGTTTTACACTCGAATTAACTACAGAAACTGGTAACCATAACTATTAATGCTGTCAAATAACTAGGAACCAAATCATCTGTATGAGATGTTCCTAAAAGCTCTATCCCTTAGGCATGAGGTACATCATTAAGCTGCCTATGTCTAGTAGATATGTCCTCCTCAATCGTATACCGACACAATCTGTGAGTAGGCACTATCACACCACACGCTCTACTCTTGTTGGGTTTTTAGTTCCTTAGGATAACGAGAACAGGTATTGTATCATATGTAGATATAACTCAAGCTACGGATCAGAAAACGGTTCTATGGGTATATTAAGATTAGCAAGCAAAGACAGGTAATTCGCTGGGTTATGACGCGGTAACATTTCTACAACAGCATGTCGTGCTACCTTGCTAGTTACGCCATGGCAATTCGTCGCGGCTATGATCAATCTTCGTCAGTCCCGTTGCACTACCTAACCGATCATGTTAATCCGAGGATTGAACCATATTGCATTGAAGATATATACGTCTTCGGAATTACGTAGCCGTATGTTATTATGTGTTTGCCAATGCCAATGAGGTACTACTCAGTCGCACTAACTGGCCCCTATCAGACGGCCTATGCATCAATATCAGGTACCTACATGTATTAACTGTCTACGATCTTGACCAACATATAACCAGCTACGGAGACCGGTCAATTGGACCTTATTACCACCCAGATTCTTATCACAGATAATTACAACTTACAAGACTACCGAAAACTTAGTTATAACGGTGTTAGGGGCACCACGTTTAGTTAGGTCTTTTGTATTGTAATTTCTAGAATACTTTGATAACTCCCCCACGCGAGTTAAGAATACTGTTCTTAAGCTTGCCTTGGTAAGCCTTGGTAAGAGAGCCAAAACACGACAGCAGTGACACGATCGAGATGGGAGCAAACACACTCGTCTTACTAACATGGCGTCCTGCAAAATACCGAACTAGAAGTCAACGACTACCTATAGCGCACGTCAGTGAAGGGAGGCAACGTGACGAGCTAGAGCTTCGGGGGAAGCAAAAAGTCCAGCCGATGGGTTCATCATGACATCGTATGCCGTGATTATGTACGACCATCTCCAAAGCCCCGCGTTGGGATGTAAAGCTCACGGCTTGGGGAAGATATCCGTTTGTTGACGTTTGATGTTTGGCGTGTGGGAGTGGGAGTGGGAGTTAGAAGATGTCGGGATGTCATATCCCATTGGTCAATCAGCCCACGTGCGTATGAGGAGCTTTCTTAAAAGGATGAAGAGCTACGTATACTAACATAGCTCCAAGACACATGTATGTGATTGGCCTTAAGCTATAATTTAGATAGCTTAGAAGTACGCCGGTTGTGACTTGGTCTGCTTGATGTTGGGTTGATAGCCGGGTGTTTGCATTTGGGCGTTTCTGTTATCTAAGTCCGTCTTTAAAGTTGAGATTAGGAGGTTAGGTACGTAAGGTCGAAGCTCGAAGACGAGCGAGATTGTGGTTAGCTGAATTCAAGCTTTAGATAAGCTTTAGCTCCGAATGTTACAAAGCATCTACATGTACGATCGCTTGCTTCGAATTAGGTACCTTATACAAACTACCTATCCACAATCAGGTTTTTTTTTTTTTATCTAAAGTTCAATATTGAGATATGTATGGCTAATATTCAACCCTTTGCTAAACGAGACTGCTTGACGGGCGCTTGCTCAGCTTTAGATGCAGGGGTAAGCTCCTGTCATATCAAAATTGGGGACTTTTAGAGACTAATACCAATAAGTACGTACATTTTGGTACAGGTAATATATGGATACTTCAAGGTACATCTAAACTGCCACGAGGGCCCCCTAGCTGCGAGTGGACATAGTGGATTTTTAGCGAAATCCATCGCCCGCGGGATTCTTGGCTGCTCCAATAGTAAAGCAATAAACCTGGTAAATTCGTATACATGATGTACAAACCCCAAATCGTTTAACAATAAATCGACTCGGCTGGGGCATAACGTGCTCTATTACAGGGACCCATCTTGTACATTAGGTAGTGCCTCAGCGGAGGGGGTTGCCAATTCCTCCCGCACACGGATAATTGGATTTAATTCGACCCCTCGACGTCGCATCTCGAAAGACGGGACACGACGGAACCGAGCTTAGATATTTCTATCTCTAATGTCATCACTTAAACCTCTAAAACCTTCTACCTCTTACCAATTCTCGAGCTATTGTGTGTTTTTTTTTGTTAATTACTTTTTGAATCTACCATAACTCCTATAATTCCGTAAAATCCATTCGACACGCGGCTGGCCGAGGTCGAGTATCTCTCTTCCTCTCAAAGCTCCAGAGTTATTACGGAGTTTTGACACCTGACACTTTTTTCCGAAGAATTTATCGTGTTGGTACATACCTAGCATATATACGGATTCTGCCCCCCCGTGGCTGCGACGTACGTTGGGAATTAATATCCGCGCTCTACATTCTACGTTGGACCGCGTAACATTACACAGCCCTTTTACCTGGTTGATATATTTCCGCCACAGCCATCTATCGGTGAAAGTTGTTTCTCGTGTCCTTCACTTCGTCTCTCATCCCTCGTCCCTCGTCCGAGTTCCCCTCCAAGTATCCTGTGCACAGTAACACCAGGTCCTCAGCCTACTTGAATCACAACAAGTGCGTGTTACATTAAACGATAATCCATAACGGTCTTCGATGAATCGGATGTTAAACCTTCTAATAGACTCAGGTGATTCGACAGCGACTCAATTTATCAGGCCCGGCCGAACAGCGTGAGCGGGTCATAGCAGCAGACGATTTCCCGCTCTCCTTTACCCTTGATACCTTCGTCCTTGTCGAGCGCTACCGCTACCTTATTCAATCTCGATCCCCTTTCCGATCACTTCCTATCCTCGTTCGAAATATATTTCATAATCCTCCGCTCCTGGGAAGCTTCAAATTTCTTGTCGCCCCGAACCCCTCTCGAACTATATACCTCGGTAGACATCGTAGGCGAAATAAGGCCACGACATATAGTTATAGTCATGAAAGCTCTTCAGTAAAGCTCCTGCTCGACGTAAAGAGTTACTAATTATATGACCGTGCTCTACAATCATCAGCTGACTGCATGCTATCGTCACCATGGAGAGCATCAATATCTCTGTCATAGGAGCCAATGGAGTGGGTAAATCCCACTTCATACAAAAGGCCATGTCACTACCGCGCATGCCCGGCCCTAATCCCACGACAGCTCGTATTAATATCGATAATGTACCTTACGCTGTTACACTGTTCGAATTGGATCTCGAATACTTCGACGTGGACCCCGATCGGCAGATTAAGTGGCCAAAACAGATAGGCGGTGCTATCGTTCCTCGCGTGAATGGCGTCTTGCTCTTATATGATGTGATGAACAGAGAGAGCATCATAGAGTTGCCTCAGACCTTGAGTAAGTACCCATCAGTCAGTGTCTTATTTGAGTGTAGTTATGACACTTCGGAAGATGAGTAACGACTAACTCGACTAGATGCTCTTGTGAACTCTTCATTACCGGCGGTTCTCGTTGCGACAAAGTGCGATAACCCTGAGAAATTACGACATATCGATACGGAGGCGGTTGCCACAGCGTGTCAATCATGCCTCGCAACTTTTAAAACGTCCGTTAATAAGCCAGAGAGTGCAAGGATAGCTTTGTCTACGTTGCTTAAAGCACTAGTATCAAGAAACCAAGGTATGTATCTCCTCGGAGAAGCTTCTTTGTTGTGGGTTAATAGAGCTTCGGGATTACCCATCTACAGCTTAAGCAAAGCTTAGCTACTTTATGTTTCTTCATCTGACTATGGACTGTAGCTGTAGACGTAGACACTGCGGAAGGGATAAGCAGTGCGAGACGCAGGGCAGCTTCGGCTGCTCATCTTGATTCTCAAATAGAGCCTAACAACGCTCGACCGATAAGTCAACATAGCAAGCATAGTCGTGCTAGCTCGGATATGTCGTTACTTCGAGGCATATCGAACCAGCCGGGAACGGACTACCGCCACTCCTCGAGACCACCTCGTCTTGATCTTTCAGGGAACCATGTGACGGGTCAATTTTCAGAAGCTATGGAAGAAGATTCTGGCCAAACCATTTCCAGTATGCTCCGTACCCCTGGCATTAGGCTGGATCGCACCCAGACCATCGCTTCATTTCTTGATATTGACGACTCAGATGCCGATTCTATGCGATATGATGATATACCCCTCCTACAACGAACCGACGAATTCGAACGACCGGCGAAGAAAATCGGCGTCACCTTCGAAGAGCTAATCGAGCGTCTCATTGCCCCTAAGATGTCTAGAGCAGATAACAATTTCTTGGAGATCTTCTTGTGTTTGTACCGCAAGTTCGCGTCTCCGGGGCAGCTCTTTTCATCCCTTCTGTCACGGCTGGACCGCATTAGGGACGACAAGTCCGTTCATTATCTTACCAAGATTGGCGCTCAGTTTCGAATTATCGAGGTGGTCGCCAAGTGGGTCGGGACCTATCCCGGAGATTTTGCACGGCCGACGACTAGAAGAAACGTAGAAGACTTCATAAGACAGTTAGCTGCGGAGCCGGCTTTCTTCGCAGCTTCACAGCAGATGCGTAGAACGATGGAGTACAGTGTAATTGAGGCTGACGATACGGGCTGGGAGAAAGCCGACAGTCTTGAGGATACGCCGCTAGACGAGCACGAGCTGAGTATAAGAGATACCGCAAGGCGGTATATGGATATGTCGGAAAGTCTAAGCTCTTTAGGGGTAGACGACCCGATCGAACGGCGGCCCTCGGCCAGTTCGTCCCTTCAAACGGACGCCGGGCCGCCATCTGGGCCCGTTGGGAAGATACACTCATTCCAGTTCCATTCATATGAGGACTACGAACGGGAAGCAGCGACAATGGTGCCTACGTATACATTACCACTAACCAAATTTCGGTATCACATATTCATGGACACGCAAAATGATGATATCGCCGACGAGATGACGAGGATTGATTGGGTTATGTTCTCTTCGATCCGGATACGAGACTTAATCCGACATGTCAGCCTATCAGCAGAGCAGAAGGAGAAGTGTAGGGCTATGAAGAATGTCAATCGCATGATTGCCCACTTCAACCATATCGCAACTTGGGTATCCAATATGATACTCATGAGAGAAAAAGCCAAGCATCGTGCACAGATGCTGGAGAAGTTCATGAATATCGCGTTGAAATTAAGGCAGCTAAACAACTACAACGGTCTCGCGGCCGTGCTGGCTGGTATTAACGGGACGGCTATTCATCGTCTATCTCAGACACGAGCGCTTGTGCCGACCGAAGTACAAAAAAGATTTGCGCGGTTAGTGCTCTTAATGGGAACGCAAAAGAGCCACTTTGCCTATCGACTGGCCTGGGAAAATTCACCATTACCGCGTATCCCCTTCATTCCGTTACATCGTAGGGATCTTGTATCGGCCGAAGAGGGTAGCATGACAATGGTGGGGCCCCAAGGCGATCGAATAAACTGGAAGAAATTTGAGGTTCTAGGTGAAATCCTCTTGCCAATCATGAAGAGTCAGGGTACTCCATATCCGAACCTATCTAAGCATGACACGGCAAGGGAGCTTATCTTGGACTGCTTGATGCCTACAGACGAAGAAGTGAGATGAACCTTTCATTACTCTTGACTAAATTGTGATAGATGAAAAAGCTAACGTAGCACTTGCAGGACATTTACCAACGAAGCATTCAGGTAGAGTCCCCTAGTGGTGGCTCTATCGATCCCGGGAAGAAGAAATTTCCATGGTTTGCGAATTCAAAGTGATAGCAGGCGTCCGTATTTAGTCTTCAACAGGATGAATCATTTTCTACAGTAATCCCCAATCCCCCCCAGGGAAGCGGAGTTGGCGTTGGAAAGAAGATATGAAACTATATTACCCTTATCGTTGGACATGATTTTTCTTGTTTTCTTGTAGGTGGATTCGAGCGAATTTGGCAGATATCTATTGGGTTGGATATTTATTGGATTTTAAGACTTCTAGACTTTCCCCCCTCTCGTATAAGTGACCTATAGTCTGGGAGCTTATGGAGAGTTTTGGTAGAATTAGCTCCCTCGCTGCAACTTAGTAGGTGTTCATTTTATTTTTGTTATTTTATTATTCGAACGTGTGGATCCTGCGTTGTTCATGTTGTTCGTGTTTGGCAGAATGATACCACATTACACGTATATTGGTATATTAGTATATATTATTTGACATGTGCCCGCCAATATATGCATGCATGCATGTATTATGTCCACACATACTGCCTAACATTAGTCGAATCTGATAGTATATATATGTAACTACCTAAGGTTAAGGTTAGGTAGTTTTATTGTTAGGTACATGTATTTCTACAAATACCTATCTATTTTATCTACCCTATTTCTTGTAGCGAGTAGCGCTATTAGTATTTTATTAACTAGTATTATATTAGTATTTTTATATAGATACCCGATGATGTCATAGCTGCCCGCACTTACAATTTACCTTCCCCTCCCCCTCATTGCTGTTGTTTTTTTCTTCTTCTTCTCTTATCACGGCCTTGTTAGTTAGGCCTTGATGCAATGAAGTCTTCATACATCCACCGTAGCTTCAATCTGACTAGCTCGTTCCAATTCATACTGCCGTTAATCCGTCGGCTTACCTGAATAAGACAATAGATAGTCAAGCTCTGCAGCTGCAATCGTACCTGAAATTGATCTACAATCCCAATACCTCTTTTTCTCTCGCCTTCCATCTCTTCGTCGATATCAACGTTGTTATCTCGTGTGTGTTCACTGTTGTTAGATGCTCAGTTGTTCCCCTCCTCTTACCTTGACCTTACCTTGATCCTCTATTTTCGTCATCTATATTCCTTGTAAATTTAGTTTTACTCCTATTAGGCTATCTTTCAATATGGTTGTAGTCGACAACCACGAATACCTCACCGAGGAAGAGAAGCGTCTTAAGGAAGATAGTCATCGAGTTAAATACTGGAAGAAATGGGGACCCTACGTTGCTGAACGACAATGGGCTACAGGCAAGCGGGACTATAGATCTTTTGTCCCAACTGTCTAGGTTAACTAACTTATAATACTCAGTGCGAGAGGATTATAGCGCAGATGGAGATGCTTGGAGCCGTAAGCAGCTCTCTTATTCTTTAACTATATCCGTGCTGATTCCACCCCGCATACAGATTTTACACACGACGACGCCCGATCTCGAGCGTTTCGTTGGGGTGAAGACGGAATAGCTGGAGTATCAGACTCACACGGCCTGCAGAATATTGCATTTGCTTTCTGGAATGAGCAAGAGTCCGTGTTGCGCTCTTTATTACCCAACGAGGTACATCTTACTGACGAATAATAGTCCTTTCCTCAAGGAACGGCTTTTCGGCCTAGCAAACCCCCAGGGTAATCATGGTGAAAGTATCAAGGAAGCACACTTCCACCTTGATAACACTCCTGTAAGCTTTGAACATAATATAATCTATGTTGTGGCTGTTACTAATAGTAATTATAGACAGTAAGATATCATATGATCAACCCTGACCGTGTCCCTGCTGACGGCCACCCAGCATTCCTATATGAAATACCTCTATAAATACCCCCAGAAGGCGTTCCCTTATGATGACCTCATAGAAACAAACGCAAAACGGACAAAGGAAGAGAAGGAATACCAGATCATCGATACTGGAATATTTGATGAAGACAGATACTGGGACATTATAATCGAGACTGCTAAAGAGGCAGATGATCCTGACGAGATACTCTTCCGAGTCACGGCATGGAATCGAGGTCCGGATCCAGCTCCCCTCCATATCATTCCTCATGTATGGTTTCGAAACACGTGGGCCTGGGGAAGGGAGACGGCGGATAAAAAGCCAGCTATCTCGTATTTCACTGAGAACATGGCCAAGTCGAGGCATCATAAACTAGGTGACCGATATATGCTGTTATCGCCCTCGCCAGGTGTTGGAACTAGCGGAGAGGATGTCGAACCAGAGCTTATCTTCACAGACAATGATACCAACTACGAACTTCTGTATGAAGGGGAGAATAAAGTCCCATATGTCAAGGACGCATTCCATCAGTACATTGTCGATGGGAAAAAGCAAGCCGTGAACCCGGCCAGGACTGGTACAAAATGTGCCGCGTGGTTCCAATTTAACGAGTCGGGGGGTGTTGGCCCTGGCGAATGTGCCGGTACGCTATTGATGAAATTATAACTGAGACATACAGAGCGCTGACTGGCATATATAATAGTTGTTCGTTTCCGGTTTTCGAAGAAAAATGAGAGCTACCTGGACGAAGAAATTTTCGATGATATCGTTGAAAAGAGACGAGAGGAGGCAGATGAATTTTACTATAGGATTAGCCCCCTGCCGATGTCCGAGGATCTCCGTAACATCCAACGCCAGGCATTTTCAGGTATGATGTGGTGTAAACAATATTATCAGTTTATCTGGGACCAGTGGGCCAATGGAGATCCCTCTCAACCACCGCCTCCGCCCGAGAGGAAGGCTATTAGAAATTCGCAATGGAAGCATTTGCATATCGACGATATCCTATCCATGCCAGATTCATGGGAATATCCCTTCTTTGCGGCTTGGGATTCCGCGTTTCACTGCATCCCGCTTGCTATGATCGACCCAGACTTTGCGAAGAAGCAAATCGACCTATTTACCAGAGAATGGTACTGTCATCCAAATGGCCAGCTCCCTGCGTACGTGTTGATTGCAGAATTGTATATACGAAAATATGCTGACCTGACTACAGATACGAATGGAATTTTGGCGACGTCAACCCACCAGTTCATGCCTGGGCCACTTTCCGCGTATTCAAGATCGAGCGCAAGATATATGGAAGACAAGACATCGACTTCTTGGAGAGGGTATTTCAGAAGTTGCTATTAAATTTCACTTGGTGGGTCAATCGAAAGGACATGGACGGTAAAAACGTCTTCGAGGGAGGCTTCCTCGGGCTGGACAATATTGGTCTCTTCAATCGTTCCGAGCCCCTTCCGACGGGTGGTGTTCTTGAACAAGCTGACAGCACGGGGTGGATGGCGTTCTATTGCTTGTGCATGTTAAACATTGCACTTGAGCTTGCCAAGCATCGGAGGATTTACGAGGACATCGCCTCGAAGTTCTTTGAGCATTTCGTATTCATTAGCGATGCCATGACATTTAAATCCGGTGAAAAGGATGAGAAGTCATTATGGAATGATGAGGATGGCTTCTACTACGATGCCATTTCATGGGGTGGACCGTGGATTCAACAACTACCTGTCCGGTCACTCGTAGGGTTGATTCCGCTCTACGCAACACTGACCCTAGAGCCGGAGTTAATCAATAAGCTACCCTCGTTCAAGAAGCGTGTGGATTGGTTCATAGAGAACCGATGCGACTTGGCCGAGAGGAATATGGCAAGCATTCGGAAGAGGGGTAAAGGGAACCGTATCCTCCTTGCCATGGTGAGCAAAGACCGTTTAGAGAAGATCCTGAAGCGTATGCTCGACGAAGATGAGTTCCTAAGCGAGCATGGTATCAGATCTCTCTCTCGATACCATAAGGAGAACCCATACTCTATGGATGTCAATGGCGAAAAATTTACAGTGGGATATGTCCCGGGTGACTCTGACAGTGGGCTATTCGGCGGTAACAGTAATTGGAGGGGACCCATTTGGCTGTGTGTCAATTTCCTTTTAGTGGAATCCCTACAGAGATTCTTCCTTTTCTACGGACCTAATTACCAAGTTGAGTGCCCTACCGGGTCTGGGGAATACATGCACTTGGGACACGTCTCGGAGGAGATCCAACATCGGTTACAACACCTGTTTGCCCGTGGCGATGACGGACGTCGGAGCATCAATGCTGGGAACGACATGTTGGACTTTGATCCGAACTGGAGAGACCATATGTGGTTCCACGAGTTTTTCGACGGCGACACGGGTCGCGGTCTGGGAGCAACGCACCAGTGCGGCTGGACGGGTCTGATCGCACGTATGATTCACGACACAGGGTAAGTTCTTCTGCATATATGCTTCATTTATTTAGACACTGACACCCATAATAGCATCAGCTGCCGCCTCCCACAGACTCCTCGCACGCCAACAGCCGGTATGTCGCACTACTTTGATGACATCCTACATCGGCACGTAGGAATCAGCAAGCCTCAGAGAGGTCACATGAGGCGGTCGTCGACAGCGCGATCAATCAGTGCGCGCAGTGACTTTGACGCATCTGTTAACGGTGAGGAATATGATGTTCGTAGCGTAGCGCCAGATGACCCAGAAAGAGAGGCCCAGCGCAAAGAGGCGGATGCTCATCTACATCAGTATATCTCGGAGCAGCTGCAGCGGGTCAAGGACCATGATGAGTTTGAGGGGTTGGCGACTGGGGATGAGTACGAGACGCATCTATAGAGGGCACCAGTAGTTATATTAGGATATATTCTTAGATCTCTCTAGGATCTTAGAGAGGAGAGGGGAGTAAGAAGGGTAAAGGGGGGAATATGCTTGCTTACATGGAAGATTGGATGATGGAGATAGGGATGAGGATGGGGGTATTTATAAAAGAGGAGGGGAAGGAATGGGTAGGTAGGGAGAGGAGGTGAAGGATATACGCATTTACATACAGATATACAGATATACAGATTAAGATGCATAGGAATGAGTTTATGGTTATATTATCTAGTTAGTTAGCTAGAGAGAATACGATTATCCCGGTATATGATGGGATGCCATGTCATTGATGCCTAGGTGTATTACCTATTTTTGAAACTTGGTGTGTGTGAATGGGTGGGATGTCGTGATGGTTAGGATTTTGAGGGTGCTTGAGGTAGTTGATGTATGAATTTAGTATCAGCTTATGCCGTGGGAGTACCTATCGTAGACTAGTATATTAGGTACAAAACTACGTTCCTGGGATAATCTGTTTTATCTTATTAGACGCATCAAGGAGTAGATATAAAGCATGGCTTCTGGTGTATGTTACTACTTTTTTATGTTAAGGTGTTGTAATTCTTAATATGTTTATAACAACGATGATATTGGGTAGGTATATATTGTTAAGTTAACTCCGGTTTATGTTTGTCTTGGATTGGTAGTTACTTGTAAAATATCAGTGTTAGTTGGCTTAGAACATGATTAACACGTCTATTTCTGGTCCATAGCCTACCTAAGTATAGGTCTGCTTGAAGCGATTAGTTACCTAAGTGAAAGGGGAAGCCTGGCTTATTTATATTGTTGGCCAATATTCCTGGTATTGTTTCACTATTAGTCCCTCAGCTATTCATATCAACACAGGTAACTAGCATACGTTGGACTGTAGTTTGAAGTATTATTGACTGACTGGTTTGACATCTTACAACTCAGATATGGGGTAGTATAGATAATAATAGTCTTTATAAATGAGGTTTCCCCTTGTGAGAAATGCCAAACCAGTCGAAATTGGGAACTCCCTAGGCATAAGGTCCATCAATTATTAGTCTCATAAGTAGGCAAATGATATTGGGGGACGAATGCTTCCTCTATTCTACGAGCCTATACACAATGGTATCTCGACGGAGAAACCAGCCTTCTAGTCGCAATCGCCTCTCCAAAGCAGCTGCCATGCTCGCATAAGACAAAGGGAAGATTATTTTACAAGGTGTCAGTTAGGAGCTTGTTCAGCTTGGCAATCTTGGCCGAGACCGAAAGATCGATTGTCCTGTCTCCAATCTCCACGACGAGACCACCAAGGATCTCCGGGTTAACCTGGTTGGTGACCTTCAGCTTCTTGCCCTGTCCGACGTATTGAGACTTGGAGATGGCGGTTTCGATGCGGTTAAGAGTCTTGTTGTCCAATTGCTACATCGATCATTAGCATATTCATTCTGAGTGATCCCCACGTATACTCCGGGCTAGGAATTCCGTACCTGGGCGCTGGTAACAACCAGCTCGATCTCGCCTCGGGACGCGCTCATGATCTGGCCGAACTTCTCGGAGACGCCGGGGAGTATTCCTAGACGGTTGTTCTCGGCCAAGGTAGCGAGGAAGTTCTTGACGGTCTCGTTCGAGCTCGCGGCGCCGAGGTTCTTCTGCAGCTCCGCAACGATGGCGCTCTTGTCGCTGTCCGAAAGCGTAGGGGTGGTCAAGATCGTGGCAAGCTTAGGGTCCTTGGCAAGGAGGTCACCGAGGGCGCTCAGAGCCTTCGCGGTAGGGTCGAGGGATGAGGACTTGACGGCGGCAGTGTACTAAATGGCTCATCAGTCAATATGGCTTGTTCTAGAATCGAACAATGGGTCCCTCCACATCACACCCTTCCCAATTGAATTCTTCTGTAGATCCTAGGAGTAGATATTAGGTTTCGGAAGGGAGTTGGCGTACCAGAGCAGTAGCATAGGTACCATCGAGGCCGTAGACGGCAACGGGAGGCTTGACATCCTGGGTGGCAGCAGCGGCGGCATAGGAGCGAATGGGGGCGCGGGCGAGGGTCCGCTGAGGAGCCGCAGCTCGGACTGAGCGGAATGCCTGTCGGGCGAACATGACGGCGTGGATGAGGAGAATTAAATACAGAGTATAAAAGGATGAGTGGTATCTCGATTCTCAAAGCTCGGCTTCGAAGACGTTTGCAAGAAATCGATCCCGCGGTTTTAGCGGGCCAAAACTAACCTAAAGTGGGTCTTGAACGTTCTGGGTATGGGACATAGGTATTGGAAAAAGTTGTTGAAAGTTGTGAGGAGAAGCCACAAAGCCACAGAAATGGCTCATCATTCATCTCATTGAAACCTTACCTAATGGAGTCCAACGCTATTTCTATTTAGGACAAAGCCCATAACAATACCTAACGCGGCCTAACCTCGGGTTACGCGCATAATAACATTGAAAAAGTTTGATTGAAAAAGAAAGTATTGTACGAAGTACCATTCCATTTTTCCGTGTCCTTACTGTTACTGATCTGACTGACGTACCTGCCCACCACGTGCCGTTAGGTACATACATATGTAAGGTTCAGACGCCCCGACAGGTTCGATTTTCCTTCAACTATCAGCCCGAAAACGTTCCAAACCTACACGGAATTCTTCACCGTCTACAACTCTACAACTTCTCAAAGCTAGAAGAAAACATATTTTGGGCGCGCTGCCTTGCCCAACTCTAGTGGACTTTTTTTTTTTTTCTCTCTATCTCTGTTGCCCAACTTAGGAGGCTTTTTGATTTAATTCATCATCCTCTAGGTATATACTACCGTGACATTCACTGCCTGCCTTGGATCCTTTCGTTTATCTGCAGCCTGCAACTTGCAACCTACAAGGACAAAAAGTTGTTTTGTCTTGATCCGTTTGTCTGGTTGCTTTAGGATCTTAGACTGAGACGCATCTGCGTTTGGATTCGATACGGTAGCCGTGTCACTGTAGTCATCATCTTTCTTTTCCCTTCCGTACCAGTATCGCGCATCGCCGTCCCTTTTTCTTTCTTTCTTCCTATGGTAAGGCTAGGATTGTTAGGATTACTATTGTGATGACGAGGGAACGCAAAAAAGCTCCGGTGCCCGTACGTGGCGTACGGGCTTTAAACCGACGTGCAAAGATGGAGAGAGCACAGAAGCAGCCAGATGACAGGTGGCGAGCCTTAAATCCGTTAAAGGAACCTCCTAGGATGAAGCATAAGACGACCTTCGAATTAGTCGAGAATACAGACAAAAAGAAGAAACTCGAGTTCAAGGTAATGAGAGGTTACTAAGAAGATTGACTATGAGTAGTAGTACTAACCAGTAATAGATCACCATCGATAGACACCCACCACCGGGTTTCGAATTCGTCCCTGTTGGTTATCCGCAGTTGACGCAAATGTGTAAAGAACTATCTAGAGAACAAGACGCTATGATCTTCATTGTTTCAGTATGCAGATCCGTTCCTTTGTACTTTGCTATACTAACGCATTTACTTCAGGACTCTAAGAACCCGGATAACCTCGACCATCATGTAAACCGTGTTGGGTATCATTTTAGACAGATAATTGTTGAGCAAGCTCGCTCGAAACTAGCAGCTACTGGACAAAATGTCCACGTCCCCCCAACCCATACATCTGGCGCACCTGAACCGATACCTAAGAGCCAAGCGGAAATTGATGCTCAAGCAGATGCGGTTTTAAGAGATCTTTTCCCAAGAATACCTCATACCGATCGACGCGAAATTATCCAGCATGCGTTCCAAAAAGTTTGTCTATACTTTTTATAGTTATGTCGTTCTAGTACTCAGATATGTTGATATTAACGCTTCGTTTCCAATATAGGATGGAAAATTCCATGGCGAGTCTAAAGTTGGCATGGTTAAAGAACTAACCCTAGCACGCAGGGTTCAACTTGCGGCGATCGCCCACATCAGGCACAACCACACGCGTTATGATGAATTACTAAAAGAAACTAACTGGCACAACGCTCGAAGAGCTGTAGAAAAGCCGTGCCTAGACGTCATCGTCAAGTGGCGAGGTGACGAAGAGACCGGTCGTGACCAACTTGACGAGATACTTCGTGAAGTCATTGAGATTTCTGATACCGAGGAGGAGTCCGAGGAAGAATCTCCCAATGCAGAGTCTCTACCTGCCCGACGCGTTGTCACGATGCCCACCAATACATTAGCGAGGTCTAAGGCAGAGCCACAAGGTAAAGAGGCCACTAACCCTGAGCGGCCGCCCCGTCATTCCAGTCACAGTCGCAGTCGCAGTCACAGTCGCGACCTATCCGTTCCAGGTATTCTTGGACCATCTAAGCAGAGAGCGATTGCAAAGGCCGAGAAGAGAAGCGCTCGAAAGACGCAGCGTTTTAGGAGATATGCCGCCGCTGCTGAAGCTCTTGCGGGCTCATCCGATCAGAGAGTCTATGCTGAGGACTCGAATGTGGCCCCTTTTGGTACTATTCCAATGGATTTTACCAGAAGTCCGGGTTCCACCCACCCTATTGGCTCGAGTCGCGAACCAACAGTGGTGGCGCGTGGTACTCCTCGTATTGAACAGATGTCGCGTTATCCTGAATTGCGATCAGACCAGCAACGTTTCAAAGGCGGCCCTCTGAGAGAGATGGTTACTATCACTCATGGTATTCCCGAAGCCAATGAATACGCTTCGTCTCAACTGATGCGCACCCCAGAAAGCCATAGGCCCAAAGTTGGGCATGCAACAGCAAGCCATGGTCGCCAATCGATTCCAGTTTCGCCAGTAAGAAACGGATTGCAAGATATGTTGTTACAATCTATCGAGCCTGCTTCTCCCGTTGTCCACAGGGAGCCCCCTGAAGCTCCTCGGATTCTGTATCGTGAGCCTCAACGTTTTGCGGAAGAACCTCGTGTCGTTTCTCGGCCCATCCACGACCATACAGGTTTTGTTTCGTGTCCCGAATCTCCTAGAGTCGTGAGTCATGGTAATGTGTTGGTAACAAGACGCCTTCGTGGCGCAGACTATCCCTCCGGAACCCTTGATGCGTACCCCAATCCGTTTGCCCCAGCCAGCCGTCAGGTTCAAGGTGAGGATCTACGACATGTGCCATCTGGATATATTCCAGATCGCCCGTCGTCATCTTTTAGAGGTGCAGACCAAGCCCTATCGCAGAATCAGTCCTGGCCAGTTCCTAGTGAAGGAATGGTGCACTACAATGGTGATGTTTCTCTTAGGACCAGAGCAAATCCGATTATCATTGATGACGATGATCATATGCCTCACAGACCTCGTCAAGTAATTGAGGTGCAACGGCATCCTGGTAGAGATTATCCTGTTACACCGCAGGGGCAAGAAGGTTTCTTTCACGATGCTACCCGTCAAGGAGACGCGTACATCCGAGATGAGCCTCGAGTTGTATTAACTGATGCGGCGCCAACCCGGCCGAGAAGCGCATTTGATTACCGCCGTCCTGGCAACCATCCCGATTCCGTATTGACTTCGTATCACGAACCCAGCGTTTACAGAGTAGCAGCGCCAGAGTTGCGACGTCATGTAGTCGATGCCGTCCCTGAACCTGAAACCAGATACTACAGAGAGCGTAGCCAGCACTTGTACGAACCAAGAGAATGGCCGGCAAATGTGCCTCGAGAGGCTCGAGCTGTTCCTATTGGACTGGCTCGCCCCGAAGTGTAAGTTGACTATGTCTATACAATAGAGATGCGCTCTATTCATATTGCACACTTCATTGAGTTCTTACGGGATTTCTTAACATAAGCTAATCTACATATATAGGCGGTATCTAGACGATGATCGTCATTTTCAGGATTATTCGAGCACTACGTCAAACTCACACCCCCAAGACCGACGAGAAAACCGTTACTATAGACTGGACGAGGCACCTGCGCCTACGCCGCAGCAGATGCACTATCAGCATGATTACCCCCCTCAACTTGTAGCCCCTCCTAACCATGGCCTCTACATCGAGAACCATGGATCACCGCATCGGCATTATATTCCTGAACAACGCGTAGTCTGGGTAGATCGTTGATCTTTGTCAAAGCACTGATTCGAGATCAGTAGATTAATAATTTGGCGGCGAAATTCCGTTTTATGATTCCATTGTTAGAATCAACTGGCGGGTGGATGTGAAATGATATGGACGTTATGGCAAAGATGGTATCGGTACGGTTTCAGTAGGACAGCAGCATTTGAGATACCCTCTATTAGCATTATTGTCGCCTCTTTCAAACATCATTGCATGGCAAGGCGTTATCGGCACTCGCATCACGGCATTAAAGCATACAATCGGCAACATAGCCTTATCGGCAAAGGAGTTTAGGGATTGCATACTTAGCTTTTGGCTAAATGAATTATACTCTTCGTGACACCTGAAATGATATTCCTATTACGAGTAGTTATTGTGCCTATAACTGTACAATTATAAGAACACTATGGAACTATGTTCCGGATAGATAGGTAAACAATACTCTTCATGATTGAGATATTATATGATATGATAAACAACTATGTATGTGACTGTCGATGTTAATGAAGTTTTGATGCTTAAATGTCTTGTGAGGCAAGTTATATCAAACAACGTGGAATAGCTAAGGGTCATTGGTTTAGTTAGGCTCTGTTTGACTATTATCCCGGGGATAAGACAGTTATCTCTTTGAGATACTACCCAATCTGTAGCTATTAGCTGGTCGTAAAGTACCTAATGTATCATGAGAAATTATCGTAGTTATATATATTAAAAAAAAATTAACAATCACTTTCAGTATCTTCCTCGGATTCATTCATGATATTATCCTCACCACTATCGGATACGGATCCGTACTATGTACCTAGGTATGTATATACACATATATAACCCCAGAACCCCCTACTCCCACCCCATCTCCTTCAACGCCCTAAACTTAGTCGAGTGGCCATACGAGACGCTCGGCTTAATCTTATCCAGGGCCGTCTCCCAGTCCTCGGGGGTAAGCACGTCCGGGCCGCCCTTGGTATCAGCGCGCTCGACGGCGGCCTGTCCGGCGGCGACGTGCAAGTTGTCGAGGTCGGCGCCGCTGAAGCCGTCGCAGCGGGGATCGCGGGCGACGGCCTCGAGGACGGGGAAGTCGGTGTAGGAAGGGAGGAGGCGCTTGATGCGGGTGCGCAGGATGTCGACGCGGCCGTCGGGGTCGGGGAGGTCGACGAAGATGTTGGTGCCGAGGCGGCCGGGGCGCAGGATGGCAGGGTCGATCATGTCGGGGCGGTTGGTGGCGCCGACGACGTAGACGCCTAGGCGGCTGCCGATGCCGTCGAGTTCGGTGAGCAGCTGGTTGACGACGCGGGCGCTGGCGTCGGGGCCGTTGCCGTCGCGGCGGGGCACGAGGGCGTCGAGCTCGTCGAAGAAGAGGATGCAGGGGGCGGAGGCGCGCGCTCGGCTGAAGACTTGCCGGACGGAGCGTTCCGACTCGCCGACGTATTTGTTCAGGAGCTCGGGGCCCTTGACGGAGATGAAGTTGACCTTGGACTCGTTGGCGACGGCCTTGGCGAGGAGCGTCTTGCCGCAGCCGGGGGGGCCCCAGAGGAGCACGCCCGAGGGGGCTTCGAGGCCCTTGCTGGTGAAGCGTTCGGGGTCTTGGATGGGCTTTACGATGGAGAGCATGAGTTGCTTGCGCACGTCGTGGAGGGCGCCGATGTGGGCCCAGGTCGTGTCGGGGATCGTGGTGAAGCCTTCTCGCTTGGAGGACGGTTGGACTTTGCCGATGGCGCTTAGCATGTGTTCCATTGTTAGTACGAGGGATTCGCTCGACACGGCTTCGTCCGGTGCTGACATTATGGCTAGATGCAGCCGGAGCCCAGGAGATATTTGTTCGTCGGAATCGAGATCCATCTCGGCGGGGCTGGTCTGTGTTAGTTGGGTCATGGTCGCTCTGACCATTTCGTTTTTGGCGATGGAAACGACGTCTTTCAGATCGGCTCCGACGAAACCGGGCGTTCTCTTTGCTAGGAGTTTGTAATCCAAGTCGGAGGAGACTCGGCCGTTCTGAAGCATCTTTCGTAGGATAGCTTCGCGAGCACCTTCGTTTGGTATTCCAAGGCTTATTTCTCGATTGAAACGGCCTGCTCTTCGAAGGGCGGGATCAATACTGTCTGGTCGATTCGTCGCAGCCAGCGTAACGACGATCTTACCACCGAGTTTGTGAGGTGACAAGTCGTCCATGCAGGTTAGCATCTGGGCCACTATCCTCTTTTCCATCTCTCTCTGCGCGTTTTCCCGCTTCCCCATGATGGCATCAATCTCATCAATGAAGATTAAGCAGGGCGCGAGGGATTTGGCCTCGTCGTAGAGCTCTCTGATCTTTCTCTCGGACTCCCCAGACATACCAGCGACGAGAGAGGGGGCGGAAACGGGTATGTATGCTACGCCGAGCGACGCAGCATAGGCGTTTGCTAGCATTGTTTTTCCACAACCCGGAGGACCATGTAATAGAACACCGCGAGTAGCTTCCAAGTCGTTTTCGAGACAGATTTCGGGGAATCTCACGGGGAACGTGACTGATTCAGCAAGGACCTTAATGGCATCGTCCATGCCGCCGAGATCTTGTAAAGAAACACCGCTCGGTGGACTGCGATCTTCTTTAGGTTTCTCAGTTTTCCTTTTCTTAGGCCGGGACTCTCCGTTGGGTTGTCTGTCATTCATGATGACTACAGGCGCTATATCAGTCCCAGAGCCATTACCTCCTGGAGTGGTTACTTCAGATGGTACTGTGGGCTGAGCTTTGGGTATATTCCAAGACTTGGTGATGGTTTTGTTCATGACGAAGTAGTCTCGTTCCTAGGTATACATGTTAGCTCGAGTATCCAATAACCACAGTTAAATATGAATCTACAACTAGAAAATAATAACAATTAAATTACCTTAGTTTTTGGCGATTCTGCAGAGGCCTCTTCTAAACCTTCTTCCTCATCTTCGTCTTTCCTCTCTTCCTTCCGGAGGCGAAGGACTCGCTCGATAGAGTCTTCTAGCGGCCGTTTCTTCTGACGCGCAAGACTAGAATTTGAGCGTTTTATAGAATCGTATACCCCCGAGACGGTGAATTTGAGTGGCTTTGAGGGGCTGTTTCGCTCATGATCATCTTCGAGTTTTCTGATAATCTGGTAGACATCACGGTCTAAGCCGTGAAGGACCCTTGGCATTCTAATTTTTCTAAGGAATTGGCCGCACTCAAAAATGGTACGAATTGTAGTAATTAAATCCTCTAAATTGGTTTAGTCTATGGGTAATAGTACGCTCTTTAATCGAGCCCAATTGTAAAAGTCTAATGCTGAATGCCGCTGCTGTATGAGATTTGAGATTTGAGATTCGAGATTCGAGATTTCTGAGTTGTTGAATTTCTAAAAAGTTAAGCATATGAAAATAAAGTGGGTCGTATTTTTTTTCTTATCTTAGTAAGCTCAGACCCCCATGTTTCGATGATTTTGAGAATTATATTTTAAGCTTAAATGGCAAAAGTTAAAAGTCAAAAAAGTAATAAACACTCTTTAAATCTATCGGAATTAAAGTAAACAATTTTATACTTCTGACTGCCTACAGAGCTCTGCTCTCGTGTTACTTATTAATGTTGTAACATATCAGCCAGCGCTCTCAAGTCATAATTCTCCTTGTCGAAAGCCTTCTCTAATCTCCTAACATTATTCGCTAGTGATAATGGAAATATGCTGGCGCTATGAGGACAAGTAGATGACTATAGTATCCCGGACCTCAATGATGCAGACATCTGCTCTTCAACCAAAAAGATTTATATCAGTCAAACTAATGCAGCAGGAATCGATAGTGTGATCCTATTACGTGAAGTTACCGAGATCTCTTTAGGCTGATGGTTCTTATCAACTGAAACATGATCACTATGCAACGCCGTTGATAAAGCATATTCTACAGAGGCTTGTAAGCCCTTCGTAAAAGTCAACCATCCTTCGTGGAATGGCTTTTCAGCTTTTGCTCATCTGATACGCCACATCCTGCAAGCGAATCGCCACCTATAGTTTAGGTCAGCGCGTACGGTAGGTCGGGAAGTAGCTTGACCTGGCTGGGGTTTAACCTGACTTAGCTTGGGAAGATTGTAAATAGTTTTTTTTGTGTAGCGACTGTATATAAACTGAAGGTATACCTATATATATATTTTGGAATATAATTGGTATATTCTGTGTGGCTTTTATAAAGGCCTTTAACTTTAAGGACTCCATACCTAATAACTCACTATATTTGATTACCAGTTACCTGTTAGAGTTATGGGCGGTTGGGTTTATACGGTTATTTAGTCTGACTCGACTTATCGTGGACGAGAAGAGAATGTGGCTTAGGCTCTATAGAAGCTAATCTGCGTTGGAAGTAGATATTGCAATAAGAAACAGTTCGTATGCCAACAGGTGGACAGCGTAGCCACCTATACCCATTAGGCTTGACCCAAGATTGCCTGCCTGGTTATTCGGCAAGAAGATTTCCATCTGATGTGCTTGTTCTATAGTGTAAGCGAGATACTAACCCCGTTTCGGGATGGAAGAACCTGACAAACCCCTCGTAAGATAGGAGATCCAGCCCGCACTCGCAGCGGATGTCTCCATGACTAGCCCCAATGCTTAGATGGGAAAATTCAATGTGCATCTGTTCCTCCAGAATATCACTAGCGCCTCCCTCCGATGCTTGTCTCAGCATTGTCCACGTATCATGTCCTCGAGGCTTTGAATCGCAGGTGCAACCGCAATAGGATGTCTTGATGGTCGAAGTAACCCTGTCAAAGAGCTCCCCGTATGCACCATCTGACCGTTTTGCCATTGGATAGTGCTCTTCCACCAAAGCTACCAGCTCGGCGACTTCAACTGGGTTACTGAATTCTCGGCCGCGTATGCTAACTGCCTCGTAGAGTTTGAATTGCTTGAACGTGTTATAACGCCAAGTCAAGATATAATAGGCACAGGTTCCTAAAACAGCGTCCACCATATCAAAGTCCTCATAAGCATAGGCGGCCTCGACAATGCGAAGCATCACATAAGAAGCATCAACCACCTGTTGAGCACTAGTGAGACCCCGGACAAGGTTGTTCGTTTCCCCTCCCAACACATCACGCTCGTAGTCTTGAATGTCATTAGGCATGCAGATAGCCCATGATAGAATGTAGCCGCGATCTGAGGTAAGATGTTCTCCAAGCACGTGCCTTGCAGTAAGTTCTCCGGCTCTATCTAGGAGCAGAGGATACTGGGTTTCGCGGTCCACGGGGTTATCCGCCTCATAATCCCCCGAGGCTAAATTCTGTAGTCGCTTGACCTCGCGTCGGAAAATCTCCCGCATGTCTTTGATGACCCCTTCCGTAAAGAGACTGTGCACGTCGTTTGGAGTGTCAACCCAAATCCACTCGGCCGCGGTAACCCATGGTATGTCGCGAGCACGCCAGAGCTTGCGATTAGTGCCATAATCGATGACTGTAGTGAAGAGGCCGAAGAGGATTTCGAAGTGAAATCCAGGGCGCCAGCGTCCATCACGGACAGCCAGGCTAGACCAACCATGCCAAGTCACCCAGACTTCGAGATCACCAATCTCGAAGTATCCGCCTGGTTCTTTGTCACATCGATCCTGGCCATTCCCAAGTATTCTATCGCCGCTGTCGCGCTTCATAACAATACCGGCCTCGGTAACGCCTGCATATCCGCCTGTGCCATTGCCGAGAACCTTGCGTCCTTCGTTAGATTTTGCGTCATCTGTCGACGCATTGTTGGCAATGGCCTTTTGAAGAAAGGACCGCATCGTATCGAGCTCCGCTTGGCTAATTAATGGCCCTCCCTCCGTTTGCTTCGCTGTCTGATCACGGGCACTTATATTGTTCGACAGCTTCAGAATATGATCTGCCCATATATTTCGTAGCCGTTTCAGATTCCTATCGGCCCCGGCAGAGGGTATTTCAGAAATGCCGACACTATCGAACATGACATGGCTGCCAAACACGCAATGGAGTCCCGGCCCTAGACGCTCACGTGTCCTTCGACTCCAGCGCCCCAAGCATTGCTGGCCGTTGAAAGACCCGCAACAAGTGATATAGTGCCTAGCGGTCCCAATATCTTTACAAATAGTATCGGTCCATGAATGAACGAATCCGAAACCATCATTCTTCTGACCTGGGCCCCAGGTTGGGACCCGAGCATGAAGGAGATCTTCGCATAGCTCGCTACGGATCCTGGGGATTACAGTACCAACGGAACCCATTTTCAGCAAACTGTTTCAGTGCCGAGCTGCGTTATAATAGAAAATAGTAAGAGGAGACGAGTGGCGGAGGATGTGGTCTAGGGTAAAGTCTCATAATAGTTCGATATCCTATAGCAGATTTATATCGCCCGTTGTTCTCCAGAGCCTTTGTATGGCATCACCGCTCATATCATCCTCATGAGAAGGAGGCAATGATACACGCGGGATCATGCATAGTCGACGAAATCGGGACGTCCTATCCTTGGAATGGGAAAGAAATAATTGGCATTCGGAGTGGCTGCATGAGACTGAGATAGTAGTGAGGTATACGAGCCGTGCTGCGCGCGGCTTGTGAGGACTTTAACTTACATTGTAATTATTAACAGCCTTCGTAACTGGCAGCCGTCATCGCGATCCTTGAAAAGAGGGCCATTTGGTATGATACCTTAGACGGCTATGCAGTCAGCAGGTTAGTGGACTTTAGGCGACTTCATCTCCCTTTAATTGAGGCTGCTTGAGACACGTAAGCAGCCATTTGAAGGGAATGAATGCATGATTTGTCTAATCTCTAAGTTCTTAATAACTTGAAAGTTTCCTGAGTTGGCCGATTAATAGGGCCGGAATTTTCAGGGGGTTTGTAGCCCCCCAGGTGTGGATGCTCTGTTGTCACATCAATAACTGGTAAGCTTTCCTCTTTCACATCGGATGATCTTACCAAAGCTATACACATACTGAAGATATGTCCCCACTCAATCATGATAGCCTCATGGCTCATCTGCAGACCTTGATAGCAAGCTGCAACTACAGAATTGTAATGGAGTTTTTGGGTCTTCTGTTAACAATCGTAGGAAAACCTTTCATGAGTCAGATTATTTGGTTGGGAAGCCGTTCCTAATTTCCATTTCCAATCCCTCAGGTATACCCTCGTATTGGGGGTCTATCGCATCTGGTTCCAGCCCCTGTCGCGATTCCCGGGCCCTGCACTCTTATCCGTCTTTTACTTCCCATACCTGTATGGAAGTTTGATCAAAGGATCCTGGGTTAGACAAGTGCCAGCCCTCCCCCAGAAATATGGCCCTATCGTGAGGATTGCTCCTGATCATCTGACCATTGACGGTGCTGTGGCATGGCCCAAAGTATATGCCCACCGGCCGAATACAAAGCAGGAGTTCGGCAGACCAACCGGCCTTTTATTCCCAGGTGGTGACTTGTGCATCCTAGGAGCACCTCGCAAGGCTCACCACCGTATGCGCCGACAGCTATCCCTTGATTTTGGCGATAGCACCTTGAGCGAGCAAGAGGTGACTATTATTAGGTATGTCGACATGCTCCTTGATAAAATTGAGATACACAGCTAAGGGGGTAAATATGTAGACATTGTGGAGTAGCTAAACTTCGCCATATTCGACGTTGTAGGTCATTTAGACTTTAGCAACTCGTTTCACAGCTAATGTTATTAGATAGCTACGAGACTAGACGTTCCGAGTTATGTTATACTTTATTATTCTCTAGTGTTGGTTAAGGAGAAAACGTCATGTCTCTGAGCTGGTCCATGTCTTCAGTAGAAGTAATAATAGCACAATTATGTTTCCTTATCTAATAAGGCAATGTGTAGATGGCTACTTTGAAGTTTGCTTCGAAGTCTAAATAACGATATACATAGGTAAGGAGTCAAATCGTGGCGGACGTGACTGAAATTGTGGCTCGAACGGATAAACCCCCCTATTGAATATCGAAGTTTAAGCTGGGAATGCCAAGACAACTTATATGTGCGTCATTAGGCACTTACCGATAAAGACGCGCGCATCAACCCCTTGCAATCGATAAGATAATCCCTAGAACATGGGACCGCCTGGACGCCTGGACGCCTGGACGCCCGCCGAACTTAGCTCGTGACAACATCGACACCCTTCCTCTCCCCTGTATACCAATAAACATACACATGCTCAACAAAATCGTATCATCGCTTATCCTACGAACCAGGCTGCCCTGAAAAGGCATTTGCCTGACCATCGTTCTTCCACCGATCCTCGCTATTTGCTAGACAATGCGCGCTTCGGATTCCATACCAGATACCAGGGCACGGCGATCATGGGCAACAATTCGAGCAGAGTGACCGCCCAGGACAAGTAAGAATGACATCTTCCATCCCATCGCCGACCAAAAAATAATAATAATAATACTAACCTCCAAATTCCTACTACAGGGCGATCCTCGACCTCAAACTACAGCGCGATAAGCTGCACCAATATCAGCGGCGCATCACGGTCCTAACCGATAAGGAGACGGCCGTAGCGCGACAGATGCTAGCGGCCGGCGACAAGAAGCGCGCCCTGCTAGCCCTGCGCCGGAAAAAGTACCAAGAGTCTCTACTCGAGAAGACGGACGCGCAGCTCGCGCAGCTAGAGCAGTTGACCCGCAGCGTCGAGTTCGCGCTCATCCAGAAGGACGTCGTGTTCGGCCTGCAGCAGGGCACGCGGGTCCTGCGCGACATCCACGCCGAGATGGGCGGCATCGAGCACGTCGAGAAGCTAATGGGCGACACGGCGGACGCTATTGCTTACCAGAAGGTATATACATACACCTCCCCACCTCGACTCCTCCTATCCACCCCGATATATCATTGCTTATTGCTTGCCTGTATAATACATTGCGTCTATACCTACCTAGGTACACAAACTAACGGCTCTTTTACTTTATTTACAGGAGGTAAGCGAAATGCTAGGCGGCAGAATTACAAACCAGGACGAGGACGAGGTCGAAGACGAATTAGCCGCCCTCGAACTAGAAGTCAACGGCCCGGCGAAACTACCCAACGTGCCGGATACCAAGATACCCCCGCCTCAGATCAAAGATGCGATGCCGCAGGAGCCGGAGCCGGAGCCGGAACCGGAGTCGGAGAGGAGAGCCATGCTCGCTGCATAAGAGCAGCGGATTATAATATTTTACAACTAACCTAACTGCATAATGAATGATTGGCGGAACCTAGAAAGAAGAAGAGTTTTGGATCTGGATATCCAGGGTGGGGTAAGGTAGGGGTGTATAGCATATAGCATATAGCAACCTTAGGATATTAGTCCTCATTTTTGAAGCAGCACGGGATCGCAATTCCTCCTATTGGTAAATGGACGTTTCCCCAGTGTAGAGCGAGGGAAGGAGAGAATATAGATGAGCTAGCATTACGAACACGGATAGTTAACCTAGGGGTATAAGTCGTATAATTGCATAAATAGACAATACAGGTTCACTTATCCTTTCGTATTATATAGGTACCTAGTTATTATATACATTTCTTACCAACAGCTCAAATGAAAATGCTAGTCTGGATAGGTATATTCGAATGACGTCGTTTGTATATAATTGCCCCTTTCTGGATCAAAAGCTCCGAGTACGGAGAATACCGCCTCTTCTTGTAGGTATACTATCGTATACATGTATCTAGCGAGTATAAATACATACCCGTACCCCTGAATATCCAACTCCAACAAGAAACAGGTAAAAGGACCTAATAAAGCTTTTTCCAGTCTAACTCTTATGGAGCATTGTAAGAGAAACGCTCGTCCTAGATTAACCATATCCACTATCTAATAGCGTCCCTGCTAGCCTATCAAACAGCGAAAATGCTGACAACAATTCCATGCAACCTCATTGGTCAATGGCCCGTATCCACTCAGCTACGCACAATTTCTTGTAAATCCAACATGCAACTACGTCATGAAGATTATCACAAGTCTACGCAAAACCATGGCAAGGGTAACATTCCACACAAAGAACGGGGGAAAACGCGATAGATCTAAGAGGGGGAAATTTGCGTCTATGTTCAATTACTGGCGACAGATTATATTATCCGATCCAAGCCTTCCTGTAGAAGCCTGAACTCCTAGCACTCCGACCGGGTGTATAATGCTGGAAAAGAGGAGATGGATATATATGATCTAGCACCGACCCCGGTGCCGCAACGCAACGCAACGGTCTAGTGGTCTTCTATAAGTACACAACTGGCCGATCCTGTCTATGCTATGATGGTATTGGTACACGTTTTTCTCGTAACTTCGTTTATGCCGTAGATTCCTTGAGGAAACTGTAAACAGGGTTAGTGTATAGAAGCTTTGAGATTCTTTCAAGCAGAGAAAAACTCACGTAATGAGGTCGTTTCGGTCCTTCTCCTTCTTTAGACCACCGAACGCCATCTTGGTACCGGGGATGTACTTCTTGGGGTTCTCGAGGTAGTCGAACTAAGCAAAATGTCAGTAGAGTCGCTTTAACTAATATCGCCTAAACATTACATACCAGACTGCTCTCGTCCCAGGTGACACCCTTTTGCTTGTTGGCGTCTGTGTAGGAGAAGCCCTCAACCTGACCACTCTTTCGGCCGAAGAGACCGTGTAGAGCAGGGCCGACCTTGTTGCCCTCACCCTCCTTCAGAGTGTGGCACTGAGCACATCGGGTCTTGAAGAGGTTGGCACCCTTCTTGGAGTCACCTAATAAAATTGTAATGTCAGTTAAACTGCTTGACCACAATATGTGCGCTGCTTGTATCCAGTCGCAACAACCAGCCCGTCAATCAAAGAGAGCCGTTCCGTAGTAAAACTGAAGGCTACCCGCTCCTTCTGGACCTTGTGCGACTGCATGATAACAATCCTCAACGCCACCAAGTAAAATAGCGCACGCAACTGCGACATCCCAGACACCAGGTCTCAAAATGCAATAAGCACGCAGGTGAGCAGCCGATATGATAGAGCTAGAGATATTGTATCCCGTAGACACTAATCGCAGTCGTCCTGGCTTTTGATGGTGGCTCAATGGCTCGAAAGGCGGTGACATATAGGCTGTCACGCGGCCGGAAAAAAAATCAAGCAAGACGTAAGGGAGTTGGTGTGTACATACCGGCAGAGAAACCCATGTTGTCGTTCGAAAGTAGGGAAGTGAAGGAATAATTATTACTTTATTAATACGCGAGAGTACGCAGGTCAAACTGTTCCGTCTGTAGAAAAAGAAGGTGGACGTCTAAATAGTGAAGTTTATGGGACGGGAGAAAAGGGAAAGGGAGAAAAAAAATCGGCGCATGCTGGGAATTTTTAAAGCGATGAGCTCAGCGCGGGCTTTGGCAGACATGGGCTTTCGGCAAGGTAGTACGGAAAGTTGAGCCACTTTGTGGCGCGTGCACTTCCGTTCCGACCAATAGGGTTTTAGCTGAAGTAATACGCTTCCGGGGAAAGCCGATTCTACAGCCTTTTTAGGCTTTCTTTTCTTCTTTTCTTTCCACTGGGGCGGTTTGATTCCACTTTGATTCACTAACTAAGAAATATGGGGGCTATAGGTTAGCCAGTGCCCGACCAGTAACGAAGGACGAATCTCGGGATTGAAACTACCTAACATACATACATGGTACCTACACTAGGTATCTAATGGTGGAAAACTTGGGAAATTTTTAGACGGATCCAGATGATGTGTAATTCCTATGCTGTGTTTTGACGAGACATTATGTACTTGCGTTGAATTACAGATAGTATTACCTGTCAAACCCACTATAAGCTTATAGAGTTACCTATCATTTGTATTAACGTGGTAATTTAGGTGCAGTTGTAAGCATCATGGTTCTTAGGTCCTTTAATGCAGATGGAAAGTACAAAGATGAGTTGTCAACCCCTCAAGAGCCATATTAATACCAAGTATTATTTACATATCTAAATATCTTAGGTATTGTGGGTAGTAATAATATGTCTTGTTTCGGTATAGGTATGCTTGCCTACCTATCTTTATCTTCGGTCTAGATCAAGTTCTTTATGTATCAGCCATCACCGGAGATCTACAAAGCCCTTGCATTTCCTCGCGTCTGTGCGCGTCAAGTTTGTACCACTTTCCCATCATATCGTCATAATGCTAAATCCACGCGTGTCGATGCATCTAAACTCGACCTTTATTTTACTCTCAATTGGAACCTGGGGACGTACGGACTGTAGAAATGAGCTAAATATAGCGCTGCCCAGAGAAAAGGGCGTATTAATACTACTTGGCGAGCTTGAGACGACTTGAGAACCATCCCTCAGATCGTTACCTACCAATAAGGCCCACGCATCTTTCGTTCAAGCACATCGACGAAATGTCGAGAATGGATACCCGTTTTCCTCCCGGATATTACTCTGCCACCGAATACTGTTTTCACGAGGAACAGGCCGACGCTATTGTTCGAACCGCAGCTTACCATCGTAAAGATTACTGTCGCTCTGTGATATGGTTCTCGCCTCGGGAACATGTTGGTATTCGTCCATCGATAGCAACACCTTTCCAGCGGGATTCTCATACGGGACTCGGCCCTCTAGATCGCCTACCCCTCGAACTCTTGTATAACGTGCTATTACTTTTGGACATGCGTTCTCTGTTCAACTTTCGACAAATAAATCTTAGATCGAGACGGGCGGTTGACTCTCTCAGGCAATATCAGATGGTGGTCTCCTATGGACTGAACCTTTTCTGCGCTTTGCTACGAACGCAACTTGCTAGCACTATTTCTCTTGCCGACTTTTACTACGCACTATGTACCAAAGCTTGTACTTTTTGCGGCGAATTTGCCGGGTTTATATCCATCTTAACCTGGAATCGATGTTGCTTTAAGTGCCTCCGAGAAGCTCCGGAAGGCAGAGTGCAATCTCTTAGAGCTGTCCGAAAGAAATTTCACTTGCCTACGGCCGGGTCAGCTCAATTAAGATCATTAAAGGTTCTACCCGGGATATATTCAATGAACGAGACTGTATACAAGTTCCGTATCGCGGTCGTTTCTGTTCACCAGCTCACATTAGTTCCCAGACACGATGTATCAGGGTGGGTGATACCGGAAGGAAATCCAAATTTCAGGTTTATGGTATCCTGCGCACTTCCTTATTTTGATAGACAAACCGGCAAGGTCGAATGTGGAATGTCGTGTGCCGGATGTCAGCTCGCTCTCGAAAAATGCATCATCGGCTCCAGGGGCGAGAGGTGGGCATTCGAGGCCCGTGACAAGGTATATGCGCAAGATGGCTTTTTGGAACACTTTCGACGGTGTGAACAAGCCCAACTCATATGGAGATCGAGTGATGAGGGTAAGAGCCAGTCGACCGAGCTGCCCGAGGCTGCCCGAAGAGGAGGCTACTTCAAAGAGAGAGAATAATAAGAAGGATTTAGAAACAATTCGTCTATATATTGCGGCTAAGCTATTTACAGAGTGTTCGTCATGAACAAGTTACGTTCTCTCGTCACTTGAACAAAAGTCATACTAGTCAGTGCATCGGTTTATTCTAAGTTGAGGAATAGATAGGTGTAATAATATGTAGGTAGCTTGCGCGTTTTAAAGGGACGGTTAGCACACTTAACGACTAGTAGTTATAAGTATAACAACCGTAATTAGAGGGGGGAACTCCCAAATCAATTTAAATGGGTTGGGTATTTTAAGCAAATTATATAACATGTTTATACATAATACTTAAAGCTTAGTTAACTATAGTTATAGGTTAGGAGGTAGTTTAACTAGGTACTTAATATTTCACTCTTCCCTTATCTAGGATATTTTACTGGCGCATCTGGCTTGACGAGGTGCTTTGGACAGTAGTTAGTCGAATTCTTGCACCATTCTTTAACAATTACATTGCATTTGACATTGGTTCCCTGGCGCTCCGGGCACTGAATGAACTCCGTCTCCTTCTTGCAGCCACATGTATAAGCGATATATTTTGATATACACATTTCTTGACTAACAGGATACTACAAATTAGACCAGGCTCAGATATAAGGGATAACGGTTTCCTTACGATGTGGTATAGTTGAATGACTTATACACGCTCGCTAATGTGAATGCAAACGACTTTGCAACAAGCGAAGCCAACTACGCTATCGAGACCCTAGGTAGTAGTTGTGATAGTTGGCTGATTTTAAACATAGGCGCCAGGGTTGTTGCCGATGCAATGAAACGTAGGATAGTTTATTTTCATCAAGTGCTATTACTGTTCAAATAATGTTCCGAGGAGGCACACTTTATAGCTGTCTAACCACAGGTTACACCAGGTCCAGTTCTTGTGTTGGCTGCAAGGTGTTTGAAGCAAAGGTTGTTAGCTGCCGTCTGGATTTCTATAATATGGACATAACCATAACGATCATTCAAATCACCCTCAACGCTACGAAGCCTACTTTTGGCGGACGATTAGTTCGACTAACTTTGCTCTCCACATATGTAAGGGGAGTTGGGTTGGCGATAACAAGCTGATCTAGCGCTCATACCCCCTACATTATAGGTAGCTTAGCCCTTGCTTTGAGACGCGCGCTTCGGACGGCTTAGAATAATAGTCGGGATAGAAAAGTCTAACCTGGCTACGTGCCTAAATTCAATGGAGGTTAAGGGATAAAATACACTTATGCATGTACGTCCAAGGCAGACTCCATATTGTCCTAATGTCACTTGACCAGCCAGGAGGTTTGCTACAAAGGCTCTTCTTACCCACTGGGTTCCTAACATTATGATATTCTCTTCTGTGACATCACATTCGGAGGGATCATAGTCCAATAAAGTATCCATATACCACATTGAGACTGTTTAGGCGTTGCATTTTACTTTAGGGTGCACTTTAAATTATCACACACAGAGTCTCAAGCGAATAGTCTAATAGTGACAATGGTTGGTGATAACTCTACAAACACACCAGTACAGCCAATCATTTTATCCATGGAAGTAGATGACGACGATTCTTTTGAAAGCGAATACCGGCTGCGAATCGGAAACCAAGTCAAGTATCTTGTCGTCTCTCCCGGAACCTTTGATAGAGACACTCTTTCGTTACCCCTTCAGTCCCTACCCCGTCTCCCTTACGACGAGGATTGGACCGTGGCCTGCATTTCACGAGATAAAGCCACCGGCGACTTGAAAACTTCTCTCTCAAGCCGGACACTAGCAGGCGTCAAGTGTCAATGGCATAGTATCAGGGTTGATTGCTTGGAGTTGGAGAAGATCAAACAGCTCACGGCAATGGCATTCGAAGCCGTCCCACAGCCAGCACTTTCATATTCTATCTTCCCAACTACACCAACCACCATGATCGCAAAAATAGCCCGTTTCGAATGGGAGGTGCCTCGCATCGAACAAGAAACGAGAGCATATCAGTTGCTCGAGGACTCCGAGCTGGCTCCACGCTTTCTCGCCCATGTCCACGAGAATGGCCGCATCATGGGTTTTCTACTAGAGAAGATAGAGGGACGTCCGGCTTCCATCCAAGATCTAAGCGTTTGCGAAACCGCCTTAAAGAAGTTTCACGAATTAGGGTTTATACACGGGGACGTGAACCGGTACAACTTTCTCGTCACGGAGAAAGGGGCGAAATTACTCGACTTTGAACGTTTTCAGGAGAATGCTAGCCCCGAGTTGATGAGCAAGGAATTGGAAAACCTGCGTGCCGAATTGGTCGACGAGTCGGGACGCGGTGGAGGTTTTATCTTCCGTGACGATAACTAGTTGAAGTTCAAAATATACTTAGGACATATCAACCTCTAGTTATTTATAAACACCTTTATTAAATCATGCTCATTTTCATTACGTTTAAGCGCATGTTATATGTTAATATGATATAAGAAGAGACTTAAACAAGTGATAGTTGCGGTTAGAGTATTTGTATTACCTAATACATATATCAAGAATAGATTAGTCATACCACCTCAGCTTTTCCATGCCATGTGAAAACCATTTCGGGAATTTCAACCGGCCCCGGCCGCATGGATCGGGAAAAAAAAGAGACTTCGCCGGATTAGAAGTTAAAGATTGCGATTGAAATTTTAAGACTTTGCGCTTCAATTCGTATTGTATAATACCATTTGTATTTTGCAACATAGTCGAAGCGTCGATTAATACAAGCCAAGCTCGCAAACTGATCATCCAGCAGTAGTACAGCAACCCCTTCCAAAAAAACCAAAAAAGCTCCCACCAGCGTTCAAAGCTATACCCCGCGATGGCATCCAAAACAGCCTCCATCCCGCGGTACTTGCTACCCCAATACGGCACGCTATGGCGCACCGCAGCCCTCGCTCGAGCTCCCCTCCTCAGCGCCGAGCTAGGCCAGGTATTGTTAGTGCGCTATACCTCCAAGACCGCAACTCGGACACCTTCATCTTCGACCAAAGCCAGCCAGCACCACCACCACAAGTCGTCGCCCGCCGCCAAAGCCGCCAAGCACTCCGCGCCGACGAAGCCCCTTCCCAAGACCGCGGCCACTACCAAGGCTGCTGCTCCTATAACCAAAGAAGATGAGCCTCCGCAGACCCCGATCCTAAAGACCGCGACCCCGCATGCTGCTGCTGCTGCATCTAAGCCGGTCGCCCCGTCTAAACCCATCGTGCTCGAGAAGCCCGAGCGATTCAACCCCCCGTCCCACGGCGCACGCCTACCGAGGTCGACCCCGGCGCACTACGGAGGCCCCGCGACAGACGCCGAGCTGCAAGCCCAGGCCGCAAAAGCGTACCCGGGGCTACCGCCTCCGGAGAACACATGGACGCACTGGTTCATCCACAGCCGAGGGATTCACTTATTTATTACCTTGGTAAGTCTGCCCCCCTACTACGTACATGCCTAAGTACCTACACACCAATTACCAGCCTTTCTCTACCAACTTCTAACCAAAACGCACGCACTCCCAGGGCACCCTCACGTCCCTAGGAATCTACACCTTCATCGCCAACTTCAACGCCAAATCCCCCTTCGCCAACCTGATCCCACCCATCTCCGAGCTCCCCTGGCACCCCTTCCAGTACCTCGGCGTCGTCATCGACGTCATGCGCATGCACGAGGAACACGAGTCCGCCCTGACCGCCGAGAAGCGCCGCCGCAAAGTCGACGACGTCGCCAAGAGGAACGAGTACCGCAAGGCCCATGGCATGGGCCCCGCTCAGGGATTCTGGGCTACCAGCGATAGCAGCAGTAGCAGCGATAGCAGTAGTACCAAGCCCGCTGAGCCCGAGACTACCGAACCCGTCCCCATCGTCGAGTCTGCTGCGCCCGAGCCCAACCCAGCTGCGGCTGAGTTCACCCCAGACGGCAAGCGCAAGAAGTTCCTCGGGATATTTTAAGCACGGGGACGAATAGAAGTACGAAGTGGCGCGAAGGAAAGGAAGGAATATAGTAGCCGTTACTTATTAGGCGTATGGCCAGCACGAGCTCCACCTCCCCTAGAATATTCAGAATCTCTTTTTCTGCTCCGGAATAAGGCAGGTATTAATTTTATGGTATCGTAATTTCGCGATAAAAGCTATCCCAAGTCGACAGCGTCTAGACCGTCCAATACCTCGTCCGCTATGCCCCCTTTCTCTAGTACCTTTTGCACTATGGCCCCAAGGACGGCTACCTTAGTTCCTCCCCTCGGCGCCTTCCATACGCCTTCCACGTCGTCCGTCTCCGCCGCACGGGCTCCCGGGTCCTTGGCCGCGGGCACCCCCTGTCCCCACGCCGCTGCGTTTACCGCGTTAGGCACTCCCGGCGCTGTTAGCCGCGAGGGCGGGTCTATCGTTCGCACCGACAATAGTCGCAAGTGTCTGCCCGTCTGCAGCTCGCCGTCCACCTCCATCGTTTCCGACGCCTCGTCACTTGATACATTCCTCTCGCCTACAGAGACCGCCAGCGCAGTGTCTGCGACGGCTAGCTCCTCCTTAGATGGGTCGAAAATAATATTGTCGCCTACGGCCATAACCAGCAGGGTAACAGGCGGTCGCGAACCAACCGTGGCGGATGTTGTATCGCTGCTCTGTCGCGGATATATGAATTGCGAGGCATCCCAGTCGTCGTCGAACATGGGGTCCTCGTCTGCTTCGGATTTTAACCGGGGCAGGCGTGTGGAGAGCAGTGCGAGATGGGTCGTTAGGCTAAGGAGGGGTAGCGGGTAGGATAGTGGCGGGGAGATGAGGATGATCTGTTTAAGGTAGGTATATATTAGCATCGTGTATCAATGTATTATATCCACCTCAATTGAACCGCATGATGTCTTGTGCAGCTGTAGAGGGATGTATATAAGACTTACATCAATGTACAGCTTCCAGTGGAATCGTCGGTTGATCCATAACTTCTTGGTAAACTCGCCGTCGGCCAACAGCGCCTCGCTTAGCATCGTAGCTAAGAACACGGTGCTGCTATCGTCGTCCCTGTACCCGGGGATCTCAACCGTGATCTCGACCCAGTCGTTCTCGCCCGACACTGCCTCCTCCCCATCTAGCCCGCCGTCTCCTTGTATCTGCTCATCCTGCGCATTCCCCTCCTTACGCCGCAGCTCCTTGTTCTCGTAGTACACGCGGCTAAGCGGCAAGACACGACGCTTCTCGACCTCGGCTTTCACGCCGACGACGGCCTCGGTGCCGTCTGCGAAACACACGCGCGCGCTGCCGTTGGCGGCGGGCAGGACCCCGGTCTCGGCTGTTAGCGGGCGGAATTGGGCTGCGGTGCGGCCGTCGGGACGGACGGGGGGCGTTAGGGAGAGGGAGGTGTGCAGGTAGGCTAGCTCGGCGGGCGAGAGGAGGAGGTGTTGCGTTGTGGATGATGCCATGATTGGTTGGTTATGAGGGTGGTAGGAAGGGGAAGAAAGAAAAAAAAAAAAGAGGGGAGGGGATGGCCCCTAGATAATTATGAAGAGGGTCGAGTATCTAGACTCGAATATCCTCTTGTCTAAAACGTAACTATAAGTGTAAGATCGCTAGGGAGTTGTTGCGCCTTACTTACTCGTACCGTCGTATTATATAAACGTTTCCGTCTGCGAGGCTGAGGCGGGAGATTTTTTTGAGCTTCTAAGCTCTAAACTAAAGTTGGTGGGGAGTTAGAGATTATTGGTTGGAGCTTATGGTGGGGCTTATTTTTTTATTATCTTTAGATGTTAGGATCGGCAAGGCTTGAGGTAAGGGTATACTTATCGATAGTGTATTAACGGAATAGTCTATTATGCAATAATAAAGTAGTATTGTTTTATATGCGAACTAACTACTTGTAATAAAGGGTAGTTAGTTGTGGGATGTTAAATTCTAATCAATAAGAAGAGTTTGAATTAATTAGATATACTTTTATTGGAAAGTTTCTATATTCAAAGGGATAATGGGATTAGAGCTATAATTATATATAATCTATATGTAGAAGATTATGTGTTGTAGACATTATGTCAAGTCTTAATCATCGATAATAGTATATCTAACCTATGATAATGTCCATCTCGAAGACAACTATCTCCTATTTCTCACTTCTACTATTCATCCACAAGTTATCTATCATATCATAATTCTCACTATCGAATACGCATAAACATTTAGTACTTATGCCAATCGAGGCCCCTCGGATTCCCAATATAGACGACGGCGGACGACGACGGACGAACCGGGGATGCTCGGGGACATATCTCTACGGCGCAACACCGGCGCCGACTCTAAGCCACGTAGGAATTGGTATCATGGATAGCGCCGTAAAGCCGCCCTATCCAAAGGATTTATCTTAAAACGAACCCAAGGTTCTTTTGTCTGCCATGTTTAACGCCGTCTTCAACTAATAATTAAATAAGCAGGAATAAGCAGGATTCGCAGGAAAAGTCTCCGGGATAGAGTCGTGGAACCAATTTCTCGAGTGGCTTCGAATAGAATCGCTGGTGGCAGGGTCCACGATATGTTCCAGGCCCTTCAGCAGCTGGTAAATAAATAGATGTCGTAGTGTTCGTTAAATAAGACGTATCGTTTCCCGCTGTGTTCTACTTTAGATATCTTAACCTTGGACAGGAGCTTCTTAAGTTTCTTTAAGTGTTCGCTATACCCCTAATCTATCCTTACTATACAAAAACTACATCATACCAGACACGATGAGTGGCATGCTCTACCAAGCCTACATGAAATGGCACCCCATCCCTCTCCCACCGTCCGACAGCTTCAAAGACCAAGCCATCCTAGTAACCGGCGGAACCAGCGGCCTAGGTCTCGCAGCCGCCGTACACTTCGTCAACCTAGGCGCATCCGAGGTCATAATAACAAGCCGCAGCGCATCTCGCGCCAAGGCCGCTCTCGAAACCATAGAAAAGGAGACAAAGGGTCGCAGTAGAGATCGCGTCCGCGTCTTAGATCTCGATATGAGCCACTATGCCTCGGTCGTTGCGTTCGCGCAGGAAGCTAAGAAAATCAGGGCGGGAAAGGGGGGTATCGACTTTGCGGTGTTGAATGCCGGTATTTTAAACATGGAATTTTCGCTTGGCGACGAGGGATCGTAAGACTCTTTTCCTTTTTGGCTTTATAAGACTTATGTATTTGTTCATCAGATACAAGTGATAATCCATCTTGTACTTCGTTTACCTAGTTAACTAACCAGCACAAAACCCACAGAGAGCAGAACGTCAAAACCAACGCCCTCAGCACAGCGCTCCTAGGCTTTCTCCTCCTGCAGTGGATGAAAACAGAGCGTCCTAACCGCTCAGCACCTGCACATCTAGCCGCGGTCGGGTCATCACAGCACTTAGCCCCGAATACCAATGACTGGACAAAATGGGCCTCAGAAACCGGCATCCTGGAGCACTTCAACAAACCCGAGAACTGGCCCGGGTCTAGCCCCATGTACGGCGCCACGAAGCTTCTGGCGCAATATGCCGTAAATGAGCTGGTCGAGATGTCACTAGGTCCGGATGGACGGTAAATTTCCTCTTGTTTCCCCCCTTTCGCTGCAAACATATGTCAACTAATACCAACACCCCGTCCCCAGCCCAGAAGTCATCATAAACACCATGTGCCCCGGCATCGTGAGGTCAGACTTACCGCGACAATTCATGAATCAGAGTGTAGGCTATCGCATCTTCATCGCGATATACTTCAGCATATTCAGTAAGACGGCCGAGAACGGTGCGAGGACGTACGTGGCGACTGGGTTGACTAAGGAGAACGAACATGTGAGCGATATTTCTCTTCCCCTTCGTCTTTATTATTTACCTACCTACAAGTTGGTTCGGACAGCTGACATCGTGGGGTTCAACGTACAGGGGAAGTTTATCAGGTTCTACGGTTCCGAGGCCGAGTATCGAAAGTAAGTCTAAGCTTAAGGGTTGGTTCTCGTGCTGGTATGGCTAATACGTAGCGTAGAAAAGCAGAAATACTATTGACAGGAGAGGCTGGCAGGAAAATGCAAGCCCAAGTCTGGTCTGAGATGAAGGCTGATTTTATCGCCAAAATTCCCAACGCGAAGGAAGTGTTGGGATTATAGATACCGTAGCTAGTCTAAGTTCGTTTGAATTGGACTTGTCGTGACACTGTTAGACTGGGATAATGTAAGATATTAAATATAAGTTGGACTTAAGGTAGAAGAGTGTTTACCTGCATCGATTATCAATTTCAACAAAGCCGGCCGCCTTTCTATGTTACTATAGCTATAGGTCGAATCTAGGCTGTGAAATCCGTTCATGTGAATCTATCTTGTATTCGTAACCTTGTGCCTTACTCTTTCGAGTAGCATCCTCACTGAAAGCCTTGCATTCCTCGCCCAAGCTCGATAATAAGCACGAAAACCGAGACCTCCTAAACTTTTAGGATCTTCGAAAGTCCAAGCACAAATCGTGTATGTAGTTCGGACCGACAGCTGCTACTAATTCCGCAACCATTGCTTTCGCCGATCCCTTTTTGTCAATACTTTCGTTGTGCCACTCAAATAGATCACCAGCATAGCAATATCCTCGCCTAAGGCGTACCGCAATATGATCCAAATCTATCGAGTTCATCTCATCCACTGATGGGATACCTGGCATATTACTACTAAAGAGGGGATATTCTTCATCATCGTCCTTGTGTAGCATTTCTCCTCCATCTTCTTCGATTTCCATCGGCAGAGTGACCTCTGTAGCTTGGGTATGCTTTTCAGCATCTTCCTCGGATCTTTCGAAGTCTAAGTACCCGTGGCTATCGAATTTTTTGAGGATACTCTGTTCAAGGTCTACCCACTCTAACGTGTCCGGGTTGAGGATTTGTTGCGGGGAGAAGTCGATCTTATATTTCATCTTTGGGCATGTATGGATATAAAAGCCAGGATACCACCATCTATACTTCCATTAGCAGGTCTCCTTGAACCTTGACGTTCGATTGTCTCAGTATATCTTGCCACTAAAGGGGGTTGTCTAAGAGGCATAATTGCATGAAGAACGGGATTAGACATTTTCAGGGTGGGTAGGAGTAACTCGAAAAAAAGATTTGCAAGCTACGATAAAGGATTCGTCCGTACATACCGATAACCTTCTTCTATTGCAAGGGCAATCTCCCGTAAAGCCCCAAGTTTTCCAGGACTAAACTTATGAATAGACTCATGGTATAAAAAATAGACACCGCTAACACAGTCTGGGAGAAGGTCTAGGACTCCTATCGCTACTAACTTACCGTCGAGCCTATAGCACTGATGAAATGAACCGACTTGACGTTCTCGTCCATCTGGCGCTGTATACTTCCCGCGCCTCAACGGCGAGGTGCAGAGAAACCTCTTAAACCCATCGCGAGAGATAGACGATGGAGATTCTTCGTGAACGACCTGTTGATAATTTTCATAAACCAGAAATTTCTCCTCGGTAAACTCATCAGGTTCTAGCGTAACGGAAAAGGTGTGAGCCGGCTCGGGTGGCTGCTTCAGCAGTAGGCTTTCACATTCATGGATCCTCTCCACCAAGTCAAACTCGGTGTCTCGCTTCCGAGCCTGCTCGCGCGACCTCGGATGTAAGCGAGCTGCTTCCTTTGAATAAGCATCTCCTACGACGTACTTGTTGAAGCGGTTGACGGCTTGCCGCTGATCTCTCGTCGTCCGAAAACGGTCGGAGTCAAGGCGAATAGAATAATGCGGACAACAAGCATCTCGTTGATTTGGTCTGTAGAGTAGCGCCCCGGATCGTCTCCAACACCGGTCGACCAGAGTCTGATAGTTGGCAGGGCTCATAGATGTTGCACGTGCAAAATAGGAGTGGCCTGAGGCGTAGTGTAAGTAAAATGCTGCTCAAATCACAATTGCAAGAACCACCATGTGGTTAGACCAGAGCCCCTTGTAGGACGCTACACGAAGCAGGAGACTCAACGCAGGATACAACGACAACTGAACAATATACACGAATAGCCTGAAAATCAGTGGGTAGGCAAGTATGGCCGAAGGGGCATCGGATCGTAAACAGATGCTAGTATGATGAGGTAGACATACTTTTCTGTGACCGATCATTTTTACCCTTAGGACGGCAGTAGCCGCAGCTAGATGAACTTCTATACCCTATAAAGAGTTAGTCACAGAGCGTCTACGTAGGTATCATGAGATGCAGAGTCTAGTCTTCAGGGCGAGCTTAGTAAGAAGTAGTTGACCCGGAAAGTAGATATAGGAGTTATTGACGGTCACTTGACTAGGCCTGCGAACATCTGATCCCGGAAAGGGAATAAGGAGGCAGCATCTCGGGAACATAGCGGGAGTCGGGAGTATGCATGAGATGTCGAAGCGGAATATAGAATGAAGACGGGTTGAGGTAACACGCGATGATACACCGGCTAGCTAAGAGGTTACGATTGCACGGCTGGCGAGATTCGCACGAGGTGAGCAAAGATGCTGGTAGGCTGTGGCTGATATCCCGACATTTTAATGGTAGCTTGGCATAGGCGACTCCAGATGAACATGTACGAATAGAGCATGTAACAAAGCATGTTTGAATATGCATCTGAATATGCACGTCTCTCCCAGCTGCTCTCTTGGAGCAATGCGGCGCTTTCAGAGACGCCAGTGGGCTGGTAGTGGCGCGCCAACGAACATGACGGAGAGTTGTATTCCCCATAAAAACCGTATGCAAAGCAAGCTGGCCAACGACAGTGTCGCAATGGAGCACGGGTCCGAACGGTTGGTCGAGGGCGTACAGGAGCGGCTCGGGGTATATAGAGGTAGATGGACTTAAAGCAAAGATCTGACTCACCAATTGGCGATATATACAAAAATGCATCTTCAGGGGGGGCCTGCATCCTTTCTAAGTAGCGCCCTGCTGGCGGATGGCTAGGCTTTTTAGATGGTCAGACAGGCAGACGGGACAGGGCACTTGATCAGAGAAGACAGCTCACGCGCGTGGGCAGGGATTTATGAATTATTTGGCAAGGGGACAGAGGACAGAGGACGTACGAGGTGGATCGGATGAAAGAGTCGGTGTTGAGTCAGACGATGAGGTTGGGGATAAAGTACCTCTATAGCGATCAGGGTACGAAGTTAGAATATTATATTATAATATTAGGTAGGTATTAGGTAGGCATTTATTGCCTGGTAATCTTCTTTTGTAGATGGTTTTTATGATTTTATGCGTCGAGAAACGTTGGCGTGGCGTGCTGTGACCTGCATATCGAGTTGTCCGAGTTTAGGTTGAGCGGCTAACACACAAAGAGGAGAAAGGTAAAAAGGGGAACAGAGAAGACGGGGAGCTTGGTAGTAGGTAGGAGGTAGGAGGTATTATTCGGGTCTACCAGGTACCTACCTTGATTGGGTATTTATCTGCATTAATAAGGTAGGTACACCTTTATGGTGACTACCTTCCCGTTACATTGGCAGTTCGATTGTTTCTCCAAAGGCAGCGATGCCAATCGTTAGGAGGTATTCGTACTATAGGTTAGGTACTTAAGGTAGGTACTTGATGCACGTACTTAGGCAAGTTCTGGATTAAAGAGTCGCATGGCATTATGCAGGTGCTATGACGAATTATACAACCTAGCCTAGAAAATCGACTGTATAACAATTAAAGTATTGTCATAAATCTAAAAATCAATCCATTGAGTTTAGCAAGACAAGATAAGAAACATTACTCTGGGATAATTCTAGGAACGAACAAAGTAGTAATGCCCGGAATATTTCATTTTTCTACAATCGATACTTATAAAAGAGCAATTGCAGATTTTGAATAGAAGTTTAAGCAAATTAAAGGCTTTCCTCTGCGTGTACATATATGTGCATGTGCATATGTGCGTATATAGTAGGTAGGTATGTACGTATATATTATCATATAAGCTTCTATCTAACCTATTGGTTTAGATACCTAGGTAGGTAGGCAGATAGGTAGAGGATACATAGGATAGATCTCTATTTAGGGTCGAAATACTACGTCATTAACCTGGGTTGGTTTTGTCATGCTGATGGACTTTGTCTTTAACACTTTTGATGTATTGGCATACGTCTATGCCGGTAGTAGATATAGCGGTGTGTCGTATATCGTAGTCTTATATACATTAAATATACGCTGAGTGTTAGAAGGATTCCCCTCTACGATATGTCTCAGTTGTAGTTGAACTGGGGAACTCGGTGATCGACGGTAGGATGTAAGCGAGGGGTAGATCCGATTCAAAGCCATACCGACCAGCCCGCCAGCCCGCCAGCCCACTTACCTTGTGTAGCTATAAAAAACAAGTGCCGGCCAATTAGACCTACCAAGTAAAAGGAGTTATACCTTCAACTGGATGTAACACCAGAGTTCAATAGTAACCAACACATGCGAGTAATACGTGTTTAAAATATGTACGCATTAGCTTGCAGTAGAGACTATCCAACGAGTATGAAAATGCATATACCAGATGCATAGCCAAGTTCAAGGGATTTAACTACATAAAAAAATTGCGTGATGAAGTGGAATATTAGGATATAATTGTATAACTTTGTGCATGGGATGGTACATGTATGTATTAGTTTAATATCGTGGGAATGATGAATGAACGAACTAAAGAAAATCATATAGGATTTGAACTAACGAGTTATACTTCTCTCCCGCGTTGAGGTAACTACGCGAACATAATGAAACTTTCCGAACGATGTGCGTGGGGTATATCATATATGATCTATGTAGGTATGCTGCTATATGCATATAAAGGGGTACGGCCAGATTGATGTAAACTCCGTTTTGAGAAAAATTTTCTCTTCTCTACCTTTCTCCTCCACTCTTCTCATAAAAATATTTACAAATATCTATTTCCCTTTCGATGGGAACCCCCTGTTGAAACGGGCATCTCCTTAGCTTCGGCCTTCTGCCCGTAGCCAGAAGTTATCATACTCTGGTCCCTTTAGCACCTTTCCGCTGCCCAGGTGCTATGTATAGTGGTACGTACACTACGATATAAGCGGCGGTCGTTGCTGCTTTCAAAACATCGTGCATGTGTTTCTTATACCGAAGCATACGTGTTTCTATGTACCTAAGGTAATTCACCCACCCACTCAAACACGCCGGTCTTCATACATAACATTAGTGGTACATAATGTAATTGAACTGAGTAAGGTACCTAATAAGATAGGTATTCAAGGTAAGCCGGTAAGCAAATAATATAGGTACTTAATGTATCTTAATTGCAGTACTTACCTACAAGTTATACAACTTGGAATACAACTTGGAAGTTATTTAAAGCTATCCGGTACTTCCAGCTACTTGTTCGTGCGTCCATCCTACTTACCCTTGTTATTGTGGCGAGCTGTATGGCTTTGCCTTGCCTTGTCTTGCCTTACCTCACCTGGCATTGAATATGTACCGAGCAACAACGCACGGGGATGCTAGTACGGTACAGATAAGTACGGTACAGATAGTTTACAGATGGAAGGAACATATAGCAGCATGGAGGTTTTAGGTAAGTAGCTAGGTAAGTATTTAGGTACCCTTTAGGTAGTTTTGGGCCCTGCATCTCACAACCTTACTAAAGGTAAGTCGTACCTACCTGCCTACCTGCCTACCTAGCTCGTGCTTTCGCCCTAGTCCGCGGCTCCTCGTCTAAGCTGGGGGCTCCTTTTTTTTTCTCCCTTTAGAAAAAAAAAAGAGAAAGTACTATAAAACCCAACTCAGCCAGCTTTTCCTTGTCTGTGCCCCTCCATTTTTATTTCAGTTATGGCACGAGACTTGCAACGTTCGTGCTGGTCTAGCCAGAACAGCAACTTTCTCCTTCGCTCGTTAGTGGCTCAACCTCAACCTCAACACCGTGCCAGACATCCTGGGCATCGTGCTCCCACTCGCCAACAAAGCACCTGTGCGCTTCCTACTTGACCGCCGGATATTCTATTCTGTGCTCCTTCTCCCCACAAAAAAAATTCCGCTGCAGAATCCGAAAGACGTCGGCCTATGCGACGATTTCGTCTCACCTACCCGCAACCTTGACTCCTACAAAGCCCCGGGATCCGCCGCACTTTTCTTTCCAGCGCTTCCGTAACGCACCCCCCGAACTTCTGAAGAAAAAGCCCGAAGTCACACGTGGGTCCGAATGAGCGTGTCTATGTGGACGTCCAATTTTGCCAATACCGCTCACTATTCCCTTTCCTTGTTGGTTGCCAGGGCCGGATTCCTAGGACATTACAATACAGTTATTCGTGCATTGAGCATCGAGCATTAAACATTGGAGAACCAACCGTAGACGGAAGCTCGAGTAAAAAGAGGGACAAGAGAATTGATTCGTACACAACCCCCAGCATCACGAGAACGCGATCATCATATCACCGCGCCCCCCCCAGATAGACGACTTCGCACAATTCTGAGACTTTCCATGACCATGCAGCTCAACATTTTTCGGTAAAGCGCCTTAATTCCAGCTCCATCTGGCCGGCACACTCTGCCCAGGATCATCCCACGACTAAACTAACCCCGGTTTTCCCCGTCTTGATTTTCTCCCTAGGCAGAGCTAGTACATCCGCGCCGTTCTACTCATTTTACGACTTACAAAATGGCGTCCGGCTCCTCGAATCATCGTACAATGGAGTCTCGTACTGGTAGAACAAAGCAACGTAAGTTTTGTTACAAGATTCTCGGTGGATTTGTCTTGATTTGTTCTCGTGGCGCGCTAGTTTGTAAACCGCCTACCCCATAGACCAACTGACCCTTGAATTTCCAGGCTATAACTCGAAGGGTGAACGGTTGGTAGCGGGAGTGGTCCCTCTCTCGGAAGACCGGCTATACGTTTTACTCATCCAATCGACTCGGAGAAAAGGCTGGGTTCTTCCAAAAGGTGGATGGGAATCGGATGAAGAATGTACAGAGGCCGCTGAACGCGAAGCCTGGGAAGAAGCCGGTATAACAATCCGCATCGACTATGATCTCGGCGAAGTCATTGACTCGCGGCCGCCTAAAAGGTTGTCCAAGGATGCTCCTAAAGCTCTATATCGCTTCTACGAGGCTACCGTCCTGACAGAGGAGAGCAACTGGCCTGAGAAGCACAAGAGAGAACGCCAGTGGTTTACATACACCCAGGCGAAGGAGGCTCTTTCTGATCGACCGGAGCTGCTACAGGCTCTCGAATTATCTACTATGCACAGAACATAAGAATCCGGGTGTAACCGAGAAGAGCCCTTCTTCAATCTCCCTCTCACAGTGCAGTTCGGCACGCGTCTTTCTATTGTCCATAAGATCCATTTGACCACGTTCTAATCTGGAAAAATTGCATAGACCAGGGTTCTGGAGTTGTCGGTATCTCTCGAGACATTTCTTTCTATCGTGCGGCATTATAATACTCATCTCCTTGACCCTTTTGTTTCTTACTAAACCGGAAGGGGAGAACTGGTCGAGATGATGAGCTTCGGTGTTGCTGATATCTCATGGATGCCTGTTCTCCCCACTGCTGTTTACTAATGAAAGAAGACATACTAAGCTTGCATAGAACTAGGCGTTGTTGGCAACATGGTATAGAAGTTGTTGAAATCAAGATTGGTCGGCAGCGGCATAACATACACACGCCCTAGAAAACTGGCGTTAAATGGGTACACACATCTACAAATCTACCTAAGTAGTACTAAGAAGTAGGAGAGGTTTCGAGCTTCTCGAAATCTCGCCTGTTCGGGGCGAATTACCGCCGCGTTCTCAGCTAATGCGGGTGGTTGAAATAATACATTTACCAGCTGGATTTGCTGCATGTCAGTAACAATACGTGCGTGCATGCTCCGAGCGGGTGACTGGTATAAGGGGTCAGATGAGAGTCCCCGTTAAACCCCACGCGAAGAATATACCAGTACATAGACCCCCATTTCCGTATTAGTGCCATCACATTAGGACTTCCAGAGACGGGGTTAGGTTAATTGGTGCTCTTGTGCCCGGATAGGGGTGGCGGTGCCAGCTCGCGTCGTAGTTGGCCCGGTAGAGCCTGCACGATGGCTCTTGGTACTGATCCTACTGACGTAGATGCGAGACGCAGGACGTAGACGTAGCAGCAAGGCATACGTGTAGGTACGTAAGTAGTAGGTAAGAAGGGAGTAAACAAATGGTAAGTATCAACTCGGTATCCCGAAGCTCCCGACACATAGGTAGGCATGTATGTATGTATGTATGGGTTGAGTTGGTTTTGGAATATATATGTACATTTATCTTAGGTATACATACCTACATTCACCCGTACATTCATACAGTTACCCCCCAGCCCGCTATCATGGACCGAAGCTTATCCCTTCTAGCTGACCGGGCCTGCTTCAATCGAGGCGCGTGCCTAGCTGCCTTCCTGGGCACTGACTAATGGGGGCGGCGTGTTGCATCTACCACGTATGCATGTATATATGTATGTATGTAGGTATGTATGTATGTATGTCTCGCCGGGCTTTCGCTTTCCATTCCTGGTTCTGGGTTGTTGGCGTGGGGGGAAGGGAGGAAGGGAGGGACTGGCTGGGTTAATTAATCCAAACCAAACTAAACTAAACTAAACCAACGTGTTGTGTTCTTGATTCATCATATTGGATACTGATATTTACCTAGGTATGCTTACTTGTCTATCTACCTACCCGTGGATATACATACCTAGGTATGTAGGTATGTAGGTATGTATGTATGTATGGCTGGGTAGAATCGGATATATGGACGAGACTAGACACGAGATATACGTCATGAGATGAGGCAAGCTCGACCAGAGACGAGGTAAGGTTGGGGGTTGGGGGTTGGGAGAGGACGAATTGCTAATGTAGATACCGAGACAGATGTGTTATATAACTAAATTAATATGATAGGTAAGTTAGATATGTAGGCATAGGTATATGTATAGGTACATCTCCAGTACGTCCCGTCTCGTCTCGTCTCGTCCTGGCAAGGCTCTGCTTTAGCCACAATGGATTACTTCCATTCCTCTTGATTCCTTGCTCCCCGTTTCTTTCCCTTCTTATCCCCTATTTCCACTCCCACTTCCACTTCCACGTTAACTCGGCTAGGCTAGGCTAGACTGTGGTATCGTCTCACAAATTACATAGATATCCCATCATAGCACAGCGCGGAATCGACTATTGCCTGCCACTCGCTCACTGCATCTATCTGTTGACCAGCCTTGCCTTAACTACCTATACACCTTAGGTTAGGTATACATCCTAGTTACCGCCGAAAGGCCAATTCGGGCCCCTGCTCGCCCTCACCGTGTCACTAGCACCGCCGATTTCAGCCGATTCGCGCAGTCTACGCTCCGTCTCCTTGCGCAGCCGTGCCGTGACGCCGTTTAAACCCGTGCGGTTCCTGTTCATGATAGCCTCGGCGGCGGAACCCTTGGGCGGGCCGTCGCGCACCTTAGGGAACGTGGCGACTATATTACTGTCAGTTACCTCTTCTTTTGCAGGAAAAGGGTCTTTGGGGGCAAGTGAAGCTCGGTAAGTTCCATTAGGAACTTCTTACTACGAGGATAAGATGAAAGGGGGGGGGGTAATAAAAATTCAGTCACATACAGCTAGCACCCGCGTTCTTGGGACGCCGAGGCGGCGACTGGCCGTTGTCGCTACCATTAGTACTCATGGTTGTCATCCGTAGGCTAGCCGTGTTCGTGTTCCGCATCGGGTTCATTGTGGCTACAGTACGCGCCGTTGATAGTGTCCAGTTCGCTGGTGAGGGTTCGGCTGATTCCACATCGCTGCTGTCACGAAATCGGAGTCGGTTCTGGCTGGTCATTGTTGTTGTGCGATTAACTGGATTTATGTCGGGCTCCTCTGCCGCTTCCGAGTTTCGAACAGGCCGAATAGTCGCTCGTGCCGGTTCTGAAATCTGTGGCTCTATAGGTGATGCCAGCATTGTTGGCGAAGCTGGCGAAAAGAGCTGCGGCTGGGGTGGTGGTGTTGACACCGCAGCCGGTGCTGTCGACACTATCGGCATCTCTACAGGGAGTGATGGCGCCGGGGAGAGTATCGGACTAAGTAGAGCTTTTTGATCTTCCTCTTTGCCTTTTTCTTTCCCCTTATTATTATTATTGCTGCCCACTCTGATAAGTCGTACACTTGTTGCGCTCTTGACGCTATTATCTTTCTTCAACCTGAAGCTTGTCGGCGAGACGCCGTAGACATCGGTATTAACAGACGCCTTGCCGTCATTATTACTGTAAGTACTTCGCGCGAAACCAATATCGCTTGGACTTCCTGTGTTGGTTTTCTTTTTCAAAAAGGGGCTCAAGGTCAAGTCCGGAAGCTTGAACTTGTCCATTGGATAACCGGTCCCACCACCAAACGGCGTAAAACGGGGAGTTCCCGGCGTGCCGCGGACTGCGATTGGTTTTTCATACTGACTCTCGTTGTTATTGATTGCTGTAGCTAGACCCTCGCGATCACGTCTCTTATTTCGTCGATAGCGTACGATGAAGCACGAAGCGATGGTTGTTAGTACAGCTGTACCGAGCACAGACACGGTGACTATTATGGCAACATTCGTGCCTGAGACCGAGTTAGATTGTACTTGCGATACGATAGAACTTGCATCGCCCTATTTCACCATGTTAGCTGAAAGTGGCGATACATCTGCGAAGGCAGAAACCCCAGAAATACGCACCCTAACACCGCTTGCATCTGCCCTCGCCTCCTGAATTTGACTCGCAGCTATGTTTACTGCGTTCGCAGCGCTCGAGCTTGCCTCAACCATAGCGGCGCTGATTACGCTACTGGCGCTGCTCTGAACGCTAGCCAAGTTAGACGATATCCGGCTGCTCATACTTGATAGCGATCGCGATATATCGTCACTCGCGCGCGCGCTTGCCGCAGATACGGCGCTGGTTGCCGACGACTGGGTTTGCGATAGTTGCCGATTAGCATCGTCGGCGTTCTGGTTAGCAGACCGAACCGCTTGATCAGCAGATTGCCGGACAGATTGCGCGGACTGAGATACGAGACTCATGGCCGAAGAAGCGCTTGATGACACGGATGATATGGCTCGTGTCGCGGACTCTGAAAGTGACCGGAGCTGTTGCGAGAGAGCCTGGATTTGGCCATCGTCCTGGCGCTTCTGCGGCGGCGGCGTTGGTTGGGGAGTCGTTAGAGCTGGAGCTGCCTGTTCTTTAGGACTCCTTCTCGTTGAGTCCGGTATCGTTTCTACTATAAATCTCTTGACCGTATTATCCTCCTCGGCAACTGCATGATTGAAGTCATTCCGTAAGAATGAATATTCGTCTTGTGGCACCCTAGCCACCTTGTGTAATACCAACTCGCCATCTTTCCCAACATCCTCATTAGCCCATATCCCTATCGTGCCCAGCGCGATTAGTAGACAACACCGCAAGAGCCCGCTCTTCAACATTATTCATGAGCCCATAACGAGTGACGTGAACTAGTACTTGTCGCCAGGACGATGTCATCAAGACGGAAAAGAATGCGAGAGAAGGGAGAGAGAAGACTGATAGACAGCGTTGAAACGAAGAGCAGGGTCAAAGCACATATGACAGCTTCTAGCCATCGACAGCTCCGTCGTTTTCCATCTTTCTTGCTCAGGTTTTCCTACCTTACCTACCCTAGATAGGTACTAGGATCCGATCTTGCTAGGTCGACAGGAGAGATTTCATGCGGACAACGGTTACCGAGCTATTGGTGTTGAGCCCGGGTCGGGAAAGATGCGTGTGATAAAACCCCTTGCAGGAGCACTAAATCGCGAGCCGGGGTCTGTCTGATCGCCTTGGTCGACCTAGTGAGTCTTTACGTGGGCTTGGTTAACTGTATGATCTACAATTAGAAACAAGCAGAGAGTAAATCGACCAGGTAAGTCCTGTTAAGTGTAAGTCGCATTGATTTCACATTCGGATTGGGCAAACCGGCAATATTGCGCACCAATAATATCGCACGTAGCATTGCTTTAGGTATGCCTTATACTAACTCCGGCCCAGTAATAACCCCGATTTTGAAGATTTATTTATGGGGGGTTTTTTTTATTACTTGGTTTCTTTATACTTTAGGTGTGATGTGTGCTGAGATGAGTATGTATTGTTTAAGTATGTTTAATTAAGCAAAAGCAATTAATCTTTTATTTGAACTACCTATAAGCAATAAGGGATGTACCTTCTTACCAAAAAGTGAAGAAAATAGCAAGTACGGCTTGTAATACGCGGGTACCCGGATATGCACGTCCCACTTAGCCGGCCGTCTCGGTAGCCCCTGGCCCTGACACTACCGATATATTTAAGGTTAATTGTTAACTTGGGACCGATCATCTGGTCATCTGGCCTTATACCACTACCACCGATTATTCAGACTGGCCAGCCCTTACTTTTTAGATGAAATGTAAATATACAGGTGATATCTTCTAGCTTGGCATATTTCTAGACTCCGTGAAATGTTAGCACGTAGCAGCACTACGTCGTAGACGCAGGGTTATTCCCGGGCGTGGCTGAAACGTACAGTCGTCCCTTTATCATCGGATGCCCGACACCCGAACGTTAGCAACGATTCGACCTCTCGCCTAGAAAAGAGGACGGATAATTTTGACAGATTGCCCCCCTTGCTGTTCAGGTTCAGTATGTAGTATAAGCGGCCAACCGGAAAGGTCCCCTTAGAAATATCTCTGCATGTGAGATTGAGCCAAGAGAATTCCGTGCCGTCAAGGGGAATAGCGAACGTAGTAAGTGATTCGTCTGACTTTCATGTACAGATATTAAGCACGTGCTAATATCAACGAAGATTTATCTACTCTGCGCGTGGTTTTCTTTCTGACTGCCTTTTATCACCTATCAAACATATGGGAGGTTTCTATTACTCGACAACCTACTGGGTCAACTGTTAACATAAATATCGGGGATATTCATTAAATCCTATTCTTCGATTGTACCGTGTTCGTTTTCAAGACGTACATAATAGTCGGACGCTCGGTTTGATAGGCCCAACGTCAAGAACCTCACCGGGTCTGGCCCGAGAAAATATGTAATACATCCATCCAGCAGCGCTTCTTGGGCTAAGGCCAATCTCCAAGCCGTCAAAACACCTATGTAAATGCCAGTGTGTCCCGTCAGTATAGTAGTGGGCTATAGAATATCCGAATCTAATATCCTTGTGCTCCTTGAACGCCTAGAACAAACACATGAATGTCGCCGCTCTCATTTTGGTCGTCGCGGCGTCGAGTTTAGTACCTGCATCGGAACATTTGTTTTCGTCATACCTACATTATCGCATCTACTCTCATGCCCTAGAAAATGACGTCCGCCACTGTTGCGAAAATCGTTCGGCCTCCTTAGCACAGCTATTATCCCCAACGTTAGAACAATGGGCAAACACAACCGCAATATCTCCATCCTTGTACTGCTCGCCATGACCGTTATTGTTATAGGCGTTTATAATTCGTTGAGGAATGATGGCCATTTTTGACAATATTGTTGGATGCCATTGAACAATATGCTCCTAGTACTGGTTAGTACTGTATTCCTATGTTGAATGGGAGTAGGGGTGGAATGGAGACTTACCAAGGCATGCGTCTCTGCTTTCTGGAAGTTATAGCTCCGATATAATGGGTCGAACCAAGTATCAAGGAAGAATTTGGCCCATTCGCCGTTTTTGATGACAAAACTAGTGGAAGATAGACCTTCTTTATCCTGCGTAAGAACGAATTCGACATCGTCTCCTTTAAGGTGTGAAAATGTCTTGATAATGCTATCCGGGGGGACCACTGGGAGATCCTTGAACATGGAGGCTTCGAGTTTGCTGGCGCCCATGACGTAGTCTTCCACTTTCAAATGCGGATTCATAATGAGCGCATTCTGATCGAGAAACCACATATATTTGCAATCGGGGTACTTGGTTATAGCATGGCGCATTGCCACAACTTTCGCCCAGGACGCAGGTGATCCATTGAGGTTATAATCGCTAGCTTTGGCAAGCAATGTGCCGTACCCTGATCAATGGTTAGGCGACGGCCCAAAAATGACCAGGCTGTTGTAAAACCTTACCGTGCTTTTCCGCATATTGCATCCTGTTTTCCCTAATATTCTTGATATACACCGAGTTATCATTCTTGTCATCGAACACAGTTACCAGCACGACAGGGGGTTTCCCCGATATCGCGCGATGTCCTGCGTGTTTCGAGCTGCCGGAAAACACCCATATCAAACCAATGACTATTAGCCCAAAGAAAGCGATCGGTTTGAGTTGACTCCTCCGTATTCTCGGTATTCGCGTAGAACGAGGTAGATAAGGTGGAGGATTCGAGCTTTTTCGAGAGGGATAGGCGTAATGCATAATGAAGGTCGATAGAGAGGATTAATGACCTCTCTTAGGATTATCGAAGAAGATGAGCCAAAAGGCGGGCACTTTCGCCCAGTATCTAGACGCGACAGACGTGGCCACTCTGGCGCAACTGGGAACTTGGAATCGAGAGAATGATGGGCTAGTTAGACGATAAAATTGATGAGTTCTCGTGGCATCAAGACAAGACAATTGTTTGAACTAAATTAGCTATTACTTCAAGTACGGGTAGCGGTTGTAATTTTACATGTCGCAAAAAACCATATGCAGGTAGCAGGTAGGCCATCGCCAGATTGCAATGTGTAGGGAAACTCATTTTGGCAGCACTTTTAATTCAACTTAATTCAACTTAGCGCTATTGGAACAGCCTAGACCCCTGTTGGCTGTTTGACTACCTAAGGTACCTACTTAAGGTACATGTGCTTACCTAAACCATGTCTAATATCAATTGACTCGAGCATATCGTAATCCGTACATATCCGTACATATACATCAATGCTTCATTAATGCTTCATCAACGTAGTCTAGAAATATATATCTCGTAATTACTTCAAGCAGTCAATAACAAATTACAACACTAACAATACGTAATATATCGAAAATAGCCAGGCCACACCTTTATACAAAGACCATTGACGGAAAAAAAAAGGGTAACCCGAATCGAAACAACTCAAAAAGAGCCAACGACGCGATGGGCTGAATTTGCGACGTCCTCGAACAAATCTGCGTGCGAGTAAAAAGCAAGACGCTTAACTCATCAGGTTGTAAGCAAGGTATCAATCTTTGCACACAGACTAGTTGACAAGATATGGGAGAGCATCTTCGAGGCAACTTAAGAGTGTGCATTGCGTGTATGAAAAACACGTTGATTCGGCATATCTTTTTTTTTCTTTTTGATATCGTATCGTTTAAATTTTATATGTACGGCCACGTGACTCTACTAAATCATGTGACATGGCCCGCTCGACTTATACATATCCATACCTGTTATCGTGCAGTAGACATTTTAGTATTTCTTCAACGAATTACTCTTACACATTACACATTCCTGTTGTCGGTGAATATCTGCGTCTGCTAGTCTTACCAAGAATATAGGGTTTATTGGGACTTTCCCATCCTGTGAGGCTAGAGACTAGTTGATGGTCACTAAGACAGTAGGGTTGATATCTTTCAGCTCTTGTTCATGATAGCTGCATGCTCTGGAATGTGACTAGAACAATATATAAGTAAGATGAGGTTCGCTGTAGTCGTGTGTCACCCAGAATTGATTTCTCTCCGTCTGTCTTTCGGATCCGAACGTACGTCCGTTACGGGAAAATATTCGGAGCTCCCTACCTCGGACTTAATCAAACCAAATGTTGGAGACATAAACAACCCCGACTTCGACCGGGAGCCTCCAAACGGAGGATATCCACAAGGCGAAGAGGAAACCGATGTCATTCTTGATACCCTTCGTCATATGGTTAGCCGTGGTAAAAGGTCCTCCTAGTCGGCCATTCAGCCGACAGCTAGGTCGCTACCGAAGCAGCACGACCAGAGCTACAGGCGAGATCACGGAAAGGAAAAAGATTGACCAGCGGAATAATTCGGATTCCATATATAAAGGCGTTCATTATTCTTCACAGGCAATCAATCCACAGCTTCTTCCAACCCAAAGATGATTCTCCCCTAACGCCGCCGTTCATGCAGTTCCACGTAAGCATCTCACCAGGTGATAACTAACCAGTATTTTATTTTAAGCTCGACGTGCAGCTTTAGCTTTTAACCAAGACTCCGTGTATGGAAACATGGGGTAGACGGGCTCGGTACTATAGTCGAGGCTAACAAATACCTTGAAGCATCTGCGGCGGAGAGATGGGCAGCTACTCTTACGGCCTCACCTATTTCAACTACGAAACTGACGAATAATGCATATGCCGCCCTTACTTGCGCCTATTTGGTACCGGAAGGGGACCTAACGCTGCCTAAGGAATATCAAGAAGCGATGGTAACTGCCCAGAGTCGAGAAACCGGTGAATTCTTGGTATATAGGTGCTCAGGTGGTCATTCTCCTTACTTGAGTTGGACTCAGGGCGTTGTCAATACTGTACGGGACTTTATCAAGAAGATTGAAGATCGGCGGGACTAAAGCCTTATTGCTTCTCCATTGGAGATGTCTGTAATGCCAAATAGTACCATGCGGTATGTCATCTGATTACTAGGTCACGTCTGATACTAGTTATGGGGATATGACCCTCTTAGCTAGGGACAAGATAGCCAAGTTGCCTGATAGCTTATATACATCGCACATGAGCAAGGGTCAATAGATTGTTTATAGCTTTTTCTATCTAGACTAATCTTCGTCATCGCTATCGTCAGCGCTATCATCATTATTATCGCGCTGTACATTTAGGATCCTCTGGCTCGCCCTATCGAGGGTCCTCTCAGTCCATTTTCGTGTAGCTTTCCACACCGTCTAAGAAAGTCAGTAAAAGCTTTAAGGTGATATCAAGCTTGTAACTTACGTATAAGAATGTGAAGACGCCGATGACGACGAGAGCCAAGTTAATATTTTCCACGCGCTCACGTCCAGTCCCAGCACGACGCCCACCTCCTCCACCTATGAGGCCACTAGTCCGCAAGTTCCACCATTGCCACGGACTCATAACAAGGAATGCCTTGACGAACCCAAGCAGGCCCAGCGAGAAAAGTCCTTTTATGAAGTGACCGAACCAACCCGATTCCTCGGATAGTAGATCAATATCGTCATCTAAACTAATGTGACCTGTCGTGACCGACTCTGTTATGGTACCAACAGGATCAAGCCACAAGTTGAGAAGAGGGTCGGCTACAAACCCAAGTAGAAATATGGTCACGAGGAGGATAAGGACGGTGAGTCCGAGAGCTACGAGTGGGCTCCGGAGCCGTTGGGCCCACGTAAACCGCTCCATCCTATACTGATAATGACATCGGCCACACTTCCAAGCGTTGGGGTTTTCGTTCATCCAGAGTTTCAAGCAATCTTCGTGGACGTATTTAACGCTGCCTTTACAAAGACACGGATTGATGAGGCGGCCTCCATCCTCAGAAACATAATGCCTTTTTGGCCGTCGATTACGAAGGCCATCTAAGAAACCCGTCTCTTCATACGTCGGTTCTACTTCGTCATGACAGATCCAACACATTCTAAGATGCTTCTTTGATTCATTTTGACTCGGCGTAGGCTGTGGTTTAGGTTGTGACTGGGATCGCTGGAAGTAATCACTGCCAGTAGCAGCTCCGAACGACGGTTGAGTGTCCATGGTAGGTTGCGACGGCAGTATCGGTATAAGCGGTTTGAAGTCTCGGCTTGTTCGGTACGTCGTACTAAGCTTAAAGAAACGGAAGTAATTAAAGAAATTGGGGAATTGGCGTGATAACTCGAGATATCTCACAACACGTACGACTAGGCTCAAAGGAAATATAAGATAAATAGAACGTCCTACTCAGATTCCTCACCGTTGTATGTTCTTCAAATTCGATTAGAATCCGGAAGGATAAGGTCGAGGACCATTGTCTGACGTAGGGATACAAAGAGCGCACTAAGCCTGATTAAGAATATCGAGATGATATTGTTGAAGATACAAACATGTGTACCTAATGTATAGCATGGGTGATGAAGTAAGAAGGATAGATCTGTCTAGATCCTTGGGAACGAAAACAAGAGGCTGCAGCACTAAAAGTAAGGCTGTGCTGTGCTGTGTTGTTGCATGCAGCGCCCAGATGTTGGACTTGGCTGTTTGTTAATCGTAATAACTATTTCTCCGTTAAGTTAGGTACTTAATTATTTAATATACTTTGGCTCTCTTTTGAGCATCAATCTTAAAGCTGGTATATCGTGTAGCTAAACCGAGCCAGCGTGTCAAGTTTGTCAAACGACCTCGAATGGTTGAAAGAAAATCAGGCGACACGAACTTAAACATTGACGTGGATGTATTCTATTCTAGAAATTTCAACTTCATTTAGTGCATAACTTGATACGATTATGTAATTATTTAGATACTTTAGATACCTAGGTAGATCATCAGGTAGCGGGTGGTGTTTTCGGAGCGTTGATATTCCGGTATTCCGATGTGAATTCGTTCAAAGGAAGCGAGGTCCCATTTGCTACGCTGCCCGATTAGATACGGTGCGGGCTGATAATAGGTAAGTGCTAGTGGCTAGCCCACCATTGTACCTACTATTGTACCTAAGCTCTGACGCGCAAACTCGCGATGCCTAGCAATCAACCATAGCTCTCCACATCACAGCTCGAGGTTCTATAGCCTCACCATCTAATCTACCTCCACTCAAGCCAACTTTACAACCCTGAACCTTTCCGTAATTCCCTCTCATATTCAATTTTCCATATCGTTCCTCAACCATGGCCGACCGTTATTCATTTTCCTTGACGACTTTCTCCCCAAGGTAAACTCCCTTGTGATATATATATCTATATATCTATATCTATATCTATATCTACATCTTGCGACTCTTGGCTAACTCCCCTCCCAACAGCGGAAAACTAGTCCAGATCGGTATGCCATATTTTCTACAGGTCGCATGCCTACGAACACCAGAACCTGAAGAGGCCTGCGCTATAATAATGTGCATTGATTGCGGTAGCTAACGGTGTGGCCTATTAGAATATGCCCTAAATGCAGTCAACCAAGGTGTCACGGCCCTAGGCATCAAAGGTAAGAATTGAGGTCGTTTAAAACGCAGAGACGTATATCCGCTGACTGTTGGAAGCAACAAATGGCATCGTTTTAGCGACCGAGAAAAAGTCATCTTCGCCTCTTGCCGACCCCTCCTCCCTATCTAAGGTCAGCTTGATCACTCCTAACATCGGAATGGTCTACTCGGGAATGGGTCCGGACTACAGAGTACTGGTAGACAAGGCACGCAAAGTCTCCCACACCGGTTACAAGAGAATTTATAACGAGTACCCGCCCACCAGAATATTAGTTCAGGACGTTGCACGAGTGATGCAAGAAGCTACGCAGTCTGGTGGTGTTCGACCTTACGGTGTTAGTCTGTTGATTGCTGGGTGGGATGAGGGCATTCTACCTGAGGAGGAGGCCGCTGCTGAAAGCGAAGTCGAAGGCGAAAAGAAGCCCTCGGGAAAGACCGGCGGAATTCTAAAGGGCGGTCCCATGCTTTACCAGGTCGATCCATCCGGAAGTTATTTCCCCTGGAAAGCCACTGCCATCGGCAAGAGTGCAACAACGGCCAAGACATTCTTAGAGAAGAGATACACTGAAGGCCTAGAGCTAGAGGACGCTGTGCACATTGCGCTTCTAACTTTGAAGGAGACCATTGAAGGCGAGATGAACGGAGAGACAATTGAGATAGGTGAGTCGTAATAAGGTACCCAAATCAGGAGGTATTGCTAACTATCAAAAGGTATTGTTGGCCCCCCCGCCGACCACTTACTTGGAGTTGAGGGGGTTCATGGCGCAACTGGCCCACGATTCAGGAAGCTCACCCCACAAGAGATTGAGGATTACCTAACAAATCTGTGAGCACCAATATTTCTGGAATTGGCAGGAGTTTGCGTGTATCATAGAACAGCATAGAGAGCCCAATTGAGGCAGAATCATCAAGGGATTCGATACTTAGCCAATATGAATGAAGTGCTTCGCCCCGCTTCTACATTACAAACCACCTGTCCTGCTTCTAAATTCAAAGGTACCCTCGTCCACGAACTTGCTTCGTTGTCTGGTAAGCCTAATTGGCCATTCCCGTTATCGCCGATGACATATACATGACCCTCTGAGCTGAGCACAATTACATGTGATTCCCCAACCCCACAATCTACTATATCACTTTCTTCCACCACCACGGGTATTGGGCTACTTGATATATCTTCGAGGAGCGCTTTCTGCCCTGGGCGGCCACCCCAAGCATAAAGATCACACCCTTCCGTTAGGGCAAGAATCAAATACCCAGCTGCACTAATCTTTTTTATCTTACCGGTAGGCAGGTCCTCGAGCTCCTCTACGAGACCAGGTCTTTCGGCTGGACTGATCCGTAACGTCAGCTACGTTACCACGAGAGAAACCTGATAGCTTACCTTGAATGTGTTACCGGTCTTCCAAGACAAGCGCTGTACCGTTCGTCGCCCCAAGTCCAGACATGGCCATCGTCTGATAAAGCTACGAACCCCGTTTCGTATGCTACCAGTTGAATAATTTTTCCCATGCCGGAGAATTCTTGCCGTTCATGTGTACCAATAGATGAAGATTGATAAATAGTGTCGTAACCGTCATATTCTTCACGTAATTGTAAGTGATATGCAAAATATATATCCATAATATAATAACTTGCCAGCTATGGTGCCATTCCAAGCTATGGCAGCTGTGGATGAGAGAAGCTTCTCCTTGAGAGTTTCAGGAATGTCTTCGACGAATCCTGCATTTCGTATACCAGAAGTAGTTTTCACTTGTCGATGTTAGTTTATGATAATAATGTCTATCTGTTATATAGGTAAGAAATGCTGACCGAAAGTGCACGATAAGAGGGGGCATGGACGGCTGATAAAATCGTCTTTTAGAACAGATTGAAATGATTCAAGATCACGAGGTTGGCTAGATATATTCTGCTTATGGTCGAACTGTAGTTGACGCCAGGCGTTGAAGCCAGTAGCGAATAGTTCCATGGCCGTCTCCTATGTTAGTTGTAACATGTAAGTGTCTGAATATCAATACATGCATTCATTGATTGGATAAGGAGACCGTGTATATAAATATCACCCTTTATCGCACTGTTATGGCTTCTCCAATTAGAGCCATCCGATATATGAATATGTACTTAATCTAGTGTTACATACTGGAACTCCAAGCACATGTTCATATATATGTCCCTCCTTTCGAGCAACTTGCTTAAAGCAGGCAGCCAGCCTTGCCGGCTTAGAACCTGTCGTACCAGGTATCAATATCTTGCGTCTCTGCCCAACGCATGAATCCGACGTGTCATATACAAGCAAACAAACGCCGCTTATTATTTTTCAAATAAATAACTAGCGTTAAATTTGCATCACATACATATGAAGCTTTCAAGTCGCTCAAGTCTATCGAAACAATTAACATTGAGGAGCAATATACGATAAGCTCTCAACAAAATCAAATTGAATTGAATTTGGCAGTCTTACTGTGTTAATGGCTACGCCTAGAGTAACGTCATCGGAATTGTCTATGGGTTTAATCGCAGAAGATCTCAGTGACAACGACGATGATTCCGTAATCTTTGAGAGCCACGAAGAATCTAGACTCACAGCCACCGAGGAGCTAGAGTTCTATCCGGAGAATATAGGCATTAAGGATGAGGTCCAAGTTAAGGACTCGGGCGTTATCCACGCCCGCGAATACCAGCTTGAGATGTTTGAGGAGAGTCTCAAACGTAACATTATCGTCGCAGTATGTGGATATCGTCGTATCTGCTGCGCTTCCTAGACTTACTCATCTCCATAGATGGACACGGGGACCGGAAAGACTCAAGTGTACGTATTGGCATGGCCTGAAGTTTACTCCCGCCTTACGTCCTTTGGTATACGTGCTTACAATACTTTAGGGCCGTCCTTAGAATTCAAGCAGAACTGGAAAAGTCTGATCCTCGTAAAGCCAGTATATTCGCCTCATAATTACGTTGTATACATAGCTAACTTAGATAGATTGTTTGGTTCTTGACCCCCACTGTTGCTCTATGTGAGCAGCAAGCTCGAGTACTTAGGTCGCAGATTCCAGCTGTGCAAATCAAAACTCTCGTTGGAGCAGACGGCGTAGAGACCTGGTCCAATGTTCGTATATGGGATGACTATCTGAAGAATGTTCGAATAGTCGTTTCTACTTATCAGGTCCTTCTGGATGCCGTTAACCATGCATTTGTGCGTATGGACCGGCTCTCCCTAATAGTTTTCGATGAAGGTCAGTTACGCACTGCTCTACCATTTACCGAGAATAAAGTGACAGTCTAATATAATCAGCCCATAATTGTCGTGGTAAACACTCCGGCGCCAAGATCATGGACCGGTATCGTGTCAGTAAAAACGCCGGTCTACCAATTCCCTCAATACTTGGTCTTACGGCGAGTCCGATCGTGAGTTCGAAACTCGATACCCTCGATAAAATCGAACAGACGCTGGATGCCGTGTGTAAGAGCCCGAGCATCCATCGGGACGAGCTTTTGTCTGTCGTGAAGCGCCCGACTATGACTCACGCTTTCTATACCCGGCCGGATGAGGATGATGATTATCCACTAACTAAGACTATGAAGAGTCTAGCTAATGTATACTACAACTTGGATATAAACAAGGACCCGTATATTGTCCGACTGCGGAGAGATGAGAGGGAACGCAGCCAAGTAGCGCTCGACAGAGCTCTAAAGAATCAAGATACTTACGTCTTCAACCAGGTACAGTCTTTCTGGCGAAAGAGCGTTACAATTCACCGAGAACTTGGAACGTGGGCTGTAGATTACTTCATTTCTACCTCCGTCGCTCAGTTTCTTAAGTCGATCAGGGAGAACGATTCGTGGTTCCAGGGATGGGATACTCAGGAGAAGCAATACCTTGCGAATGCATTGCAAGGTGTCAAGATATCAACGTCGTACCCACTTGAATATGGTATGACTGATTCAGGTATATCTAGCAAAGTTGCGGCCCTTATACGGGAGCTATCCCATTCGGTTGACGGAACTATTGGTATCGTATTCGTTCGTGAAATCGCCACAGTGGCTATCTTATCACATATACTATCAATCCATCCGGCAATAAAGGATCGCTATCGGGTCGGTACTATGATCGGTACGAGCAACCACATCAGTCAAAAACGGGACCTCGGTGCCCCCAATAAGACAGAATACGCTCAAAACCTTAAGGATTTCCAGGATGGAAAGCTAAATCTTCTCATAGCCACGAGTGTTCTGGAAGAAGGTATCGATGTCCCAGCCTGTAATATGGTTGTTTGCTTTGACCCACCGGCCAACCTCAAGACGTTCATCCAGAGACGTGGCAGAGCTCGGATGAAAGAGTCAAAACTCATTCTACTAATGAGCGAGGTCACAACCCAAGTCGAGCAGTGGATGGAACTCGAGGAGGAAATGAAGAGACGTTATGAAGAGGATAGGAGGCGTGTACAACTTGAAGAGATGGAGCAACCTGAGGTTGAGCCTTTCTATATACCAGAGACTGGAGCCCATCTTGACTTCGACCAGGCAAAGTCACACTTGGAACACTTTTGCAGAAAGCTCTCGAATCATCAATATGCTGATACAAGGCCGTATTATATATTTAAGCGAACACCTCATCCTCTTGGAGAGGTCCCGCAAGTCTCGGCAACGGTGGTCCTACCAATGTCATTACCCGTGGAGCTTCGGCGAGTAGAGAGTACCGGTCTTTGGTTCACTGAGAAAAGTGCCAGTAAGGACGCTGCTTTCCTGGCTTATACGGCTATCTACAAAGCTGGTTTCCTTAATGATAATCTGATGCCATTGCAAACCGAGATCACAAATGATGTCGAGTCGAGAGCTTCAGAGATAGAAGTTAACGAACAAAGGAGCCCGTGGACACGGATCGCTCGTGCTTGGGGTGATCAGAAAGAGTTATACCAGCGCAGACTACGGTTGGTGGATCACCATGGCGATGTATTGTGTGAATTTGATGCAACATTACCTGTACCCTTTCCGGCTTTGCCATATATTAATATCATCTGGGATAGGTATAACCACTGGAAGATCGAACTGGGCCAAACAAAGGTTATATCCACCGAGGACCTCCAAGCTGACCAAAGCTTGGCATTGCTAGACCTAGCATTTAGACATCGTGGATGGGAGGCTAGGGATACCGCGCGATCAATACTACATATTCGGTCTCCGACCCAGGATATCCCATTCGGTGAGCTCGTGGGTCAAAAGAGCGTTGAAGAAGCCTGTCTTGATGGCACGACACTAATCCGTTTCAACAAAGCTCCCTATTTATTCAAAGAATGGCTACCATCTCTCGATGCGGAGTTTCCAGTACCGGAATCTTTAAAGGGCGAACCAGTTGATATCCCTTGGCTGTTGCTAGAGATGTGGATAAAGCGAAAGGACTTTCTTCACCATTTCACTCAACCGTCCACGTCGGATTCTATCAAACCAAACTATATAGTTAGACCTGCACGACTCTGCCGAGTGGATGGTATCCATGTATCCAACGTTCACTTTGGCATGCTCATCCCTTCTATTATGCACATGATAGAGATTCACCTGGTTGCTACTGAATTATGCAATACCATATTGAAAGACGTCGGATTCAAAGATATCTCATTGGTCATTACTGCAATTAGCGCACCATCCGCTAGAGAAGAGACGAACTATGAAAGATTTGAGTTCCTTGGCGACTCGACTTTGAAGCTGCTTGCTACGGCCACCATAACTGCTAATAGTACGTCGAGGCGGCCTGTGTCTGAGCTATGAAATATGTTGATACTGACTTAACGCAGATCCGATCTTCACAGAAGGGTATCTCGACGCTTTCAAGACGAGCACAGTATCCAATGCCAGGTTGTGTCGCGCAGCGGTCGAGACTGGTCTGGATAGGTTCATTCTTAAGAAACCGTTCACGGGCGCGAAGTGGAAGCCTATTTATGTCGAAGACGTGCTTGATTTAAATGACAATGCGGATGACAAACGCGTGATGTCGACCAAGACGCTTGCTGACGTTGTAGAAGCCTTGGTCGGAGCTGCGTACGAAGATGGCGGGATAGACGGGACAGATGGGATAGACAAAGCGCTCACCTGTCTCCGGATATTCATCCCCGACGTGCAACCCGACAAGCAATGGCATAGCCTCGATTCCGCCTGCAAGGAGATATTTAACCAGACTACTATGAGCACGTATCTACCACCCCCTCTCGCGCCTCTAGAGGAGTTGATCGGATATTCCTTTCGCAACAAGAATCTACTCGTCGAAGCTGCTACGCATTCTTCCTTCGGATTCGTCGACTCGACGGGGAACTGTATGGAACGCCTGGAATTCCTCGGCGACGCCATCTTAGACAGCGTGGTCGTCTCTGCCCTGTGGAAGTTCCCACGCAATATGTCCCAGGGTGAAATGCACCTCCTCCGCACGGCCTGTGTAAACGGGGATCTACTCGGCTTCTTTGGCATGGAGTGGAGCATTGAGCAGGAGGCAACGCAGATCTCAGAGGATAAAACAACCATTGAGACGAGCACCACACTCCCGTTCTGGAAGTTCATGCGTCACACCTCTCAGGACATGGGCATCGCCCAACACGTCGCGGAAGAAAGACACGCGCAGGAGCGGGAGGCTATTCTCGAGGCCATCAAGCACGGATCGGAGTACCCCTGGGCGCAGCTCTTCCACCTCCACATACCCAAGTTCTTCTCGGATTTCTTCGAGAGCGTCCTCGGTGCCGTGTGGGTGGACTCGCAGTCTTTAGACGTATGTGCTAGCGTCGTCGAGAAGGTGGGCATACTGCCGTACCTACGGCGCATGCTCGCCGGCGGCGTCGACGTTCTACATCCTAAGAACCACCTCGGCCACGAGGCGGGTAGGATCGCCAAGCCGGTCGAGTACCAAACTGAGGTGCGCGACGCGCAGGGCAGGGATAGGGAGTTGATCTGTAGGGTGCTGGTTGGGGATGAGATGATTGCGGAGGTTGGTGGTGGAGTGTCGCCCGAGGAAGTGCAGACTCGGGCGGCGTATGCGGCGTATAAGATATTGGTTAAGAGGCGAGAAGAGGGTGGAGGAGTGGGTAAGTGAGTGGTTAAATGGGTGGATGAGGGATAAGGCTATGGATTAATGAATTAATGAATGAATAAGTTCTAGATAGGTACCTAACCTAGTGAGCGATAGCTATGCGTTATGGATTTTTCATGTTGAATATTATGGCATGTTGATTTCTTAGTTGTGGCGTTGATATTTATGGTGAACGACTTTCTCTTGATAGGTATTTTTATATAGTTACCTGTTACTTAGAGGAAGTATCTAAGATATTACTATTGAATTAGTAACTTAATAGACGGTAAAATATAAATTTATACATTTTGCTGTCTGCTCTTCCCGTGAATCGTGAGACTATTATCTCGTTGTCCCTTTAAGTGATTCTGATTGGTCAGTTAAGTAAAGTGTTACCAAGTACGGTAAAAGAGCTAGGTTAAGAGCTAAGAGCTAAGAGCTTAAGGGGTGTAGTAGGTGCAGCAGGTACAGTAGGTGCAGTAGGTACAGCAGGTACAGCAGGTACAGGCCCGGCTTGAGTGATTTCCGGGGTTAAGTTTTACCATAACCGATATGCAGGGGTAAGTGCATTGCCTGGCCTGATTGATCTACTATGAGGTATGTACCAATCTACTAAGAACCCATTGACGCATCATCTACATCTATCATCCCTGGCGCCCTCGGCTGTCTTAACCGCATTCCTTCTATTGTTGCGACATTGTGAATTGCTTTTTCTATTCTTCCAACTTAATTAACTTTACTCAAATTCACTCAACTAATTACTGCCCCGAAGCTTTCAACTTAATATAACTAATAGTTAGATCTCACTCAACTAAGTTAACACCTCTAAAACACCGATTTGCTATCAGCTCGAGCTTCTATCCTACCACTTCGATATCGTCATCCCGGATTTTGAACATATCGACTGGTGATAACCTGGCTCTCCCATTACCTAGGGTCGCCCACCTTCAATTCTTAACCATATGACGACGACAATGCGGCCCTATACATGAGTTCTCTCCTCCAATTGGAAGGAGTGTCATCATGCCGTCTGAAGGAGGATTAAGCAACATTCGAGTATTTATAACCTGGAATGACCAGACTGTTTTCGCTGGCGAGGATATCAAATGTCATATAACTTTCAAGAATATCGCTCCTGGCCCGAACCAACCAGTACCGATTCACCAACAGACACAATACCCTCTTACTGAACGATCGAGACAACCCTCGCCTCTACTAAGTCCAAGATCGAAACCCAATAATGGATTGACACCCCCTGCGCCTACACGAGGACACCGTTCTACTTTATCTCTCACCGTTCCTTCAAATAGTTCGCGCTTAAGAGGACCACCTCAACAGTGGACCCCTCCACAACAGCAACAACCCCCACCGCAGCGACCCGGTCACACCCATCAGCGGTCCCTTTCTATAGTATCGATAGGATCGGCCGCTACGATAGAAGAACAATCTCATGGAAATATATCTCCCGCACGACACCAACGGTCGTCCCGTGGTCATGGAAGGTCTGCTAGTTTACAGATATCACCGAGGGGCGGGTTGATGAACGGTCCACAGTCAGCTGCATTACCGAGACGACCTTTTGGCTCGGAATCTTCGCCAGTATTTAATCACTCTTTCCCCCCATCTAAGCATGGCTTTAGCCGTACATCAGGAGTCACGACTGTCCCAAACACGCCCGGTGTTATGGGTTCACACCTACCTAAGAGGAGCCCGGGCATAATTCCAGATTTCAAATTTCCTATGATACCCTCACCAAAACCGACAGAAGCTGGCTCTATTTCACCCACAACACAACCAGTGGATTACTTGACAGCGCCCTTGTCAGCAGCGAGCGGAGGTATGACCCTCCCCGTACGTTCAAAGGACTTGATACCTACCATCACCGAACAAGCCGCTCCTGTGGCGCGAATATTATCTACGACGAGCGTTGCTGGTGGGACTCCTAGGAGTAGTGGCGAGTTCTATTCACTTAGCAACAACTCGTCTGAGACGCTGGCATCCGAGTATGTAACGCAACCGTTACATCCTGGACGGAGACCTGCTCATCTACGGCGACCCTCTGCTCTATCGAGTATTAGCCACGTGCGGCTTCCGGAATCGTTGATGATGGGCTTTGCTCAAGTTCAGGGCTCCTTCACTCTCGACGGATCGCTCATTAATCTAGGGCCCTTCGAAGCAGTTAAACGAAAGGCTGTCCTAGGGGGACAGGGAGGCGGTGTTATTGGCATCGAAAATTCGAGAAGGAGTAGCGGTGGACTACTAACTGGTTTTGGGTGGAGTAGTCTCGGAAGCTCTATTGGGGAGCTTCTAGGCGGTGGAGAACTCAGCAGCATTAAGCAGATGCGAGGTGTTACGAGCTCCAAGTCTATCCCGCTGTTATCAACGCCGCAATCCATCTTATTCGTAGATTTACAACTCGCCCCTGGTGAGAGCAAGACTTATGAGTATACGTTCAAACTACCGAAAGGACTGCCCCCAACACACCGAGGGAAGGCGATGAAGATATCGTACAGCCTAGTAATTGGTACCCAGAGACCCGGCGGTACCAAAGAACAGCAAGTACGATCAGTCGAAGTTCCGTTCCGCGTTCTTGGGAGCGTTAATAGCCATGGTGAGATTCTTGGCCATGATCTACTTAATCCGTACATCATTCTTCGCGACATGGCGAAAGTGCAGCCGCTTGACAAACCCCCTATTCATACGAAAAGGAGTAAGCTCGAGCAGCCGGAGTCGACCTACAATGGATTTCTCCATTATGTCGATGAACTGCTCGAACGACCTCATCGAGGCCTCGGGCTTCTATCTCCAACTGCTACAGCCCCTCAATCCCGTCGTGCCTCTGCTTATGAAGAGTCGGCCTCGGCGAAAGATGCGATAGACTTTGCTATTCTTAGATCAAATCTCTCCTCTGAGTCGGGACAAAGCAGTAATCGCTTCGAGATAGCTCGGAATGGCCGACGTGTCGGTGTTGTGATGCTTGCGCGCCCTGCTTACAAGCTCGGAGAGTCGGTAAGTATGGCAATCGACTTCACCGGAGCCGAGATTCCCTGCTACGCCATCCACGCGGCCCTCGAGACAGCCGAGCGCGTCGAGCCAACGCTCGCGCTGCGCAGCGAGGCTAGTGTGCACAGGGTTACTCGCAAAGTATACGGCAGCTCGAGCGAAGCGACGCTGTTTGCGCGGCGCGTTGTGTTCAACCCCACGATACCCATCGGCGCAACCCCCGAGTTCGTCACCAGTGGTCTGAGCCTCGAGTGGAAGATCAGAATCGAGTTCGTCGTCCCCTCTTCAAACAAAGACCGGGACTTGGACTTCGGGGAGGGCGATGGTTCGCACCCCTTACTAGAGGAGATCTCGCGCGACGACCGCGGAGGCCTCGTTCTAGTCGCTGCGGAGACGCTCGACTGCGAGAGCTTCGAGGTCGCAGTCCCGCTGAGGGTCTACGGTGCCGTGTGCAATGGCCTCGAGCGGCTGGAAAGGGACCAGGCGCAGGAGGAAGGGCTCACGGTGTAATTAATTTACTATTTTTACTTGCATGATTATTTACATGAGATGAAAGAAGGAAGGAGGGAAATGGTGGGTGGCATTTGAGCCGTATTGTGTACTGTACGTATGCCCGGGTCTAGTTAGTGTATGGATTAGAAAAAGTAGATGAGCCAAAGCAAGACGAGAGAGAGAGGGGGGAGGGGGGTGCTAGGAGGTACCGTGACGAGTCGAGAGAATATAGGATAAGCGAAGACAGGACGAAACGAAAACAATGAAGAGAGAGACAACATGTTCTTACGAACTTTGGCTTTTCGATGAATGAATAGTTAGGTCTGAGTTGAATAGATGAGATGAGATGAGATAAGATGAGGTACGTAACGTCAAGTAAGAAGTGGGAGAGGGAGATATGGGGTAAGTGGTAAGTAAAATAGGAGTTGTAAGTCTTCGTCGATCCGCTGATAGAAGTAATCGAATGGGGGGGGGGGCTCCTTGTTGAATTATGTATTATATTTATACCATACCATAGGTACCTACCAATTATACCTCTGTACGAAATAGGAAGGATGTTATCATTTCTATTCGTGATTATTTCTCTCTCCTATCCCCTATCCCCTATTATACATACTACATAGCCGACGTAACTATCCCAATCTATTGTCGTAATATTAGTAATTGCTAAAGTTGGCCCTTATTATTCAAGCTCATGAAATAATAATAGGTAGTTAACTAGAATCAAAAGAGAGGATGTTGTAAACAAAACGAACCTACTACGTTAGGTACCTAAGGTAGGTAGGCAAAATTCAATTGATGCATCTAAACAAAGCAACTTCATCTCAAGTAACAATAACAATAAGTAATCCCCTTCCTTCCCTCCTTCCTTCCCCTTCCGAGCGCGCAGCCGCGGCACTTGTGCCCTATAACTCCCGTAGTTTTTCTCCTGTCAAGTGGTATCATGTTAGGAAGTCATTTTATGGACTCGGTAGGCAGATAGAAGAGCCCTCTGATATCCCTTATAGTACCCATCCTGGAACGTCTCTCCCCTGGACGTTTCCTTACAAAAAAAAAGAACGAATAAGACCTAACGCCTTAGGTCTCTGAAGACCCACAATCTTTCTCCTTCCCTACTCTTAATGCTGCGTACTTTCTAATGTAAAATACGGCTAATACACATTATACAATGAATATCGTAACTATGCCGACCCGGCACTGGACTCTCCCCCGGATGAACCGGGTCGTTTTCCCGGTAAAATCCCCGGCGAATCCGGCTCTTGGTCCGATGATCCTCTGTAGCCAACTCGAAGCTTTTCGTCTAGCAGAGCAACTAAGCGCTCCGAGTATTGGTCTAAGAGGCCGCTTAGCATAGTCTCGCTTATGGCCTTACTTCGCGTGGCTCTATCGCCTAAAGCGACAGAGGTAAGGCGAAGTTCCTGATCTATTTCAGCCAAGACATCCTGACTAATAGGATCTGTGGAAGCTAGTTTCCTTCGGTAGGCTCGGAGCGTTCGGCATGCCTGCTCTGTAGCCATAGTAAGGGTTCCATATCCTCTCAAGTTGTTATTGCTCTTAGTTTTCGTAGAGTTGAGAGTTGGTAGGGATGGTTGTCTCTTTACTCTAGCCTTTGGGCTAGATGGTGGGCTACAGTACCGGCTATCTGTTGACGGCCGCCTGGTTGGAGTGTCTCCAGAAATTGCTAACGCGGGACATGCTTGAGGTGTAGCGGTAGGTGTTTTTGATGACGGCGTAGAAGCTAGATTGTATGCTGATCTCTTCTTGGCGAGAGTTCTTGGAGGCGATCGTCGACCCGCCGAGGGAGAGGATCGTTGAAATTCCGCAAGCTCGGCTTTAGAGAGAACACGTCGAAGAGTAGGTCGAGAAACAACGGAGTTATCCTTAGCAAGAGATAGCTCGCGAGTGGCGGCGCCCCACGCCGGATCTTGTAGGTCCATTTCCCAGACCATAAGAGTACCGTCTGATCCAACACTTACCACCTTAAGCTTACCATCCTCCTCTTCGACTAAAGTCACGCCATTTATAGCCTCCGTATGTCCCCATTCGCGGTCTAAGAAAGACCCCGTTTGAGCATCATAGATTCTAATCGATTTATCCGTGTTTGAGACGCCTATAACGAACGTAGGTTCTCTGTCAACAGCCGGCCGAGCAGTAAGAGAATCCAAAACTACAGGTTCGATTCCGCTTTCGTCGATACATTTAAATGAATTTGCAAGCTTTCCACTCTCCAGGTCAAATATACTCATAGTTCGGTCCAGTAGAGAGACAAGCACTGATTTCTCATCCGCGCCCATTGTCATAGATGACGGAGAAGCTTTCAAGGGTAGAGTTTTAGTGAGGATAGCCGCCATAACATCTGGGTCGCCATCTTTCTCTACGAGGTCGTGGACTTGCAACGTCCTGTCCAAGGAACAAGTTATCACTTTATCTGCTGATGGAACGAGCACTTGAACAACCCTAGTAGCGAATTCAAGGGTTTGAAAATGTTTGAACTCTCCAGTAGTCGTCCTGTGGAATAACTGTGCTGTACGATCACGACCACAGGTTGCAATGATAAACTTGGATTTGTCCTCAAATGTAGTGATAAACTGGCAATCTGAAGCGTGGGCTTTCATAGTTGACACGCATTTCAGGGTTGCGAAGTCGATGATCTTAACAATTCCCAGCTTGTCACCCGTAACAAAGTACTTGCCACCCTCGGTAGCTCGTACTAGATTCAACTGATTAACCAGATCAGGCTCCTCTTCAAAATTTGCCTCTTCAAGTGGTACCTGAAAAGAACATTTGATTTTACCCTCGACATCCCATAGTATGACTTGGCCAGATGCCGACCAACTGAAGAAATCGGCATCCAATCCAGTCGGGCGGCGAAGAGCTTCGACACCTAGAATCGACTCTTGATGTCCTGGCATTGGTATAGGGGGAGTTTCCAGGTCTAAGGTGTCTGTGACCTTATCAAATCCCCAGATGTGGATAGAGCGCTTGGCATCAACTGTTACCATATTTTCTTCCAGAAATCCTATAGCAAAGAGGCCCGCAAACGAGCCAATGTTTGTGCGAAGGGCATTCTGATCACATTTCACGAAAGATGCCAAGTCGATGGTTGCTAGGTTTCCCGATTTACCACCGAGGTAAGCGATATTTCCACGGATAGCCACGCAAGTCGTCACAAATCCACTTTCGAGGACATTGGTCAACTTCATCTGCTTATCTGTGTCGTCGAAGAGACATACATCGCCCGTCTCTGAGCAGATGATGGCCTTCGTATCGTCGATAGCAGCACCACACGAAAAAGTCGCTTCTATCATGTTATTAAGTATAACATTCCGACCAAGTAACGTCTTTTGATGCTGCTGATTGGTCGAGCTCGAATCTCCGGTAAACTTCTGTTTCATAGGAGATACCGATTGGCCCTCTTCAACCTTCCACACTTTTACATGACGTACGCCTAAAGTGATTAGATTATTGCCCACCCATACCATGCCGCGGATAAAAGATGTGCATCTGTTTTGTTGAAACAGCTGTGCAGCACCAGTTTTAGTGTCTATTTTCCAAATGTAGATGAAGCCATCGTGTGCAGTTCCGAGAGAGGCCAAGTATTTCGAATCAGGGGACCAAGCAACGGCCTTAACCCCATGCGCATGCTCGCTGATGGAGACGAGTGGGGTATCCGACGAGTTATCTTCCAGGCTGAAAATGAGCACCCGGGGAGCATAGCCAGTTTCGCCAACAGCTAGGAACCTCCCCTCTTTGCTTAGAGCTAAACACGTTGCGGCCTTGATCCGCTCTCGACTGGTCCACGTCTTCGATGACGTGGGGGATTCGGACCAATCAAGGGAGCTGTGTGTTGATTCTCGCAATGAAGACCTATTCCGGCTATCGTTCGCCTTTGGAGTTTGGTTCGGTGCCGATGGAGAGTAAGGAAGCGGAGGCGTACTGTAAACAGGAACTGCAGAAGGGCGGGCTCGGTAGAAACGTTGGGTATATTCAGCCCCGTTGACGTCGACTACAACTACAGCTCCGCCGGCGATGTATGCAAACGAAGAACGTACGGTATCAAAACCTGTGGGCGCGGCACAGGTGGTACCGACAACGCGCTTCAAAGAAAGGCGAGGATCTATGGAGGCTTTGCTGCGATGAGGAGATCGAATAGGGTGTGGAACAAAAGGTGAATTTGACGGGGTCAATTTCAACCGGTTTGAAGGAGTGGATGCCATCTTCTTTCCATTGATTTTCCTAGAAGGATGCTATATAGGGCTGACAAGAAGTCCAGTTTAGAGACGTCTTCTTTTTCTTCTTCTTTCAAGTAATATTGATGGTGCTGGAAATTTCTATGCGGTGAGGTGTCATGGGGGAGGGTCTTGTGGATAAGGAAAATATGAGATGGCGCAGATAGCTAACAGCACACACAGATAGTCTAAAACATAGACAGCAAGGAGGAAAAGGGAAGAAAAAAAAAGAGGTGATTTTATTTTTATTATTCCTTGGCGGATGGAATAGATAAGGGGATATGATATATATTAGGAAAGACGAGGGAAAGTTGAAAGGGTTAAATGCTATAACAATGTCAATTGGAAGCTACACGGCGAGTCATTGTCACCCCATGACTTACAGTGACGTGAAAAGAAAATAGCAAATAGCTAAGGAAGTCTTTTTAGGGCTGCATGTAAGCTGAGATGGAAAGATGGAGATTGAACAAAGCCAACGAAGCATCAAATTCTGTATTAGCGTATGTAAGTGCCCTATTAAATCCGACAACTTGGCACCTAGTGTCAAGAAAGTCTATAAAGAATGACCATTGATGCAGGTCGGTCCTTTCAAAAATAAATTGGACATCTAGTGATTGGAAATATTGAGGTGTAAAGGTGAGAATTTTGGGTCTTGAACATACAAAGTGAACATAGAAAGTGGAAACCCAACCCCCCGACCTTTCTTTAATGTGGATTTATTAGGTTGTCTTCTTTTTTTTTTTTTCATAGTTCAGCAAGAGCGAGTCGACTGGGGTTAATAAGTTGGTGTTAACGGGGAGAAACCGAGAAACTAATATGATTGGCTTGTTCCTGAAATTTTGCGGATCATCTAACTACTTTTGGTGTGACGAGTTCCCTAAGAGGTTATTATATGTATTGATGTACATACCGTTGTTCGCCTAATCCGCATACAGCTCCGTGAGGCTGCAACTTGACAGGGATATCACATCAACTTCATTAATGCTCTTTTTTTTTCTTGTTCTTTTTTTCTTTTCTCTTTTGACCAAAGCTACCTTAGATACCTACATTACCTTACTTGTCTTAACAATACCTCTTTGTATGCCCCATAAATAGATATTCGTATATCATAATTACATAATACTTTGACATACCTATCTTAAGAATAGAATATCTCCAAGTCGGAACATACTCGAGTAAAAATAAAAATAGAAAGTAAAAAGTGTCGGGTTTCTAGAATAAAAAGACCGTTATCGTGCAACTTACGGATTCGTACATGTCTCGTGGTACCAGGATGCCAAACCTAGATAGACCGCGTTCGGCAATGCAGCAACGCACGGCCGCAAAACCGATCCAACCGATGAAGTAGGAAATGACAAGGGCCCCATGAAGCTCCCCGAGGTTTGGTAGCAGTATCACTCGTTTTAAGTAAGCTTTTCGATACCCCCCATCCGCTTAATCAATGCAAGTACACACATTTTCAACAACATATGTAGATTATCATGGCAAAGACGGAAGTTTTTAATTTTTTTTTAAAGTAAATGGCGTATGTTAGGATTCAATCACTGATTGCAAGACAAATTTTAATTCTATATGTTCGGGCTTTTATACCTTTGCGTAACGAAATCTTGATATTTAATAACTAACAACTAAAATATTGATAACTATTAACTATATTGTAAAAATAACAGAATACAATAACAGGTAGTCAAACTAACTTCAACCCCATGTTATTATCATGCAGGCTTTGGATTAGTTATCCTCAGATATTTAGAAAGGTATTCACAGCTAACTAGCAACCATAAGAAACGGGGGACGCATTGATGATCTGCTCTTTATACATAGTTACATGATAATTACTTACATAGGCATTGTCTATTCTTTGCATAATGCATAGAGATTTACAATCCGCCAGCCCCATTGTCAAGATGGAGTATGTATCCGAACAAACCTTTGAGAATAGTGGGCATCCAATAGACTCCCAAATCTCAGTGCGAAGATCTTAATGTCTGTACAACAAACAATACGAAAACACTATTGAGGTATTCGTGTTTTGACGTGAATGTTTTATGGTTTATTTTAATATGGTACTTCCCACCCCCCACTGACATCCACGTATTCACGATAAGGCCATATATCATATAGAGCCATCACTATGATATAATTCGAATGCGAGCTATATTTCCATTATTCGAGTGGCGTAATATACGGGTATTCCCATTCCATTCCTCCAGCAAGGTAATTACTCAAACCCTCTATACTTCCTCGACTGCCTCGGAGGCTGCGTCCGGGGTCCCCTCGGCCTATTCCAGGAAGGATCTCTAACAATGCCCTCGCGACGCCACTTGCGAGGCGGCTTCTTGCCCAGCGCAGCCATCTGGCTCCAGATGTTTTTGCCGCGGTTGAACCAGCGCTGCTGGCGGTCTATCTCCTCCTCGGGCGTGGGCATCCACTTAGTCCTGAGAATACGCCGGATGGCCTCCGGCGATACCATGAACTTGTTCGCCAGAACTTCCGTCGTGTAGTCCTCCGGGAATTGCGCGTGCAACGCCCGGATGCCTTCGAGGGCATCTGGCGACAGCCGCTTGCGCGGCTGCCAACCCTCTGGGAATTTCTCCTTGAGGATTTCTTTTTGTATCTTCCATGGTTCCTTCTTAATGGGTGGTAACGTAGATGCCTTGGGCTCATCCTTCATAATCTTCAGTCTTTTCAACCTCTTGGTCTCGACGGGTGGTGTAGAGTCCGATTTCGACTCGCGACGGGAGTCAGACTGGGCATGTTTGTCTCGCCGGCCAGGGGCACCGGTTTGTGGGTTGTCTAAGTTGGAAACGAGGGCGTCGATAGATTCGGGGGTGAAGTCAAGAATTGCACCTTCACTTTTCGCCCGATCTAAAATGTCTGCAGAGACATTAAGTACTGGTACATCGGGCTCCTCTACCGTAGCATCGTCCGACCGTTTTTGTGGTGCGACTTTCGAGGGCTTATCGGTGTCTAGTGAATGCGAGGCCCGTCCTTGCAATACTTTTCGTGGGAAGCTTAAGGCTGCGGTGACACTATAAGGTCTAGCAAAGGTGAACCGTGACCGAAAGTTACCGACTCTCGAATATTGCGGTTGGATTTGCCTAGCAGAATTAGATATTCGAAGTTCCGTGAGACTTTGTACGAAAATCTTTAAAGATGTCGTGCGACACGAGCAACTCATCATATTCCTCCAGGTGCTGAATAGTTGATTTGCGGCGGGGGAATAGAAGGCTGAGATGAAAGATTAATATTTTTTTATTTTTATTTTTTTTTGGTTAGCCTTCCAAGTTAGAAATTGTTCTGCAGGGCTCAGAAAGCACGGGCCTTCCATGTGCTTGTCCCATTTATTTTAAGGTTATGTGGGTATTGTGGGGTATAGAAATACATGGTACATAGGTACATGCTTGACTCGTCCCCCTTTACTCAACAACGTCAGGTTTGATAGCTATGATAATGATGGGATTTTGACTTTTTTGTAGTATCTACATAAGCGATGGTATATATACAAAGAGATTACTTCCATTCGGCTAGCACTAGAAAACTTTAACCAATTAACATCATTCCCAGCATTAATACCACGGCTTCTCTAGTTAGATGATATCAGTATACTACATAAGATACTTGTATAGGATTCTCTTATATTGATCATTCATTTTGATACCTTTATCACCCTACGAGGTCAAAATATTTCAATTTCGTAATCCAAAAAATTTGATTATGATTATATCTTAGCCTGGTAGAAAAGACTTATCATGGTGACTACAAACAATAATACGAAAAGTAATAATTATGGCTGGCGAGAATATTGGGGTCTTAAAATCAACTGGACACCAAAGCACTTTACAGCAGAAGATCTGGAACCCTTGATACATACGTATGACACAGTTTCTACGGAGGCTCTCGACAAGTTAAATAAGATCCGGTCCTTGTCTTGCAAAATAAAGCCTTCCGAGAACGCAAATAGCGTACCAGGAAAAAAGAAAGCCAAACGGGATCTCTATGAGTTGCTTCAAGAGCACGCTTTTACCGATGACAAAATTGGCAGATTATGGAGGGAGGTCAATACCATTCCAGACTGGGTCGACTGGGAGCAAATAAAAAGGGGACAGAAAGTATTTTATCGCTATGGAGCGCCTGCTATAACAACCGTAAGCCAAAAATTTCTCTTTAGCTAACTGTTAAATATTTGTTAATATGTAGGCTTAGTTGACATTCCTATCCCTGCTAGGCGGAATGGGGAGCGGGCGAACTGTCGAGACTCTGGACCGTACTGGAGGTTTCAGTGTGGACGCTGTCAGACAGCGCCTGCTAGAAACCACACAGCATACCCTGAATGTAACCTACAACCTAGAATCTATAAAACCGGGCGGCGATGGTTTTGCAGATTCGATTAGAGTCCGACTGCTCCACGCGGCGGTACGCCGGCGCATTATGCATATGGCTAAGAAGGAGCCTGGGTACTACGACATGAAGATGTACGGCGTACCGATCAACGACCTCGACTGCATCGGTACTATCAATACGTTTTCCACCGCCCTGATATGGATGGGGCTTCCACGACAAGGCATATGGTTACGGAAACAAGAAATCGCCGATTACCTCGCGCTCTGGCGATACGTGGCTTATCTGATGGGCACGCCTCACGACTGGATGTCTACGCCAGAGTCAGCGCGGCGCATGATGGAGTCGCTGTGGGTGGCAGAAATCAAGCCCAGCAAGGCGTCTGCAACCCTCGCCAACAACATCATCTCCGGCCTCCAGGACCAACCGCCGACATATGCCCCGAGGGAATTCCTGTGTGCCCAGACGTACTGGCTCAACGGACGGGAGCTATCAAGGGAGCTAGAGATCGAGGAGCCGAGTCTGTACTACACCGCCCTCGTGGTTGGGCAGTGCATTCTCTTTGCCACGCTTAGCTATGTCAACCGAAGTATTAGCTATTTAGACGAACGGAACATTAACGTGAGTTGATCTACACATGTGCTCTTAAAGCTCACTCCAATCTCGTGATGGGGGCTGTGTTCTCATAGTCCCACTTCGCTTCCCACCATCCAAGCCATTATACCTATAGCAAACCCACGCTATTCAAGTGTATAATCCTTTCTTCGATGTCATCCTTCTACAGCAAGGATATATGCGATCAAGTGATCTGCGCCTCCGCACTGCTTATCCCCCTTATCCCGCGTATCTGCATCAACGACCGCGATAGACACCGCTTACTAACTAATAATCATAATCATTTTCGATATTATAGCTAGCCCGTACGGCCCTGTATAATGTATTACTACAGAACAAGTCCAAAGGTGCGCTGGGTTACACAACCAAGTTTAACTTCAAGTACATACCTTCATTGAACCGAACGACAACCGCGCGTGGTTCGGCGCCGCCGCAAGAGGGGAGGCCGAGGGCGCCGGGAAGAACCGAACGCGCGGCGCTGATCTCGCTACTTATTTCCGCTACCATCGTCTGTATTATTTCTTTGTGGTGTTATGCTAAAATTGTAAGATGGATGGATACTTATTAGATGAGAAGTATTTCGTTAGCTGGTAAGGCAAGTCACGTATAGATACGGGATAACAACCACTCCTATTCCTCCAAATCTTCTTCTGGCGTGGCGTCGCTCTTTAGGCATTTTGTGCGTTGTCGGGTCAACCTTGCGGTCATCGGCTTTGGTTCGGGATTTTACTTTGGCCTGAAGGATTCAGTGCGAAATGAGAAATACTGGATGTGTATTATATTCGAATCCTACGGGTAGAGTCGTGAGGGCTCGTGAGGCTGCATGATCTCGTTTACGGAAGCAGTGGTCAAGGAACTTTGCAATATTTTTGACATTGATAAACACGTATATACACTTAATATTGATACCAGGCTATGTAGTTTTATAAACTAACTAACGAATATTGTATAATATGAATGCGCTTTCAACTCCTCTGCATTTTTCGCTTTAAAATCTACCTTCTGGACAGCTAATATAATCTGTCCCATCAACGTGCCTATTGCTCGACATACCAATGCTATGCCCCTTCGTAGGCGATGTTATGCTGTGGTGAATGTGGATATCAACCCAGACTCTAGACTCAAGACCCAATGATAACCTGCCCATCCGTAACGCCATACTACCAGAACTGCTAGGGAAAAGTGATCGTTTTAACCCCTACCCAACTATAAGTCGTATACAACATATTTCCTATCCCATAAGCTCAACAGGCGGCCGGGCCGTATGTGTCTTTATCGGGGGCGTATTTCCACCTTGGCCAAGTCCTAATTCTGTAGGTTCATCTGTCATATCGTCCACCGAAATAGCTGGTAGATTCGGACTGCCACCATGCTCATCAGGGTGGTAGATTAAGGTGCTACTTCTGCTCCTGCTCTTAAATGTGGTAGGTCCAGACTCAACCGGAGAGATCGGAGAAACGTCTGCGGGAGCTGCTTGGTGACGTAATTTCGCTAAGGCCTCTGCTAAGTCATCGGCGTGAACTTGCTTGTTCGGTGCGTCCTCCAGCTTCATCTCCCAGCCATGAGGCGGTGAGGGAGGCGGGCTGATAAAAAACAACTTGCCGGCATCGGGAAGCTGCAGCCGATCGTCCTTGTGGAGATCAAGAGGAGTAGGTTGTCCAAAGTAGACTCGGCACCGCTCTCCCATGATTGCTTCACCGTCCCATACTGACCGTACCCTAATAGCAGCTTGCTCGTCGAAGAAAGATACTATTATACGGCGAAATGATTTTAATGGAGACCAAGTATATATCGGTGCAGTCCCTTGAATGAGCTCACGAAGTGTTTGTAGGTTGTCAGGACGGAATATTTCGGTGTCGTTTAAGTTGGTAATAAGTAGAGTGTTTGTGGGTGGCGTTGGCTGCGTTAATGGCGGCAGACTGGAGAAATCTAGAGATAGAGATCTAGATGACCCACGCCGCTCCATGAGGGGCCGCGCCGGCGAGGAGGGGGTAGAAGTCGGTGATTGAGACCCGGACATGTTGTGATAATTTCCAAACACTAGTTGGTTCCAACGTAGAGTAGAGTGTTCGATTCGTGAATGTTCAAGATTAGCGAGATAATCGCTAATAAAAAGATATTTCTCTTCTAAGTGAAGGGTTCTCGGTGTAGTATATTAAGTTTTCTGGTGAGATGTTGTTGTAGGAAGAGAAAGGAAAGGAAAAGAGGAGGAGGTGTAGTGGAATATGTATAGAATCTCGGTAGTGGCTGCGCAAGTGGAAGCGGTGGAATCGAGTTAATGCTTGTTAAGTGATAAAGTGGTAATAAAGTGGTAGATTCTCGGATCGTTTGGAATTTGGGCGAAAGAGACGCTGAGCCGCCTCAGTGGATTACTAGGTTACAGTGCCACACAGTTAAACCTTGACATCCCTACCTTACCCCACTCCATACCTAGCGCTAGTCCATATCAACCTATTAAATCGATTTAGTTATCTTGACCCAAAGGCTTTCCGGTGTTTGTGCACTAGTGACAGGGGGCGGCTATGCACCACTTAGTACGTAGACTTAGCAGACTTAGCAGACTTAACAGACCTAGGCGTGTATCCACCACCGACCGCAGCGTCGTATGGAATCATCTCAACGCGTATGTATAATACATAGTACGTATCACTGGGTAAGGTCAAGTGTTTAGATATCGTCAACTTAACAGCCTAGGTACCTACCTATTAACATTTTTCAATGCTGCTAAGCCATCATCATAGCATTGAATAATAGCCAAGTAATAAGTTTCGTAAAGCACAGCCAAGAGAGTTAACCTTATTATCAAGGATACTTTAGGAGGTACATACCTCACATTGCCGTTCTAAGTGCTGTGTAAGAATTCGTACCATATTACATAGTTGGCCACGGCTAAACATCCATAAGCCTCGCTATTATTCAAATCTAACAACGTATTAAGGATGATAACCTTGTAGTATCTTGGCTGGGAATTAATATGAATTTCATGTGATGAATTAACTATTCGGGCTATGTAAGTAACTTCGATGCAACTTATTGTGCTTGCTGCCAGCGATAAAGCATGCTGTTTGCCTCGGGACTTATATCCCAAGGTAATTAATTTATAATATGACATCCTTCTAAGTAGGCAAGTAGTAATGTTCATATGGGACAATTAAATTTTGAAGGAATATAATGCAGGTACTGCTCGGGAACTCCTCTTACACAGCAGACGCCTTCGGCTTACCCTTGTATACCTGGTACTCCATCATGACCGTACAGCCGGAGTCACTTGCCTACCTTTTGTGATCATCAACTAATAACGTTAGGCGAAACAAATAAATTCTATATCAACGTCTCAGACATTGATTCAGCATTGTCAAATGATATAGCTTGTTTACTTGCTTATCTGGAATCATTTTGTTGGACGTTGTTGGACAGTGCCCATGCAATGCCGTCAATAGTGGAGAGCAAAATCACCACTGCATGATAAGTCCTATGTATATATGTATGCAAGAGGTTGGCTATGCCCAGGGCCCAGGCGCTAATGTCATGTATTGAAACCTACCTAATAAAGAATCGTAAATATGTCAACATAAGTAAATACAAGTGAACAGTTAGATATAGATGCCTCGGTTACTTACACTGAAGTAAAATGAAAGTTTGAATTACAAAAGCGAAAATGAAGCGAAAAACGGCTTTTGCTTTTGCACAGCCTCATTGTATGTATGTACTATGGTAGGTGCAGGTGGCCTCTTCCCCACGGACAACCTTCCATTCCGAAAAAACGCACCGGGGCAGAACCTTAAAGGCCGAGACCGTTTAGCTTAGATCGGCACCACAAATGTGGCGCAACCCCGGCTTTCCGTTCCAGATTCCAGAACGATGGCTGAATCCTTGTGTCACTGGTTCCCTCCTCTGTAAGTTACCACGTGACAATCTCACGATTCGGTTACTCCGACATCCTCGTTTATTGCTGGCCAATAATTTCATGATCAATCTTAGCTATAATTAAGTCGGTCAAATATGGGCATAGAGGTTCCCGAGACTTTGTTAAATCAAATCAAATCAAATGATACCTATGACTTGGATATTTAGGTAGGTAGTCAATATCTTATAGATACAGAAAAGGGGGATAAATAAGTGTTGGGATTAAATCGGTAAGCAAAATGCTGTGCTTGACTGGGTAAATATTGAGGCTGGGATGAGAATAAAGCTATCTAGCACAACAAAAATGCCATGATTTAACCATTTTATCTATTGAAATCAATTTCCGCTGTGCAATAAGTATTTAAATGTTCTTTAGCTACCTAGGAATAAATAGTAATAACAGATAGGAAATATATTAGCATAAGATAATACTTAGATCAGGGCAGGCTTGACGACACCGGGGATATCATATATATTCCTTTGGGAATCACTTTACGCACCTGCTAATCGCAAACTGTAATTGTTGCTATATGTTTAACAGAAGCAACAGGTTTCTACCATATTTAAACTGGTAAATTAAGCATTGTTTTTAGTGAAATTGCTTAACTTTAAAGTTTAATGAGCCGGCTTAAAGTTATCTTTATAAATTACAATTGCACCATCGTTTCTAACAAGTGATACTTGCCCTGGTATAGTGGTAACACAGCGGTTGACACTTATGTAGACTAATAATCTAAGCCCGTAAGGGGTCCCAGGCTTGGGTTCGAATCTCAAGGGCAGGATATGTGTTTCTTTTTGTCAATGTTTTTGAACATTTCTTTTCTCTCTTTTTCATTTGCAAATTATTCCGGGAGTGAGACGCTGGGATTCTAATGTCAACCTGAATGAAGCACTAAGCCGCCAGCCCTGAGTTTCGATTACAGCTATTCACAAGTTTATGCGCCAAATCGATGTCTTTAGGTGCGTATTCTCTCCTTATGATCTAAAACGGTTCTGGTATATTTCATGGGCCTTACAAATAAAGCACAACAGAAATCATTAACCCTATGGCGCTCCTAAGATAGGTTTATAACAACCACTTTTTTAGAAAAAGAAAAAACCGGTTTAGTCTTAACAATTTTAAACATTTTCTCATTTTTCTCACAAAAGCTCATGTCAACCTCCCTAGTACCTATGGTAGTAACGCGTTTTGTGGGAAGATTTTTAAACAAATGCGTCTGAGTGTGAAATACGAGTGATTACCTAGGTGGTAAAATAGAAGAGGATCAATTTTATGGCAGATTCATAAGACGAATAAATACGTTACTACACAATACGTCTTAACTCTTAATATAACAGTTGTTCTACCAAGTTAGCTGCTCTCATACGAGTTACATGCTTTTACCATACATAAATCGTCTGAGCTATGAACGGCATGATGCGGCTTTGCTCATTTTTAATACTTATTTCTGACTAGACCTAAAGTCCAACTATAAATACGCAAGGACACCAGCTCTCTAGGTAAAGGATTATCACAAGGCCTGTGCTGTATTGGTTCTTTAGGGTGATTGTTTATCAAGTCATAAACATAGCTGAATCTTGATCGATTTGCTTGGGGCCTTTTTACGATTTATTTATGCTATTAGCTTGGACGCAGAAGTGCAAAAATTTAACTAGATAATTAGGTACTGCGTCAGTGAGCTCTGTATAGATCATATTAGGAGATAATACTGAAGCTTATATCCCATCTAAAGTATCATAGGAGCTATGACAGTCCTTATTTTTGTCAATAAAACTGGTTCATAAAGTAACAGGTACTAATGTCGATTTCGACCATGGCAATTTATGCACCATCATAAGCTATCAAAAGCGGAGAATTCATGAATGAAATCGCCATGGCAGCATGGTAGGAGACATTGCTAACAGGAATATTCTTGACAATCAAGTTTCCAGACAGTATGGCAACAGGCACGGCAACAGGCACAAGAACACATTAGATTTGTCCACAAAACAGCTCTTCTCTGCCCATGCACTTACTTCATGGCACCTGGCCACTGCCTCTTTCCATTTTGAAGTGTTGTTAGTGGCACAAACTACAAAAATTCCCCACGATACTTCTTATTTGTACAGGAACCAACCAGGTCACTTCTTCTGTTGCTCTCGCCTTGTATGTAGAAGTTTGCCATTTGCAAGACTTCATTACAACCTTCCCTTACTTTTATCATTCCTTTACCTTTATCATTCTTCGAATTCTCGCCACCATGGCCTCGAACAATCCTCAAGAGATTACCACCATCCCAATGGAGTCGGTAGAAGCCTCCGAACCGGAATTGCCTTTCCTGCCTCCGGAGGTCCAACTTTCGATAATCCAAATGGTCACAGATGGACAACTGCCGGAGGCTTGGTGTTCGTTCCGCTTGGTTAACCGAGCATGGAAGGAGGAGATAGAAAAAGTTGTTCGGCAGAGATATCTCAACACGACCACTATTAGTCTCCACGTCAACTCATTCGAGTATACCATGAAGTTTGACCGACTTTCAGAAGACAAGAATAACGCAATTTTCAAGGTATCGGGTCGAGCTGAGAGATATTTTAGTTATTGGACTACACAGACATTGAATCCCCAGGAAGCCGCTCTTGGCGAGAAATTTCACCTTGTAACGATTCCAGAAGTGGCGTGCAGTGACCCTAAGCGTATGTACTCATGAGGCTCTTTTAATGAAAGCAATGACTAACTCTCCTTATATAGTGGACGGAATAGAGATAGACTTCGAACAAAAAGTGCTATCTATACCTTGGATGCCAATGATCAATCAGGTACTGGTTGATGAACTCCATATACGTCATCGAGCGGACAATATTCTCAATTCAGGCAAACAAGATGACCAACAGCTGCCGTCGTATTACTGGGGAATTAAACGTATTTCCCTATTGCAATTCGCACCGAATTGGAATACAAATATCGCGTCTAGGGGGATGCTACTATACATGATCAACCGTTCTGAACCCTTTATGATTGAGATAGAACGTGTTCGAAGGCCCCGACTACGACGACAATACGCGCTTAATTGGGACCAAGCCATTACTGGGCTTGGCTACAGGCAAAGGGCGAAAGGGATATTCACGAAACGGAATGAATTCAGATCCACACGGATGATATGAAGTGCTGGACACAATAGCTTAGGGGACACACCCCAATCTTAGCTTGTCCGGTCCAGGAACCCAGTAGTTTTCCAAGGATCTTTAATACTTCGTAAGTACCTCATGATCAACGCTAGGTTCAAGTAATTGAAAGAAGGGTTAGCTAATACAAATGTAATATATCGTAGCTTGACGATATTCGAACGTTCAACTATCGATGCCAGCCCCATACCGACAATTCGCATACACAAATCAATACTTGTCGATTCGGACCTGGAGATCAACCCCGACTTTTCTTTTCTAAGACAAAACTCGAAAAAAAGACAAAAAAAAACACGAAAAACAAAAAACCAAGAAAAAAAAGACTTTGCAATGTGCCTGTTAGGAGATTCTAATAGGAGAGGATTATTGACTCAACTACTGCCTCTCCTCCATTCTCCTTTTCGATTTCTTTTACTATTTCCTTTCGTTATTGAGCCGTTCCACTGCCGGATACGGATGGCTATTGATGCCGAGAAGATCGCAAAGTCTGCGGTTCCTAATGTCTAATATTGTTGTTTCGGAGAAGCCTATGCGCATTTCCGCCACCAGCCAATACGGGCAGAGTACAGGAAGGAAGGTAGCAGGAGGGAAGACAGACCTGGAAAACCAATATCGTTTGAGCAATACCAGAACATTTGTTATGTTCTTGAACCTCGACGAGTATTGTGGCTTGCTTAGCTTATTGTACGAATAGGATAGTGCGTTGAATTAATACATATATAATTATAAAAAAGCCACTGGACTGACGTATCAAGTGATTTTATAAATTTGTTATAATGGCATAGGTAGGTATTCATAGGAGAGCACTTATGTCATTGAATCCTAACCTGACAGCTTAGATTCTCCGTGAAATCCTATTCATCTAAGTTTTATTCTTGGGTTAACCTAGCCTATGGAAACCTATCCCGTGGAAGCTACAATGACCACCATATAGGGGCTTCGAATTAGGATCCTCAACCCTACCTAATCTAATCGCCCTTCGTCATATCGATGCCTAAAGCAACCCCTGTACATAAACCCTAGACACGATCCGACGAGCCTATTGCTGCGGCTCGACGTGCCCCTCCCCGTTTCCTATACCGCACGATCGGCTGCGCCACAGGCTCTCCAGCTTCGAAGAAACCGCTGTTGGCAAGCGTGATGGTATGAACAAACCGCAGCTTGCCGTTCTCGAGGCGGAACTCGTGGCTGTCGGGCGCGTTGCTTAGGTGTTCGAAGATGCAGAACACGCTGATAGAGCCGTAGGTAGGATCGATGACGTAGCGGCGGTGCGAGTTAGGCGCCTGGTTATGGTTCGAAGGAATCCCGACTTTGCACGAGTCCGTGGGAAGCCCGCTGCCCGTGTATACGCTGCCCTCAAGGCGATCGCACGGCTGACCCCACGGTACAGCGGCTTCGGCAGTACTGTTGCTCCACATGTCCAGGTAAGCGTCGGCAGCGTTTTTGAGGGTTTCGCGCGAGGGGCGTTTATCCTCTTCGATGAGGGTCCAGTTCTCCTTAGACGCGTATTCTAGCGTCTTCGTGGAGTTGAAGAGCCACGACCCGGTCGTGGACACGATCAAGTCCATGAGGTAGCAGCTCAGATCGCCCGGGCTGTGGCGGATCTGCGCACCGATGACATAGGGGGCTGGTTCGCCCGAGACGTTGTGCGTTATGATGAGCTCTGTGAAGGAGGAACAATCGATGGTGTCGACGATAGTGTGGCGGTGCGCGATCTTGAGCGCGTTATTGAAGATGCCGCTGGTGATCTCCGCCGTCTTGTTGTTCTCCACGTACGTGAAGTTGTCGGCGATATTTTCCAGGCGGTTTAGCTGTCCATTCTCGTGTGCCTCAACGTAGCTGTCTGCGAATGACTGTATATACGTCCGGTTACACTCATATTGGGCGGCGGCTTGAGGCAGTAAAGCCCCAAGGACTGCAATGCCAACACTTAAGAGACGGGAATGCATGCTTAGGCTTCTATTTCCAGATGTAGACAAATCTATCGATGTGCTTTTGCTATAGAGTCGAGCCCAAGATGCAAGAAGTGTCCGCTAGATCTTCACTTATCTGTAATAGGTCTCGTTAGTAATAAGTATATCTTTTTAATTGGCGCGTAGGTGGAAGTGCCGTTGCCAATACCCCAATACCTCCCATGGCCAAAGACATTCCCGGCTCCGGAAGAATAAGCGGGAAAATTGTGTGATGACATCGCCGTTCGGGTTCCTCCCTACGAGCTCTTTGCAGATATTAAAATGCGACACGGGGATCTAGACCTAAGGACGCTTTGGCCTAAAGGGGTAATAGCAGAACATAGGTGCCCGCTTCTCTAAACTTACCCTCCATGCCCGCACTCTCTTCCTTGGAAAGGTTTATAAGTCTGTGGCTTGGCTGCGGTATGTCTTGTAGAACTAGAAGTACCTGGATACTTACCCCTGTGAATAATTGGTAGCTATTAATCTGGGGTAGATCGTCCTTTTCAATAACAGTTATCGAGATAGTAAAATAGTTCCTAGATGTTAGTAGGCGAATGGCATTCATTTTAATCCAAGAAGACTTTAAGTTCTTAATTGAGATAGTATATCCTGAATTGACAAACTACCTTATGCGGTAGTTAGTTGAAAGCATGTGATACTTCTAGACATCTAGGCCTATATTATTAAAGAAAGGGGTGGCAACGAACTTAAGATCCGTTTCTCTTATCTATTACTCCTAATATTCCCTCCGTAATAGAAGAGCATATAATAACCTCACCAACATCTTGCACTGTACTTTTATCTCCAAGTTCAACTATTATTCGGAAACTTGCTGATGTGCCTTGGCAATCCTGATCAGATCTTCGGGCATCAACGGGTCTTTCTCAAACCCATTTATGACCTGATCCAGCATAGCAGTCGCAAGGTCTACGACACTAATGCTAGGGATACCAACAATAAGTTTTATCATAGTGCCGGTAATAGACTTTATAATTTCGCCAGGTGCAGTAATATAACCTGGCTTTGCGACACTGGCTTCAACTCCATCGAGCTCAGCTGCCAATGCAAGAACCTGGTTTTCAGTCTCTCCCTATATTTCTTCAATCAGCTTTAAACTGTATAGTTGGTTCGTTGTCTTTCCTTACTCGCATGTATGAATACTGTGGCTGAAACCGTACGGCCTTTTCCGGGTCACGTTCCGCCGCTGCACCACTCATATAAAGGAATCGAAACGGCTTCGAGACACCAGACTCATGTATAGCCTTAAAACCTACGATTGTGGATGTCTGACAGATGCGCTTGACTTCCTCAAAATCGTACATCTTTGATTTTGACGGCGTGATAGCGACAGTCCTAGGTAAAGTCCTGTTAGCGATCTTACCCGGATATATGGCTAATCTCCGCCATGACGAGAAAATCAAAGAATTCTCTACCATATGCAGGCCGCAGCTCCGGCAAATTCATTTTTGACTTCTTCAGGATAATGATCGTAATCTTTTATGACGACACTTTTAAGCTTGGAAGGGGATGCGTTCGGTAGAAGCTTCTCAGGAATTGATACCGGCTTGCGAGCTAGGGCCACGATAGATGTGATCTCGGTCCTGCTTAAACTCTGTCGTATGATTTCATTGGCTACGAAGCCTGTGGCTCCTGAAATAATCAATTTCATTATTGTGGTTTTTAGATAGTATTATTGGAGAATAGGTATAATTCAAGGTGAATTAATGTGTTCATAACATAGACTACTCGCTTTGGAGGGTTGTAAATGGTTATGTATTATTATATCGTGTGCTTAGTCTATTAGCTGACAGAAATGCAAAGGATCTCACCAGCTGGTGTCTGGTGGCAAGGATTACACCGAGGGTCCGGCTTACTGCGTGCCGTAGCGCACACAATATTCTCGGCCGAAAATCCTCTTTGTCCGTGGCCGTTCCGTGGCTTTGTAACAGGTCGGCGAAAAGAGGCGCCTAATATCCCACTACCAAAATAAAACTCCGAATAAGATCTGCAGTGCACCTTCGAAAGGAAACCCCCGTTAAATGCATTTTACAAAAAGCTACCGATTACAATGAATTAAACAACTAATACTGCAAGTATTGCACTGTTATCTTCATCTCCATCTTCAAAGGCTATTCTAATTATACTTAGTGCGCAGCAATTGTTGTGGGATACGAAGTAGTTAGATGCACATCTTGAATACGACCGAATACTTATTCACCATATATCCTAATATCAATTATATTCCATATGCTTTAAGAAGCTCTTCGTATTGAGACTAATAGTCATCAATGTTCTAGAGTGGTAGAGCGGGTCTATTTAATTTGATGGGTGTAGATCTGTTTTCGGGCGGTGAGCTTTTACCAAGACGGTTACGCCCAATCTTTACCCAGTGCAACGCCTAGAGACATCATATTTGGTACAAATGCACCTCTTCATATGCCCCTATTCAACCCCAATGTACTAGAATGATCATCCGTTCATGACGACAGTATTCCATAGGCGGTTATCGGAATGTACATAGAGTTATACATTCATTTGCTGGAGGTGTTTATTTAAATATTCATGAAATATTAATGATCCTTTGCCATGCTGCAAATCTCACCCTTTTCATATACAAGGGATAGAGTCGACACCCAAATTTTCTAGTTGTCTCTTAGGGCGGATTATAGCATAATAGTTCCCAAATAATTCCATAAAATGCCGCCAAGAATATCCAGCTTGAAGTCAATGATAGCTCTCTCATCTGATGATGCACGTAATGGTGCGCGCCCGCGTCAAGTCACGAACAATCGCGTCACGGAAAAGAGTCGCCGCCAAGTGGAAAAGGACAGTGAAGGTAGGAAAAATTGATCCGAATCAGATAATGCCAATGCTAATTCAGGGCTTGGGAATAGGACACGGCGGCTGCGTATGCCAGCCTCGCCATGTCCTTCGTCAAGCAATAAAGTCCAGCTTGCTACACCTATAAAGATATCCAACGTTGCTGCTGGCAGCGTTAAAATGGTTCAGGCGAAAACTCGAGTTCATAAGAAAAATAAAAAGTCTATAAAACATGCTCATGTATAGTACGTGGTAAGTTTGATCTCTATCAGTTTGACTAGAGTTCCTGCCCATAATCCACACAGAGTTCTAGTAATAAATCATAGACGCAGATAGAATCTATAAAGATACCTAGGTACCTATATACTAACATATAAAGATAGACGGGGCGCGTCTAGCACGGCTCTCGAGCCTATATTTTCGCGTTTCGAACCACGATTCGCACTAAAGTTGAAGATATGTGAGCACGGAGGCACACGAGGAGGACTAGGCCGAAATATCGAGTCTGAGAGTATTATTAGAAAGATATGCGAAATCATCTTTGGGTAGGATTCAAAGATTGACTTTGAACGCATAAGTTATAATAATGTACCAAAACTGGTAAGAAAATATTAATGAGGATACGTTTTGATTCTTTCGAAATTCTACTTTCTATGATCAAAAATACGACATGCTGAATTTAAAATGAAAATCTTCATGAGTTACTATATACTTCCTACCGAGGTAGGTACACTGCCTTGGCATATTGTTACCTGTCTAGCCCAACTTACTATCTAAATACAAGCTTACGCTACTTAGAAAAACCATACCATTAGGAATTCAGTAGTGAAACACCGTCGCCAATATTTCTCCTACGCCGGTAGAGCTAAGGTTAAGCTTGGTATTCATTAGAATAAGAGCGGAGAGTGTAAGATTCGGTTCATTCCGTTGCAGTATGCTTATACCTTTGGTGATTATAGTGAGGCGGAAATTACCTAGTTTCAAACAATAGGCGATACAGCCAATAGGTATCGTAATCAGGGGGTGTGATCGGATTATCAGCTACGGGAAATTACGCATCAGGGCCAGGTTGACGATTTGAGGCCATCATGATCCAGAGAAAGATGTTTGCCAATATGTTTCCGACGCCAAGTGGTTGCTTTGCGTATATGCAAGTCGTAGTTGATGCAAGATGAGAGTACAGAACGCCACAATTTAGATTTAATTACTTTTTTTCTTTTTAGGCGGGCAGTTTTTCAACCAATAAGCATTATAATCCAATGATCAGTGCCCACGGGCATTGCATATATTGCGTGTCGCCACAGGATGCTAAAACAATCAGCCGTCTTACGGTTACTTGCAGCTAGTTGTCTGACTTGGAAGACCTAATAGTCCATGGGTATTCTAGGGAACATGGTATATCGCCTGCTCTTGAATAAACCTAATAGGTAAGTTTATTAGATACGTCTTCAGGGATTAGCTCTCGGAAAGAAAGAATTAGATCGTGGGAGAACTATTGGTAACAAGCCTTCCCGAATCCTATTAATATGTAACAGTGGCGTAGAGAGATGATACAAAACGAGAAGTAGAAACATGCAAGATTGAGGAACTGGACATGGTTCTCAAGTATAAGAGTCGTACATTTTGTTTAAAGGCGGCCGATTGCGCCGTCAGTGCCCGATAAGGGTTGCAAACGTGACCCAATGCGAAGTAATACAACTTCTGGTGGCTTCAGGTACCCTGGCTCAACAGGCCATAGAAGTGGTGGGTATAGTTGGCTTAATTTTTCCCTCATGTGGTTGCAGGGTGCATCCTGTATTGTGACACCCACTACCAATTAGGAGTTCTTGAGGCTGTCTTTCTGCATATGAGATGATATGGCCTGAAATCGTGATTCGTTAGTTTATACAAGTCTACTTGGTATGGGATGTATTTTATGCGGCACTGCTAGAATAAGTTATATAATAACCATCCACGGGCTTACATCACTGAAGATATTAAGAGTCCATAATAACTCGAGAAAGACTTTCGATACCAACTACCAACAAGAAATTGAAATCTACTTCCCAATTCGAGTCGATATTTCTCAATATGTCCTCCCAGTCGACAAGTACCGCTTCCAACTTAGCCCTCGAGGACAGAATAATATATGGATTTGGGCCCGATCATCGTATGCCTCATTCATGCCCTTCATGCCTTGGAACTCCTAGATTGTAAGTTAAATTCCTAACCAACTCTAGTCAAATATGGAAACCCACTAATTGGAGTATATTATAGAGTTAATGATTGCCATGCTTGTGACGGAACCGGGCTTGTGTGGGACACCAGTTCGGACAGTACTTACCAAGGAGAGGAGAAACAGCAGACATCACCCGGCGGATCCTCTCCGGAGAGTTCTTCATTATCACCGTACGACCGACAAGACTGAATGTGATCATTGCCCCCGATAGTCTATCCTGAGGACATATTCGGATATCATGTCCAGTCGCTCGAGAATATAGGAAAAAGCACTTAAGGGGAACACAAAAAGAATATCATAGAGTAGGGTGTTTTGGAAGAAAATAATAGGTAGACACTCATAAGGAAACTCGCTCCAAGACTAGCAAAACGAAGCTTAACTAATTAATCATGTATTGGTAACTGGCGGATATTTATTCTTTTTGGTGGGGTAATGCATACGATACAGGGACTATAGGATGCGGAGAACCTGGGGTAATAATTTCGGCTTTGGAGTTTCCCTTGGTTGAATGCCTTGCTTCCTACCCCTGAGCGGGGAATACACACCTTAGGTACTCTAAAGGTTAATGAAGCTATACTAAATAAATCAACTACTAGTTTCACTTCAACTAGGTTGCGAGATGTAGTTTCAAGAGCGGAAGTCTAACGGTGACTACGCATAAGTAAGACTATCTTACTTATTCATCGCATCCCAACATCAGGACATATTTACTTGATATACCTAACTGACGTACAGCCAAGAGGCTTAACTATGCCACTTCTTACCTTGAGCTTTGCCGTCTTCTTTGGGGTTGCTGTCCGCCTAGCTGCATGCTCTGCGGACAAATGTGCATCACTCGGCGCCCAAATTCTGGTTCCTAATAGTACGATTCTTATGTATAATTACTTACTTAATGGCACAACTATTGAACTTCCCGGGACCGTCGAGTCCTGTGGAGGCCCAAGCCTCAAAGCTAACGCCACAGCCGATCTCTGCCGGTTTGTGTTCACCGTCACGACTTCTCCCTCGAGCGAGATACAGCTAGAAGCCTGGCTTCCCGATTTGCAGACCTGGAACGGAAGAGTATTAGCGACAGGCAATGGTGGCATTGGGGGATGTATCGACTACGCCACTATGCAAAATGGAGCTGGACTGGGATTTGCATCTTTCGGGACTAACTCTGGACATAACGGATCAGTGGGGTATGAGTTTTTCCTGGACCAACCTGAGGTTATCAACGATTTCGGGTATAGAGCTATCCACGTCGAAGCAGAGATCAGCAAGGTATTGGTAGATCAGTACTACGGAGCCAGAGCAACCAAGACGTATTATGCGGGTTGTAGCACGGGGGGACGTCAAGGTTTTCAAAACGCGCATTTATATCCCAAGGACTTCGATGGGATGCTCCTTGGAAGCCCGGGTGTCGACTGGTTGTACATTGTGGCCTCGAAGGGAATCTTAGCACGACGTATTGGATGGCCTCATCTAAATTCATCGATTTACGTACGTCCGGAGCAGTGGCCAGCCATTGTCGAAGCACAGATCAGAGAATTAGATCCTCTAGATGGAGTGACGGATAGTATTATAGATGAGCCAACGAAGCACCGGTTTGATCCCGAGAGTTTAGCATGCGGTACCGGCCTCCTTAACGCCTCATTTTGCCTTAGCCCACAACAGGTGGAGGCTGTGCGTAGAGCGTATGAGCCGATCATCAGTGCCTCGGGTCAAGTCGTTTATCCAGCTTTCGAACTAGGCTCCAAGACTGACGTATTCTCCGAGAATCAGGAGAACGGGACAGCTAAGTTGGGTTATACGATCCTTGAAGACTTCTGGCGTGGCGCGATTTTCAATAATACCCATTGGACACCAGAGAATTTTAATGAGTCGGACATGGATTTTGCTGTAAGCATCAACCCAGGACAAGTCAATGCTGCTGAAAAGGACCTGTCGAGTTTTTATCGTAGAGGTGGTAAGATTATCTCGTATCATGGGAGGAATGATGAGGTAAGTAAGGTTTCGTAGTATTAAGGAGGACTATATGATTAATAAATCACTATCAGGTACATTTTCGAATGAATGCTAACAGCTAGTTTTTAGACTGTAACATCTGCTCTCTCCGAACAATTCTTTACCGGGGTTCAAGCCGCGCTGAACCTTACATTGCAAGATATGCATAGTTTCTATCGACTATTCTTCCTTCCCGGTATGCATCATTGCTCAGGGGGGCTCGGCCCCTGGAGTATAGGGAACGCGCAAAAGTATCCGTACGACAAGACGCTACTGGATTCCAAACATAATGCACTTATCGCGTTGGTTAACTGGGTCGAAAATGGGATGGAGCCGGAAACAATCGTCGGCACAAAGTACGAAAATGATATTATTGGAGGTAGTATCATGGCACAACGAAGTGAGTTTTCCGTATATCTCTTCCCTTTAAGGTTGAGGCGCTGAGATTCTATATTAGCGTACTGTCCCTATCCTATGGTTAGCAAATGGGACGGCATGGGTGATGCAAACCTAGCAACTAGCTGGGAATGCGTTTTATGAAGTCGAACGGAACAGGAAGCATTAGGTACCTACTTAGATGGAAAGGTGAGCGGTAAATTAGGAGGTACTTTAGGAATTTCTACTGTAGATTAATTACCTATTATGCCCCCTTAATGAATGTAAATATACTCTAACATAAGTTTACGAGCCCCTGAATAAACCTTTTTATACAAAAAAGGCTCGATATCATGTATTTGATACTTTCTAGTTAAGTCAACTTTCATTACCTACATTAACAGATGGCAAGGTAATAAACAAAGCTTGAAATGATTAATGTACCTATACACGGAGAGACTATATTTTTCAAAAAAAAGAATAATTAAGAAAAAAGAAAAGGTCTTTTATTTCCTCTTCCAAGAAATAAAAATATCGTGCCCCCACACCGGATTGAACGATGGACCTCTCCATTTCGAATTTCACTAAATCACATTGTGACTACGCGGTACGAGTGGAACGCTCTACCACTGAGCTATAGGGGCCGCACGGTGGCAAAACACCGCTATTTTAGTGTTATAAATTCGTGAAAAATTCCACGCTCAACAACAACTTATTCTCTTAGCCATTACCACGTAACTCCGGAATGATTTTTCAATTTTTAATATCTTAATGTAACTCTTTGTTGAACGAAGCATGAGGGCTGAGCAATGATTTAGGTAAGGTTGCTTACGTAATAATATAATATAATTAGAAAAGATGATTCTAATTTAGAATCATCTTTTCCATCTCTTCGTTTTAATCATCATTCATCTAACCTTACAAGTATTAAGGTACCAGTTCAAGGCCCTCTATTATATCCATTATTCGGAGTACAGAGACCAGCTTAGACCCTGGCATCGCCCCTGGGATGATAGTTCTAGCGTCTGGCCCTAATAAGTCTATCTTCGTCGAGAATCTAACACTAGATTTCTTAAAAAATCCACGAAGGCCTACTGTTTCCTTGATACCACAGTCATATCTTGGAGAGTTTTAAGCCGAGGATAACTTGCCTGAGGGGGATCAAGCAAAGCCGGGAATGGATCAAGAAATATGCTTTCCGAGATACGTTATAGGAAACCAATGCAGAGTTTCTTGAGACTTTCCTTAACAGGATCCATCAACTAGGCTGGGTCTTTGACGTCAAATTCATCCCCACCATTCCAGCAGTACTCTAGATCCTCAAGCTTCGGAACACAAGGTAGCAAGTTACCCAAGTAGCCAGGAATCAAATCTGAAATAGCTAGCTTCGCTACATTAGATAATCCCAACTCACCCTCATATCCATTGTAGAGCGATTCAGCCATGTACTTGGATCAGCCTGATGCGTCATACGCAAGTCAGGTCGAATATATTGAAAAATGAGGCTTACCTGGCCAGGAAGATATTATAAATTCATACCTAGCCACACGTCTTAGGTACCTAAATTGTATCAGCTACGTTCGCTACACAAGTTTCTTCCTCTAAACCCACTACTTAAAGGGGTATATGTATACCTATAAGTATCTACCCAAGCCAGGTCAGGTCAAAATATTAACTAACTCATCAAACTCGTTAAGCATACCGCTGCACTATTGTGTTATGACCCTAGGAACGGTGGATGCGCCATAATCCGGTCAGAGATAAAGGGGGACAGCCGGAAGCCTGATCTGTAGATCTGAAAAAGGGATCTAAAATCTAAAGAATAGGACGAATCTGCAAATTTGAGAAAAGATTTACAGGTCTACAAATTCATAAGGAATATGTAAAGGGAAGAATGAATATAAAAAAGGGGATTTCCTTATATATTTTAGGAGGTAGTTATTCATTCTTCAGTTATCAATCCAAGCCGAGTATTCAACACATACTATGGGAAAGTACTCCAGGCCTTTCTGACCAACACTTGAGAACTTCTTGTTTGCCACTTTTATTCATACCATTGCCGTTTACCTGAAATCAAAACTCGCCCAGAATTATACTTTAACGTACCTGAGTATAGGTTCGTTACATATTGAGCAAAAGACAGGCTTAATTATTACTAGTTTTAACCCCGATAATCGTAAAATAGATGTTAGACTGTTATTATCTTAATTCCTTGGACCTCACGGAGTATCGTATAAAAACCCACAGCCCGTACTGTGATAATTATCGTTTTGACGGTTCTCCCTCATCAATTCGTGGATGCGGGCTTCGCCTGATTAAAGCATTGGCCAAAGGGTGTATTCTTAACGTCCTGTTAATCTAATTTCGGAAGGTCTTTGCGAATGCATCAGCAATTTTCCCGGTTTCTCAACTCGTGCTACATAGTATAGTGCCTATGGGAAGATTCTTGCTTGGCCAGGTCATGTCTACCAATCTCCCAGCTCGCCACTTTCCGGGTTTAGCATATCGAAGCGGACACAGTCAGTGGGAAAAAATGTAACAGTCGGCACTATGACGTCTTCTCATATTCTAGCGACGGTAGACATTTGACAATCAAAACGGTGGCAAGGGCGGATTGCGAATTGTTTTTATCTGTGTGATCCTACAGATGCCCAACCCCTATGGCATGTCATCTCACATCTGTTCTGTGGCTCACAAGCGCATGGTGAAGCCTAATAAGCCCGATTCGGTGCATGAGGCATAGCCCCGGAAAACCCCAACCTGAATATGTGCATACTGACTGCAATATAAAGGGTCTGGATACCGAATGACAGCCAATGAAGTTATTATGGTACTGATAGAAGACAGAAGAATCCTCACTATCTAATGCAAACCACATATAATAGCATTTGCATAAAATGTGGCGTTTCATACCGTAGCTGAGAAATGTAGAGTTTGGGCGTCAGGTGCGGCCTATTCGGCGACCGCAGCGAGAATAGGATACGACATATACTTACCTAGCTGTTACAAGTTTTCTCGGACACTGTAGTCTTTCCTACCTTAACATGTATCATTTGATAATAGGTTGGTTTGCAATTATAAGCTGTTGTGGTTAGGTTATTATGTATATAAATACTCGAAATTCAATTCTATGATATATTAAATTTTTTCCCAATTGTTATTCTCAAAATAATTATCCAAGCAACATTGACAGTCCAGTTGCCCAGAATTCTACACCTCCAAGCAACACCCCATTTTTAGCATTTTATCACAAAAGAAGAGTTATAACTCATCTCTCATCTATATTTAATTACAGCCCTACAGTTAGAATGGAGGCCAAAGCCAAATCCGATCTTACCATGTGTACAGATAGGTTCATTAATTATGATGTCCCAGGTACTCCAATGGTTGACCAGAAACAATTTGTCTGCTTCAATGTTCCAGGTGATCAGAAGCTTACTGCCGTCCTCGAAACCTATTCAAACGGTTACCGATGGGAATTGCAACGATCTTTTAATAATAACAGCGACACCACGGTTGAAGACACAGTGGCAACTACTACGCAGCTGAGGGTTCTGAACGGACAAGAGCTCCAAACAAACTGGAGCATTGGACTTCAGTTTAAAGGGATGTCGGTTGGTGTTGGCGGAGAGAGTAAGACCTTCCAGGAGTATGAGACCACCACCACCACCACGCACTCACAAGCGGTCACAATCCCACCTCGGAAAGCTGCCTATGTATACCAGAAGGTATACAAATTCAATGAACGAATGTGGTTCATCCTTGATTGCTGGAATCAGCTCAGCAAGGTTGGAGGCCATGGGAACTACGAACCTTCTGTTGTCACTGGCAGCCTTGAGATTCATTCCAATGAGTATTATGTTGTCGAAGAAAAGCTGGATGGTGACTCCTCCACTACGACTGCTGACTGGGTTCCCTCAACTGCAAAAGCCGACGTTATCAGGAAATTTGAAAATTGCTCAGAGAAGTGCAAGGATTACCTTCGTGACCGAGGTGTCCATATTCCATGAAGCCTTAATCTTTGGCAACGCTTCCATCTAAGACGGAGTATGATGGTAAGCTATGTGTTATAATAGTCTTGGTTTCGCTATGAAGATTCTCTAACTGATGGTTTCTCGGACAACAGGGCGGACGACAATGAGTAGAAAGAGGTTCATTACACTCCGCTACGAACCAACATCCGGGTGGCCTGACCAAGCACAAAGTACTAGATCTAATTAGATCTAAGTGATCGGATAGATCGAACGGAGCAATGTTTTCGGTTAGGGGGAGGATATACAAAGTCACTCTTTTAGTCTTGTTCCCGAACTTTTGAGATCCCTCTCTAATGGTTACCACTCACTCTCATATCACCACTATCATTATATCAACAGTCATCGCACCAAAATATACTTTAAAGTTAATAAACAAATATATTACCTTTGCCGACATTCCTAGCATTTGGTCTAGTTTTACAGCAACGTTTGATTGACCACCTGACCAAAATATGTCATGAATATTATTCCTTGATATATGTAACAAATGATTCCATCGGTTTATTAACTCGCGTGAAGTCCTCCTTCGAGTTAAGCCACATGGGCGTTGATACAGTCCCCTACCCCTTTATGTCACATTTTAGTTACCGAATGCGTGCTGATTATTACTCTATATATAATCTCTAATTTATAATCTCTAATTATACAGGTAAACCACCTGGCCTTTATGGACGGTAGAGGATATAAACAGCTGGGTTCAAGGTATTGCTACGTTTCCCAGATATCGACACAAGGATGATGTATCATACCAAGCATTATCTACTCCTTAAACGGATAGTTCGTCTGAATGATCGGGAATAGCATGTACGTTATATAAAGCAAGGCTATCCATAACTCACCACGCTAGTGCGTCATTGTAAACAATATCACCTATGAATGGCATGTTTAAGACCTACATCATCTACCTAGGTACTTATCTAATATTATTAGGAGGAGGATATGAATGACGTATAAAAAAAAGCAATGAGGTACTAAGTGATAGCAGCGTCGGGCTATATACCTCATTTGTTTCAGCTTATACGAGAGCATCCGTCCTTAGCTGCAGCATCTCGAGGTTGTATTGTCTTACCAGCGTCCATCCAAGACCAATGAAAGCCGTGATAGTTCACGACTCCAAGTAGACCCCGCATCCTGAATGCAATCTGTAGGCGATCGATCGGGGGCATGTACACTGAGATCGTGTCGTGGATAATGTGCTTTACTGGGAATATAAAAGGCATCACGTAAGGTAACTAAGATATGATCAGTCCTCTTGCTTACATTAATCAAACCTAGATACACATTGCGAATCGAGACCTAGCCTCGAGAACCTTACCCAAAGTTAAAGTGACTAGCCACCATGTCACTCACAAAAGAGTTAAAAGAGGAATACAAAGAACATGCGCGCGCCTACAATGAAGAATACCAGACCATCCCCAACAGCATCATGGAGACGCAACTCCTAGCCTCCGCACTAGGCGACTGCACAGGCCACACCGTCCTCGACCTCGGCGGCGGAACCGGCGTGCGCGCGCGAGAAGTCATCGATCTCGGCGCCGCCAGCGTAGACGTCGTCGACCTATCGCCGGATATGCTCAGCGCGGGACGTCGAACCACCTCGGGCGCGGGAGCCAAGTACGCCGACAACATCAGGTGGCACGAAGGCGACGTCTCGAAGCCGCTGTCGCACCTACCGCTGCGCCAGACCTACGACCTCGTCATGGCCAACTGGGTCATGGACCACGCGGCCAGCCTCGCCGAGCTCGAGGCCATGTGGCGCAACGTCGCCGCGTACCTTGGTCCCGGCGGCCGCTTCGTCGGCGTGCGCTCCGGCGACCCGTACGCGGCCTGCGCCGCGCAGGGGAAATACGGTATTAGGTATAAGGACTGGAAGGATGTCCCCGGAGGCGTCTTCTTCCGGTACGAGGTGGCGACCGTGCCGCCCATCGATATCATGGCCTCGTCGTGGGAGGTGACGTACTCCGGGTCGACGGAGATGATGGAGAAGGTTGGGCTGGGCGAGATTGAGACGGAGCCGTATGAGAATGCGGAGGTGGTTAAGAAGGACCTTGGGTTTTGGGAGCTGTTCTTGGAGAATCCGTCAATGGTGGTTGTGAAGGCGCGGAAGTTGGCGGGGACGTGAATGGGGTTTAATTATAGAGGGCTTCGATAAATGTTAGCTCTTTTCCTTCTTCCGCAACAGGATATTTCTGTTTAGTTAAATACTACAAATATGCTTGTCTTTAGTTTTGATGGAGGGAATAGGGGAAAGGGGCAGCTCGGGGGAACCCTAGTGTCTATGATGGATGCTATTGTGACTTAAATTTTTTTAAATTAGTATATCCAAGCCCAAGCCGAACTGATGCTTGGAACTTTTGTATCTATATTATAGTCTTATGCAACTTCTTCCAGGGCTGACTCATAACCCTAAGAAATTGCAATATGCTCCCCAATGGCAATATAATCGCGTATATACTTGTTTCGAAATCGATGTAGCTTAAGTGCGTCGAATCCCAATATGCATGCCTCTTCTCATATGACTTTTCCTATGCCCAATATCTATCCCTTACCACTTCTTAATCTTTCGCATGCTGCCCTCCTCTAATAACGCCTTGTGCATGTCGAAGCTATTGAAAAGTAGGTGCGGCTCGTGGCCCCAGCCCTTCTTGAGGCATTCGAACTCGGCCTTCTCAAAGTAATCCTTGAGGATGGGTCGGTAATCTTCGTGGGCGCACTTGTCGATGATGACGCGGGCGCGCTCGCGGGGGCTCAAGCCTCGGACGTCTGCGAGACCCGTTTCCGTTACTATTACATCTAAGTCGTGCTCGGTTTGGTCTACGTGTGTGCACATTGGTACGATACAGCTAACACCAATCGGATCTGTCTTAGATGGTCGTGTTGATGGTGTGTGCATGATACTGTACTTAGACGACCGCAAGAAGTCAGCAGAGCCGCCTAGTCCATTCAGCATGCGACTGCCCATCACGTTCGTGCTGTTGGCGTGCGCGTAGATGTCAACCTCGACGGGCGTGTTCATGCCAATTACACCTAGTCGGCGGATAATCTCAGGAGAGTTGGAAACCTGTTGCGAACGTAGGAGCAACTTGTTGCGGTATGCTTCCCAGTTATCGTAGAAGCGCTTAAAGCCTTCGGGAGAGAAGCGGACCGAGGTTGCGGTAGCGAAATCGAGGCGGCCAGAGTCGAAGAGATCGAGGAAGGTGTCTTGGATAACCTCAGTCCATACTTTCAGATTCCAGAAGTTTGATTCGCTAAGGCCGCCGATGACAGCGTTGGCGATGTTACCGATACCAGATTGCAGGGGGAGGAGAGACTTGGGCATGCGTCCGTGTTGGACTTCGTGCTCAAAAAACTCGATCAGGTGACGTGCGATCGCACGAGAGTTTTCATCTGCAGGTGTGTTATGCGTCGTTTGATCTTGGTAATCGGACTCGATCACGCCAACAACCTTCTCCGGATCGATAGGGATAGATGTAGTTCCAATACGGTCTTCGACGCCCATAATTAGGTAGGGCTTTCGTCTAGGGGGTAAGTCGGTCATTGTAATGTCGTGAAGTCCATCAAAGCTAGGGATGGACGTATTGACTTCAATAATAATCTAGTATTACGAATTATGGTTAATGCTTTGTCTTTAGAATTACTTGATCCGAGTGCTTACCTTGTCTGCGAGCTGTATGAGTTCTGGTGTTGCGCCGACCGATGCGCCTGGTACGATGCTTCCATCTTCTTTGATTTCCGAAGCCTCAACCACTACGACGTCTAATTTGTTGTTCGGCCTATCCTTAGTGTAAAATCCCTAGTGATGTTAGATATAGGCGCACTTATAGGTTAATATGGTTGAATCCCTGCGTTCACTTACATATACTAGATCTACTGGAAACATAGATAAATGCTTATCAAAAAATTTAATTCTTCCTTCGTTAATGCCCTTTGCAATGGCCTTGCCGACTTGGTGAGGACTACGCCTCTCGATCATGTCGAGCCCAGCCCATCGGTTCTCGGTTTCGGCTCCTGACGACGCGCCGACAAATAATGTGTAGCGGAGCTTGCCCTGGAGGTTGTTCTTTTCGACATGGTCTGCTAAAAACGTGGGTATTTTCCTGCAATTGGAGTTTAGCCATATGAACCGCATAGAGGAAAGGAGAGTTAATAAGCTACATACTTTGGATAACCCACACCAGTGAACCCCGACCAACCAATATAGGCACCATTAGGGAAATGGTGAAGCATGTCTTCAGGTCGGCATAGCTTCTTTAGCATCGAAGGTCGACTAACTCGAGCCTTTAGAGCTGCGGATGCTACAGGCGAGGCCATATTGTCTCGATTTGAGCTTAGAAGCTCCCGTAAAATGCGACCTGGAGGGGCAAGCAACGGAGGTGGTGAGGGGCACAGCAATGATTCTATTGATACAAGCACGAAAGCACAATTGGCTATGGAATTGGGAGTGAGCAGAAAAGAGAATTAGAAGAAAAGGTTAGAAAATTAGGAACGAGGGTTAATTAAGAAAAGAAATGAGGAGAGGAGGAGTGGAGAGAGAGTCTGGGGAAATTTCACTATAATGATCTAAGGGTTTGAAGTTCGCGACTCGCATGTAAGTAACAATTAAGTAACGATTTTTGAAGCTTGGGGAAAATGGAGAACGCCGAACGCCCGCCGAAACCGAGGCCCATAAGTTTTAAATGGTGCCACTACGGAAGCTCTCTTTCTCTTTCAAGCAAATATAACAGGTGATGCAGGCGAAGTAAATTTCGGGAAAAAAAGAAAAAAAAGTTTCAAATAAACATCTAGACAAAATCAATATTTTCCCTTCTTTTTTTTTTCGTCACTCCTTGGGGTTCTGAATACTTAATGGTATCATTGGACCTAAACACCTATATTAAGCAAGTTGCTGACTATGACGACACTTTAACGCCGCTGGCCCGTTCCTGATAAGCTAGGCTCGGCCCGAGCATTATCGAAATCCCTTTGGTCCGGATAAAGGAGTATATGTAAATATGAAATAAATATGAAACAACAACGGGCTTTCAATTATTCGCTCGGAAGATATTTGGTTAAGGTTCTACCAATTGATTGCTTTCATTTGCCCGTCTTGGTGTAATAGGGGTTCTTATACCGAATCTAGCCTCCGCATCTAGGACGTTCCGAAAACAATCCGGGGTTGAGCGAAAACGTGTAAGTGCGTTTCCGGGGATTTATATGCACAGGGGAGCTATATGCGATTTTATAAACGTGCACCATATGCCGAAAAGTCACGACTATTCTTCTAGAGGCGATAACCAAACTACTATATCTACCTAACATAATGCTACAGAGGGATAACTAGATAAAACTTCTAACTAGCTTGACGATTCCAGAGATCTCGCCACATCTCCTTGAATCCGTAATGAGGTGCTTTCGAGTCGTATACCTTTGCAGTATGACCACCTTTCCCAAAGCGATCCAATATACTGACGGGGGTGGTTCCAACCCCGTCTGATAGAGATCTCGCCGGGCCACTAGCCCTATCTTTTATTGCATCTGCAAGTTGCGGCGCAACATCTGCATAGCAGTTATTTAACTCTCGTTCAAGTGAGAAGTACGGCTTCTTTGCAAGTTCAGGCGCCATTAAGTTATAGGATCGCGTAAGAGTGTTCAGATGGCTAATGGAAAGGTTCATGTAAGATTGTTCCGTAGTTAGCCAATCGGGATCTCGGAAGGGTGGCAATGGAATCTCCTGAGTTGTCGCCGCACTAGCATCAGTCTCCGGTGCCGGTTCGGGATTCGTTTCTAAGGATGCTTGTTGTCGCATTTTGGCCATGATTGGATCGTCTGTCGAATTCGTAGGTACTGCTATCTGATCGACGTTTCGCTTTCGTGGATTGTGCACTTCTTCGGCTTTTGCGTATCGTCTTGCCCGATTCATCTGATCTTCGAGTGAGCCGCCCTTACTCGCAATCATCCGGGAAGCGTGACGTCTCCAATCATTCCGTAGCCGAGCCCGGAATACGTGCGCGGCTTTCGATAGTTCCTGCTGCTTCTCAATCCACGGCGGTACTATCTCTTGACGTTTGATCATCTTGTTCATAATGTACTCTGTTGTATCTATGAACGGATTGTCGCTTCTCGTATCTCGTTCGACTCCCTTACCCCTCGGGATGTTCTTGAACTGTCCTCTTGCGATGGCATCTTCAATTCTCTCGTTTGCTAACGAAGCTAGTCCTGTCAAGGAATTCGGCAGTGATCGGGCAGCGGGTCTAAAGCGATCGCGGAATTCCTTCCTCATCGCCTCCCTCTCTTTCTCGCTAAGGCCCCCTTGTGCTTCCTTCAGACCCATACCTGTATATACAGAAGCTTTATCCCTAGCGTTGGCAGCCCTGTGTCCAGCCTTCATCTTTGGTTCCTGTCTAATTCGCATATCGATCGGTTGGAGGTCAGGTAATTTTGGGCGGCCTCTTAAATCTCTCTTTAGATGTTTGTGTGCGTCGTCGAGCATCCGTAAAACAGCGTCTTCGGTAGCTTCGGTACCCGTCCATGGCTGACTTGTCGCCGCGAGACGGGTACCCACGCCAGCTGCGGATGGCATGTCGGCTTCGGCGAAAGCGGCGGCATATTCGGATCGAAACTCGGCATCTTTAACTTTCGCGAGAAGACGTTCTTTTAATTCGTCCGAGAAACCAGCATCTTCCACCGATCGTCGACCGGCTCTCCCTCCTGTGAGCAACGCCTCTTCCGTGGCCTCTTGGAGACGGCGGGCCATCGGACCCAGCTCAGGTTTAGTATCTTCATCGGCTATACTGTTAGATTGGCGGCTAGGGCTGCTATCGGCCGAAGAATGAGTAGACTTTGTTGCATATCTTCTCCATTGATTAATCGCGGGGTTTGGGGCGTTTTGGGCAAGTAGTCCATGAGCGCATCGAGCGCAAATGTATGAAGATGATATGCCTCTAGCCATTTCCACCTTCTACGTAGGGCAATAGCCAAAGAAGGAACATTTTGTTATAGTAGTATCAAAATGCGTATGTCCATGTTAGTAATAGGCACTGTGGCAAGAAAATCAACGGACGGAGATAAGCAACAATTGTAAGAAAATCGCGAACATACCATAGCGGAGGTGGGGGTTTTCAGAGAATGGTTATTTTTGGGGAACGGTTCCCTAATAGGGAACGTTCCCTTGATTCCAGGCCTCTGATTGGCTGGATCCGAAAATAAGTGGGTCTAAATTTGGGATTTTTGGACCCACCTTGGATCCCATGTTCTTAGTGCCAAGAACCATTCCCTCTTATAGAACCGTTCCCTTTTTGGGAAGCATTCTCGTCAATTTTACCTAAAAAAAGAAAAAAAACCCTTTTTGGTCGAAAGGCTAAGTACGGGAGGGATTACCCTGTAGTTTAAAAGAAAAAAACCTTTTACAAAAAAAAATTTTTTAAAAAATTTTTTTTTTTTCATTAAAGTTTTTTTTTTTTTTAATAAAATAATATTTCGGAAGTAAAGGTTATAATGGCTAAAAACAGGAAAAATTCCACAATGAAATAATTCGATGAGATTGGCCACCTCGTCCCATTAGCTCAAACGTTTACACTTTAAACTTTAACCTTAATAGTGGGGTTAATAGTTAGGTGACACAAACGCAAGAGCTGTGGGTTCGAGGACCAGTCTTTTCCTTTTTTTGACTTTTTTGACTTTTGCCCCACTTTTTCACGTGAAAGTCACGTGAAATGGCGAAAATTCCACGATTTGGGGACCGTTCCCTTTTTGAGAACCATTCTCACGATAGAGAACGAGGCAACTGTTATGGTATGAAAACATTTCAGGGAACGTTTTTCTAAATAAGGAACGGTTCTCTGTACCCACACACCCCCGCTATGGTATATATGAACTCATAAAACTGTAAGCTTCCCGGACTTTAGCCGATTCATACTCCAGCGTCATGGATAGCTATTGCCCACCATAGCAGCATAGCTGATCAATGCTTATATGAGTATATGTACCTAAAGGAATATATGTACCTATAAGGTACTTAGGTAACCACCTTCCAAATAAGTATATGATCTTAAATTTGATTGGCCATTGAATATAGGCAGTTGTAGTTGGTTACTATAGGGGGAATGGGGGAACACGCTGTTATGGGATCCGAATTTCCACATTTGGCTGGTGTAGGGTTCCAATTTAGCAGCCAGGACAGAGGAGAGACTCAAAGCCATGCATGGTATGGCACTTATATTACCCAATCGCACATTGCCGGCGTGGTGATACCAAGAGAGTTAGAAATGGAGATAACAGCTGAACTGATAGTTAGCATTTATTTTTGTCTATTTTGAGACGTCCGGGGAGATTCACAGTCCGTAGAATAATATTAGCATGAACAATTTCCTTCAAAATATACCACTAGTTTATTATATCTACCTAATTAATAGACTGCTACACCACCCGGGAGCTCGGTGATCCACTTCCCTGGCTGTCCGACATCTTCAACGACCTGTTGGGCCTTCTTGCACTTCATAGCGTCCGCAGCTGACTGAATCTTAAGAACGCCGCAGTTAGCATTGGCGCAGTTCCCACCAGGTAAAGCATCCATGGCCTTTTGCAAAGAGTCATCCTTCCATCCAAAGAGGTAATCGCCGTGCTGGCCATATCCAGTGCTGCCATCAACATTAGTAAACAGGTACACAAGTGACTTAATGGAGGTGACTTACGAGTCGCCGAAGCTGTAGACGAAAGGCTGCTTGCCGCTTCCGTACCAAGCAGTGTTACTATACCTTCCAGTGTCCCACATAACTTCGTACATGACCTGAGGAATAGCAACGGGGTGAGTAGAAGGGCAGTTCGGGCTACCAAGGCCACCGCCGTTGGAGTAGGCGACGTGGGACTTGTGGTCGGGTGAATCGAGATTCTTTCCATCCCAGCAGGACGGAAAGATGATGGTGGCGCGGATACCTCCGGGGCAGTACTTGGTTGGGAGCTCGCCTGTGTCTTTGCTATCGCAGGGAGCGAAGCCCTCGCCATTTCCGAGGCAGCGGTGGCAGATCGAGGGTTTGTAAATGTTTTGCTTGTTCGTGGGGTCTCCCGCGATCATCCGGAAACCAGGCTTGAATGCCGTCACCTTACCATTCTTGGCGCTGTAAGGCATATAGTACACCGTCATCCCTCCGTCCTGCTGGATGCCGAAGTTGGCAAATTGAGGGACGCGTTGGAAGGTGCCATTTTCAGGAGACTTAAAGTACAATGATGCGGTCCAATAGTTGCTAAAGTCCTCTGAGTAGGTGCAGGTCGTGCAAGTGGACAAGGTTGGCGGGTCGTATTCAGCAGGTGTCATCTAAGTTATGTTAGTGGCAGTCTTCGATCAGATTCATGTAAGCTACCGTAAGATTGAACGAGTTCCCGCCGATGATCTGATGCGTGTGGGGGGCAGGGTTTTGACCAGGAGAGACCAAAGGGTCAGCGCGTTCGGTAGTGAGCTGAGAGCAGCCAAAACGAAGCATGTTTTGCGCAGAGGCACGCTGCCCCAAAAGGGCGCCGACGATGAGAGAGCTCCAAAACATGGTGAATTGCTTTGCCTGAAGTTCCAAAGTGAACATGGTGACACATGCTGCATCGGGCTCTGCTGTCTTCTTAAATAAACGACCAGACCACAATCTAACTCCGTACGTCGACCTACAGATTAAGACTTGGGTGCCGTGGGGAATCCTTGATACATATAACTGCCGGTAGGATTCTTTTAGCCGGAGACAAAAGCCGGCCAACTAGGACGTCGAGATTTAAAGGCACTATCATGGTTGTTATATGAGACAGTCTATTTTCGGGCCCCTAAACTCCTAGTTCCAGTTGTATCTATGCCGTGTATCTACCTTGGCATGATTTATATGTAGACTGCCCCCTCGAAGGTAGGTAATATTAGTCATCTTATAATCCAATGAAGTACCACGACCCAACGGCCTGTTCATAATCATAGGCCACGAAGTCCGGAAATAGTAGAAAGGAAAGATCCGAATCATATTGACGGACCAAAGAAGCTATTTCGATTAAATCGATCCTTCAAAATCGAAACTCACAGGACTTATAGGTTATGATACGAATCGAGGTCCAATATGAGGCCCGAAGAAGTGGATCCATCCGGCCGGAGTGATTGATTAGGTACCTACCTAATACGGGTGCCGGGTAATGACACGTGATATCCTCCGGCGCCTAGAGGGACACCGGGAGATGACGTTCTTTATATAAGCCTGGCATAGCCTACTGAGTTACAGTGCTTTCGGTGGTATTCGACTTAGGATATTACAACTTAGTATTGATATAGTTAAGATAAGTCTGTCTTTAACCTTCTTTGACGGGGTATACAGCTTTATGTATGTATAAGTAGGTACTTAAGGTACCTAATTTACCAGCTTCAACCAAGGTTTCATTTCAATACCCATAAGTCAGCTTACTTCTCTCCCTTCTCTGAAATTTTAGTTTCGTCAGCCAGCTGCTGGAAATCCTCCTCGTGGATCATGAAAGCGTCGTCGTTAATACCGCGATGTTGCCACCAGAAGATAACGGTTTGAACAGCAAGTGCTATTGCCGGAGCAGCCCAAGCCCAAACAAGGGTGGGATCCGTAATTGCGGGGATTAAAATTTCACCCAAGGCACTGCTCAAAGCAGTCATGAATAAGAAGAGGGCAACAACTGTAGCCCTCATATGCTCCGGAGCACGGGCATACGCGAGCTCGTACGCTGTAACATTGATAAAAATTTCGGACATAGCACCTAGGGCAACGTTTGGGATCTGCCACCAGATTGAGATTGGAGATACCTCAGCACAGTCGGTAGCGTAGTAGCCACAAGGTGACGTTCTATAAACGTATAACTGAACGACGGCTCCAAATACTGTTTTTAGTTTCAGGATTAGCATATATTCACATCCACAAATAGGGGAAAATACTCACTTCCGGAAATAGTAGCAAGCACAAAACCAAATGTCATCCGAGTAATACGGCCAACCTTGATCTTTCTACGCTCCAGGGCGGGATATACTATCTGCGCCATAAATGGCGAAAAGACAAGAATCACCAAAGGATTAAAGTGTCCGAGTAGATCATTAGGCGCGCCATCAGACTAATATGTGAAAATATTACATGTCAGCTCTATAACCAATGATCCTAGAATCTTCATCGTATTCTAGTAGGTCAGAATTATAGGATCGTCACACTTACTACTGACTGTTAGCAACTATATTTCGAAACAATTTTAGAAAGGAGTTCATTGTACTTACCACGAAGGCTAGCTCCCTGGCTAGATTGCACGGAACCTACCCCTCCACTATTTGGGAACATTTTGTATTAGTTTTGTAGTCATACGATTATAGAATCATAACCTTGGGCGAGTCGAAATTATAGGGTCGTCACACTTACTATTGATCGTTAGCAACTATAACTCGGGACAATTCTAAAAAGAAGGTTCGAAAACAGCAAAACGGAATGTTTTCATTAGGTACATACCTTATTGAGGGTCCAGATAGGTATATAAGCGAATATCCGCACGGCCGTCCACGTCCGTTCAGTATCAGCCACGTCCTTCTCAGAGTAGGCTACGTGGATGTTCTGTTCTGCTAGAACAGAAGGCTTCACGTTATACCAGAAATTTTTCGAGAAGATATTTCCTTTGCTGATCTTCAGTGCTGAAACAGTGATCTTCACAAAACGGTTCAGGTCGGATCCCTGAGGTGGCTTCTTAATCGTCCGCTTATACATGGCGGCAAGTAGGATCGGTAACAAGAAATATATGATGCCTGGGAGGAGGAAAGCAAGCCAGAAGCTGTGATACTTTTCGACATAGACCACGGCGATGCTGAAAAATGCACCCACGTTGACAAAGGCGTAGAAGATAAGCATAATATGGCTGACCGTCGTCTCGGGGTCGACAAGCACTTTCTCTCCGCTTGCAAGTACCTTCGTGTATTCTTTTTGATACGCGTACTGGTCAATCACTGTCGGTGCAACATTTGGTTTAAAAATGCCAGCTCCAATGGCAAGCAATAAGAAAGAAACGAGGAAAGGAGCTACGCCTTTTCCAGCCTATCGATATGGTGAGACATGTTAACATATCTTGATAATAGAATGACTACTAAGGAAATTGAAACTCATACCTGAAGTAAAGCCGGAGCAGCCCCTCCGACCATAATTATGTGGGCAACACCTCCTACGAGCACACCCCAGCTATAGAAATTGGTCACTATAAGAAAACAGAGGGGGGGAGGAGATTAGAGGACTTATTTATTACATTATAGCTTTATAACGGCCAATTTTTACATCTGCAAGCCACGCGCCAAAGATAGGAACGATATATGCCAGAAAGGTGAATAGGAGACCCAGAGCAGAAGCTGTTTGGATGCCAAGGTTCAAGGCACCAGCGTGGGAGTTGGGCTTTGATTTATCAATAGCACCGGTTCCGGGGCCGCCAGCCGGGAGAGGAAACTGCCTGTAAAAGATTATAATGTTAGGTTGAGGTCTTATTACGCGATGTTCTACGAGAGGTAATTACGCACATATAGTTGTTAAAAACAGCTTTGACGCCATAGTAAGAAGCTCTTTCGGCCAGCTCCACAAAGCAAAGAGACCAGGCAGCGAGAGGAATAGAATCGTTGACTTTACGCAACGTCTTCCGTTCTTCTTCGGTCGGAGGCGGATAGGCCTCGTAATCGATAACGGGGCCAGCTTCATCAAGCGATTCGGGCAGCGACTGGACGCGGGGAGAGTCGAGGGACTTGTTTACGGCTTTGCCCTGTACATGTTGTCCTTCTACATCGCGGATACCCGGGACTGGGTCTGCGTCTGGTTCGACGACTTTTTGAACGTTGAGACCGACAACATTCTCAGCTGCAGTATGTGTTAGATGGACAATTAATAGTACTCATGATAGGTGGAATGTTAGAACGTACCCATGATGGGCGGATGCTTTCCTTGGATCTAGGAAATGGGTAGCGAGACTGGCTAAAAGTCTACAAGGAGGTGTAAGTCCAACGGGAAGGTTGGCATTGCCCTTATTAATAAATATATAATACAACGCGTGGGTATATAATCTAGTGATTTGATACTGGACTTTGAAACCGATCTTGGATGATTATACGGAACTACCAATCACATAAGAAGTTTACGAGGCGAGAACAGGGGTTATCCTTACGAAGTAGGAAGGTGAAGTGCCAAGATGATAACAAGCTCAACAACGTACATTGCGCCATTGCGGAGCTGCAGAGCCAAATGAGAAGAGAGGGGCGCGACTTGGTTGCGTGATGGCCCGCAGAACAGATTCTAGCTAATCGTATCTCGCAAGCAACCTATTATAACCAATACCGATCCCAGGGTCTCATTATATTCATGGTCAGATCTTTAGTCGAGAATCTGGATCCGAACCCTTGGGATTCGGCGTATTGGCCATTTTTGCCTCCCATCTTCCGGGTCTTGCTGTCTACGGGAAGTAAACTCCGGGATTTCCTGCTTTTATGGCCAGAGCCAGCTTTGCGTGACCAAATTTACGAGGATCTGATTGGATTTAAACGGAAACGAGAACTAGAAAGCTGGAGGATTTCACATTACAGATGTATTGTTGCACAGAAACGGGTGACCTCCATACATGGTAGCTAAGCGCGAGCCATTTTCGGGATCCAATAATGATGTCTGTTGAGAGACTATAGGTAAGATATATTGAAAGCTTTGCTCATTTTACCGACCTATAAGAGAGTAGCTGACGAAACATCGTGTATATAGATAAGCACACACGACTCTATAGGCGAGTTGGCAAGCTTCTTAAGAGGTAGGTTGTTAAATTGGTATAAGCTAGGGACGATACATCCCCAGTAGTAGAGAAGTTGGTATGAGCTGAGGATAACCGCGAATAAATTACCCATGTAGAGTCTAGTCTTCTCGCTGCAATCTCGGGTAGACGATCAGCCCTAGGATTTGGTACGGAGCATAACGTGTGGTCTAGACTGAGAGCCAGCTGATGTAGTTGAGCTTCGGGAGGGGGGGGGGGGGGGGGGGGGGGGGGGGGGTTCCTAAGAAAGCAGTAGATATATCGTCCAATTTAGAATGTTTACATTGAAGCTCCTTTGGTGGTATAAGTAAGGTTTAAGTGCGTGTTGATGTTTAGGCTTGGTAACATAGAAATCTGCTGAGTTACTGCTTATTGATAGGTCTTTTTTCGAGTATTTTACGTTAGTCAACTATTGTAACTATCTCTTCCAATGTCGCCACGCTATAGATGCCTTTCATGATATGATGTATGTAGGAAGAGAAGAAGAATTTCTCAAGTTCAGCTGGAAGCTAAACTAATTGATAAAGTGGATACATCCAGCACGTTTGTTGCCCGTATAATAGCGCAATACAGCATACCAAGATATATCTACGGTGTGCCAAGGGCGGGCGGGATGTTCCTTTCCTAACTCTAGTTACTACATAGTTCTACCCGCGTCGTAGAATACAATACGTAGTCCACTAAGAATGGATTGCCACGTGGAGAATATGCGTAGTACATTAGGTTAGGTATCTAATGTATATGTATGCAGAAATGCAGATCCCCGCGAGATAATCCACCGGGATGCAAACCGCTTCGCTAATTTCCCGCCGAAACTCATGCATAGAACAATTATTCGACCGTAAGATACTACCTCGCAAAAACTTCCCAGATTAGGTCGTCTCAGTAATGGATACGAGCCGCGTGACCCCCCGGTAAATTTAAATAGATTCGTTTTTACAATCTCTTACTATATGTTGTTTGGCTATCTTACTATTTTCTACCGACTTTTTTTCGCACATCGTGATGCGAAAATTGAAGACAATCTGAATTCCAAATGGCCCTGTACGACATGGTACTTATGCCTTGTACCAAATATAGAAGTACGTCTAGTACCGCCAAGTACACATTAACCAATGATAGTAAGTGGAATACTAATATATTTACCGGGTTAGTAGGTATCTCCAAGTTAGGTATAATTCAATCAATCGCCATAACTCAACTACTGAACGATATGAGGTATAAAAGTGAAACTTGAACAGGTAGATTATGGCTCAATTACGTTTATTAGATGTAGAGTCTTAGCTCATCTTATGCGATATGAAAATCTATGATTTATTATGATGCTACTATCCTCATGCCCATTTTCCTAAAAAGCCCATCAGAGCCATTCCCGCAACAAGTCCTAACCCTCCAAGAGTTGTTATGAGAGCCCCTGCATTTGCCAATTCACCACCAAACATCCAATCTCCCGCCCACATCTCCACGACTCCCACCCATATGAGTATACCGGCTGATAATGCATCAAGAGTCCCCAGAGCAATCAGTGTTTTGGGGTCATTACCATTGAACTGATTCAGAACCCCAATCCCAATAGCCATACCAACCGGAGTAACCAAAGCAAAAGCGATAGCCATGAGAAACTTCTGGGACATTGGCAACGAGTTCAAATCCTTACTCTCCTGCAGAGAGTCCCCATTATCTATGCTTGTTGGAACTTGTGTGGACGTGGTATCATCCCTGGCTAATTGTGCATGATTGGCATTTTCTCCTTCGGCTTCGTTCAATTGACCAACAGAGGCAATGCGAGTGCCGAGAGCTATACCCTCAAACATCTGGTGGAAGAGGATGACAACGAAAAGAGTTACGAAGAAGCTGTCCCCTGCAACTACCAAAGTAACGCCGATTACTTACAGAAGAAGTTAGTGTTGGAGGAGACTGATGGCTAACAAGTGATGACTTACAAAGTGAGTGAAATATTATGCCAGCTTCAAGCACTGCGACACCAACTACCTCGCTGTTGTACTGAGTTTTTGCCCAGAATCTTTGGGCTAAGCGATGAGTCGAGCTCTCTATTACGAATGCGAAGAACATTCCGGCCATGACAATCGCAGCTGTTGTTGCTTCATACCCGAGCTCTCCAAGACACTCATTGGTGAACATAAGCTGAGCATGCGTGAAAAGCTAGACATAGGTTAGTAACATGCGCAGTACGCGTTGTGTGTCTACCTGGGAGACTCACATGGACAAACGCTGTTGATATTATGACTCCGGTGCCGAATTGCTTCAGAATGAGGAAAACTGGCTGAAACTTCTGTGGCAGTATAGGCTTGAGGAATATTGGCCCTGCGACCCCTATAGACTTTCATGAGTTTATTACCATCAGGTACTGGATAACATGGTTATGCTTACCGATGAAGCTCGTGACTAGAATGACGAAGAGAAGCCCAATCCTAAGAGGGACGTTATAGTCTCGATCTCGTCGGGAGCACTGTGCTACGCTGCTCTCGCTTGACCCGCCGACACAATGTCTGTCATGTTTTAGAGACGTAAACTGACAAGACCATGGTAGGAACCTACTTACTCAACCCCTGCATGGAAATGACAACTTTGTTCCCCACTCTCACTGGGCGTGTCGCTCTCTTCTGAGTGACCGGCTGGTTCTTCGCTGGTAAGACCGAGGACTTCAACATCGGAACCATCAGGCGCAAGACAGAATCTAGTTTATCAGCATCGATTCGTGTTTTAAGGAACATATTGTTTGACATACGATTCATCCCCGTGTTTATGGCAGCCTGTATATGTTGGAGGAATTTCACTGGTTGCTGTCGCCGGTACCATTACTTGAAGCTCTGTTGTACCATAGAGACAGAATCTATGCCTCGTTAGCTTGTTATCCTAACCTGCTGGCATATTTACTCACACTGAGGCGCCGTGCGTATGACATTCTGATATAGCAGTAAAACTTTCAGTAGCGCGAGGAACCATAGGAGCTGGTGTGGTCATTGGACCCTGTGGTATAGGTCTTAGAGGGATATATGATGCTCTAGCGTAGGAGAAAACGTCAAGCGCGACGATAAAGGCAAGTGGAAGCGCTGCCGGTCGCTTCTGAGACCAACCCATAATTTCAAAAGTGCACGTATTGTTGCTTCCAAGTATAGGAGGTAGGTAGGTAGGTAGTTAAATCGATTATGGCCTTTAGTTAATCCCAAAAAAAGGGGGGGTGGTTTTATGGTGAGTCGTAACTGCGTTGAACGAATGAATAGGCCTATCGACAGAGCCGCATAATATAAATGAAGATCTGGGCAATTACTTAAATGGTTTTTTTCGCTAGAGAAGTCTTTTTTTGGCCATCAAGGTGCTTCGGCTTTTTGACAACTTAGGAAGTTATACTTGGCGTTCTATCGAAGTATATTCTAGCTCGGTTTATCCCCCACAAAGCTTCCCTTGGCCTTATTCCTACTGCTTGGCAGGTCTAAGTGGAAAGTCGAAGAGGAATTAATTATTTGAAGTTTTTACAGGATAACTTTTTCTTTTCAGTCGTATAATAATGAAAGGTCGGAACCTTGATGGGCATCGTGAAACCTCACGAATTCCGAGTGGATGGAAACGCACTCATGGTACACCAGTCTTCATGTATTTATCCGCCATCTTAAAGGCTATGTGTCTGTGCAGGTATGAACGCAGAAATTTTGGTACATACTACGTATGACGCACATTATAGAATTAATATAAATTTAATACACCGCAATTGGCTTTCCCAACATGGTGGTGCATTGATATATGCACAACGCAAGATCATATACCGAAATGCATACTGTTGTCAAATATAGCCGTACAAAAGTATCATATACCTAAGCTTTAAATTAACTTGTCTTCCAGCTTAACTAAGAGTATAATGCCATCCAGCTTAGCATAATCCAGTCTACGGTCAAGATTGTCTATCAGAAACCCATTCCTGCAACTGCGAATAAACCTCCTAGTATCGCAATGTTACCAACTCCTACTTTTCCAACACCGGCTGTTTCTATAGGCTGAATAGGCGATGCAGTAGATGATGCAGTTGACGATGCAGTTTCGGCCACAGCAGGCCCATCGCAGTGCCAGTGGTCCCCATGCGGTTCACAACCAATGGATTCTGTTGGGCTAGGTGCCAGACTCTCAGTTCCCTCGTCATGATGGTCGCTAATTACGGAGCTTGTAATTGAGGCAGTCGTCGCAGATGCGGGAGCATCACAATGCCAATGATCTCCGTGGGGCTCACAACCGACAGATTCTGTGGGACTTGGCGCAAGGGTTTCGAGGGTTCCGTTAGTGTGAGTGCTGGATATAGTTGCAGAGACAGTGCTTGAAGCTGGCCCATCGCAATGCCTGTGCATTCCAGTAAGTTTATTATGTTTTTCTTCGGGGAATATTAAATAACAGAGTGACTCACCAATGATCACCATGGGGATGACACCCCACAGATGCGGTCGGAGACGGCGGCAGTGTTTGCGCAACAGCCGTCGAAGCGACGAGAAAGGCAGCGAGAATTGCGTTAAGGTTATACATATTGTCAAAGCGCTTGAAGTTTCTCTAGTTGAGGAATCTAAGAAAGTTAATAAGTGCTCAAGCCCAATCAACAAGGCGGTATGGATGACTTATATAGGCATTTTGGTACAGGATTTATATCTAATAAGGTTAAGTATATTTCTATACTGAAAATTCTGAGCCGAGATCATATCTGATCCAATACTTGATCTTGACTCATACTACCATAATCTCATGTTAACCATCCCAGCTAGAAAGACGAACTAAATATTTCAATCAAGGATATTAGGCCGATACTTGTGTGTTTGGATTCTGCCAAGCTAACAACGTGGTAAACTATGAGCTCATAAAAAGCTTCGTTCATCTCCGAAGTTGCGGGAAAGGAATCAAAAGCGCCTGTATAATGTGAAATGTTGGTATATAGGAAGGACCCTGATGGCCGTTATTATAGACTATATCTTGGCTCTTTTCTTGAGCCTTCTTGGCGTGGGTGGTTTGCCTTCTACGAACCATGCCAAGGTATTGGAATTTTCAGCTTTGCCTCGGTTTTTTCGTATGACATGTAGTTACTCGACCCATCTCTAATGTTGAGCTTTGGCAACTAAGAAGCCCGAGTTTAGAAATAGAACAGGTCCAACAAGGTTACAGCCTTTTGCATGGCTACCTAGATAACTACCTAGGTCCTAGGTACCTAAGGTAAACAACTAAACAACGCATATAATGAAACAAGTCAAGCCAAACAACCATATAAAATTAACCACCTAGAAACTAGATCAAATATATTAGCTTTTGAGATTTAACTAGCAACCTACCTTTTCTTCGAACTTGTCTGAAAGCTCTTATAAAGCCACAGCTCTAACCACACCAGCCACACAGGATACACAAGTATTGCCAACGAATATCGTCTTATGTAATTGAGGTACTATTTGACTTGAATTTAGTTGCTGTATATTATTTCATTGGCTTTTTTAAACTAAAGTATATTTATTATTTTTATGAACAGTCAAGACGCTGTAAGATGCACGTAAACATACCTCACCACGTGACATGAGGTCACGTGCCATCCGGACATCCAAAACCACTTTGAGTACGTGTTAAAAAGATTTGTAGTTTTAATATCTGGTAGAATCAATAAAGCATAGTTATATCATTGAATAACTACCTGTTTTTTTTACAAGTCCGAATAAGATGTAACTGAAGGCCACGTGACTATGCATGGTTACATACATGTATATGTCGCATAAAAGAAACAAGTATATGACCCATTTATATTGACGAATGAAGACTTTGAAAAGACTCAAAGCATGCCACTTGAGGAATAGTGTAAAAGTCTCAACCAATTAACTGTAACTGGATAATGTACTGTGTCTCTCTAACACTTATAATAGTAACGCCTTAGGTTCGTGGCCAATTTAACGGGTGGTCCAAGCTGCACTATAATATTCAACGTAGTGTAAGCCATTCCCACCATTCGAATTCCTGTAGATTTACCTTTTCTACCTTTGTAAATGTGTCGTCCGAATAATTGTAATGCAAATGATAAATGATGTAAGCCATTGTAGAACCAATCAGTAGACTTGTTCCTCTTCTACTTCAGGACATATAAAAAGGGGCATTTCTACTTCACATAGAACATTACTCACTCTGCTTAAGGTTATCCCGTTCGTCTACAGAATTTCCAATTCTGATATCTCAAACTATCTTATTTATTCACCGTAAATTGTACAAATAGCCCCCCACACTGCTCATCGTATCCCAAAGGCACTTCTCGTATTCCATAACGATGTCGACCATGGAGGCGTTGGAGATTACTTCCTGGGTGAAGCCATCTTATTATTCTCTTGAGCAAACAGCTCTATGCATCGCTTTTATGATACTAGTCACGCTTGTGTTACGCGCAATTATTGACACTAAAGAAACAAGTTCACTCCCTATCATAAATCCGAGGAAACGATTCGAGTTTTCAAACCTGGAACGTATCGCCGACTTTAAAACCAATTGCCGACAACTATTGCAAAAAGGAAGAACCATGTATCCGCAGAAACCCTATCGAATGATTTGCCCCGAGGGCGAGGTGATTGTTCTGCCTACCTGCCTTGTCAACCAAATGCGAAGTGAGCCTGCACTCGATTTTGTTGGAATCAGTAAGGAAGTGAGCGGCCGAATGATTTATTTTCCTCGATTAACCGACTCGGGACTAACGAATGATCTAGGATAGCCACTCGCACATCCCTGGATTTGACCCATTCGGCCTTCCTACAGCAACAACAATTGTGGTCAACCGATATTTGAACAAGGCTATAAGTATGACTGACTATCACTATGTATACGGCAGGTCGTGCTGAACATTCATATAGGCAAGCTCACTGGGCCAATATCGCAAGAGGCAGGGCTAGTCCTTGCTGAGATTTTACCTGACTGTCACGGTAAGGATAATATTAACACCTTGTATGAATCTAGTAAAGGAATTTCTGAAGCTTATCATCACGCACAGATTGGATCACCATCAAACCGTCTGAGTATTCACTCTCAATGGTTGCTCGCGTATCTTCTAGAGTATTCCTCGGCGAGAAGCTCTGCCGTAACAAAGAGTGGATTCAAGCTTCTTCTGAATACGCACCTGCGGCCTTTGCTGGCGCGGGGGAATTGGAAGGCTGGCCAGCATCTCTTCATCCTTTGGTCCATTGGTTTCTCCCAAGATGCCGAGATGCTCGCGCCAGACTTGCTAAAGCCCGATACGTTCTCCAGCCATACATCGAGGAACGTTGCAATTTGAAGGCGTCGGCCCATACTAAAGGGGACCCTAACCTCATTTTTGACGACGCAATTGAGTGGTATGAACACGCGACTAAGCATGCTTATGACCCGACGGTAGCCCAGATAAGTTTATCTATGGCCGCTATTCATACAACAAGCGATCTGCTCAGAGAAACAATGATACAACTTGCTCAACACGAGGAACTCTTTAAGCCTCTTCGCAAAGAGGTGCTCGAAGCACTACGCCCCAATGGCCTAAATAAGACAGCTCTCCTCAACTTGAAGTTAATGGACAGTCTAATCAAAGAAACTCAGAGACATAAGCCACTCTTGATCTGTACGTATCCAGCTTGGTCCCAACTGAATAATAACTGACATGTCTTTCGTAGCTACTATGCGTCGCATCGCACTCAAGGACATAACGCTCTCTAACGGTCTCGTTATTCGCAAGGGCCAAAAGCTCTTAGTGGATAATCTGCACATGCAAGACAGCACCTACTACGAGGATCCTCTCCGATTCGACGCCTATCGATTCTTGCGAATGCGCCAAGTACCAGGCCAAGAGAACCATGTACAATTAGCAAGTACAAGTGTTGAGCACATGGGATTCGGACATGGACTTCACGCATGTCCAGGACGTTTCTTCGCTGCTAATGAGATCAAGATCCTGTTGTGTCACCTGCTAATCAAGTATGAGTGGAAGCTCGTGGATGGTTGTATTCCTCAGCCGTTTGATGTTGGATATGCTGTTATTAGAGACCCTGGAGCGAAGTTGATGATTAAAAAGCGACAGCCGGAGATGGACATTGATGTACTTGAATGATTTGATTTGGTTAAGTAGTGGGGGGCGTTCCTCTTTAGCCTCTCTCCTTGAGAGACCTTGCTCACGGATCTACGCAGAGTTTTGTTGCTTAAAGGTCGTTAGGGTCTGGGCAGATTTGTCCATTTCGCTATTTTTCAGTTTTGCTTATAATATTTTCATCGTGTATCGCTTACTTATATAGTGCTTATTATGTCGCTATTATACTCACGTTCGTTTGGGATAGGCCAGGTCCTCAATAGCAATACCAAGGGTATCACTATGGCCTGTACTCGTTGCGAGCATTAACACCCCCTCTGGGCTTCCGTTTTCCGTATCATAACGATCGATCTCACCTGGATCGTAGTTATTAAAGTCGTGCTCTCTGACGAGGTCAAAATATATGCCTATAAACATCTAAGGAGCTTGTGATCCATAGAAACTTCGGCCTCGTTATAAAATAGACCTAAAACTGTTTCCTGAGCGCAAAAGCTGACTTTGAATAACGTATTGAAACTTATGCCTATGATGATAACATGTTCGGACTCAATTTGTTAGATAACTACCTAAGCATCTATGTACTGTTATATAGAGCAAATAGTAAATCCTACCCTAGCACACCCCTTATGCCCCCAGAGCAGCCGTGGAACGGCGATTAGACGTTGGTCCGGGCGTTAAACAATAACAATAGTCGTACCTCCTTACGTAAAATCAGGGCATTTGCTACTGCTATATAGGTGCTTCACTGGCCCTTGCGACGTTCAAGGCGTATGTTCAAAGGTGGCTTATCCCACATGAACCACATCTGCTGGTCCCTAACCCAGTCTTTATCTGCTTCGTTGGCCAATGAGATATCGTAGTTCCAAACGAGCCTCGCTAGAATCAATCTCATCTCTGCGTATGCAAGACTAGAGATTATTGTTAATATTTTCATAGATAGGGATACGCTTTCTTCGCTGTAAAACTTACTTCCTACCTAGGCAGTTCCGCCCTCCAGTGGAAAAGGGTTGGAAAGCATCCCTGTTGTCATTTGCAAACCGTGGGTCGCCTAGCCATCGTTCGGGAATGAACGACTCTGCCAAGGCGAAGTTACTTTCGCTGTGATACATAGGCCAATGCCAGATATCCACGACAGTCTATGTTGAGAAGTTAGTTACCAATCGCTGCGATACTAGTATATCTGATGACTTACGTTCTGAGGAAGATATGTCCCGCAGATTATGGCACCTCCTTGATGGATCAGACGTGGGACAGAAGCGGGCGCCGCAGGATAGATTCGCAACCCCTCGTCAATGACTGCCGTCATGTATTTGAGTCTCTGGACGTTGAGAAGGGTGATTTCAGCCTCGGTACTAAATGCCGATAAGACTTCATCACGAAGTTTAGCCAGCACTCGAGGGTGCGCACATAGCAAGGACGTTATACCACATAACCTACAAATATCAGTCAGAGTGCGGCCTCGAAAAAAGGTAGTCACTTACGTGGTTGCAGTCGTCTCAGAACCAGCCACGATCAAGAAGTTTGCGTTATGCTGCAGTTCTTTGAGAGATAATTTCTAGTGCAAAGATAAGAATTGGAAGTTTTCTATACGGAGAGGATATTCCCATAATACCTGTTTACCATCTGGACCTGGAGCAATCATGGCGTCCATAAAATCAGGTCGTTCGGACTGTAAAGCCAGTCGCTTATCAACTTTGATCTCAACTAACTCTCTCTGCTCTCGTATTTTCTTCGCAGCGAACGTTTGAAGTATCGGGCTAATGGCGGCATTCAGAGTTGGGTAAGTTCGTCGCAGCTGCGTTAACACTTGAATCTCCTTGAATTGTTGAAATATCATAGCAACCCAAGCGTGGTAATTCGAATTTTCCAGACAGCCGAAGGGCTCTCCGAACGCTAAATCGCCAATTACGTCGAATGTCACGTAGTTGAACCACTTAACCATGTCAATGGGCCTGCCGCTAAGATGGTGTTCCCTCAATCGCTCAAAGAAAAGATCAATGTAACCTCCCATTAAAGATTCTTGCTTGATCATGCTTTGTGCAGAAAACCCATTGGCAAGTATCCGGCGAACTCGGGTATGATTCTCGGAATCTGCGACGATAATGCTTTGGGGGATCGTGTGGAAGATGGAGGGCTCCTTGGAATTTTCTGGCTGACCTGCCTTGCGATGTCCATACACTTGCCTCCATGCGTCATGATTGAGTAAAGAGACTGACTTGGGTCCCGTACGAACGACATCGCCATACTTTTGGTGCAGGGCAAGAATTTTTCTGTGAGGCGTCCCGAAACATTGCACAAGCCCGTGGGGAAGGGGTGATATCGCCCACAGTATTGGGCCTGGAACCTTACGAAGGGGACTAACGAAGAGATTGTATATGACAGCCCACAGCATATATCCTAGCACCTGTTGATGGTTAGTTTTGAGTTTGAACCTTCTCTAGTAAGTTAGGGGGTGGTCTCACAAGACAGGCAAGCAATGTTGCAAGGCGTGGCATCATTGGCTTATCCGTAGACAGCATTAAGGTGTCTGTTATCGCGACCATGATGGTTATTGTTTTCAAAGTTTGAGATCGTTTTGAAGAGAGTCGAGCAGAAATCTCATGGCTTGTTGCGAGGCTTTATGGTTTCCGACTGCAATTGAAAAACGATAGTTGTCTGGTCATATTGTAACCCTGATGTTTAAGAGGGGACATTAAACCGAAGACTTAAAGTTTATGGAACTTGACCAGGGCTCGTAACGACACGCATGAATAGAGGTAGTTAATACTATTAGAATAGGTTGAATACTTGATATTCCATGCAAATCACACCTGACGCTAAGTATTCAGAATGTATTACGATGATATAGACTACATGATACTTATCTATAATGTTGCCCTACCAACTAGTCGAACATTTTGGTTAACAAGTAAAAAAGTATCATCGATATGCGGGGCTTTGGTGCTATGGTGCTAGATATACGACGATACAACATCGGCCATTTACAAAGACAGGCTTGGTCCGGTTAAACGTCCGAAATTCCGAACGGGGTTTCCAGGTTGGTGAAGAGCGGATAACTATGAATCCGGCCGCCCGATACGGCTCATAGCCGGTTGGTAAAATGGAATGCCACGGGGCATATGACGTGTGGTCGAGATGGAGAACCCGGGATCTTTCTCAAGATGAATAGTTAGTTGAAGCCAGAGGAAAAGATCTCAAATACAATAGTCGATTATGCCAGTTTCAGCCAAGATTAAAACTAAGGTACTCTTCAGGAATTTTACGAAAAGTGTTGTAACAGAATTATAAAAGCGCCCAGGATTAGAATAAACAGCTATCTACTTTTCAGTACGATTAAAGGCAGTTTGCTATTAGTACTTGTAAAGATATTAGAAATGGTATACATCAGGTCTTTTAACCTTGGCCAAAACTAGCCTATAATCAACCAATGTGCCTCAGACTACAACTATAAGCCTGAGTTTACAAACAATAGATATTCGCTGCTGTAAGTCCCGTATTACTTATACTAATCTCAAGTTTATTTTGATATTTATGTTTTCTGTAAAAATATGAATTGAAAGTATAGTCCTTATGTTAGGAATATTCTCCCTGACTGAATAATAGGGGCTCTTATCTCCGAAGGAAAACCAATTTAGTGAGCTTATCAACTCACTCTCTGCATACATCATAAGAGTACCTAAGCAGGCTCGTATATATAGACCTCTGCTTTTATAATCTGTAGTGCCCTAGACGCTACCTTATGGTGACTGCTGAGATGAGTTGTCAAAAGGACTGCTGCCAGATCCAGTACTGCGCATATTAGCAAGGACATATACATATGCCTACCTACCTAGGTATCTATATATGTAGATCAGGATCCCCCCAGCCCATGAAGAAGCTACCTCTAGTCGCCAAGCCACCTACACTGCTCCTATACCGTTCCATTCAGCAGCAACTAACTCTTGCAGGTCCGATTTATAAGCTAGACTCCCAAATTATCGAAGACTGGAGGGAAGTAAAACCTCGCAACTAGTGATGTAACTCTCGCGCTCTCGTAAAGGCCGAATTCCTAGTCCACCCTTGGTATATGAATGCAAGAGAACAACCTCATTGGCTATTTTGGTTGACCAAGAAGCGCCAGTGGATGGGAAGGAAGCGGGCCACGGTTCCGAAAGTGGTAATTAATTAACTCCGATACGTAGTATATGAGTGGAAGCTATTATGTCCATTAATCCCGATAAAGGATGTAGCTACTAAGTCCGTTAGATTCCGAAACTCTAACATGGTAAGGAATGACTCGTAGAGCTTGAAAGAGGGACTGCTCCTAGAGTGGGTTGAAAAAGCTATCTCGCTGTGTATCGAGGATGATATAAATCCTGTTTCATCTCGCATATATAAAGCGAGACCAAAGACTGCTTGTTTTAGCATCAATCTATACAACGAAATCTCATCATATCAAGCAAAATCAGCACTTCTTTACATCCCAGAAAGGATTATCCTAAGTTATCATGTCTCAGAGCAATTACATCAAGAAGGTAGCGGTCGTTGGGGTAAGTCACTATCTCCCTCTTATAAGTCTATATCCTGTACATCTGCTGTACTGGACTTTTACTAACCAGTCACGTCTACATAATAGGCAACCGGAACAGTTGGATCATTCATTGTAGAAGAGCTACTGAAGCTAGGGAAGCATGAGATTACTGCTATTACGCGTAAGAGCAGCTCGGCTGCTAGTTCCGTCCCTGAAGGGGTAAAGGTCGTCAAGGTAGACTACGACGAAGAATCAACATTAGTGAATGGATTAAAAGGTCAAGATGCACTTATTATTACCATGGACACGAGGGCCGCCCCAGATACGCAGGAAAAACTCATTCGCGCTGCCGCCGCTGCTGACGTACCTTTCGTATTACCCAATGAATGGGGATGCGACATGGCAGACGAAATTTTGGGGAAAGATGTCCTTATAGGGGATATTGAACTGTCCTCGCGAAAGTTAGTCGAGGAGTTAGGCAAGAGTTCATGGATAGGTGTGGTAACGGGCTTCTGGTACGAGTACAGCCTTGGCTTTGGAAAGGAAACATACGGTATGGAGTGGAAGACGCGGACTTGGACGTTTTTCGATAACGGCGAAACCAAGATGAATACCACTGTGCGTACAACTTACTGTTTTTTTTTTCTTTATATATGGCATGCTAAGGATTTCACATACAGACCTGGCCACAGGTAGGCAGAGCCGTAGCCAAACTACTATCTTTGCCAATCGAACCGGACAAGGAAGGGGTGCCGAGCTTGTCGAGTTACAAGAACAAGTTCGTATACGTGTCTTCATTCTACCTTAGCCAAAAAGACATGTTCGCCGCTGTTCTCCATGCTACAGGGACCAAAGAGTCAGACTGGAAAATCGAGTACGAGGAAAGCGATAAACGTTTCCAAGACGCGAGGAAACGACTTTTTGGTGGCGAGACGCTAGCCTACCCTCAACTTCTCTACAGTAGAGTCTTTCGGGATGGCTGTAACGACTTCGAAGGCAAGTATGGAACGGTTGCTAACGATGTCTTGGGTCTCCCAGCAGAGGATCTTGATGAGGCCACCAAGCGTGCTATTGACCGTGCGGAAAAGGGTCTCAAGTACCACCAAGCAAGGCACCAAGATAGGCATAATTGATGAGGAGATCCAAGTACTGGACCGAATGTACATAACTATATGCCATACTCCAAATATATGAGATTTCACGAGTGTTAGGTCTATAGATGTATATATATTTACTAAAAATATATGGAGGAATTATATTATTATGAACCCCTATGGGTCAATATTGGTGATGGTCTTATCTCTTCCCCCTATTTCAAAAATAGGGGGAAAAGATAATCTCCTTATTTAGACCAGCCATCCCTCCTGACGACCACCTTAAACGAGACCCGGGCTCGCTTTTCCAAAGAGCAATCCCGCCGATGGACTCATAGATGCAAAGTTAGTTAACGCATAATAGACCCCGCCGGCTATCATACTAGGATCGATCGGCATAGGCGGCCAAATTACAAAGAAGGAAAACCCAACCACAGAAATCATTATGGTTAATACACCTACTGCCATCCAGAGACAAACCGTATGTGCCCAAAACCTTTCGGTACATTTGTCCAAGGCGGTACTTAAAAGCAAAGGGAGGATCTCAGATAAGATCGAAGTAGCACATACGAACCCGAGATAGATATCCCGGCGTCCGGGTGCCAGTGATGACCAAATACCGGTAAAGGGGTTAGTGGGTGGTGTCATATATGCGGCTTCTCCGTTGTAGAGTCGGATTCGATAGAGTAATTTATGAGGACTAAGAAACGCGACGGCTGGTGTGGTTTGTTAGCATGATAACCCAAGGACGGAAATGTTTCGCTGAACTTACCATAGAAGAATGATCCCCATATTATTGAGATCAAAACGCCGACTGTAGTAAACGTAAACCGCACAACGCGCCATCTACCCGCCATAAATTGTGTATAGTCCTGGCCGTCCCCCATAATGGTATAAATCATTAAACCAATCATCATACCGCATAACAATGCTAGGAAAAGCAGCTTCCCGGTCCATGTGAGGATAAAGAAGGGCATATAATCACCTTTCCTCCGCCGCCGAGAAATCTTCCCCCCTGAAAAAGCCACTGACTTACCACCCCCTTTCAAAGACTGTACCTCATTTGGGATGAGTAACCCATATTTAAGCTCCCCATTCTCTCTATAAGAGTCCAAAACAAAGGACACCCCTGCCAATGCCTTAGCTACGTATTCGTAAGTTATCCGGCCGTCCTTTTCACGCAGGCGCCGCAACAGCAAGGTGCGAATTTCATTGTTCGCCGCGAGATGTCCCATACGGAATAAACTCCAAGGGTTCCAACTTAACCCCGTCTTCCATTTCCGAAGCACAATCGCAGTTATCCCGACGAGAACAGTCATGAAGGCGAGGAGCGCTACGGCGACTTGGGCCGGCACCGGGTTGACACCGAGGGCCATGGTGCAGACAGAGGAGTCTCCTCTTGACCCTGCACAGTTCGGACCACCTAGGATAATCCGGACTGATTCGGATGTCAGCGGGACCATAATCACACTTCCCAATACCAAAAGCCCGGTCAGGGTAAGGAGGCTTTCCCCATTTAATAGTGAGCGAAAGCGTGCCTTGATGTTCCATATCCTTGACGTCTGAAAACATAGAGTGTCACGAGATAGTGCCCCTCGAGTTGCTGTTAGTGCGTGGAATGGATGGTAGAGCCTTGCATTTTGGTCGAGTATCCTGATCGGAATCGACACGGCAATCGCGATAAACGTAGGAAGCATAAGGCCTACGAAATATCTCCCGTTGGAAATGGGTACGACGCTCAATTCCTTCTGGATTTTGGAATTCGACGACGCTTCCGAAGTTGGCGTTGCAAAAACCGTTGTTGTTAAAGATAGGGGGACAAGCTCGGTTTTCGTTAGGGTTGCTACGCCGTTCTCGTTAAATAGGGTAGTTAGTATAGGAATCTCGGTAACCAGGGATGTCTTAGTGGCCGTTGGGTGGCCAGCATCGTCGTATAAAACATCTGTAGATAGACCAAGATAATAATCCTGGGTTAATGTTGCCCGTCCTTGATAGTCCGTTAAAGTCGTCTTCCTTGGCGAGCGAAGCACGACCAGCGTATCTGTTCTGGTAGGGTTTCCATGGGAATCTCTGTAAACAACTGGTTCCATAGATGCTTGTGCCAAGATGGTCTCCGTTCGAGTTGGTTTGCCATGGGAATCCGTATATGTAGTAATAAACTTCGTGACTGAATCATCTAGCTGAGCTTTTATCGCCTTGGCGAAAGTAGTCATAAAGACTACACCATCTCGACTGGTCGAAGTAGTTATTGTTATAGTTGTAGACGGAGGCGGCGATGGCCCATCAGGAATTTTAGTAATTGTTATGAAAGGCTCCGGCAATCCAGTTTCTGTCGTTTTAGATACCGGCAATGATGATTGCGATGTCCGAGTTGGGATGCTACTTGCAGTCGTGCTAGATGGAGATAGTGTTATAGCTTGAGATTCAGAATATGTTAAAGACAAAGATCCCGAGGTGTACCCAGTGTTACTAGCTGTCGTGCTAGTTTTTATGGATGTCTTTTCACTAATCAAGCTGCTAGAAGACGCGGGTTTTGTTTGTGTTGATGGACTACTTGGGGACTCCCCTGTAGTTTTAGTAGTAGTTGTACTAGAAGTAATTATACTCGAAGAGTGGATTTTTGACGAGCTGACTGGAAGGCGTGTAGTAGTCCCCTGGGTTTCTGTCGCAGTTCCAAGAGGTTCCGTTGAGGTTGAAAATGGAAGGCTTGCGGTTGAAGCTGGAGGTGGGTCCGGTTTAGTTACGCTGGAGGAAGTCGGCGGCGGTGGTGGTGGTTGTGTAGGTATCGTTATTGTAGGGCCTGTCCAAGTAGGGTCGGGGCCTGTGGATGATGACAATGTAGGTTCTGTTTTCGTCGGGTCGGCGCCAGTGGGAAGGTCCGGGGCTGTTGATCGCGATGACACTGGTGGTGTGGAAGGCGTAGAAGTTTCATCGGAACTTGTAAGCTGTGAGGTAGGTGGATATAATATTGGAGGTTGACCTGAATGGTCTGGACGGCCTGGATGACTCGACGTAGGCCATGGCCACTGATTCCCCGACGACGAACTCTCATGTGGTCCTGTAGGCTCCTGTGGCCCTGGTAGTGTGACTGATGACGAGGACTTTAGCGTAGATGATGTTGTTGGTGGGGCTGGTGGAACTGGTGGCACAGGTGGTGTAAAAGGAGGTGATGGAGAAGATTCAGATGAAGAGGTGACTGATGGTACAGGGTTATCTTGCGAGGATGGCAAAGGCGGAGGAGGAACTTTTGAAGTCGATGTTGGAAGCGGCGGCTGTGGCTCCGACGGTGGAATTATTACAGGTACCGTATGTGATGTTGATATCTCAGTTGTTGTCCCTCCTCCTACTGGAGGTGCTGTTGTTATTTGTGATGTTGAGCTTGAGGATGGTGTAGTCTCAGGAATGGTATAAGACGTAACTTCAGTAAGTGAGGTAGGTATAGTTGTCACCGGACTAGTTTCATTCTGGCGTTTGAAATGAACTAGATTGCTAGGGAAACGAGTCTTAATTTCAGAATTGAGTCGATGGTAGATTCTTGTAGTTTGTTCGTATTCTTGAGAGAATGGGTTAACCCCTGGATCATTTGGAAGACATTGAATCGCAAGTTCAGCTAAGGCAATAAGGACTGCTAGAGTTAAGAAAAGGATAACTAAAGCTTTCCCTCTTAAGAAAAGTGGTTTATAGTTCCTTTTCTCAATTTTATCTTCTTCCTCGATCTTCCCTTCAGATCCACAGTAGCTTGTGCCGTGCCAGTTATCATCAACAAGAGGCCCCCCAGAAGAGAGGCAAGGGACAGCGGGTTCACAATGAACTTCCAGCCCAAGACCAGCTCTAGCACTTGATATTGGCGAGAGACCTACAGCTTCAGGGCCGTAGAATCCACCACAATACTCCACGTAGTTTCCGATATTTTCTTCATGATGCCTTAGCGGTACATCTAAATAATCACCATTGATGAGTGTCGTATCTGAAAAAGCGGGCGAGATACGTGTGCTTTCTTGACCTTTTTCTTGCTGTATGGTACTTTGTCGAAGTACCTGTTGCACTTGGCTGCGAAAATCACTTTTTGGGGTCCATTTCCGCTCTGGTTGCTGTTCGCTAACATGTTCCTCTTGTGGAATCGGGGCGAACCCGCCGCGGCGGACACCGGACATTCTTTCACTGCGTAAAAGCGGCTCAAAAATCTTGCCATATGTCGTAAATAAGATTGGTAAGTGAAATTTTAGATATCCCACGACATGGCGAGGTCTTAAACAATGCCTTGAGCTTTCAGCAGTAATCCTCAAGTTGGTGCACAGCGGTGTGGCTTAGAGGAGATATAATAATACCCCTCAGCAAGGTTACAACTCGGTGACTTGATCCCATTGTAACGGTGCAGTTCTTCGAGAGATGGTGTAATAGTAATATATTCAAGGAATATGAATGGTTCATTATTCTAGATCGAGATGCAAGCTGACTAGTAGAGCCAATAGTCACATCGTGCACCTGTGCAGCCTGCCTTAAATAGCCCCAACATGCATCTAGATTTCCAAATTTGTCCATATGGGTAACACCAGTTGTCGATTTGTTTTCGCAGCCCCCATCAGCAACAATATATTTTAGGCGTAAGATTTGTAGCGAATTATGAAGCTGCCTATGAATAGAAGAAATGGTCATAGTAGGATATATTCAACGCACTAACTATGGAATTGTTCTTGACTTCATTATTGCATCGATCAGGCCTATTTTCAATGCGATGTCGATAGTTATATCACCCATAACTTGCTCAAGTCCCTTAAAAAACTCCACCTTGCGCCTGTGAGAATGGACATGTTGCTACCCCTTTACTCCTAATAATCTGTACATTCGCAATCATGTCCTCGGACCCCTTACCTTTCTGCGGTTCTGGCCCAATTGTCATCAAGTCATAGCCTTGGGGGATATACCTGTCTCCCCCCGAACCAGGCAATTTCCCACCAAACAGCTTGATGAGGAAAGCACCAGGTCCCCAAATTGACCAGAATGTCGGTCTTACATACCATGGCTGCAAGGTCTTCCGTTCGAAATTATATAGCCCAGTCTTCGGGTTCGGTGAATCATCGACCATCTTCACTCTCCGTGAAGATGGACGCGGTAGTGCCGCGTACCGAAGGAGTACTATTCGAATATTGCGAATTATTGCTAGGAGAGACGAGAGAATCGGGCCAGGCGCTTCCAAACTGCAAAACTTGTCAATTAATATTCTTAATACCCCAATATATTTCAGGTCAACGGTTAGGGTACTCCTGATAAACTTACCAGAGGCTTGTCCTCATAACGTCATCTAGGTTATCCGCTAAGACCTTTCTTAAAGTTGTCCTGACGACTCCAGGCAAGTTTGCGACAGCTGAATCAACATATACCCTAACATACTGGTCGTTTGTTGCTGTAGCCCTTGCCACATCTTCTTCATATCGGACTGTCCAGTCTCTTAGCTCCCTGGCGAAATGCACACCATCTTTCCACCCTTCTGCGCTTGATGGTAGTGGAGTGAATGGGATCTCCATATCTTCTCCCAGATTCTTGTGGAAAACACCAACGGCGCACATCTCGACGTCAGTCAACTTGCGCCATTCTTCTCTATTCACAACATTTAAGATCTCAGCAAGACCGTCACCGAGGGTGTGAAGCAGATCGGGGTCAGTAATTTTGTCGGCGCGTCGATAACGTGAATGGCTACAGGATAAAGATTAGCAAATGAAGTACATATACTCTTTAAAGATGTTCAGCTATTATGATTACAGGTAGTTCATCCTCGCCACGGCCATAGCGTAACGCTCCGAGTCCCGACGCTTGGACTGTGATTCTCGAAGAAGAACCTCAGTGTCGACGGAGCGTCTTCCTGCGTTACGTTTGGTATTTTGACCAGTGACGGCGAAGAGTTTAGACATGGTCGGGATGCCTCCTGCCTGAAAGTGATTGTATCGTTAGCTATCTGAGACATTATAAACATCAACCAATGGCTCAACGTGTCGAGAGGCCTACTTTAAGCAGTGCAATCTTGCGAGCTTTTGCAAATGCGTATGGGAACTCGAGCTCTTGCAGCTGCATCATGATTTTATAGGCTTCTTCGGTAGTCATACTCGAGAGAGGCCGGTTTCCTTTCATAAAAGGGGCTTCAATGTTCGATTTCCGGCGGTAACGAAGGTATCTGACAATCAACAAATAGCCAGCCAGGCAAATTCCCAATAATGAATAACTCTGCCATGATGGGTAACCAAATGTGAGGTTGTTGATAACTGCTCCCTGAAAAAACATAGTCTAGTCGCTTTAGTCATTTACTCTTAGTGCTATAATACTGAGTTAACTCACACTCAATCATCCACACTTATATCTATTAATTATCTCTTCTGCACTAGCGATGAATGTTGGGGAATCGAAAATCCAACCCCTCATCCCCATCTAACGGCAGGCATTTCCAATTGCATTTCAAGAACTCAACAGAAACAGCCGAGGCACAGCCTTACCAGGCCCCAATTAAAACATATGCCTGTAGATCAACCTCCGGAACAGTCAAGCCAACAGAAAATATTTTCACGTTAGCCTTGACACTCTTCCATGGAGCATTATGAAATCATCCAATGTCATAGGTTAACAGCAGCAGGGCATATTACAATTAATCAGCCACGGTTACCGTATCCAATAAACTATCTAAATGAGAACCGCTCGGCACTCCAAATGTCTTTAGATTCATATGTCATGTTACATTATTCTGCAATTTTCGGTGGCTAATTCCGTTAAAGCCTGAGGTGGTAAGTGGTAGGTTGTCCGCAGCGCTCTCGAGAAGCCGACGTGGAAGACATTGTGTATTGTGAAAGAGGCCTATGTTGCAGACAGGCACGCCACATGGGATGCTATTACCTCGGGGATAATACGTTTGTTTTTCGACAGTCGTCAGCAATGAATCCAAACCCGCGGCTTGCAACGCTTCCTTGACATGAAGTAACTCGATCATGTGAAAATAACCGCGAGATTGTGAATGACCAAGATCTCTATAGCAAATACCTACTCTTCCTGTAGTTGGGCACAGGAAAACTGTTAACATATACCTATAACACCCGTCAAATGTATCAAGGTAGTTTCTATATCGCGATAGAACGAAACTCAAATTACATTATACGTAATGCAAATACTAAAAAGTGTAGAATACTAACTAGGTAGCCTATGGAGCAGCGCTTTGTCTCCTAACACTTTAGAAATAGGAGCACTCCAGAGAAGAACAAACCATTGAAGCCTGACATGACACTAGTTATCAGACAACACCGAGTAATTATAGCTGCCCATAAAATTGGTCAAGCCATTTTAGGGCCCGCTATTGTCTTCTTACATCACTACTTAGAAACCTACCTCTCAAGGAATGAGCGAACAGATCGTAGAAATCAATCATGTATTAGATTTTTGTTTTTAGTCCGCCGTCAGCTTGGTGTATGAAACCCCTTTCCCCAGTACTCCACCAGGGCTAGAAAGGAAATTCATGCTCATCCATCGTCAGTCCTCGCCGGGAAAGGGGGAGTGCTACTTTTGCGCCTGACCAAGCGACGCGAATTGTGGCAGGGAGTATGATAGTGAGGCCAAAGCCAGCAGCAGGACCGTTCAGAGCGACGATAGTAGATTTAATGCACCTTGTTATAGCTAGAGCAACACGACCGCCCCTATTCCCGCTTAGCTGTGGTGATCGAGTAGAGGCAGCTGGGACAGGGTGATTTACTGGTCAGCAGATTCTTACTTAGTCACGGCATTGTACTTCTCGGGACGGTTGAAGGCTAAAATGAGGACTTTGGTTATAGCTGAGGGATTAGCAAGGACGTGAGAGACAGTGATATCTTTGAAGAAAAAGCGACGAGTAGGAGGCCGGGGGAGTAATGATGGAGCTCATCTTAATGACGACTATACTAACGTGATGATATCAAGTTCGGCGGCCTAACCAAAATTCTAACTCAGTTTTATTTACAAAAGCCTCTCACTTAATTACCATATGTGAAGTCAAGGGGTTCGAGACATCGGACTATCAATACATCTCTTCACGAATGTTTGTCTTTCCTTCTCATGATACATACCTGGTAACTAACACCAAGTTTCTGAACAGCTACTCTGGTAACCCGTCCTTCCATAGTAGCCAACGAAGCAGAGTGCCGAGGTATCTCATAGAGCCGTCATGTGAAAACTACGCCAGGTAATACATATCTCTACCCCGAAATCGTCTTCACCCCAACACCGGCACTTCGGATTGCATAAATAACCATGACCAACCCGCTCCCGGTGTTCTGGGCTCAATGGTGGGGCTCATGTACCAGGGCCTGTTTAAGTGGAGGTGCTTTACGAATAATAGCCAATCAAATATTTACTTCAAGATGCATAAATTCGTGTGAAGTGGGTATTGGACCCTTGGCGGCTGTTCCCGCTAGAGATTAGGAGCTGAGATTAGGGCGTAGCTCAAGTCGATCTTTTTGACAAGCCGAGGCATCTAAATCTTGCGAGGGAAAGTTGGAATACTTTCAACAAATCATTAACCAACGGATCCCAACAAATATTGATCTTTTTTTAGGGCTATCAAATGAGTGGAACGCGGCATAGCATATATGTTAGGTAATTTTTATGACGACAGATCTATTGAGACATACATATCTAGAGACATGTAAGGTTGTACTCTGATATCCACATCTCGTCTCCCGTGCTTGGATCGTCACACAACCCTATTCATTTCTTAAGACGCCCGACTAGTTAAAAACTACGAGCAGCGTCTAGAGTATTCTAACTTCATATGGAAACGTTGTAGTGTCGTACCTTGCCTTCAAAATCTAAGCGGTAGCACGAGCATGAAGAGCTTACCTTTGGCCTCCTTTATCCGGTCTACTACCTACAGCCAGCTGATCTAATCCGATCCAGGCCCGTTTCCTGCATGCCTTCGTCCGCCGTCTCACTGACTCCACCCGGATAAGCACATCTCCACGCGCTAATGAATAAAATAACAAGGGAATCACCAGTTCGATAGAGTAGACCATCTGGAAAAAGTATGTCAATGTGTTTCTTTTTTTTCTGCTCTATATTGAGATATTTGGCGAGAGGCCGGAGTATCAACCATAAGGCATTGAGCCAGATACCCACAGGTACTGCTATTTGACCCGTAAGGAAGTGCCAAAGGTGCGCCTGAAGATTGGCTACTATACTCAGTCTGAGGCAGTCTTAAGAGGCGATACTCAATCTAAGTGGATGAGATCGTCACTAAGCACGGCCACCGTTTGCATGCCCTTAAGCTTGATAGCTAAAGTCTGGCTGATCTTAATGATGTAAGCCACATCAAGAATAAAGTTCTATAAGAGCGTTTGCATCATTGGCAAAGCCTCCTACCAGGCAAATGGTGTTCAATACAGGCTTATACCCCATTTCTAATGGGTCAGGAACCCCTTGTTTAAATGCTTTAATTCGTTATCAAGCGTTCTTTCATGACAAAACTTACCAGCAGTGTCTCCAAAGACAGTAAGGTCAGCCTACGGCTTTGCAATGGGATTAATGAAACCCCTTTTGCTTTTTATTGGATACTTTCCTCCTACCACAGCATTGTCTAGCGCTTTGACTGTGAAAAAGGATAGTGACGTTGAGATGAAGCGTCTCGCGAAGGATCTATACTCATGCTTAGTATCCTATGAGAACGAGCGACTCGAAATCTGTCACCTACCAGCTATATGTATGCGGGCTTGAATAGTTACTCAATATTACCATGAACCTTTCCAACTACATCATCAACTCCCTTCTACACGAAAACGCAATCGGTAGGTTCCGCCCAGTTGCAATGTCGGTAGCTACAATTCTAAAGTTTGATAAGAAAGCAAAGGTTTTGTTACTATCCGTATCAACTAGAATCACAGTCATAGCCATCATATCCTATGATTGTGAACAACTCGAGCGCCCACCCCCGGAACGGAATTTAAGTAACGCGGTAAGGCGCAAGAGGAGTTCATTATTATGTCGAATATTTCGCAAACATGTGAAACTATACCTACCTACCTATGCGCCTATATGGTGATAAGGGTGACGTACCTTAGGGGGGTAAGATAGGGTAACTTCAACAGCCGAGGTACGACTCACGACCAGCCTCACCCGCCATCTCCAATCTCCACTACCAATATAGCACCAAGTAGTCCGAAGTTATGCTTTCCCAACCTCATATATTGTAGTTGGCATAACTAATAGCTTAAGTCTGTACAGTTATTTTTTTCATCGTCGTCAGGAGAACTAGCTATCTATCAAAAACTCGCCCATACGACCATAAAATGGAGCACAATTCTTCCTTAGTCGAGGCGACGCGTCATTTCAAGTCAACGCCATGGTGCGCCACTCTGCTTGAGCGTCCTGGTGTGATTACATTTACCCCCACCTCTCGATTGCCAGAGGATCCTACCGGCCACTCTCCAAGTCAAGATCAATTATTTCGGAAGACGCTCAATAATACCGACACCGTGCCATACTGCATCGGCTTTTACCAAGACCCAGTTTCCTCTAATTCGGATATAGAGGCAAGCCCTTCTACCTTGTTAAACCCATCCTCACAACTTAATCCGAAACTTTTGATCAACTCCGCCTCCTTAATTTTCGACTTACGTCCAGGAGTGAACGGATATAATGGGACAACCCACGGTGGATTCATTAGCTCTATGATAGATGAGGCAATGGGGAGTCTTATTTTTATCAATCATCAAGTTCAGACGCGTGAAGAGGCGCAAGGGCGGTGTTTGCCACGAGGTGTCTTGGATTTGAATAACGTCCGATTCTTTACTGCGAGCATGACTGTGCGGTTTCTGAAGCCTCTACCTACCCCACAAACTGTCGTCGTAACAGCATCTCTTAACAGAATAGAGGGGCGGAAAATGAGTTTAGACGTAACGGTTAAGGACAAACATCAGATAGAATTTGCAAGGTGTGATGGACTATGGATGTCGTTGCCGAAAGAGAAGATTTGATGGATAAGTAATAACCTCAGCGATTTCAACCCTGAGTGTTGAATTCTATCAAGGATCAGGTTACCATATATGTCAGCTATTAGCATACATAGGTACCTACCTAGGTAGGCAGGATAGGTAGGTACCTACTTACCTTTAACTATTTTTCACCCCTATTGGCATATTTGGTGTATGTCACGGTGCAGGGAGTGCATGTCTATACATGATCATCTCAAACTTATTACACTCACTCCTTTGTTCTTTTCAATATAATAGGTAACTATATTCCTAATAGACTTAGGAACTACATGGCTACATAAGTACACTCAATACGTGATAATAACTTAGAGGTACTCCATAAGAAGTAGATGTCAACTAAACATGTAATTAAGGAGGTCTATTAATATACTCTAAATAGCCCCCTTATAATCTCATTGGAAACACTATTACATACTTAGATATTAAAGCTAAGCAGTATTAATGTTGTTTCACTAAGTCAGGGCATCTTACCGCCTGGGCCTAATTACCAGCCTGCTCTCGAATTGCCTCCGTAGTTTTTCATTCGCGATTTGTAATTCTTCCGGCCTTATACCATATGGTGCGATAGCGGGTCTGGGTGCCCCCGACTTTAGGTAATCTCTCGGTATTAAGACAGTAGTATTTTCGGTTATCACGAAGCCGTGACAAGCCAAGCATACCCATGCCTTACACGTATTTTGTCCGCCTAATGGGCCTTGGAAGTTGTAATTGTTGATGCCAGGCAAGCTTCTACACCCTGGACAAACCATTCTTCCGTACAGACTATCAACATATATCTTCATATCCGACACAGCTTCTTGAAGATTTAGTAAATGCTGTAATCTGTGAGGGCTACACAGACGACGACCCAGTAGCTTAACGCCGCAGGAACAACCAGTTATCTCTAGAGGATGGCCTCGCCAACCCCCAACCAGTCTAGTTAGTCCCGTACCGATAAGTGAATCGCCTGTAAAATCTGGCATTGGCAAATGCGAAAAGTTATCGAAATAAACATCGCAACCCATATTAGCGGCCATACCGAGTAAGCCCTCAATAGAACCAGAACATTGATGACAAAAGTATTGTCTCATTTGGAGGGCAAAACTCGAAAATTCCTCGTAAAACTTCTCGCGGTTTTCTTCTTCGCAGGTATCGCAAATCGGAATGCTATCCCCTGTATGAGTAGTATCTTCACATCCGCGCATTGTTGGACGACGGCACCTACCGTCAATTAGGTACTCTTGCTCGCATTCTCTGTCGTAGGAATAAATTTTCCCTTCATCCCACATACGGAAAAATGGAATTGACGATAACACGCTTTGTGCATTTTCGTTCGGATGCTCCCTGAAAGGATCTCTTCGAATAGCACTCATATCGACTCTATCAGGGCTCCCCTCCGGATATTCATTGCGATTATCGTAGACTTGTATGTCAGTACTTTTTGTATTCCACGGTATCCAGTAGCTGGGGCGAGCAGGGCCAGGAGATGCTGGTCGAGTAAGAGGCATCAAGGTCGTGTCTCTGATAGGGGCTATAAAATAATACTCCGCTTGTGTGCCTGGGTTAAGTCTCTTAAGATCATCCTGGTTATAGAGAATATTGTACTCGCTTATCTCGATTTTGCGTTCATGAGCTCCAATATTATTCGCAGTTTGTTTGCTGAGATAGTACATGAGATCTCGGGCAACTTGAGACTCATTCAACGGAACTCCAGCCTCAACATCGTTATTGAGCACTTGTACGATTGCCGGCAGGTCAGCCGGAACTCCGTGCTCCATGGCTTCTTGTGTTAGCTCTAAGGTTCGTGTATATTGGCCTGAAAGGTCTTCATCTCGTTGTACCTGTACGATCTCGTTGTCCACGATTCCTTCGTTTTTCCACGTCGTATACTGTATGTGGTAGTCACTAGGCATAATCCATGAATACATTGGGGTATGAAGAACTTGATTAACGCCGTTAGGACCAAATCCAAGGTTAAGGTAGTAACCATACATGTCAGAGCCGGGTACTTGCCGAAAAAAACAATATTTGGTGTTTCCGGTGCACATGGCCCCAGAGTTGTGACACCTATCACACTATAACAACAGTTAGTAACAACTTGCCTTTTAGTATTAAGGGTTAAGACCCTTTTTTTAGACGCAACAGCCGATTTAAAGACTGAGACCTCCAAAAATGGGCCAAAAAGGGTGAAACTCATTTAATTTTACATACCGGTCTTTTAAAATCGCAACGTAGTCCTAGATTTGCACATTGATCACACGTGCTTAATACTGGTGCTCGAGTAGGGCCAGGGTAAGGAGGTAATGGAATCCCGCCAAATACACAAGGAAGACCATACTGCTTACATCCGGTGCACTGTAATATCAATGGTCAGCGAATAATTTCAACGAAATGCCCGGGAGCATGGGAGGAGATGAATATTGATTTTTACTTACCCCGTGGTTTTCTACAGGACGACTGCATGGTGCTTTTATACCCGATACCTTTAAGCGGCATGCTTCACAAACTTGACGCCCTGGACGTGAACTACTTCCCTGAGACATTTTGGATAAGCTTAAGCTTGTGTAAATTTTGAAATAATTTCAAGTTTCGGCGAAAGGTTTTAAAGGAGGTTGATACAAGACAAGGTAAGTGAGGTTCTAGTGAAGTCTAGTGAGTAGAAGCAAGATACAGTAGCAGGCAGATTCGATAGATATATACATGAACACCCGAGGAAACAGTAGCAATACAATACTATAATGATATAACAGTTCATAAACAATACATCGTTTTCCAAGTTCCATGCTGTTGCAAGTTCTTTGTTTGGCTTCGATATATAAAAACAATACTATTTCAGAATATTTCATCGGATCGAGTCCTTTCAAATATCTTCATATGTCAGCTATATGTTCTAATTCGTTCATTTGAACTATAGTTGCCTGAGTGAAAAGTCCAAATCCTCCCAGTTTATGAAATACTTCCCTTCAATACCTCGCGGCGTATATGAGTGGACAACACATAATACTACAGCATTAATAATGTAATATGAATAATCGTATTGTTTTATAGTGCCAAAAAAAATTTCAATGTAGAACGCGAAAATCTATCGTAATTGATTCAAATATATATATATATCTCTTAAAAGTTTTATTTCAAAATAACTATACTTTATGAGTATAGTAAGATTCTAAAGCATGCTTGACTCAGGTTAAAAGTAAACAAGCATCTTTACAACGTAGAAGTCATTAGATATACTTGAGGAGAAAATGTATATGCTATAAAAAACTACATTAAGATTATAAGACGGATATATTATAACGTGAAATAGTGGAACCAGAATTAAGCTCAATCTTTTTAATAGTAAGTTATCTCGACTTATGCATTTAGAGTATCTATCACGAAGAAATTTTAATGCGAACGGTGATGAGAAAGCTAAGGGTATAAAAAAAGAAACCAACGCGAAGTTGGCGAAATCAAAGGATGAAACTCTTTAAGGCTTCAACATAGATCCTCGTGAACAAAAAGTACATCCAAGTCTCCATATCTAGGTGCCTGAATACGTGCTAAGGTTGCCCATAAGATAATAAACATGTGATAAGAAACTCGATATTAGTCTAGTTCAGGAACAGGCTCCCCTATCATGAATATAAACTCTATTAGGTAGATAGATACAAGGTGGACATGTCTTGCGGCATGCCTAGATACAGATTAGAAATAAATACTATCTAATAAGGGGTAGGGAAGGTAGGTGCTCGCGTGCTATATGGGTATAATTTCTAGTATAGTAAAGCCTTTTTGTACATTATTTTCCATTTATAACTCATCTCAAATGGAATCTTATATGCTGAAGAAATCCAAAGTCCTATTTGGGACACAGCTTTCCGTTCTGTGTTGGGTAATACTCAACCTGGTTAGTTATGTACCAGTCCTCGGAGCCAACAGCTGTAGGTGCCCACAATAGGCCCCAAGGGTCGTACTGCTGTTTGAGCTGGTAAAGATATGCGTAGTTTGAACCATAGAAGGCTTGCTGCCAGTTGGGTTCGTTAATGTCCGCCTCGTTGAGGTATGCGCCAGAATTGGGGGATGCGTCTCGCCATGGTTGCATCATCTGGACGAGGTTCTTGTTCGCGGTCGCGATATCCTGAGCAGTGGCTTCCTGGCTCCAAGTGGCACCTAGTAGTGCATGCAGGACGGTTTGGCGCCATGCTGGATTCACGGCGTTGGTCTGGTTGACTGAGGGGTTGACTGCTGCTTTCATGTTGTAGCCGAGCATTAAGCCAGCCTTTTCGACACTCTCCCGAAGCGCCGCGTTTTGTGCAGCAAGCTTCGCCGGATCGTCCCAGTTAGAACGGGGGAACAATCTTGACCCAGTATTAAAATTCCAGACGCCAGTCTGTTCACTTTCAGCAGACCAGGTACCTTCGATGCCACCCAGCACTCCATCATATTCTTTATACACGGCATCGCTAACGGTAATTCCCAACCCCGCAAGCTCGTCGAATAATGGAGTAGACAATGTCTTGAGCTTGGCAGAGTTCATATCATTTCCCCATTGAGGAGCCATGGAGAAGGAACAGTCAAATATGCAGCTGATAGACCAATAGTTATACATCCCCTTATCGGCAAATTCGGGAAATTTGGCGAAAACAGCATCGACTCCCTTCCAGAACGTCTCCTTCGATACGTTAGTATTGACACCGAAGCTATAACTGAGAGTAGAGACGGGCTTCTTCGGGTAAGCCCGAATAACAAGCGAGGTCACGATACCCCAGGTACTGCCACCTCCGCCGCGAAGGGCGAAGAAAAGATCGGGATACTTTTTCTCATCAACAGAAACAAAACGGCCATTAGGTAGCACAACTTCCATGGACAATACTTGATCAGCTGCCATGCCATACATAGATAGCAAGGGGGAATGGCCACCACCAGCGATGTATCCACCACCGATGCCGACAGTCTAGTATATGATTTCGATTAGACTCCATTATTGTATGGTATGATCTCGGAATGGGACATGAAACTTACACGAGTATTTCCACCGACAATATGAAGACCTAATTTGTTTGCGGCTTGATAAAGGGGAAGTGCCTGAACACCAGCACCAATCTTAAAAGCTGGTCCACTGTAACCCGATGGGCCATGGGAGTACGTGGAACCCAAGTACTGGATGCCTTGTAGAGCATTGGTCCAGATGGAAAGCGATCCAGCACCAGTAGACTTGGCTTTGAAGTCATGGCCTTTGTTCTTGACGATCAGCCGCAGGTTAAGATTCCGCGCGAAATTGACAGCAAGCTGGATCTGCGCGACATTGGTTGCCTTAACAACATACGACGGCATACCACCTAGTGTGCATTTAGCCCCCGTCCGTGTAAGGCTAGGCGGCAAGCAGCTCACTCCCTCAAAGGCATAATACTGGATTCCTAGAGGTTGTGATAGTCTATGCTAAGTTAGACACAAACCCAAGAGAGAATAAGGAATATATGCTAACTGATATTGAGGCGTGTTCCACTGAGAAGTGATCGAATCACACTTGGCTTTGTCATACTGAGGCCAATCAGAATAGCATGGCGCTGCGGTTGGCACGCCCTCAACTAGAGCGCCTCCTAATAGAATATTAAGGAGATCCCATATAGGGCGAATCGGCCAAAATCTGTCCCCGGGATAAGTTTTACACACGCGGCCGGTACGTTTTTGAACCGCAGCTTCAGTATCGGTGAAATTGAAAAGCTCAACATTAGTAAGATTATAATTTGTCAAATTGGTGATAACTTCAGGCGTAAGCTGGCTTGATTCGAAGGGGAAATAGTTGATGCCAGATGATGAGGCATCAACGTCCACTTTCTCGACGGCTGGAGCAACAGTCTCTGGGGTTGCCTCTATTTATATCGACAAGGGTTAGCAAGCCACCACATCATAATGGCATGTCTACTGTATAGAAGGTGTATCAAGGACAGAACTAAAGCTTACCGACGCCATCTTGGATTGTCTGAGCGAACGCTAAGCTGGTTAGCGACAGAGCCGCAACGTAAATGAAGCGCGTCATTATTACGCCCGTAACTACCTAGGTAAGTAGCTGAGTATCAGGCTTCTACGCGAGATGCAAGTATATGCAAGCTTAAAAATATAGGAGCGCCTAGCCACCGGATAAAAACAGTCATCGAGCAGTATTCGCTGCTGAGGGATCACGGTGGAAAAATTCCAAAGGATCGTCCCTGCGTGGTTACTTTATACGAACCGATAACACGCCGATATTCCTTGACACCCACGTGTTTTTAATGAGCTAATGCATAGAATATCAATAGTTTAAGGGATAAGTCAAAGCTGACTAGGTGTAAGTATACATAGGAGGTAGTATACGCTATACGTATATCATAGAAAGTGGTATAATATACATAATATAACTACATAATATATACACTACGCCGTTATGGGTGAAGGTGAACTTTATTAGTTAAAGTCTACTTAACTACACATAAACAGACAGTCCTCTTTAATTTCATATAGCAGTCTGGTTCGAGGGGTAGTACTAAATAGAAGCGCGCTAAAGTGAAGAGTTCCATCCGGCTACATCAGACCGAGACTAGAAACTCCGAACATGGTTAAGAGTCCGTCTCTATTCTAGCGTCTATCTATTAGTTCAGATATACTATGTACTATAATAGTCTTCACCAACTTCTTTTATGAGTTTACTCTCCGTTTCCGGGACATCGGATTGTGGATATGATTTTCGATAATGCATATCTGCATATAATATAGGTAGCATTGTATGCATTGTATGCATTGTACGCAAGGTACGCGTCAAAAAGGCTGCACTACCCCAACCTACAGGCATGAGTATCAGCCCTTTCTCGGCTATTTCTTCCGTCACCCTTCTCGGCTATTTCTTCAACTCACTTTTCTCGTATAAATTTCGGCCGTTTATTGACAACAATTCCCGTTATTTATATTCACCTTTAGTAAACAACAATTGAACTTCTTGTTCAAATTTCTTATTTGATTATTTTTTATCATTAATAGAGCCATCTCCGTCCAAACATAAACGCTTATCGCATAAAAATAGAGGTAAGAGTTGATCGGAATAATAGCCAACAAGATTCGGCCGAGAGATATTATCGGGATCTAAACGGTGACTTACTTAAAAATCCTTACGGTGTATCACTACTACGAAGTGAATACGGAATCTAGAACGCAAGGTAGCATCAACTGCAAAGGTAGCATAAGACAAAGTAAAGGGGTAACCAACACCCGCTCCCAAAGAAGGACGCAATCCGATATACCCCTATAGGCAGGAAGATATCTCCGACCTTGCAGAAGACATGGAAGAAGGGGAAATTTTGCACGATGCTACCGCAAAAAGTGTTCGGGAAGAGGAGCGATGCATCATATACACCAACATACTGCAAGTGTCAACCCATGATGAGACGATGATATATAAGAAGACAAGGATGAGAAAATTGATGGCCCTCGCTTAAAATGCTTAATGCGCTAAGTTTTGAAGTATTTGAGTTGTGTCTCATGAAGCTAACTCACCTTCAGACACTAATGTAAGAAGAGGTCATATCCCTGTAGAATCAGAGTGTCCAAGCCCATACGTGAGAGAGGTAGGCAGTGCTATTATATGGAATTTTTGCACTCCGGCAAAACTACCAGTATGAGGTAGTTTTTTTCCCCCCATGAAGATGCAGTCCCGATCAAGGACGAGTCTATGTCACCTCGCTTGAAAGGAATCCCTCATGCTACCATACTTAACAGGTTTAAACAATAATTAATCCTAAGCTCTTTCCAACTTTTGTGGCAAACTCGTGCGGACTATAACCGATGGTTTCTCCTTGCCAAGGACAAGGGACTATCCAGTTCCGGGCAATGGGCCCTGGATTATTCCAGACGGATACCGGGGAATCCATGTAATGCCCTGTTTCCAGTTAGGAAGAGAAGGGATTGAGTACTTTGATGTTCCTTACGATCATTGATATGTAGTTAAATCGCTCTAGAGCCTGGTATGTCGCATCGATTATTCATTGAGCACGAACCGTGTGTGAAGCTTTCCAGACCTCATCACCCTTGACAGTGTTGTAGCGCGACTCTTGGGCCCCCCCTGGCTACCAAGATCTTCAACATACTCGAATTCTGGGGGATAGGATATATATGAATGATCGCCTGCAACCTCGACGACGATCTTCTACTGCTTGGGTCGACTCATCTCGTGGATCTATCTTGACTTTATCTGGACGGGGCTGCACAGATGCTTTAATGATCAGTTACCATGTCAGAACCAACCCAAGCCCCTCCAATGGCGACAAACCCTAATCCCACGAGCTGGCTCCAAAATCTGGGCATTGCTATAGAAGTGTTATGTCCGGCGCTTGCGTTGATCGTTGTTGGCTTGAGGACTTATATCAGAATCGACACGAAGAGCTTTGGATGGGGTAAGTTTTATGCGTCGCAAACTCCAGTAACAAGATTGTAGCCACGTACTAACTTAATTCATATAGACGATGGCCTCATCGTTGCTTCAATGGTCTTTAGCATTGCCTTGGCGGTAGGCTCTATCAAAGGTAAGCAGATATACTACTACACCTACCTCTGATATCTAAACCTAATAATACGCAGTTATGAAGGAGTTGTACATAGGGATTCATTTCTACGATGTACCGCTACCCTTTGATCCCACCGAAGGACTGATTTGGATATATGTTGTCGGCGCCGTTTACCAACCCATCTTAACACTGGTTAAACAGTCTGTCCTCGTCTTTCTGCTTCGTTTCTCGGGTATTAAGGCAGGCGTCCGATATGTCGTCTGGGGCACCATCGTCTTCAACACAGTATTGATGCTCGCCATTCTCCTGACCGTCATATTCCAATGCACTCCTATCGAGCTCAACTGGCATCCATTGGTACCTGGAAGATGCATTCAACAGTTCACATTTGGTGTGGTCGCTGCATGCATGACTATTGCAACCGATGTAGTCTCAGTGGCTCTTCCATTTTATATTTTCCTAGGCCTGAAGATAAATAAGAATAGGAAGGTTGCCTTAATTGGAGTTTTCATGCTAGGTGTACTGTAAGTAACCCCTAACTACGAATTCCCATCTACTCCAAAATACAATTCAAAAATATCGAATATACTTGGAGAGGTAAAGCTCTAACATAAGTCTTACAACAGCGTTACCGTTGTCAGCGTCATTCGTCTCTACTTCCTCGCTCAAAACTTCCACGATCAGAGTCCAGATAAGAACTTCTCTATCGGCTTCTGTGTCTCCTCTATCGAGTGCAACTTGGCTATCCTGACTGCATCGGCCCCCGCACTTTGGCCACTTATTCGTCGTTGGATACCGCATCTCAAGTCAAGCGGCGATCACTCCTATTACGGCCGCAAATATGGCGGTGCTTCGCATTTACAGCAGGGTTATATCAGGACTACCGATGGACCAGACAGCAACAATATCGGCTTGAAGGACCTAGAAAGCAGGCGAACTCGAACCGAAGTCCGATCCGCGCGAGATTCAGACGAGGAAATTCTTACAGGAACGGGAATTATGCGCACTACACAATTTACTGTCTCAACTGAGGACGACTATCCGCGAAAGGGGCCAAGAGCTGACTATGAAGACCAAACGACGCATTCAAAAGTCTCCAGCAATGCTTCCTTGTGAGTTATTATGTATAATAGGAGATGAAGCAAGGGAACGGTGTGATAGGAGCAAGGGGGCCACCATATTTCCCTTAAACCACCGTTAAATTCTATTGGTTCACTATGTATATTTACTTCAATGAAGAGGAAAAGAATTATACAAATCTAGCAGTATAGTATTCCTCACGCCGAGTACCTCAAAATATCCCAAAGTGTTCCGAACAAGTGCATGTAGCCTCAAGCATATAAATTCCTCATAAATACTTCGTTCACGATAAGCATTTCAACATCTCGGTATACCTAATATGTCGTATTAACTACCTAGATACCTAGTAAGTAATCTAGCCTATAATTAAAGACTATATCCCATAATAGAAAACGACGTCAAGCGTTGAAATTAGACAGGTAGCAGTAGACAGTTTTCAAGCACATGGCTCTATTATGTAGGAGAGCTAGTCTCAATAGTTCGGACGACAAACTTATGACTGCCGCATGGATCATCCAAACAGTCAAAGCCCCTCCATCAGAGTTACATCGTGGGGCTCTAAGTTGTACCGAGGGCCGGAGAAATACACCAAGGAAGGACGGCGGTAAGACTAACGAGTTTAGAGCATGTTTTACGCACCATTACGAATTTTCATCTGCCTTTCCAATGTTTCCGATTAGGTTTCTCACTAGATCACCCAGATAGATAGAAATTGATCCACAGAATAAGAGCGTACTCTATGAGTCCTCAAATGACGATACAATACAATAAGGGGTCGGGATCACCCGCATATAGTCATGTCCTAAGCAATAAAATTTGATACATATATCAAACGATAGTCTAGAACAGATAATGCCTATTTCACCTTTCTATCCCCCACCAATAGTTATTTGGTTTAATACCATTATTAATTCATACTAAATTCGTAATCCTACCGTTCTAGTACATAAGCTCACTGGCTCCGGGTGTCAGTCCGCTTGCGTGATTGTTTTCAAGGTATTTCGGGCAATTAATTAGACATATGTCCCTGAAGTAGATGAGCCTAGTAGGGAATCGATGTGTTTATAGTCCAGGGCAATACGGAATGTTCCGACGCATGCCAGGTATTTAGGACCGACCGCGGTATCATCAGAAAGACCCTTCATCTTTAGATCAGACGGGTATCCACAGTTCATTCTATAATAGCTTAGGAGCCAGGAACAGAGCTAATAACGCTTTACTTGGAGATTTCCCTGAAATGCTCGATTCTACGCAACAAGAAGATGGCTAGTGGTATATGCCGGCCTTTTCAAGAGCACGCTAGTAGTGGGAAGTATGCGTATCTCGTTTCTAGCGCCGCTCGGGACATCAAACTTTTGATAGATGTTTCTCATTAGCAAATTCAGGTAAGTTTTTCATGTTAGATTTCACACTCATAACCAATCACACTCATCCCTCCAAAATTATGGTCGACTTTTAGATTCTAAAAACTACTTCCGTGTCCACGAACTAGATAAACAAATGCCAAAGGTTTCTAATGTTATCCTTACTAGTCTACTAGTTTCTACACAGATCTCATTTCCTTCCACCTACTAGTTAATCTCGGCATATTTTAGCCAGATATGGTCGATCTGCTAGTGTATAGGCCCATCTAGAGATCGATATATTCGTATGCCTTGAAACATTTACTACAGCAACTCTTAACTACATCGTGGAAGACTAACGTAATCAAAATGAAGTTATCCATTTGACTAGTATAAAACAGAATCTTCCACTGTCTTTCATATTAATGTATTAAGATAGGTACTTAAGAAAGATACTTTGCAATATACCTCTATAATGAATAAGTCACCTTAAACTTCACGTACTTTACCGATTACTCCGGGAAGTGTTATCTCATGCTAATTAAAGGGGTAAAAATGCATTAAAAAAGGGGGAGGGGGGTAAAATAGAAAGTATCTACTTAAGATATATTTCGTAGTTAAATTCATTTTGAATATAGAAATTATTTCATTACTGCGATTGAAGGTATTTCTCTGCTATAAATTAAATAAGTATGTCCTTAGAGTATAAACAAGACCTCGAAGTCCATTAATATTAGGCTCATCAACCTGATATAGCTTGAGGAAAGGTATATTTCAGCCAGTTATGAGAGCAATGTCTACAGTTTTAAAGACACATTAGTTACTTCAAGCTATCTAGTAAATCACACAACTATACGTCAAGACTATAACATGAAATAAAAAGGCGGCCAAATGGGTTGCTAGTTCGAGTAATTACTAGGTAGTCACAAATTTACATAAGAGCTACCTAATATATAGGCAAGATGCCAAACAGAGTATGAACAAATAGTCCGAGGAGAAAAAATGTCGGAATCTCTAAAGGGAGTAATACCATTACAGTACAGTGACAGCAGTATATAAGAAGGATCAGCTAAGATACTAAACCCTAGTACCATATACGAGGTATCAACCATTGAAGTTAACGCCACAAGAAAGGGGCACGTGGCTGTCGCTATAGGACAAAATTAATTGTGACAATTTTTATTAATTACAGGCGGCCTCGAGCTCTAGCACTGCCTCTTCCCCTTCCTCTTCCTCTTCCCCGACCGCGTGTAGCAACGAAAGGTTTTCTAGCTGGGCCATCATCGTCGGCTTCCAAAGACGAGTCGCTGTCACTACTATCACTACTATCATCTGAAAATGATAACCTGACAATAGTAGGAGTACCCAATTTCTTAACAGCCTGTTGCCGCTCTGGGGCTTGATGCTCCGGCGTGGGACTGGGTGAGGGCGAAGGCTCGGCTCCCTCATTAGCAGGCTCAAAATCATCATCAATTAGTTCTTTGCGGCCCCGTTTCGAGCTTGGTCTGCTAGTTTCCTCCGCATTCTCGGTATCTGGTATTGGTTTATTTCGAGTAGTTGTAACAGCAGGAGTACCTTGGATCAAAGCTGCTCCAGGGCTTCCTGTCGCACCATCCCTTGTCCGGCGTGAACCAATCCTAATTCTCCTGCCCCTGAGAGCTGCTCGTTCTCTCATAGACATGAAACGGGTATCCGGAGGCGCATCGTCTGACTTGGCTATCGCGGGAGATTGTGTTACTCGCCGTCCTGGTGGTCGGCCTCTTTTCCTTACAGAACCCCCACGGGCCGCGGTTGGTCGTGACTGTTCTCCTCCGTCATTTGCGTCACCCAGTTCTCGCGCCAGCTGAGCTTCAAGTTCATCTACGGTAACGTCATTCTCATTTTGAGTGCTGTCGGGGTCTTCAGCATCCACCGTAATACTGCTCTCGTCATTCTCAGGATTACTAGGTAAAGATTTTCTCGGTCGTCCTGGCGGGCGGCCACGCTTCTTCCCAGTGGACGGAGTAGCAACCGTTCCGATAGAGCTTCGGGGTGGTCGCCCTCGTCTCTTAGCCGCCGGCTGTGGTGTGTTTTCGACGATAGTTGAATTTCCCTCTTCACCGCCAGGAAATTGAGTCAAAGCGCGGATTGCATCCGCCGCTAAATCTACAGGGTCTAACTCCTCCGGTATGCCATCTTCGCCCTCAGATCCAAAAATTCTCAGGGGCTTAATTAGAACACTATCGTCTGGGTCTTCTGCGGGCTCCTCGGCTTCCACATACGATGCTCTTGGTTTAGCGTGTCGCAGAGTAGGTCGTAGAGGATCGATAGGAAGAGGAGGCCTCGCTTGCTTAGGTGCTTGCTTAGGTTGAGAGGCCGGCTCGGTTGTTTCTCTCGGTTGTGTTTCCGTAACGTCGTCCCCTGGCTGTTCACTAGGGCCGATTGCGGCTGTTAATCTTATGGGTGTAGATACGCTATCGCCAAGGGCACCGAGTAGAGCTGGATCCAAGTTGACAAGTTGATCAATATTCCCGGTCTTGGGCTTTTTGCGCTGGTGACTCCTAGGTCCTCTAAAGTCGGGATCATCATCCATCTCAAGTCTTGCCTTTCTCTTCGCAAGTCGCAGCGTCTTTTTGACGTATTCGGACATTTCTGGCTCGTTGTTTAGAGCATCAGCAGATGGAACCTGAAAAGGATCGAACAAGATTTTATCTGCACTTTCATCTTGGTCATAGAATCCCATTCCCATCATTCGTGCGTGACCAATCATAGACGGATCGGGGTACTGAGATTGACCTGGAAGAACCGAGTCTCCTTCTCCATATTGTATAGCAGACATCTCGGCGTGGTCAACCTCGTCCACAGGTTCACCATGCGACATGTCAGCAGCGGGTGCTTGGCCATTCTCATAACTAGCAATGGTTGTCTCAGCATGGTCGAGGAGATGGCTTTGATCCCCATAGCCGTTCATAATTGAATCCTGAAGGGCCGAATCCATTTCGTGCGGAGCGTCTTCTGCAGAATTCAAAGAAGCCAATGGATCTCTAGCCTTTTCAGCATCCGCCTGCTGCTTTAGACGTTGCATCCGCTTCGTATCCCTCCCGCGATTTTCGTCGCCGGTGGCCTTTAGCCAGCTAAGGTTATGTTGCCTGAAGTCGACGATTGATTCGACACTGCGATCATCCGCAATTGGACGCGTATCGTGCCCAAGAAGGGTATTCTTAGGGACATATGGATGTGTATTGCCACTCTGTCTACAAGACCCGCAGTTGCAGATATTGAGACATTTGGGACACTGCCAATGTTCCCTCTCCATTGCCATCTGGGGCATCGTATCAAATGCCCGCCACAAAACACCATAACAATATGCGTTTTGACATGTCGTGCAGAAGTTTAGCTTGTATGTATAGTCTTTGTGGCAGCAGACGTGACAGCGGTAGACATCGCCCTTCTTGGCCTTGCGTTTCGGCTTCGGCTTCCTCTTAATGCGACCTTCCTCGTCGACCTCGGGTTCATCAGATTCCTCCGCTTGAGGTTGAGATGGCTTTGTGATGTCATTCCAAGGTCGCCTTCGAAGCTGTTCTTGGCAGATCTGGGCTACCGACTTCTTTCCCGTCTTTTTCCGCACGATTTCGATGGGCTGGGGGGACAAATCGACATCGACAAATCCATCTTGTTGAATAACCATTGATCGCCAAGTCTCATGTTTTTCGATGAGATCGGGCCATTTCCATTGCTCGCACCACTGGAGGCCCGATATACAGACACATGAACGTCCCATAGCATAGCATTCCATGCAAATATCGTATGTATCTTCGTCGCCGTTGATCAGCGTTCGCACACAACACTTGCAAGTTAAAAAGCGGTTAAAAACGTTGGACCGGCAGTATGAACATGTAATGTTTGAATCGAAGGGGATATATTCAACGTCTGTTTGCTTGTAACCAAACATCTCGTCGACAAGGATCTCGGTGAACAGGCCGAACAAACGTTTAAAGTCATTAGCCATCTGCTTCATACGTGAGGAATTTTGCATCAGCTCTTGACCAAGACCCAATAACCCAACTTCGGCGTTCTCTTCGTGGGCTTGAAGGTCTTTGTAGTACTTCTCCATAGTATAATAGACGATAGCCTTGTTTTTATATTGCTCATCTCGGCAAACCAGTCGCGCTTTTGGCAAGGCTTCGTGAAGAGCTAAGTCGAGGGTTTCGACCGTTGTCCTATTCCATGCAACTTTCATAGTTCGCGTCCCGCGGTTCCAGACTTGGTGGGGAGCCAAGGGAGGTATAAGAATGAAGTCGCCAACTTTTTGCTCAACAATATAGACGGGGAAATTGGCCTTCTTCCAGGCGTTGATCTGCGCGAAATGCTTCTCGATTTCAATATCGTGGCCAAGCATGGAAAGGAAGTACTCTCGAACAACCTCGCGATCCTTGGTCTCAGTCATAAACCAAATCGAGCTCCCCGCCCTATCTCCATTCTCGTCTTCCGAGGCTTCCACCATAATATTCTGACCCAAGCTCGCGCACATCTCTCGATGCGCAGGCGTATACGTTCCTTCATGACCGATGTAGCACATTAAATTTTGCGCACGCATCTCCTCAGGCAAGCTACTCATGAGATCTCCTGCCGTAGCAGAAGTCTTTTCCGGTGCGCCAAAAATATCGTCATTTCGAGTGTCTGCTCCTGGATTCTCGCTGATGTTTTCATTCATATAGAAGACATTTGGAGGAATGACCTTCTTCAGATGATTATACCACTCGGGAGGACAGTCTATATCCTTCAGATAAAGACGCTGGCGCCGGTCGTCGCGGAAATTCGTAGGGGTCCATTGATTGGTCAACTGTCGCATCGATCGCAAGTAATGGCCAGTAGTCATTGGAATATCGGTCTGTGCTGTTATGTCACGAACATTTTCCTCTACCAGCTCCTATCAGTATTTATAAGCACTATATACGACGAAAGCGAAAGACTCACGTTTTTTATCGTAAGTTTTCTCCAACCAGGCGGCACTGAATAAATCTTCTGGGAAGACTTTGTTCCAGCCTTCTATAACTAACGGTCGGCCTCCCTCGATAACATGAAGTTGTACCAGCTTCTCGAAACCAGAGGGACCAAGGCGCCTGATCTGTGCGGTGGAAATTCGTACAACCCAGTCGAAGTTCGGCGCGCGATCGACAAGAGCATGGAGGTCGAGATCTGGAGGGATTGGGTCGAATTTGGCTTGGGGATGTAACGCGGTCGGCATTTTAGCGACTGCTCGAGGTACACACTAAGTACTAGTAATTTGAAGGGTCGTGTTTCGGAGAGGTGGAAAGGGGTTGTAAAGCGACGGCGGGGTTCACGAAGATGGTGATCGCCTTCAGACGCGCCTCATACATAGAGCTTCACGATCACGAAAGTATTCGCAAAGAACAACGAACGCAATCTACATAGTACCCCATATGTTTTTTAATACAATAAGCTTATCGTGGAGTAGTTAGGCTCAGTATAGGAGAAAGATTGCCAACTCCTAAGCGCGAAACAAAGGCGTTAAAGCAATTCAATGATTTTGGTAAAATGCGACGCACTTGCAGCGCGAGGCTGGAAGTAAGGAAGCTATGACAATAAATTTAAAGATGATAGTTAATGGAAATCGCAAGCTGGATAACTTAGTGTACCCACTGTAACCGCACAGGTACTTCCGCTTAGTTACGGTTAGATGAATTGCGGTAGGTTCGGTACTTCCAGTTCGTGCACAGACCTATACAACCTCTAGAACTTAGAGAAACTACATGTAAGTACCTACCTCTAAAAGGTGACTTCTTCAATAACCAGCAACTTCTCAACACGACTTTAATTAAGTCATGAAATGGCTATAAACTCAAGGTGACAGCTATTAATTTTTTAATATCAGAGGTAGGTTTTCATTCCCTTGATTTACTCGATAGTAAGTCAATAATTCACCTCTTGAGAAACAAATATGAATATAAAAAAATTTGATAGGCTTATTAAACACTCACTGGTTATCACAATTTTGTAACAACATATTCTATAACGAACATTGGTATTTTATACTGCTACCATATTAGCATCATATTATAAATTAGTCATTTTTATATAGCGTTTCTCAAATCTACCACTGCTTAATCAAAACTTTCAGTTTCGCTAGAAGCACAGCTAACAAGTCTTCAGAAGTCGATACAACCCTGAGCAAGATGCGTCGACACCTTATATCCAAAAGCACAAAGTGTCTACTGTCTCATGGTCTGATACCTCCAAACTTAAAATTATCGAGACAACTTCATAATGTCTCCAGAGGTGTCTCATGTTACCTACGGAACGCAACATCAGCCTCAAAAGCCCTCAGTTTTCCAAGGCCAAGGCAGATAGTTCCAATACACTCACAACCTATAAGCCAACGCCAACGCGGAGCCCACACTATCGATTCACCATCCTCAGCTGTCATTCCAGAACCATACTCGCCACCCACATCAGGCATTCTATCCCGCCTGCCTAAGTCATGGGTTCCCTACGGAGAGCTCATCCGGATCGATAAACCCACAGGGACGTATTATCTATTTTTCCCATGCTTATTCTCAACACTAATGGCAGCTCCGCTCGCTACCCCTATGGCCACCCCATTGTCCGTCGTTGGTACCGCTGCTCTCTTCTTCACCGGTGCCCTTGTCATGCGTGGTGCCGGCTGCTCCATCAACGACCTCTGGGACCAGAACTTAGACAAGCACGTAACGCGGACGCGGCATCGGCCCCTAGCACGAGGCGCCATCACGCCCTTCAAAGCCCTAGCATATACAGGCGCGCAGCTCCTGACTGGCCTTGGGGTCTTGCTGCAATTCCCGACCTCATGCCTTTTCTATGGTATTCCCAGCTTGATATTTGTGGCTTCATATCCTCTCGCAAAGCGCGTGACGTATTATCCACAGTTCGTCCTGGGCCTGACCTTTTCCTGGGGCGCCATTATGGGCTTTCCTGCTCTGGGGGTAGACTTGTTGTCGAATAGTGCCGCTATGAGTGCCGCTGCCCTACTTTACGCAAGCAATATATCCTGGACTGTACTGTACGATATGATCTACGCGCACATGGACATCAAGGATGATGCCAAAGCAGGCATCAAGAGCATTGCTCTCAAGCATGACGCTGATACAAAGAAAATCCTGTCCGGGTTAGCGGTAGTACAGATAGGTCTTCTTGGAGCCGCCGGCATGGCAGTAGGCGCCGGACCAGCTTTCTTCATTGGGAGCTGCGGTGGCGCTGCTCTGACATTGGGCTGGATGATAAAGAGGGTAAATCTCAAGAACGTGAAGGACTGCTGGTGGTGGTTTGTCAATGGATGCTGGATCACTGGAGGCGCGATCAGTCTCGGTCTTGGGGTTGATTACCTGTTAAAATACGCTGAAGACGACAAGACACAGTCTTTAGAGAATTAGGCTTCAACCATGATGTACAGTTATGTGTATATAGCAGGATTAGGTGCCGGATTTAGAATACAGGTTACCTAAGGTAGGTAATTAAAAAGGATGTACTCTACTCCCAGACCAATTATCTCCGCATTAGATTAGGTATTCACGATAATCACGATAGACTCTAGAAGAATTACAGGTATTGCTTTGGCGACGCAGAATCTCTATTTGTGGATCTCGTCTGCCTGTGAATGAGTATCAAGGCCCGAACCTATGATGCCGTGATGAAACAAAGCAAGCCGTATCGACTCCGCATGCCCAATGAACCTTCTCTCGTTGCACATTTTCCTTAATTTCCTTCGTCCTCGACCGAACGTCTATGATCTCGGCTTCTCCTTCTTCTCCTTCCATAGAGCTAGCAGACCGACACCGGAAACCTTTACGACCTTGAATCGCACACCGGGAATATCACCCTTGGCCTTGCCCTTGCGACCGAAACCAGCGAGCAGGACTTCGTCGTTCTCGTCTACGAAGTTCAAGCAACCGTCGTTGGGGACTAGAGTTAAATCACGTTAGCTATTTCGCACTCAAAAATGACAAAACCATCACTCCTAGATATTCGTTCTCGTCAAGCCAGCCACCTCAGGCCAACCAAAATTTCGTAGTCGCGAAAAAGACAGATGGAGAGTAAAAGTAGGGGTATTCGTACCGAAAGCAGTAACCTTCTTTCCGTTCTTGATAAGTTGGACACGGACACACTTTCGGATAGCAGAGTTGGGCTGCTTGGCTTCGACACCGACCTTCTCGAGGACGATACCCTTGGCGTGAGAGGAACCACCGAACGGCGACGACTTGAAAGCGGTACCGAGAGCGCGCTTCTTGTATCCGAGATCGGCCCACTTCTGCTCCTTTCGGTGCAGACGCAGTTTGCGGGCTGCGTTAAGTCCACGAGGCTTTCCTTTACCCATGATTGCTATAGTAGAGGGGTCGCACGGTCAGTAAATGTAGACTCGAGGGCGCAAAATTTTATTTATCGTAATCGAAAGGAACGAGGTGAAGGAGGATTGGTAGCAACGTTATTGACCAAGACCAAAAGATGATATAGATAGATCGATCGTGAATGAGGAATTGACTTACCGATTTGTATGTGGTATCGCTGAAAAATGGGTGTTGAAGTCTTGCTTAGATGGATGGATAGATAGATTGGCTAGTGGTTCGTGGATGTGATGTTTCTTCGGTTAATTTTTTCCACAGACCAAAAGTTGGAAAATAATTGCTAAGGGTTTCTTCGCCCTAGTCCCCAGGCCAAGGTGGGCCACAGAACATGACTCCACTTAAAGGTACCTAGGTACATTAGGTATGTATGGATGGAATGGATGGAACTTTATCAAAGTGGCTAAGCAGTTAATTCATCTAAGCCACATTAATAACGGAGACGGTCCCATGCATGGACCATGACGCGTGTGCGTTCCTTCGCATCTTCATAGGCAACTTTCAAACTGACCAGTCATATTCGTCAATTACAATATCTCGTTCTCCGAGCCAGCCTGGCTTCTGAACTGCCCTTCTTTAATAGGGCTATTTGAAAGGGGTTGTATTTGATATTAATCGTATTCTCATACTGTCAAAATGTAGCAATGTTAGCAATGGATAACCTCAAACTAACACCGAGCAATTCTAAAGCTCGCGACCCTCCTAGGTTATTCCTTCATCCCTCTCCAGCAACTTCACATGTCTCGCTCTCAGGAGTGGTGGCTGCTAGCCCGGCAGTTCCGCCTGCCGTTGCTTCAATTTCGAACACGCGAGAAAATGCTAGCGGCGCATCTATCCAGCAGTCTCAAGCTACTCATTCGCTCGCGCGAACAGGTTCGTTATTAAATACACGAAACCGCGCGCCCGTCGGCCGACTCCATACTGCTGACTCCACCCGCACTGTTGATAGAACCGACGCTTTGTGGGCTGAGATGCAAGCGACTTTAGAAGAAGTCGAGCTATCGGCAAGCGGAGGTACTCATGTTTTTGGACCGGAGCATGACCGCAAGCTCGCCGATTTACGTGCGGCTCAAATTAAGCTGGCGCAAGCATGGGCAAGAAGCGAGGCCGACGACTCAATCGAACCGACGGCTGCGAACGAAGTGCCAACCCTCAAAGGAGCTTTAGGTGAGATTGGTGTATCTGCTACTGGGGTAGCCCTTGGTCCTACGATATCCTCAAGCGTCGGAAAGGTGGCAGTAGAAGGTACAGAAGGAGGGAAAAGTACAGTCGGTACAGGCAGCGCACGACCTGGAAGTAGTGGGACTGGTCGCGAACGACTAGGCGCTAAGCTCGAAGAAGAAACGGAGAAGGATATCCTTCTAGCAAGGAATAGGAGAGAGGCGAATGATCGCTACTTTTCAAAGATAGACCAGGGAGTTAGGGATGTGGTCGAGAAATTAGAAGAAGTGGCTATCGCCATGAGAGCTGTCGAGGAAGAAACGCGTAATATCTGGAGCGACAACGCTATACCGGATAATGCGAGGGTCTAATGAGGACATCCTAGAATTGTGCATATGTATTACGAAGATCAGATGCACTTGCGCATTGGCCTACTATGGGTATTGGGGCATAACGATATTCCACGATGGTTTTCACTCATGCATATGCAATCGGCGTCGGTATGTAAAGGGACAAAGGGGATTGTATTAGCCTGATGAGGCTGCTAACACACCTGCAGCAACTTGCTAGTTGGGTGCATGATGGTCGAAGAATAAGTGGCTTGTACCAGTAACCACTCGGGGTATAAGTCTTCATAATATGGTATCCTTAACATTGGTCCATCTCCTGGGCCAAATATTCGTTTCTCATAACGCGTATTGTGCTCATAATATAACCACTCCACACGCCTACTCCTCAGTCTCAGCTGAGTCCTTAGGTCCTCATCCAATACCCAAACTTTCTTCCTGAATTATGGATACAGACTGGATCAGGGCGTTGTCCTGGGTAGGGGTTAGGAATATATCCTTAACCCCTACCCGCAGTCACGCAGACGCGACCAGGTCCCGCGGCGTCTAGCAGCTCCAGTCAGTATGTAGATCTTTATAAGGCAGAAGAACGTTCGAGACTCACCGTCGCCTCCGCAGTAGCGGAGACAATAGCCACGGCGGCCATAACAGCGACAATGATGGAGAACATCTTGACGGCTGTCGAATAGGACGGAAGTTGGTTGGTTGGTTTTGGTGATGTTTGACAAGGCAAAAAGCCCCTAGATCATCCAAAGAGAACGTCTCGTTTCCCGGAGAGGGTCTTTAGGTTTTTATACACATACACTTCTCCTCTTACACATACATATATTCCTTACCTTAGATCGGACCCAGTTCGCACATGCGGGCGCATCTTGCCACCCCTCATTGTCTTTAGAGTTACGGTCAGGACTTAATCGAGGTTGGGAAGTAGATTCAAACACTTTCATTGGATGGCACGTCCAATTCGGATCCAATTTGGAGGGGTTGGGTCAAATCCCCAACCCCTGGGTCTCTCACCGCCGGGCGCTGTGAACTCGAATTCGGGACGCAACGATACAACGACATCCATTTTAGGCATGGTAAAGCTGCAATAGAGTCGAAGTTCTACCAACGAGCGGACACCACGACCATTAGATCTTTGGCTTCTGTGGGACCTAGCAGAGAGATTTAATATCTTGGCGAACTTCATTGCCAACACATGCATTGATAGGTTCTATTCGGCCGGTACTTTATCCGTGAAGGCCGACGACCGGATCTGATCCGCTAGAATCAGAAGATAGAAAGAAACAATTATATTATAATAGTAGACCAGGTACAAACACATTTCGTCTTTGAGGCTTAGGTTAAGGTCTCTCGAAGACACATCTAGACGCGACTGTAATTATGTACACTAACACACCGATGTCTTACGATAACATACCAGATGGCTTAAGCGAGATATATCCCTTGCGACAAGGCAATCATCAAACTACTAGGAAATTAACTGGAATAGGAATAAGCATTTCCGTTCTATTTACCCTTGAAGGTAATAAACGTACTAGTATTAATGATTAGAAAGTCCCGAAAAGGTCTTCCGGCCCTTCCGGAAGGTTTCTATGTTCAAGGATAACCTCTTTTTGTTATTCGTACTCGAAAAAAAAAAAAACAATGCGCCGGTAATAAATGTAGTTATGCAAAATTATTGCAGAAAATAAGACATCAATATGCTCATTTCGCAAAGGGAAGACTTCAGGTTTTTACGCTACTTCCTTAGGGCTCATTTTGTACGTGCTATTTCTAAAGTCGGCCTAGTAACTTGATCATATTTTCCACGCCGGCTCTCCCGGCCGAGGTACGCTAAGCGCTCGGGCTCAGCGGCCGCGCACCATGCCACTATTACTTCTCGGGTGTATGTTCCAAAACCGCTCTGTCCAAGTACGATCATAACAGGTACCGAACATAAAAATAATGATAGTTAATAATAATTCAATACTCAATTATAAATCAATTACAAGAGCTTCTGCTTATTGGAAATTCCCTACGTCCTTATTAAGAAGTTTACATCAATAGGTAGACGGCACTTACACGTAGAAGTTTAGAAGGTAGTATTGCAAGAAGCAAAAACGCCAAGACGACTATACCCTATTCCAATCCTCATATTAATCAATTGCCGTCCTGTCGTAGTTAAACGCTATATAAGCTAAGCATTTTCTAAGCCTAACTAGCTGCAAACCCCAGGTTTCTTTAGGATGCTTTAACGCGAACCCCATATCTTCGGCTTATAGTTCCATAGCAGTGCAAACACTTAAAGTCTTCAGATCTGCTTCATGGACACATATCCAAAGCACCGAACCAAGGACGCTATCAAAACCCATATAGATAAATAACCGAATATTCGGTACCTACCTACCTTAGTAGATGACCACTGAAATGACGACAGTTGCTTTGGAAGTCTTTTTTAACGGCAATTTCTCTCGCGCGCTACAATCTTCCAATATCTAATAACTATCGACTATACTTAACTATACTTCAGCCTTACTTAAGCTAGTATACTATAAGGTATAAGTAACCATATTGTAAATCAATACTAGTAGGTATTAGCAAGGAATAACCATGAATACCTACGATATATACACAAACCAACAAGTATAGCATAGCTAAGCCCATGCAAAAAGTGTACCAAGTATGCCAACAAGGCCAGTAGTATTCAGGTTCTGTCCCGAGTATTTGGGCCAGCCTATATGAATCACGGTAGTTGTTTCTACCAAGCAAAGTGTCTCTAGCAGACATCGCAAACAGGAAATTTACGCGAAGCTGAAGTACGAAAGCACGTGTTTTCAACAAGCTCCAGGGACTTACGTAGTAGTATATCAACTGACCCTAGCATCGTTGCCGATCATAGAGAAGAAAAAAAGGGCGTATGTAGGATTTCGGCTCTATTAGTATGACCTCTCCGTAGCGCTAAGATGCTATCATCATTCCTATTACGGGTAGCGATGCGACCCTAGATGTTGATAGCTTCCTTCCCCGCGTTTTAGATAGACGGTCGAGAAGCCTCCGCGGTCTTGGCTGGGAATCACGACGCTGGCAGATGTGAGATCTGATCGCGAAGACCTCAATCCCCAATGAGAAAACCGCGTAACATACATACATACATATACTACCTCTCACCTGCATCAGCCGCATTGGTCCCCCGCGTTTTAACGTCTTCTCTTCCCTTGGCTTTCCAGGTTCTTGGTACCGTCTAATATACGATGACTTCAAAGGTTGCAGCCCATGGTAGGGGCCACCTCGTTCATAGCCATGCGCACGAGGAAGGCATCCCAGGGACGGTAAATCTTCAAGCTGCTGGTATGTCGCTCTAGAGTATTCGTCGACGTTCCGAGGCTAACTTAGTGGCTTGCGACACTTTATAGAGGGCGACGATACGGTCTATGGCATGGCCCTCTTCCCAGGTTATTATACCCTCTGAGTCCTTTGGGATATCCACTGATGATTTGGGTTTTTTTTTTTTTTACTAACACTATCAAAGTTCCTGCCGAGGACCCAAATGACCCTTTGCAGGTATGTTTCGTGAAGTTGTAAATAGGGGCGAGTTCTGACGTGGCAATCAATAGTGGTCCAACTTCAAGAAGACGATGATCCTCATAATTTGCTCGTTTTACTCTTTTCTCGCCAATGCGTCCGTCATTGGGCCATCGCCATACCTCGACCTCTGGGCTGAAGAGTTTAATATTTCTCCTGCCGTGGCATCTGAGTTGATATCTTATCCTAACCTCGCCTTTGGATTTGGTATGTAGTCTCATGCGGCAAGAGAAGAATCAGTGCTGATACAATAAAGGTTCTTTAATTTTCGTGCCTATGTACTTAAAGTATGGCCGACGACCAGTCATGCTGTTCTCTCTTATTACATTCGCTGCCGGTCTGATAGGGGCGTCGCAATGTACTTCATTCGGTGGTTTAATGGCAGCCCGCGTAGTCCACTGCTTTGGTTCTTGCGGGTAAGTTTTCGACAAACACTCTTCATATATGGTAGCTAATATCCAATAGTAAGCGAGATAATCATATCCTATCCCTTAGGCGATATTCACTAGGGTTCACCCAAGAGATACGCTTAGAAGATAAAACGTCATGAGTTAGAAACTAATGTGTTGTCTTAATATCAAAATAGTATGCGAAGCATTACCGGTGCAGTTAGTTAATGATATATTCTTCTTGCACGAAAGGGGCAAGCGCATCGGATACTATACAGGTAACGAACATGACATCGATCGTTATCCAGTATATCTCTAACATCTATCAGTCTGTCTATGTCTCGGTACTTTTGCCTCGTTACCTGCTGGATATATGCTCTCTGGCGGTCACAGCGTATGTATCACTAAGAGTTTTCTTCTCCATTTCCTCGCCTATCTTGGATGTCAGCATTCCTATATCGGTTCGCCAGAGGAGCCAATGCCCCTGAAATGTTCACATACCTCTAAACTCCTCCCAAAAGAATTAATTACTAATTTTCAGCGATTTAGTGGAGGCTTTTCTTCTATGTGGAGTTTGCGTTCGCCATGGCACTGCTTATACTAGCATTTTTCTTCGTCGAAGAGACGTCCTATAACCGCCAGGCCCACGTAGCACCCTCCTCGCCACCGAATGAGCTGGAAAAGGAGGGTGTCCATGAAGTCGAAAAGGGAACTCAACAGGCTGACTTGATTGTTCCACCCCGTAAAAGCTTCGTAGAAACATTAAGTCTGCGAGGAAGAGTTGATTCTAATGTCCCATTCTTTACGACAATGATTCGTTCATTCACTTACTTCCGTATGCGACCCCCTTTTCCTTTTACTAGTTGATTTTGGAGTGGCGACCTTCTATCTCGAAGCCCCTGATCTCATTATTGAAAGGAGTAACTACTGACAGATTTCAAGTTGTTCCTCAATCACTCTGGGTCATTACTACGTTTGGAATCAATGGTAAGCATAAATGCCAATTTAATTAAGCGTGATAGCCTTTCGCCTGTCCTAGTTGCTAACATACTTGTAGTACGTCATATAGTTACTATATATCCCCATAAAGGAATAGTCTTGAAAATACGTGGTAACGTTGAGGTATTAATATGTAGTAGATTGGCCTATCGGCACTGTCCTTTTCTTATACTTTCCCAATCTTAATTACATCGCCACCTTACAACTGGACAGTGGTAAGTCGCTTTCGTATAAGCATTACTCACATCTTGATTAACATACAATACAGACCAACTCGGGACTCTTTGCCATTGCCGCTGTGGTGGGTTACGGACTTGCCGTTCCTTTTACCTCGTCATCAGACAGGCTTGCGGCTTTCTTTACGAAGCGTAATAATGGAATCCGGGAGGCCGAAATGCGCCTGGGAGTCATGGTAATTCCGATGCTCGTAGGGCCTGCAGGAATTGTCCTGTACGGATTAACGGCAGAGCAAGGCTTACATTGGATATGCTTCTTTATTGGAGGGGCCATGAACTACTGGGCCGCGTACTTTTACTTCTCCTTTACGCTTGCATATGCAGTTGACTCCTATTACGCTAACACTTCTGAGATGCTCATCGCGATGAACATCGGGAAGCAAATTATCTCCTTTGGGTTTGGCCTAAAAGTCCTAACTTGGGTATTGGAATCTGGGTATGGTGTTGTCATGTCTGGGATCTTTGCCGCTGTGCTATTAGCAAACAACCTCGTGCTCATAATCTTTATGGTATGGGGAAAGAGAATTAGAATTTTCTTGTCACAGACTTGGCTTGCAAGGTTTCATTTTCGGAGTATTCGGGAGGTTACAACACATTAGTTGTGGGATTACGCAGGACACTGATGACCGCGAGATAGTGAGCTCAACAGCATAGAGGTTGTCTTCTGACCTAGACTGAACGTACTTTCAACAATGACTAGATACCTGAGTAAATAGTACTTATATAGAATATAGGAAGTATATATTTGATACTATTATTCTTATTAATTATTCAGCTAGGTACAGCTTTTTTCAGAAGTGTTTAATAGATCAAGTGAACAGCACATCCGTACAATCTCCTATTTTTCTCCTATTATTCTTTCAACAAAACAAACCCAGATGCCGATTTTACCAGCTAAGCAACTAATGCAGCCTCTGCAGGTGGCGGATTCACCGGACGCTAACAAGCTCCGCAAAATCTCAACAGTAACGACGTACGAAATTTCAAGCTTTGCCGCTGGACCGGTGAGCCTAGCAGGGTATGCGATCAGTTTCGGTACCACTCAAGAGATGAAGAGGCAAGATGAAAATCCTGTTTGTGTGACTTGGAGACAGGCACGGTAATAAGGTCTTCCGTAAATTAAATTGTCGTTTAGGTACTTAGATGTGATTCGGTAGACCAATGTTTTCTTCAAGGCTTCCCGATAGCCGAGTTCCGCGGTCAAGGTACCAAGACAAAAACTGACATCGGCCTGCATTGCCGCGTATCATCCGAACTTCTCCCCGGAACGTTCTCGACGTCCCGTCCCATAGCGCATATGCATGAAGCTTCCTACCTGGAGCCTGGTTCGCTGGTTCGCTGGTTGGCTGACCTCACCTTTATTGGGTCAGCAATACGCCAACACGACGCGCGCTTGCACGTATCGAGAACGGAACGCAAGATGAGAAGATTACGTAGGGATAGGCCCGGCCCACATCCAAGAAGCCTTAGAGGTTCAACGCGCCAGTGGCAAACACAGAAGACTTTTTATATGAGGTACATATGAAAATAAATATTCTATCGTGAAGGTCGATCTACATATATTTTATGTATATGTCTATTTCGTACTCGCTAACTATAGGCGTGATGAGAAGAGATTTTACTATGTAATTTGCGAGCATCGGGATTTGACCAGTCATCTTGAAAGTAACAAAGAACGGTACGCAGACTGCTCTAGATTCAACTGGCCCTGTCGGCCTGCCTTAGCAAGCCAGCTCAGCCATCCGTTTGGCTAGCGTGATAGTCACTGCACGCTCAAGCCTTAAATTTTGCCCAAGCTCCTGTCAGATCTGGTTCAACTTAAGGATCGCTGAGTTAGCTCAGATCCGTAGGTGGGGAATTATATATTAACCAGCTTATGAACGGTTGCCAAGATTTTATACACCTGAAAGGAGACTAAACCCGGCACTAGACAGCAAACTACATACATCAGTTGTCGAATCAGGCGTTGCGGCTGAAATAATGTAACATAAATATGCCTAAAGATTATCATAATTATACAGCCATTATGGAGTATTCATCACCTAACGGTATCCAGGTACCTAACGCAGACAGGGCTACGAATTTGCGGGGGTCACATTATTTACGGATGATGGAGTGGCTGAATTAACCCTGTCTAACCAGGCACACATACATAATACTTTAAATAATCTCTAACTAGTTATACATACGTAAGTTTAGTATACGAGGTTTGGTATAGACAATACGCCTGTACTTCTCCTGGGAGTTGGATAGGCCAGTAGGGAAGGTAGGGGTTTGAATAGTAGGAGTCTAGCCGCTGAGGACTTTATCTTATTACTTTAACATATCGAACGTGTATAGGTACTAGATAGCTTTGGGTTTACAAGTTACGAATACTATTACGGCTTCTGTTCGAAACTATGCGTAACAACCGAATCGTTACCCTCGCGGGCATAACACAGAAAAGATTTCAAGCAAACTTATAACGTCCTCGTAGGCGAACTCCGAGTACTACTATTACAAAGACAAGCTTACTCGGAAGAGCCAACAAAAACGGTCAAAACATCATGTATATAGGTACCTTTGAGGTGAAAATATGCCAGATATAAAAAGATACAAAGGTATGCTAGTCCTTAAATAGCTCCGCACGTTGCATATCCCTAAAGAGGTTTGCGAGGGCTGGACCTTCATCCAGAACGCTCAACATTGGTACAGAAAATTGCAACATTCGATTGCAACATCCGGGTCGTTCTCGTAGTTGTCTCCCATTGGTTCCTCTCGGTTAATCGATTATGCTTGCTTGAAAAGACTCTTCAAATCAAGTTCATCAAGTTCTCATAGTCGATCATTTACCCTATCCAGTAATACAGGCTTTGAAATACCCCTGTGCATTCAGCTCTTGAATTACTTGATAGAGGTTGCTTCTGCCGTCGACTACGTCCAAGATGAAGCTAATAGGTCGATGGCTATTTTGTACTGGAGTCAAATGCATTATTTTGATCCACTGTACGAAGTTTACTCTATGTCACCGCTACGTTGCCTAGTGTCGTGAAGCTGGCGAGGCTTTGATGAAGAGCCTTGGCCATCAGATGCCCTGATCATGGGCAATAAGGAAAACTATCTTCGAATATAAGAAGCGATGATTCTCCCAGTTCATCTCAGTTTTTTTTATCACCCACAACCAGATCCATCTTTGCAAACAGGTCATCCATCATCTCTGCTTCTTTAATATTCACCGAGCCTCCAAGTTCTTAAAAGCCCCAAATACAATCAACATGCAGCTATCTACCTTCTTCGTCACCTTCCTGGCTACCGCCGTCCTCGCCAACCCGGCCAAACGTGGATACGGAGATAGTGCTCTCTACGACCCTTGCACCGGTCTCTATTCCTCTGCTCAATGCTGTGCTACCGATGTTCTCGGTGTAGCAGATCTCGACTGCAGTACCCGTAAGGCTATCTCTTGAATCCTTATCATCTAACTATGAGGTTCTACGTTTTACTAACTATTCTTCTATAACAGCGAGCGCAGTTCCCATCAGCGCGCTGGAATTTAAAGGAATCTGCGCTGTCGGTGGACAGCGAGCCCGCTGCTGCACCGTACCTATCGTAAGTACTATTAAATTTCACCATAATTATACGCATACTAATGGGCCTTTCTAGCTTGGTCAAGCTCTCCTTTGCCAGACCCCTATTGGAGTTTAAGTGACGAGTTGAAAGGTCATGCAAGGCTTCTGGGGAAAATACAACACTCGGTAGAAGTTATTTCTTCAAAATACTTCGCCTCGTCAATAGTCTATCGGAGTGGGCCTCGGTATTAGCAGTTGTGATGGATTGTCGGTCTATTAGATATAATTGAAAATGGAAACTTTTCCATCCTTTCACCAAAACTCAACTTTTAGGAATCGTGTGATTATTTACCTATGTTTTGCAATTTTCATATCACGTGTTTTAACCCTAGAGCTTCTATCCAAACGAGGCACTCGGATGAAGGATGATACTAGCTGGTATCAGTGGGTGAAATTAAACTGAATGTAATTTCAAATGCAAGTAGCGTAAATATTCCTTGGTGGAAAAAAAAACCGATCATGAGGATGGGACTCAATGGTACGATGATATTAGGGGATGTCAGGGGGCGTTACCGCGGACCACTTAGACGTCTGAATAATGGAATTCTACATATGTATACTACCTGTAGTATTAACCTTGCCACTCCAATAATTTTTCGACAATATGATAAGTACCTACCTAAAGTATATTGGCAAGGCATCATGAACAACAAGATAGGTGGTCAAATTTATTCATAGACCTTGACTACCTAACTTTCAACCTACTTAGCCTGGGCACGACGTTGTATCAATCGCGTATAAACAGAAACCAACTATGCAAGAACAACATAATAAACGACTGGCACAGGGAGGCCAACGCATAAAGCCTAGATTACATATTTGAAAAGCACGTCAGGTTGAAGATAAATGAAGTTCTGAAGTAGTATTTCAGGTGTCGACAAGCCTGCTACGCTTAGCTATAAAAGCTCTCGCCCAACCCCTTTATACACCACAGCGCAGAGTAAAAAGTAAGCCACTAGGATACAGAAAATTCAACGACTGACAATCCAGTCCTTCATCAAAACTATCCCATAAACACATCCTAGCAACGGTTCGTTTCGTATCCCATCCAGATCATTCATTGTCTGTTTGCCGTGGAAAAAATTGGGGGTTGACTAATTAAAACTTCAAGGGAAGACCGCAAGGGTATATGGTGGCTTTTTTTCGCCCGTAAAACATCACGAACGTCTCCAAATACAAAGTACAATATGCACGACATGACACGAAGTAAAGAAGGGAAATACGGAACTCCTCAAACGCCTCGCCAGATGTGCACTATGTGCCTGGAAAACAATACCGAGCAAAATCTCAAGTAAGCCAAATGGCGTCGTGATTGGTGGCAAGAAAGACGGTTAGAGGCATATCACGCCAACCCCGCGACTAGAAGCAGTTGAGGCTACCTTTCTTCTTTTTCTTGTTGTTGATTGCGTTCATGCGCTCCTCTAGATGGGTTCTAGCCCTCTCGGCGTCTTGGCGCTTCTTGCGCTCCTCCTCAATCTGGTAAAGGCTGTCACGGTTTTCTCGTTGAGGCCGTTCCTTAAGCTCCTTAACTTCTGTCTCAAGGTCTTGGGCACGTTTCCTCCAGGCCTCGCAGTCAGCCTTCATCTTCTTGGACTGGCTTTCGAGATCAGTCAGAGCTTCTTCTAATGTAGAAGTAAGCTGTCTTTCAGCCTTTAGATGTCTCTCGATGCTTTGTATGCGTGCCTCCTGGTCCTCTCGGATCTGAGCTAGAGCAACATCATGGCTGGTTGGCCGACCGCCAATTGACGCTGGTGGGATACCTTGAGTTGGCGAGGTCGCACCACCGGGTGGGAGCGGGGGAAGAGGGATGGCGGGTGGTGGAGATGGTAAAGAGATAACGGATGCTGTCTTCCGGACCTGCGAGCTTGTGGAATCAGCTCGCTTTGGTCCATCGACAGCGCTAAGCTCCTCGATACGAGCCTAAATATATGTTAGCCAAGTGTAATAACAGGTATAACGGGTTGGGTATGTGTAGGATAAGCCTTACCTGCAAGGCGACCATGTCTTCCCGAACAGTTTCCAACTCAGTCTGCGCTTTGATTCTCGCCGCATGGGCCTCTTCTAATTGTGTGTTGCGCTCAGTTTGGAGCGTAGACAATCTATTATTGGTAAGTTGGGCTTGGTCGTAGTTGGTCTGCAATTGGTCCTCCAATTCCTCTACCAAACGAGAGTGTTTCTTATTCTTGTTCTCGAGATCATGCATCCGCTTCTTCAGGGCTGCAAGCTGTTCTGTAACGGAAGAGTAGGGGCTCTTCAAATCTTCGTTGTCCGGATGAAGTATGCCATTTAGCGAAGATTTTACAGTCTCGAGGTCACGCATAATCGTGTTGTTGATCGCTGACAACTCATCGATATGACCTTCGAGCTCGATGGACCTCTGCTGTTCAACATTCAAAGCCTTTTGATCCGCAATCAAGTCCTCGATACGCTCACTAATCTTATCAACGCTTACTTCAAGACCTAATGCAAAAGCGACTTGGGTAGCAATCTTCATAAGCTCGTCGCGTGCTTCCGTAACATCGCTTTCTAAAAATCTAATGTTTTCAGCATGCTCTGACATGAGCATATCGATTTGTGCGTCATATTCTTCCTTGGAGCTGGCCCGAACCTCGTCGATTTCTCTGGCATGGTCGTTGTGGAGCTGAGCTAGGTTTTCCTCGTAGTTCTGGAGGGCCTTCCCATGCTCTGCTATTTGTAATTCGAGCCGACTAACAAGTTCCTGATAGCCGCGCGATTCCGCAGATGAAATATCCCGTGCTTTAGAAACCTCTTCGAGTTGCTCTTTCGCAAGAGCATGTGCCTGCTCTAGTTGAGCCACCTTGGCAGCATTATCATCAACGATCGTCTTGAACTTCTCGATCTCACTACGCAGCGTAGCAACAAGGCCCTGGTGCTTAGCTTCCGCTTCCTCGGATTCCTCGTCGCTCTTTGTTTGCCCTCGAGACTCGTCGACCTGTGCATACGCAGCTGCGACCTCTGCTTCAAGATCGGTGATGGTTTTCTTCATTTGTTGTTCGGTTGTTTGCAAAGCATCCAACGCGGCGTTGTGTTTACTCTCCCAGCTGAGAAGCTCAGCTTCGAGATGAGCAATTTTAGCCTCGTGGGCTACACGCAACTCACGTTCTTGCTCGCTCCCACCCTGTGTCTGCGTCGTTGACATTGATCGAACCTCGGCAGCTTCCTTAACCGAAATGCGCAGAGCCTCTAACTCGTCAACAAGTTGTTTTTCACGGGCAGCATGACTCTCTTGCATGTCTTGAAGTTGTCGTTCGTTCCTCTCTAGCTGCTCCCTTAATGCGGCAACCATTGAAATATCAATAGGACTAGACTTCAAGCTGGATCGCTCACGTGTTAAACCTGAAATGATTGTCATCTTGCTCTCCATCTCTTTCCTCGCGGTAGCGACATCGGCCTCCAGCTCCTGGATGCGCTCTGATCTAACGTGTAGCTCATGCATCGCTGAGTTTAAGTTAAGATCGAAGTTCTGCATAACATCGGGCTGCTCCTCGAAGTGCTCAGCTGCCATGTTTCTGAGCGTTGCAAATGATCGATGTGCACGATCAATTATCATGACATTCTGACTGGACTTTCGACGAATTACCGGTGTACCCGTTCTTGGGGAAGGTGGCTCCGCGTATTTGGCCTTGGCCACTTCGGTTTTGAGCTCCTCGACCATATCCAACGTCTCCTGGTGCATTTCCTCTAGTTGAGCGTACTTATCGGCGAGTTCTCTCTCCGCTGCCTGTTTCTCCTCGGCCAATGCCTTGAGTCTCTCTAATTCTGCAGCAAGAGCTTCACTATTATCAGCGCTCGCTGTTTCCGTTACTAGAGTGGCCCTAGACTCAGAAGGTTTAGACACTTCGCTCTCTGGAATATCAACAGTAGTAGGGGAATCCATAGCTGATGATAATTCCGAGGATAGAGATCGCGATAAGTGCATCCCATCTTTGGCGTCGCTCGATCTCATCTCGGATAAAAAACTCTGAGGCCTGGTCTCGATCGGAGAAGTTATTGACAGGATCGAATCGCGTTGACGGGTTGGGTGTCTTGCCTCATCGACCTGGTCCTGTAATTCTGCTAGGGTGCGCAAAGCCTCTTCGTATTTCGCATGGAGCATGTCGTACTCGTTGATGGTTGACTCGTGCTCGACTCGTAGGGCGACAAGTTCTTCAGTTACATTCTCAAGTTTGTCGGCAACATATTTATTTTGTGCTGGACTCTGAGGTGGGTATTCCATAGGTGACGGCACCCTCTCTGGCGTTTCGATAGCTATGCCGACCGCTTCATGATCGCTGGCAGTATCGGGGTGATCTTGATCGTTGACTTCTTCCTCGGTACCTTCGGCGACTTCAGGAAGAGTTCCTCTCATTCCTAAGCTTTGTCGACTAACATGGCTCTTGGTCGATCGCTCCGACAAGGTACGGCGGTGTCCATTGCTTTTTCCGCGCTCGGATTGGACGTCGGACTCTTTGCCATCTGGCTGGATATGGTCCAGTTCGTGTAGGAGGCTGTCGAGTTTGCCAAGGCTTCGCTGGCGTTCAATAACCTGTTCAAGGCGGTCAATCTCACGTTGCATCAACTCCTGATCTTGATCAGACTCGGCAAGTCTCTCCTCCAAGGTTGAAATATACTCTTCGCAAGAGGCTTCATTGTCTCGGATTCGCGCGATCTCTTTGCGTAATTCTAGGACGATGGTAGCATTCTTTTCTTCGCCAGATGTGTGGCCGTCAAGCTTAGCTTCTAAGTCGTGAAGGTAGCTCTCTGTACTAGCCTCACGATCCATTAGTTTTTGTAAACGTTTTTGTAGCTGAGTATTGATTGTTTCAGCGTAAGCGCACTTCGTTTCCTTCTCAAGAAGACTTGTTTCCGTGCTTGAGAGTGTGGCCCGGGTGCTGGTAAGTAATTGCTCGAGAGATTGTATTGTCTTCTCGTATTCCAACACAACCTGCTCGACAGCTTGGGCAAACGAATTAGACCGGTTTAACCTTTCTGTTGCTGTATCGCCGGCATGATCCTCTAGATCCTGGTTCTCGGCAGCTTCGTTATCCCGGGCCTTAGCCATTTCGGCAATGAGCTTAGCATGACGCTGGCTTAGACTGTTGTAACTTTCCTGAACGTCTAAGAGCTGATCTTGTAATTCCGACTCCCGCTCGTTTTGCCGCTCGGACTTCTCATTTGTCGCAACATTGCGACGCTCACCCCCACTACGTTCCGCGTTTCGGATCTGATCGCGTAAGAAGGCAACTTCGGCTTTCAGGCGTTCAATGATTGCTTGTTTGTCCCCTTCTTCTACCTGTTGTATCCTAGGTTTGCTCTGAATAGCTCGGGCTCTTTGCGCGTACTGAACTGTGTTGAGAGTTTCGCTTAAGTGAAACTCCGCCGGAGTCACACAGGCGATCATGTAAGTGATGGCATTCCCGCCAAGGGAATCCTGGAGGAGTCTAGTCAATCTCGAATCACGATACGAGACATGAGACCCGGCCTGTCGAGATGAAAGCTGTGATATAACCTTGCCCAACGCAGCAAGGCCAGCATTAATAGAGATACCTTCCTTAGCCCGCTCGCCTTGAGCGCCAGTATTCTTTAGACGTTCACTACCAGCTAAATCAACAAAGTGAAGTTTGCTATCAGTTGTAACCCAGGTCTCAGTTCCGGTCATAGCTTCTATCGGAACTGAAAACCTCTTGTTAGCCCCTTGGGCGCTCTGCGATTTGCTCTTGCGCTGCACTAGATTCAAACTGAAGACGGCGTGCGAACGCGAAGATTTAGCGTTTATAGCTGTCGCATCAGTCTGTCGAATCGTTGAGCCAAAGTTTAAAGCATTCATAAGATCATCCACTGAGTTAATATCAATCTGTTGTAGGCCAGTAAGGATGATGTTACCCTTCTGATCTTCACGAATTGTGACGTTACTTCGCTCATATTGCTGAAAATGGTCTGGCACAAGCAAGTCGCGAAGCTGCTCATTGTAAATCTCTACATACGTTGCTTTCAATTGCCAATTCTTTTCGCCCTTCGGTGTTGGCGTTTGCATCGAGTATCGTGCCGGCGTTCGCAGTTGGGACATGGAACTACGATTCGAACTTCGCGGGGGACCCTCCAACTTCTCGAATAGAGCCATCGCAGCTCGCGGGATTACACCTACCGGGAAGGCATGTCAGTATTAAAAATATCGCACATTCATAATTCACTTACCCATAGACTCTAAGTCGCCTTGTTCACCAGATGTTCCCATCGTGTAGGACTTTCCCGCACCGGACTGGCCATATGCGAGTAGAGAGACATTGTAACCTTGGAGAAAGGCGCTGATACTATCTTGCAAGTATTCCCAGACCCCTTCTTGGTCAATATCAGAACTAAAAACTCGATCGAAGACGAAGAGCTTTTTCCCTTGTGGTGAATCGATGGAAATACCCGTATTCGAGGTGGTCTGCACCATAGACCGTTGAAATCGCTGGGGAATCAGTTCGTAGCCGGGATCCGTGGGTTTTAGTGGTGGCCGCACACGAACAGCTACCCATCAACTATTAGCGTTGTGATTCGTTGTTATCAAACCTAAGAGGGCCTCCTAGAGATATGTGATACTCACCAACTTTTACAGCAGTGCGACCCCCATCTTCATCCGATGCTCTACTCCCCCCTACTCTGCTGTTCATACTTAAGCGGCTATTGCTTCTTTGTGTTGGCTTCACCATGGCGCTTGACGGTCGTGGTAAGCCTGGTGATCCGGGAGGAGATGTTGCCATAACGGCGTAGGGAACCAGCCTGGTAAATACCTATACGGGGGAGGCCAAGCCAGTGAATATGTGCGATATTACTATACGAAATATCGAAGAGATGATCAATCCGGGCCGGTGGGAGGTTTAAAACGAATGAGGCGATTGTAAGAAAATTAATCAGATGGTCCGAATATAAAAAGCCCAAGCACCCAAAAGTGCCTTTTTCGAAAATGGGTGGAAACCCTTCAACCTAGAAAGGTTATCAAGACTTGTCTATGGTATAGGAACGTCATGCGTCGCATATAGTCGCATATATTCGTATGTATTCGCATGTATTACACGATACCGTCGCTAATGCGCCCAGGACATTTTCTTGTCGCGCGTAGTCGTCGAGTTCACTGACTCTATTCTCGAACGTGTACGGGAAAACGGCGATCAGAATTAGGGGGTGGAATGAAAATTTGGGGTAGTACTTGTTTATTATTTAGGCCAGGAACGTGCACTAAAAATTCGACGATTGATTAGGTATTTACCTCTAATGTACCTACCTTAGGTTAGGTACACTAGAATATGTCGTTGCTTGCTTTCTCTTGCAGCAGTGCAGCAGTGGATGTAGTGGATGTAGTGGATGTAGTGGGTGTAGTGGGTGTAGTGGATTCAACAGTGGGATTAATCGTGGGATAAGCAGGGGGTGAACAGGGGATGCAGGGGTGTCGCGCGCAAAAGCAATTACAGGGGTCCACTCCCCTATCAGAACTAGACGGTTACCAAAAAGAGTAAAGGTCAAATTAAACACGTCGCTTAATGCGAAAACGCATACCAATATTACCTTTATGTGTACGGATTACCCTAGTTAATGTATGGCATATGTAATATATAAGTAATAACTACCTCTAACCTACATTAAGTCATAACTATCCGGCACTTTTTACTAATCGCGTATGTATTAGCCTACTCTACCGAAGGATTTTTATAAGAGCAGCAACGTATTTGGAAGAGGGAATTATGTTTTATTCTCTACTACGTATTACACTCTGAATACAGGTAGGTACATACCTATATATGTACGATATCCGATGATGACTTAGATCCTGCAGGTTTGTTTAAGTTCGTTTAACTACTAATGTAGTAACTAGATGCAACTTATAAAGCTCCGAGGCATAGTTAGTTCGTACAGTCCTTGATGTCTACCTAGTAGGTACCTATCTAGGTAGATACCCGACGTTGTCATCCCATGTTATCCTACCTAGAAGTCGGTAAGTATCCTAGAAATTCTATGGTACGTCGCAATGGTGTTACTGCACAATAGGTTGTGCTCCGAGCGGGACAAATTGGAAGCCTATACCAATAATGGCAGTTGGACATCCACGTTTTTGCCACGCATATAAAATTAAAATAAAAAAGGGCATAAAGAAAATATCCAAAGGGAACCTTAATTGTTTGTCTTCGATATCTATACCGATTGTGTCTTTGTCACACTGCAAGGAGACCTTAGAAAAATCATCCCCAATACTAAAATATTCTTTGGTTGGGGTCCTTTTCAGTGGGACATTTACATGTACATATCTACAGATACATACCTACGTACCTGATGTATGTCTTATGTACATTAGGTAGGCAGCCAAGGTCACCTAGCGTGAGATATGTGAGATGGGAGACAAAGCCCACATGCATCCATGATCTGCTTCGTACACGTACATACAGGTAGACAGGCTATCTTGGCTCTAACGGAGCACATATCCACTTACGCAGATGTTCTAGCACCAAATGCAGCACACGAGAGCGGGTCAGGATGGCCGAATTGGTTCAAGTAAATTCCGAGAGCTGATTTTTAAGAAAGCAATGGCGCTAGAGCAGTTCCTTTTCGTGAAGTCTACTTCGTAAGGGTGGTATCAAAGGGGGAAAATGTGCCAAAGGGGAAATCAACTACAGGCATAAATGCCATTCTCGCGTCTTCAATCTCAACTCTGTCCAACCAATTGCTTCCTATCTGGAAAGGTAACTTGTTATATGATTTACCTGGCTTAAAAATGTAATATCGAGAGTTGCCAGCCACTTTTTTAGGAGAAATGATTGACGAATATTCTACGTATACATATTAATATTGCTACGTCGACGGTAATTTAAGAGCTGTATTGAATCTTGTTAGATTGATAATCAGAACGAACTACTGAAGGTACTTAAACTATGGCGTCGAGTGTGAGGTCGCGCAATCGTACCACAGACCGTTAAACCTGTCAGCCTGTCAATCATATCCTTTTTTACTTCCCCCACGAAAATGATATCTTCGTACCAACGAAGATCATCATCTAGGTCACGCATGATGGGTCCACTACATATCATGGGTTGCCATAATAAGAAGCGATATACTATATACTATAAAATATTAAAAAGAAAAATAAATCCCATAACAATTCCATATTCCCTTTTCTCATCAGTCAAAAGCATATTCTATATGAAAACTCACAATGTCAATGCTCATAAAGTACCTAACCCTAGGTATTACAGGCTCATCGCTCACGGACCCCCTCGATCTTGTAGATGTCACGTGTCTTAATCTCGAGCAATTGTTCCAGCCATGATTCAAGCGTCAAGACGCATGTTTCAGTTGTCTTGCCGGAACATAGTCGCCGATGATCCTTTGATCTTAATTGCCTGGCCCTAGCCGTTGGAGCGCGTAACTTGCCTCAGGGCGGTCAATGCCCAAGCACTTTAGCTCAGCCAGTCGGCAGGCACCCTAGGGTCTACAGGAATGATGTTAAAAAGGGATTTCGTATCATGTATTCTTTCAGCGTATCTAGATCCCATGGTCAATGCTCCAGCTAACGCTTGTCAGAGCCTAACCCGACAAGCTGGGGACGGCTAAGAATCAGACTCCTCTATCTGCTTCCCCTGAAAATGATCGACATTAAAATCGCAGGCCTTCAAGTCTGTAACTGCATAAATAGATAACTATGCCTTTATGCATATGCCTCGATGAACTTTGACAATATTTGCTTCACTAATAGCCTTCAATTAATATCAAAAAAATTATATATATTCTATCATCCCCTAATCACGAAAGCAGCATCTATATAATATTACAACTACATACAGGTATTATAACCTCAAGGTTAAATAGGCGGGGCCGTTCGAGGTTACACTGGTTCATATAGTCGACTCTAATTGCCGGTAGGTTATTATCCTCGATACACCATAAAACAAACTTTTATAAACATAACTTTTAACATATGGCAAGAAATAAATAGTTATATATAATTTACACATGTTAGGTAGTTATCTAACACGATGTTTATTTCGATCATTTATAAAGACAATTACACGAATCTCATAATATCTGTTTAAGCCGTTGCTTCGATGCTAAAGACGTGTCAAGACAACGGCATAACTTACCATATTCACATTCACTAGCAAGTTTAGCCATAACTATTTCTTAGCGAAACACAACTGCCTACCTTAGGTAGGTACTTATAAGAAAGAGAAGTTATTGTGCCATTAGTTCGTCACGTATTATCCATATAACTAACGCCATAAGAGACGTGTAAAAGGAAGAAGGTTTTACGGCGCGTAAATTGACCAACTCGATAGTACTATAATACCCACAATCGATGTATTGTACATATCTAGGTCAACTACAACCCAGATAATTATGTTGCGGTATTTAGCTAATCCAGCATTTTATCTTTAAATGCGGTGTGTATAGTGACGGGTTTCTTGGTCATTACAATAGAAGATGATGTATCGATGATTCGAATATGAGCGTCAACAGTAAGACACCTATCCACACTACTAGGTAAGAAATCTGAATAGAATTTCCGTCCGTCTCAGCTGAATACATCTTCTACGGGTAGTTCGACATAGAAAAGTCATCTGCTCTACTTACTGTAGTTAGATGCTCTAGGGAATCCCCACAGCTTGTCCCAGAAACTCTTCTTCCAGGCTCATCAGTTATCTGATTTAGCTAGATTCCGCAGCTGCAATGCACCTTTACTGAAATCTCCGGTCGTGCATTTGAAGCGTCGTTGATCATGATCTGATTCCCCATTCTCTATGCTCAAAAAACCAGGCTTCGTGCAGCTGAAAATGCGCGTGCGCAGCCAATACGGCACGGGAAATACCGGCAAGCTTAAGCTACCCAGTTTTTCGTCCCAGGCTTAAAGTTTCCCACACGCATCTGAATTCTGCATTCTGCGGGTGACGATGAAATAGCCAAGACCCAACCAAATCTGCTGAGTTCCCACTGATCCCACGGATCCTAACTGCCTGAGCGTGCATGCATACCGCAAGGATGAGAACGGAAATTCTCCTATTGCTCGCAGTAGAAGTTTAATATTCTCAGGTTAGTAAATGCACATATATCTGCTACAAAAATTACCAGTCATATCACAATCTTGTTGTTAAACGATGGTCCTGCTATCTTCTACTGCATCCTGGCGTCACGAAAAGCGGCTTTGCGAGCTGTAATCCGGAGAGCGTCCCTCGCATCTAGAGAATATGAGATAGATAACCTGGGACTAGGATATTTTGCTAAATCAGGCAGTCGAAGTCTCGTTACTAACAATACAAAATTCAAACGATACATTGCTTTTAAGCGTACCTAAAGTAAAAATTGAATTAGGAAACCCAATTTACGATTTAGATCGTTGGTAGGAAACAAAATCCAAAGCTAACAACACATATTATCCGAGTCAAACTTGATATATTGCATAATCAAATATTGTACCTAAAATTGTATACAGACAAGAATCAATTCCAAAAAACGGGTTACATGCTAAATATATGAACTTTTTCGTCACGTGCCACGCGTCACTGTCGCGACTAAGCAATTACGCGTTGTTTGTCAAAGTGATATTTTTGAACTTAGTTATCGATTAACGTTTTCGGTCCATAGTCGACACCTTTAAGGATTAATTTTGACATCTCGACCCTAGCCTTTGCTACTACCGGTTGGCTTAAATCCGCCTTGTTTCAGAGCTATTTACCTACTTGGCTCATCGCCTTGGTCATGTGAAAATGCCAACCGAAGTTATCAGTCTACTGTCCTCAAGCCCAGCTGCTCCATCTCGACCAATTCTCGCTACCTCCACGGGTTCTTCCAAGGGTCGCGAGCCGCTTTCGCCAGTTGCATCGAAGCGATGGAACTCAGTAATCGACCCGATAGAACATAGCAGCTCCCCCGGCAGCTTGACGGCTCGCAAAGTCCAGAATAAACCAGATATTTTGTCAGACCCGTTCGAAAGCCCGCCAAAGAAGCAGACAACTACTAATGCCAAATCGATCCTATTAGACCTGTCAAGCGACCCATTTGGGAGTTCTCCCAGGCAAGACGTTAATGAATTCCAACCATCGAAGGCCCAAAAATTATCGGCTGATGATATATCCGATTTCCATAGGAGTAAAAAAGCGTCAAAGGCACCTATATTCATAGACCTTTCCGATGGCGAACCTGAAAGCCCTGAGAGAATTGGCTTGCCTAAAAAGTCGAAGCAAAACGTAGCTTGGGATCCAATATCGAGCTCGATGCCAGAAACTAGAGCGCCAAAGCGAGATAGTTTGACGGACTCAGATTCTGACTTGCCGGAAATAAGTGAAATCAACTTCTCAAGATTAAGTAGACGCAGATACAGTCTATCACCTTCTCCGCCTCGTAAAAAGTCTAAAACCACAGGCAAGGTTCCGACGGCCAAAAAGACGGTGGGGCCGAAGAAAACTGACGAAGAAAAGGAGCAAGAAAAGAGGGAAAAAGCAAAGGCTCGGGAAGCCGAAAAGGAACGGAGACAAGCCGAAAAGGAGAATGCAAAACAGCAGCGAGCAATCGAAAGAGAGAAAGAGAAAGCCTTGGCTGAAGTTAACAAGCTCAAGACTGACAGGAAGGCTGCCGTACCTGAGATGATTGTGGATCTCCCCAGCGCTTTGAGCGTTGGCATTAAAACTCAGATAGAGAAGCTACTTGGTAGTATGGATGTCCAATTCGAATACTGGGACAGCCACGACAGCAACGTCGTGAAATGGCGGCGAAAAGTAAGCTCCACGTATAACGAGGGGCTCGGACACTGGGAGCCGATTCCAATGCGCATCAAAGCGGAAGGGCATGTCATGGCCATCATCGAAGCTGCCGAGTTCGTTAAGCTCGTTCTCGGCCCCGAAGGCCAAGATCTCGAAGCTCACGTTCTCAAAATGAAGACGAGCTTCCCCGGCGGTACATTGATCTACTTGATAGAAGGCCTCACGCCTTGGATGCGCAAAAACAAGAACATCCTCAATCGAAGGTTCGCATCGGCGGTTCGTGCTCTCGACACTAATAATGTTGCGGAATCTACTTCATCCGGCCAGCCATCCCGACGCCGAAATAACGCCCAGCAAGAGTACATCGACGAAGATGTCATTGAGGACGCGCTGCTCTCTCTGCAAGTCGTCCACGGAGCCTTAATCCACCATACGAACGTGCAGGTCGAAACAGCGCAGTGGGTCGCCGCGTTCACGCAGCACATCAGTACAATCCCGTACAGGAAGGCGCGGGACGCGGCCACGGACGCCGGGTTCTGCATGGAGGTCGGACAGGTGCGGACGGGGGATGGTGCTAAGGATACCTACCTCCGCATGTTGCAGGAGGTAACTCGCGTGACGGCGCCCATCGCATTAGGCATCGCCGCCAAGTACGGTACCGTGAGTCAGCTTGTGTCTGGGCTGGAGAAAGACGGACCTCATGCGCTCGAGAATTGCCGGAAGTGCGCCAACAGAGACGGCGCTTTCTCGGATCGCGTCATTGGTCAGGCTATTAGCAAGAGGGTTTACAAGATCTTTACCAGTCAGGATCCAGGAAGCATGGATGTGTAAAATAGGTTAGGTGCTTAGGTTAAACACTTTAGATACCTGGTATTGTTTAGTGAGTTTTGGTTTGAATCCAATGTACATGTTACAATGCAGTATATATCGATTTATTTTCAAGAATTCTGGATCAGTTGGTGACTCTGCGTCTTAAGCGCTTGCGTCCGTTTAGGATTTATAGTGATGGCGCCTAACAGCGTGGCCATAGGGTGGCCACCTTACAACGACCCGCTCTAATGCAACCTCCCGCCAACCTCGACCCAAGGGGAAGCATTCTCATAAATGATTTAACGGTATTGTCTCAAATTATACTTTTATCGTAAGTAAGTTGTATATACATAGTATGCGCGCATGGTGCGCTTCTCCCCGCCGTGTACTGACTACGGCTAATTACCCCAGATCTGTCGGGGTAGGGGTTTGTGCTCAGCAGCAGAGGGCCAAAAGTAGATATTGGCTCTCAAGACCGCCGGTAATTAAATATCGCCTGTGGTTGTGGTGTTTGGCGACTTCGTGCTGGCGAGCGATTCCTAGGATTTCTCGAGCTTTGATGGCTCTAATCTCATAAACTCTTAGCAGCATGAGTGTCTGAACAGTCCACTTCCACTAGTAGGCGAAGTGTTGATGGTGAGTATTAACTCCGCTCATGGTTTAGCTATCAAAGCTTCAGGTGTGGCGAATCCGGTCTTCTTAGCCTGGGCTGCGAGGTGTTTGAGGTGTGTTTCGGTCAGTAGCGAAGGAATGGCGTTCAAGGTGTTTTCAACTTCGGTTCTTACACTATCCACAGAAGCGAATAGGGAGTTATGATGACTATCCTTATTTATCTCGGTTTCTATGAGGTGAAGCTTCTGAGCAAGAGTCGATACGCTGTATGGAAGATCTGTTAAGGATTCGGGGAGAGGCCAAAGCCCATGGCGGTGAAGCGCCTGGATAGTTTTCCCAAGTGTGAGAGCCAGGCATCTATGTTTGTTGAAGGAGTCGCATTGCTTGCAGAATGATATATCATTCCGGACAAGACGTCCGATAATGTCATTCAAAGGCTTAAGAAGCGACGTAATTGTGTCTAACCGGACTTTCTCTATCCTCTCTGGGGTGGAATTTCATGAGCTATACGAAACGCAATAGGGGTTAGATGATTAGACATACCATATATTCCAGGTGGCTCCAATGCCCCGACGTAACGCAGATTGTTGCCTGCCGAGGCGGAGCTGTTCATGAGCATACCCTTCGCCATGCCCTCGAAAGCAACCTGGTCCCCAAGCTCCCACGCAATCCACAGTCGTTCGTGACAGAACTTCGTTCGCAAAGACTGGCCAAGCTTTTCGCATTGGTTATGCGTAGAGCGCGACCAACCTTTAGCCCACGGCCGCAAGACGTGGGCCATGTCGTACTTATCTGTCAAGACGCAAAGGTTGTAGAAATGCGTCGTGTAGACAAAATCCTCATAACCGGGAACCTTGTCGAAACGGCCGTGGATGATGTTCAGGATGATTGTCATAGAGGCGACATTATCGTCGGGTAGTTTCACCACCCAGTCTGGTTTCCCGCTCTCCGGTTGCGCCTTTTTGCCTTCGGCAAATCCTCCATAGAGCATCTTCTTGAAGAAAGGCGACGACCTCGCCATAGTCTTAGAACATACTATAAATTCCGCCGCCTGGGGACCCACGGTGAGACATAAGTCGCCATTTGGATCGGCATGGATCTTAAACGGCCTGGGAGTCGACTCTCGTTCAGATGTTGATTGCGACTGTGAAGTAAACGAAGTGGCAGGAGTCACAGTGCCGCTTGCTACAGAAGCTACAGAGCTCCTTGATATAGAACTCCTTGATCGTGAGATTGGTGAAGGGCTAGCCGGGGTGGTAGACCTTCCAATGCTGAAAAAGCTTAGTTGTGGGTTGGCCGGATTCCCTGACTGGTTCGTTTGAGTTGCTTGAGGTGGAAGAGTTTGAGGAGTAAAGCTAGGGACATTATTGGTAGTTTGAGGAGTAGTAGTACCAAATAAAGATACCGGAGTTTGAACGACTTGCTTAGAGCCTCCAAATAGAGTCTTATGAGATCTTTTATGTTGAGGAGTTGTAGTTGGAAATATAGTGTTATTTCCAACTGTCTGCTTAGGTGTTTTTGTCTTCCTAGGTACGCCAAATGCTGATGTCGATTGGCCCGATACCGTAGTCGAACTACCCCAGAGGTTTCCTGACGTTCCAAACGAAGTAGGGTGGCTCACAGGAGCTTGGGTCACAGGAGACTGACTCGCTCCAAAAATGCGAGGTTGGGAAGCCATTGTCATCGCATTGCTTGATCAGAAGCAAAAGCCCACGGAAAAATTCTTACGCGTAAACCCCAAGTTTTGCGCTCGCGTCTAGCTAATAGTAGATATAGTAGATCGACTCGTACCAAACTTGAACTAAATTGAACCAGATTATTCGCTAACCAAGCTTCGTTATATGACCCAGATAAATCGCAAAGTAGGTAGTTTGATCGCAAATGTTTTTTTTTTCTTAAATGTTCATGCATCAAAGTGGCTTCCGGTAGGGGGTAAAAATCGATGTCCACTTACCGCCAGACGCATTGACCACTTTTCGTGTTTTAGCATAATCAAATTAAAAAAATGAAAATGAAGGCATTTTAACTTTTAAATTCTAACAAACAGGTGCCATCTTATAAAATCATAAGGATAAGAACCATAATATATATAATACAACTGGAAATCCGCTCATGTGCATTAGTTGGGTACCTCTATCATCTGCATTTGAACCCCGCCTAACATAATAACAATGATCGAAAAGATGATGAGATACATTGTGCATCCGGGGCTGGCGGGGAGACACGTATTGTAGGTATCCATACAGTTTTAAGTCGAAATACCAACACTGTATCTGCTGATATGGGGCCAACTCAATTAATTAAGACGCGTCGTGACATAACCGGGACTATTTCGAAGCTAATAAAGGAAATTAGATATGCGATTTGCACATCCAATTCTGTGAAGGTGGCGGGCATGCGTTGGCATGAATGAGCAGTTATCTAGTAGGTTAGTAGGTTAGTAGGTTACGATATCTCAAATGTCGTTCTAAGAGGTGGTTTGAAATGAGACATTAAAGGTCAAATAGGAATAACGCCATACAGTATTCATGATATGATTGGTGAAATTATATGCGACAGCGTCGTATTCGTTAACCTCATATAGAAATAGACATACGCCTAGATTGTAGTCTACCACATAACCATAAGTGCGATAAGTAACATTTTAGGCTTTATCAGCAGCATATAGGTCAAAGTACATTATTACCACTCTAAAAATACACCGCTACGCCGCTTTCAACCATTCGAATGAAGCTATATCAATATAGGCAAGAATAGGCAAGAAATACTTATCGCAATGATCAGGACTATGTTTAGAAACCTCTCAAAATGCTATTTTTTACTTTTATATCACATATAATTATTAGATTATATCTTAGATCATTTGAATAGAGCAGCGTCAAAGATGACCTTCGTTAGATATATACTTCGGTAGTGATCAGTCAACTTATCTAACACGAGGTGAATAGTAGCAAAATCTTAACTAACCGTCCCAAACCTTTAAACGGCGTTTAAATAAGTTGTAGTATCTTTCAAACCACCCCATTCTATCTCTTTTTTTTCTATGTTAGGTATACGAATATTACGGGAGTCTAGTAACTCGAAACAGAAAAGTGTGTCAGTATTCAACGACTCTATAGGTAGTTAGTCTATAAGGCGTCATAGTTTTCCACCAGTAGGATAACAGACACAATCCTGTTTTATATAAAAAAGGTTATACGCACATGATAGGAATTCATCAATAAGCCAGCAGTGGCTATCCTGCCAATAAGAGCTCTAATAAAATCCCTTTATACGCTATAGAAACATCACCCGCTCATAGTCCCTGAAGAGAGGGGGCTATATTAGGAGCATTGGCATTTGAGTTAACTAGGCAAATAACTGTGATAACTCTATCAATAACGACACGGGTTGCACTGCGTTTCTTGCCTAAAGCATCAATATCTATGATTTTAGTTTGCGAGAAAGTTTCCGTATAAGCCACGGAAAGAGAGCGCATGAACTGGGCGCGTAACCTAACTCGGCTCATTGGCAGTTAAGTATGTACGGTTGGTTGAACTAGCCTAACTCATCGAACTCGCTGCTTAAAAATCAATACGGTCTAACCAGTGTCATCAGCCAATAATTATAAATACTTAAGCCATAGCAACTTCACAATCATATACATATACCCAGCAGTTACTTCAATTGTCGCTCGAGTATAATATAATTAAGAGTTTATCCGAGATAACGTGGTGGGCAACAAACTATAGAGTATGTGATTTGATGAGACTTCCAAAATAGAGATGGAACAGCCAGTGAACGGGTAAGTTATGAAGCAAGCTGAGACTCCTGACACACAAGGCAGGCTTATCAGCCTTTTGTTACACCTAAGCCTAAGCCTATACCTTGTATATATGAATAGTCCGAAGTAATCACTGGACATAGGTACATAAACTGCATGCACATGCGGCCGTACTTCGCCCTAGACTACGCGTAACCTTGTAAAATAAACTATCACTAAGCCTTGGGGAAGAATTGCCGAGAGCTGTCTAAGGCGATGGACTAGAATTTAGGCAATAGCGTAGCAAATACTACAATAGAAGGTATAAATCCGCGGGAGCATACGACGACGTCGGGACAAACGACAACCAACGGAGCATTCAAACGGGGACACTGGTGTTCTGTGTCAAACCTTGGAGTTTCTGAATATATTGCTATTATATCTTTTATAGCATCGGTTATTTTTGGCATTGTTGCATGGCAAGCAACAAACAAAAGCAACAACATCGGACTGGCGAGCTACGAGGTATCGGCATTGGGAGCTATGTAATGACCACGAGGCGAGTAACGACTTTAGTATATCTCTTCCTATAATACTAATAGTAAACTGTAGGCGATCAAAAATACACCCTGGTGTAGGCAAATCCTCGAAAGCGGTATCGACAATATGATTTTCGACGAACGAAAAGTCGGCTGTACATTATTACACAAGAGGTCTGATGCTATTGATAAAACCGAACCTTTTGAGACTTCAAAATTAGTCCTCTTTAACCTACATAATCGAATAACCCTCATAGTATCCAATATTGGGATTGATGATTTGACCCTGATGATCACTCTTATCATCCCCATCCTTTTGCTCGTTATATTCCTCTTTCCTATATATGAAGACCTCATGTAACGAAACGATTACATGTTTATGATAGCATTTTTGCCAGGGTGTCAAGGCCGGAATACAAGGAACTATCAAGCTAGATACATCACGAGATCTAGGAAAGGCGCAATGATCTAATCACATACCTAAGCTAACAGTTTTCCGTCAAAAGTAGCCACGTGCTCGGAACTAGCCCTTGATACTTTTGGGACGTTTACAAGAAATATTTAGAAGGAAGAGTACGGCGGCTCAATAAACTACGCACGGATTTCTTAGTTGTGTATATGGACATCTTTGACGCCTACCTGATCAAGATATATGTATTCCGACAAGAACTGAAACATTGAATAGAGACGAGGCTCTAGTATGAGCTGCATTAAAATCATATAGAGGATTACAACAGTCGCCGCTGTCTTTATTATCTCTAAGTGGCCAAACATCGCTAATAACGGGCAACTATTTCCCTAATAGCCGCGACTCTCAAATTGGCCTGTCGTCAACCCCGGTGTCTTCTCCGTATTCGACTCGATTAGCGCCGATAGGTTAATCTAGGCCTAAGCGGTGGAATAGAGGATTTAACGTTGGATCTAATCTGAGCTAGGCGGTTTTCATTTTAGGACGACTTTCCCAACTCGGATAACCTTCTCTTCGGGTTGTGGGGTTAGTGAAGTCTAATTTTGATACTATTTTTAGCCCTCATATACGTAAGACTATTAAGTGTCGCCGCTAGGGGATGTAATTGAGACTGCCTCCTCCCGTGGGAACATGGGATTTTGGAAATTGTCTTTGATGAGGCTTATGGTCGTAACATGAGTACTTACCTATATACTATAGTTATTCAGATTCCATAAGACTGGAAATGAATGCGGAGCTCCACTATTAAGTATTATTGTAATAGGTCTTGGGAAGTTGAAATATATATGAAACATAAGATAATTGTAGTCGACTCAATTAGATGGCTTCGAGGTAGACTTGAATCTAGCTAGTCCACAATGACCACCGCCAGGTCTTTGCCAGCTCGGAAATACATACATCGAATCTAACTTACATACTATACATGCTAAGTAATAGTAGAGACCCGTGGGGCAAGCACATATTCTAATAGTACGGGTTCTATATCGTAATGAACCCGGATAGCATACTCGACAGCTTCGAATGCCGGCGATTATTTGCAAGAAATAATAGCCGGCGATACCTTCGAGTCCTGCGTGTTATGCAAGTTCTCTTCAGCCAAGCGAAAGCTACTAGGACGCGTTGACGCTGTATTCCAACATTATTAAACGGCCATATGTCGCCTATTAAGCGCTTTCCCCCATTCGTGGCTTCTTCTGCTAGGGGATTTCTTTTCCTTCTTGTCCTGACTTTCCTTTCCTTCCTTATGTTCTTTCTCCTTATTTTCCTTCTCCTTTGCCTTCTCTTGATTCGCGTTGATTGCATCTTCAGCATCTCTAGCAGCCTCGCCATCTGCTGGGACGCCATTTTCGACTGGGGCCTGTAGCCAACCGTTTTTCTCAACTTCTATGATCTTTTCTATGAAGATGTCTCCCATCTTGAAGTAACCCTTGTCTGTAGGGTGCATATCATCAGGTCCAATATCCTGCTTCACGACGCGATTCGGTAGACCCTGGTCATGATGCATTTCAGCCATAACCACTGGCTTGCCCTCCCGAATAAGGTCGATAGCCACCTGACGTATCTGGGCATTAGAGCTCCTGACGCAACGCTCCGTGCCTTCCCACGGGCTCATTATGATGGTGGACATGATAATGGTACTTCGCGGCGAGGCTTCGAAGATAAAGTCAACTAGGTCGCGCATTTTCTGAAAAACATACGCCGGTCCCCAATGGTCTAGCTGGAAACAATCACTTGATCCAGCATTAATTATGACCAAGTTTGGTTGGGTTTGAGGTACGACTTCTTTAAGGCGATCGAGGGTCGGCTTTATAGGTTGGGCACCGAATGCTTGGACATCGTTATCTTTGAAGTCACCATATCGGTTCTGGAAGCACGTGAGGGGTCAGCGCAATCTAAACATTAGACGGACCACTAATTACGATTAAGGAGGGGAAAAATACCTGACCGACGTAGTTGACTGGATTGCCTCTAGCAACCATCCAGTCGCGAAGTTGTTTTCGATAACCGACTTCGCCAGTTGAGTGCTCACCGAGAGTCATAGAAGCGCCTATGAACATGACACGAAGAGGAATTCCACCAGCCAAAGGGCCAGTATCGGAATGTGTAAGACGGTTCCACCCATCGCGTGCAACGTCGGGATTAGGTTGAAGAAATACGACTATATTGGCATTTTGCATCAGCGTACTGACGCGTGATGCGCGTTGCTTCAAGAAGAAGAATAGACTTACCTAATAAGAAAATAAATAGGCCGGACACAGATATCACTTTATGGAGGTTGGGAAGCTGCTTCCAGCGCAGATAAAGCGCGGAGAAGGGAGAATTCATAAGCATTTTGGCGAGTGGTCCATTCGCTCAACGGTGATGGTAAAAGAGTGAGATAAAGAGTGTATTACTCGCGCAGTCTTTAACGAAAGCGCATAACGGCGCAGAAGAATTCCTGATTAGAAAAAAAAAGAAAAAGGACACCACGAAGGATACACCAAGAAATATGTTATGTAAGAGCTTGGCAGGGGCTTCTCGACGTTTGACAACAACGCAAACACGAAGTGCCTACCTTACGCAGCCTACGCAATAAGAAAGCAGGAAAGTGATCATTATCCCTGTATATCTGCCTTTTCAGTTAGTTTCGAAATCCTTATCGGTAACCTTATTTGTCGAGAGTTCGAACTGATTTGGTTCAAACCCTACGAAATCCGCTAGAGTCTAGCCTAACCGGGGTATTTAAAGTATTTAAAGTTAGCTTAGTCTTGGCGCTATCTGACAACCGGGCCATCGGCACCGCCCAAGCGTAACGGGATGCCCACTGTGTAAATATAAATACATAGGAGATCCACTTTGTCACCTTAGGAGGTAGGTAGTGTACCTAGAGGTAGTTAGCAGCTTTAAATTAAGAACTTATTCAATCCATCAATATTGTCTTTTGTCTTGAAATAATTATGTCACTAACAACTATATCAATCCATAAACGACACTATCCAATTTAAGCTCCATTTTGTTATATAATGTTGATCAATATATACAGTAGAAGTAAAACAACTGTGGCGTATAAACCCACAAGGAGCATCACCAAGAGTCCTGACCAATATCTCCTTATCGTCTTGAGATAAGTCGAAAATACTCTCTATGCCGTGAAGGGGACCTCAACCTTTGCAGCAGCAGTGGCATTCTTGCCTGCCTGAGCTACTTGGAAGGCATTAACAAGAGCCGGGTACCAGACGTTCACCATCTTATCATCGCCCGAAGCCTACAGTAAAGAGGGTCAGTAACTACTTTAACTAAGAACTTCCGAGTCTTCTAAGGAGGCTCTATAACAAAGATGATAGAGTATGAATGTTAATACTACGTACGTTGGGGTGGACGCCGTCGCGTAGATCGCTGGTGCCGCTGAAACCTGTGTACTGGTCCACGACCCAGATGGGCGACTCGGTGGTGTTGAGACCCTGCGCCCAGGGGATGATGGCCTTGTTCAAGTTCTGAATCTGGGTGTTGTAATTGCCAAAGCCCATGGGGATAATTTGAGCGACCTAGTTGGGTGAAATCAATATCTACTAGTACTTGGGAAAGCAGCGAGACAGGAGTCTATAGGAAACTTACGACGATCTTCGTGTTGGGGTTACTGGCCCTCATCACGCCGATTAGTGTCGTGAAGGCAGCAATGATATCGTTGACCGGCTTGTTCTGCTGCACGATGTCGTTGGTACCGAGATGCATCGTGATAACGTCCGCTGGGTTAGTCTGGAGCCATCCGACGAGTTGTTTCTTGTTGGCAATGTCGATGGCCAAGAAACCCGAGTGGCCCTCATTGTCGCGGTCGTACGTGCTGTCTCCGCAGTTGTTTTCTCCTTTTCCGGAGCCAACCCAGTCTACCGATCCCCACTCGGTAGGCTTCAGCTTCTCCCAAAGCTTTGCACGCCAGCAGATGATCTCGGTGATGGAGTCACCGAATGGCATATACCGGAGCGTGGCGCTTTGGGCGACAGATGCGCCCAAGAGCGTAGCGAGAGGGAGAAGCTTGTTGCAGAGCATCGTGAAGGTTTTCGTTTGGAAAAGACTAAGGCTTGGAAGTGTCGATATTGATGATGTGGAATCTTTGACTTGATGATCGTCTTTGGTCCGGGTTTTATACTCATCGCTGTATCCCGGAATGTATACTAACGGAGGTTGAAGTTCTACATCGTGGTAGCCCTGGGTCCCTGCCAAGAACGGCTAAATGAAGCGGCTGCATACGTACGTACAGAATATTAATATAGACACTTTTATAGCCTTTTGCTGCGGGTGCGCCGATTAGGACTCTACCGGAATGATTAATTCCGAACCCCAGAGGATCGTGTGGGATGCTTCCTTTCAGCCGGGTCCTCGAGCACATGGCTTCCACGTGGAATATAGTCATCTACAGCCCTCTCGAGTGAGGGTCCATACGCTAAGCTCATCGATCCGAAGATTGGGTTGACGTCCGGGGACGGGGTTGATGATGTATTCATTTGATTTAATATATCTGCTTGAAACCCTACTATAACTCGAGTTCGCCCATTTGCTGATCACAACGCACTTCCACGACTCCCATATTAAAGCACACCAAATTTAGTATCCCACGTGGCTTCTCCAACTATGATATTTCTGAAACCCCATTATATTGTACAGCTGCATGTAATATGAGCGGAACTTTTGCGTAGATAGGCTGGTTCTGACGTATATGCTTAGAAATATACCCACATGGCTATATGAACGTCAAGGATTATGAGTTCACTAAATACTACATATGCACTTAGAATATTCTGGCACAATTCCTAAATGAGTTAAGACTACCGGGATAAAAGATGGCTTAGCAGGTAATATATACGTTATACTCGTAGATATTACTTACAGTACTCGAGTAATCATATCATTTCATTCTATACGTTGGCTTATAGAAATCTTGTTATCCTATACAAGCGAGGTATCATACTCTCTAAACCTAGAATATATACAGTAACTATCTCGGCTACAAACGACCCATGTCTCCTCTGTCATCTCAAGAGTCCCCGCAAGAGCAGCCAGACGGAATAGACGACTGTATGCCATATATCCTGCATGTTGTCACATTGCCAATATTAGTTATCACGAAAGCTAAGTTGATGGTGTCTGATTTCACCCATGCCTAGTATAATCCGATTCAACCGGCATAGTCTATCCACCATCGAGAGCTGATCGATAGAACACTCCAAATTGCTAGATATGTCCGTTGAATACCACGATAATATAAGTTATGCAGCTACATATCAAGTATGCCTTAATCCTTGATGCCCACGTGGAGGTTCATGCGGTGGGTTTTGATATGGTAACTTATGACCTCCGCGGGTAACTCGCTTGTCATCATATCATGTCAAGGTTCCCTGCTGTAATAGTGGTTACAACTTTGTGTAGATCTGGCTGTGCCAACGATACTAAATAAGGGACTTAATTAAGTTGCTCAAGAAGGTAGCAGATGATGATATGCAAGCTACATTGTCAAGTAGGAAAGTTCTATTCCTCAATATCTCGTATTCGTAAGGGTCATATATAATAACTGCCTCACTGGAAGATATGTATAGATTCCGGTGAAGGGAACTGATTATTATTCGTGGAAAAAACTAGTGTTGAATGCATCAGCCTTACTTTACTACAACATAAACCTCTGAAGATAACTGTCTAGAACCATAAAACCTTGTAACATACAAATACCCAGATTGTAGACATCCTTTAGCCAATAGAGTGATAAGCCAGAGCTACTATCAACGACGAGGAGTACCGCAAGAGGCACCTCCTCGCGTAGATCACTACTAGTTATAAAGAAACATCAACATTAGATATATTAACCTAACATATTACACTTAGGATAGGGCTACATCACAGCAACTTGGTTGAGATGCTTCTGTCGTAAGCCCTTTACTATATCTACCACTGTAGTATTATTGCCTCATGGAATACAAGACCGGATAGGGTTGAGCAGATAGGTCTGTCTCCACCAGGCCTTCCCGCCCGATACGCTTGACGTCCATTAACTATTACGGAAGGACCCCTGATGAGGCGAGAACGGACTGCTTCTGATCCCGCCTGGATATACTCGGGATTTTATCTTTAATATATCACTGACCATAGAGAATGTTCCACTAGCATCTTCCAGATGACAGCGAGGTCTAGACGCACTACATTAATATTCCAGCGGGTATTTCTTCCGAAGTAATCAAAACACTGGACCTTGGATACTGACAGACACTTCGTATGTAGACATACTCAAAGGGGATCCTCGTTCCCAACATCGTAAGGGGTAAGAAGTTGTCCATTCGTCCGGATACTGCGTGGTCGAGAAGTACATCGATATGGATATATAGGTATATAGCGTGATATTGAAGCTATTCGAAAAGAAAATCTATGGGCCGAGGTCAGTTAAATTGGAGGACGGATAGTCCCCCCTCGCCCCTCTTCCCCTTAAGCGGTACGGGATGATAGGTCCAGCTTGATTCCTCATGGGTCTGTTAGTATCATCACACTAGAACCCTATATCCCCAACTACTGTATCCTAAGGTCCGAGTGGATGTTATCACCTAGCGTATGACTCTGAGGGCAACCCCGCCGTCATACCCGACATTCGTCCAACTAGCTTCTAGTGTTCGATAGTAACCCCCTATGTAGTTGTTGTGTAAATGATATATTGATCGGCTCACAAGCCACATCATAACTACCACCCAACCCTAATGGAACCATTCATTCACTACCCAATCGTAGACACAACATACAACCTTACTGGCCTGCGGTCCCTCTTGGTGTAAGCAAACTGGTCCCCTTCCCCCCGTGCTAAAATTGTGTATATGTATACCGTAACACTAGTGCTCCGGGTATAGGCGTATAAACTTGTGCGGTATACAAATAAAACGCCTCGTGGATTGCCATCTATAAAGTTTTACTTCATGATCCTGTGATTTCGTAGTTGAATGCCAGTATACGATATATCAAGTCAAATTAACATATATGTTCAGCAACCCCTATTAATCATTCACATACCGAAACCTTACTTAGGTACCTAAGACATGATTTCTACGTGAATATCCAACCCCTGAGTGTAGAAGAGCTATGGCACTGATTATGCCCTATAATTTAGAATAGAAACGGTATACGTTGGAATGATACGATATAAATTAGCTTAGTGCTACTTAAGAGGAGAGAAACACTAATTGTTACCACTTGGACCACTCATTTCGTGTGTTCTCTTTTCCATTCCCCCTAAGCCAGGCGGGAACGAACGACTACCTACCTAGGTATGGATACACAATGTCAAACGGTAGCTATTAAAAAGCAGAATGCTAGTAATACAACACCAACCCCAGCAAAAAAACCAACGCCATCTTACTGTCTAATAATAAATAAAATAAGGCTGTAGAGTTAAAGTACTTAGATCTACCTATCCAAGCAGACAGATAACCTCACAAGGTTAGAATGAGGCTCTCGCCTAACGTGCACTGCTCACCGTATATATCTCCATAGCTGACAAGATCGGCCCGCTCTACGCCCTCCACAACTGGTAAAAACCCGCCGAGACTTTTTTTTTTTCCTTTTCGGTGGGCGGAATAGACCGGGATGGGGCCGTTTGCCGTTGTGAATATGACTCAGGAATCCCCCCCCCCCCCCCCCCCCCCCCGTTGCCCCAATCTCACCTCTTTAGGGTGTGCATAACACACAACTGGTGTAAGACCGAAAGCTTGCTTACCCCCGTGGCAGCCTGCTCGCGTCCCGCACCGAAGGACAGGTCATACCGGAAATTCTAGGCAGGCAGAGACGCCAGTTACAACGTCGATGAGTGACCACGCATGAATGAGGCTGCATACCTAGACTAACGTGCTGCTCCTATCCCTTTTGGTACGTGTTAGTTACATGTAGGTAAGACGGTGAGCGATTGGTTATGACGGCATGTGTTCAGCTCTTGGAGCTTCTGAAGATGACATAAAAACTTGAGGCTATGTCTGCGAAATAGGTCTGACTTATGTTTTACTTTTTATTTACTTAATCTCCTAACATACCTATGCTATAAGTAGACCGAATCTCTAGCCTAAGTTACGATATACTGATTAGTTATCTGTACGCAATCTCGAGTATGCCGACTGAACAGGAAAAGCATAGGGCGGCACTAGCTTCGAGAGGCCGAGTTCCTATGTTCTCCTCTCCTCCAAGCTCCCCGAGGGGTAAGAGTGTACACGCGTCTCTTAGCAAGACCGCGCCGACAAAGCCGGAGAATCCAACCGGTAAAACTGGCCTACCCATAGGACAGCCGTATCACGGTCAACCGCTTGAAGCTGCATCTATCCTAAGCCATCCGCGACTACAACAGGTGACAGGTTTGCACCCGCGGAAGGTGTCTTGGTGGAAAGGTGTTCACCCTCCAAGAGACGAGCTAGCGCGCCTCCAATGGGTTATGAATTTGCCAGACACCTATCCCGTCAAGCGGCCGAAAGGGAATTTCTAATACCGCGGGTCGCAAACGAAGGAGAGATACCCAAGATAATCACTACTCAATATTTATTTTTGCTGAATGCCATTCTACACTCACCCCTATACGCCGAGGTTGTGTTTTGAGGTATCTGAAAAGAAGAGAATAGACACAGGAAGCAGGATATACTATATACAAGAAGTTCGCAAGATCGGGCGCGAGAATAGGGACTGAATGGGAGATGCGATGATGTTAAGGCGGAATAACTGTAAGCGGCTGATCGCTCAACCAACCATTGTCTTTCCGATCTCGCTCTGCCAATCTTTGGCTCTCTCAAAACCGTTCATGTGGAATTGGTAATCTATCAGCGCCTGTCGCACATCTTCGGGGGAGTTTGCCACGAAGGGGCCGTACTGGACCACTTTCTGGTTTAGGATCTGGCCGGCAACTATGACGAAACGCGCGTTTTCCTTTGCGCTCTCGGGTACCTCGACATTCACCACGTCGCCATCCGGCTCGAATACACAGTTGTGGTATTGCGCGACCGTCTGCTTCTTGTCGCCGGAGCCGAACACGGCGGATCCCTCTAGCTGGTACGAGAAGGCATTCCAGCCCTTCGGGAGAGGTTGAGCCAACTTGCTACCTGGTTGCATTTCTACGTCGAGCAGCCAAACCGGGGTGTAAGCTAATTCTTTGAGGCTTTCAACACCACCAGCTTGTCCTGAGATAACCTTGATGCGAATCTTCCCGTCGTCTAATTCGGCGCTTGGAATCTCGTCTTTTTTCAAATCGCGGTATCGAGGCTCACAGGCTTTGAGGTGGGCGGGCAGGTCAACCCATAATTGCAGGCCGACGTTTGCGCTACCGTCCGGGTTCTGGCGCGGCATCTCGGCGTGCATAATGCCACGACCCGCTGTCATGAACTGCAAGTCACCGGCCTCGATGGTACCAGCGTGACCGGCGAAATCCTCGTGGTCGACACCGCCCGTTAATAGATACGTAATGGTCTCCTGCCCGCGATGTGGGTGGTCTGGGAAGCCTGCGCCGGGTTTGATGCTGAAGTGGTCTAGCATTAGGAAGGGCGAGAAGTTTCGTAATTGCGGCGTTCCTACGCTTCTCCTACTAATAGTTAACTTGCCGTTCCCGAATCACGTATTCAGCGCATAGCCGTTCTCGGGCCTAACTGACCTAACCCTGGCTCCAGCTCCTTCGGCCTGTTCGACCGCCAGGAATACCTTGCGGATTGCGCGCGGGACAGACATTTCAGTTGCGACGAGTTTCTCGGACGGGTTATAAAAAGGGGCTTCGGATTCAGATTCGGCGGTGGTCGATTTGGTAGTTACCGTATCGCTGTTAGTCACGGCGCTACTGCTACTTCTACTGCTGCCGTCGTAGGTCTTGAAAGTCTCTAACACGGAATTGAAAGTCGTCGAGGTTAGATCGATAACTCGTTCCCTAAAGACAACTATAGATAGTATGGCTATAAGAAAGGAAAATGCGACAGTCCTCATGAGGGGCAGATATGATAGAGCCTTAGAGGGTGTCTTCTTATATCTTATACGGGATCAAATAGTAAGACTGAATCAGGTAGGTCGCGAATCAGGGACGAGGGTGGATGCATTATGTACCTAGGCTAGCTAGAAATATCACGAAGATTCGCCTGATGATCTTATTTGGTTTACGTTGGTTTTTTTTTTGTGATAGGGGGGGGAAAGGAAGAAAAACATCATGGAGAGAGAAGCGGGGCAATTAGCTTGTAGTCCCTGTAGTTTTTGGGTAATTCTTAAAAAGTTTTGGGTAGTTGGTCAGCAATTGCCTTACAAAAAGTGAAAATTCCCGATGGTAGGTACGTAGCATCCCCGCCACCCAAGCCTTACCAACCCGTTACATCAGCGTCCATTGCCGCGTTTCGAGCCTGCACTTGACCCTAATGGGATATGGCTCCAGCGATGACTGGCCGCTAGCTATGGCTGACTTAATTCTTCCAAATCTCTAAATTAAATTTCTCACCTCCGAAACGCCGTCAGCCCCGAATACACTTGCTACTTTGAGAACCTCCTCCGGCAGAATGGAAGATCAATTGTATGGATGGCCCGGCTGATGGTAGTGATGAAATTTTTTTTTAAAACTTATTTTTCCTATTATCACAAGCGTGGCCATCAATAATAAAAAAATAAAAAAATAACATCAACTCTTGTTATCATTATAAAGGTATATTATAAAGTCAAACAGACCGCCAGTTTGCTTACTACTGCGTCATCGAAAGACTATAAGACTACAGAATCTGATCGACGTTGATATAAAAAAAGATATCATTAGATTTTAATCTCGTAAGGTTTAACTATAATAAGGCTATAATAGATAACGAATACCTCTCGCATTCTCAATCTCGATTCTGAACCTATTTTGAAGCAGTGGCCCTCCATTGCTGGATCTCACTCTCGCTAATCTCTCTCAACTTATTAACACCAGCCGCTTCGCCCGTGACGGTGCCCTTGGCGATCTCAGCAACCCTGCCTAGTACCGTCTTATCTGTGATGGCATATGTGATGGAACTGGTCTTGACTCTTAACACAGCAATTCGCGGGTCGTTCTCACTTCCATCGTGAACGCCGTCGCCTAAGTCTCCCATCCATGCCTTGAGCGTCGGGCTGTAGTACTTCTTCACGACCTCCCGGTCTGTCTCGATGCTCGCCTCACCTGCGATTGAGGCCCATTGGCCCGAGTTATCGTAGAACGAGATATTGGTGTGCCTGTCAGCGTTTAACTCGTCCGTCTTGTGCGATTCTGTATTTGTCGTGAAGGTTAGGTCGATATCACCGCCTTCCTGTTGGGACATTACGGTTAGTTCTCCGAGCACTGTCTCGTTCTAACTTAGACGAACAAGTAATAAGATACTTGAACTTCATAGGTAGATGCTATCTGTGGGAACTTATTGCTTACCTTTCCTGCGACGGCCATGCATCGAGAGACCAGCTTCCCGCTTGAGGGGTCTCGCGTCGTCATCATGCCAAACTTACACGACGACACAAATTTAATTAGAATCTCAACCTTCTCTTTTAGGGATACATCTCTGTCGATGTTCTTCTCATAGTAAGGTCCAGACGGCTTGCTACCAGTATCTGTGTTTGAGAACGACGACATCTTGCGTGAGAATTGGTGGTTGAAGGCAATATTCCTAACACGTTGTTGTAAGGTTTGAGTAGACGTTGTTGAAATATATGGTCGATGTATTGGTTTTTCTAAATGACTTCTTCTACTGCTTGATCTGAGTAAAGCTCGGTGGGAGAAGATAGTCTTTCTAAGCATGGCTCCTCGTCTTTATATTGACCAAAACAATTGCTACGTGCGGCAAAGTTGGTTCATCATGCCTACCATTTATCGCCCCGCAACTTGGGATTGTTAGCTTAGCCTAGACAGATCTGTTTCACAGATATCATCATAGAAATGGGTTGGAAGAAGTTGTTGGTCAACGAGACGTCTATTCAATATTATGACGTCGTTGATGGTTAGAGCGCGTCACGATTACGAGCTGAGTCTGAATTCTAGACTAGCCCTTGTAAATTAACTTGGACGCATAAAAAAAGTATGAAGCTCCGCATATAGATCGATAGGTTAATTACTCGATGTCATCTATGTGTCCCTTACTTTGTGCTGAAGTTGATTCGAATGACAATGAACCTTGGTTCGGTACCTTTTTGTATGACACCCGTAGATATGGCTATTATCCCGAACCGTATGCTCATATAGGCTCTCGCTTCTCCTTGAATATCTAGATGAAGCTAAAACGTTTAATGTGAGATGAACAAAGACGATAGATTAAGGTTGATAATTTGTTCACTGTTTATCTATTGCTAAGGTATCTTAATCGTTTACGTACAAGTAAATCGTATTGCGGAGTTAAAGAGCCGCACGGAGTAAGCAACGACAACTCGGCTCTCAATATTCGCTTTAAAAAGGCCGTTCCGTTTTAGGATAGTACACGGTCGTGTAATATAAGAATAAAATGGTAGATGCTCTGTACCTCATTAGTATGCAGGCAGATATTTCCTCCTAACTCCCATATGACCCATCAAAGCCATGACCTCCTAAACCTAGGTATCCTTTTACAGTTTCGATAAATAAGAAAATATAAATTGTCGCGTAAGTATCATGGATATATATTATGGATATACTCTTCCCACGTAGTTGAAGTTTGAAGGATCTGACGTGTCTAGCGAGTACTCTAATATCTCATTGTTAGAGATGCCATAAAACATAGCATCCGGCGACATTGCGACGGCCGTGAAGTTGGTTTCCGGGCCGGATTTGAACTGGAAACTTGAAATAGGGTTCATTTGTTTGCCGTCCCAATGGCTACCCTCGGTCTTGCCTCCCTGGAGGAGTCCAAGATATAAGGCCTGGTTCCAATTATCCCATCTAGTAGCAGCGAACTGTTGGGACGGAGCTGGGAGTGGTATTCCATCTTGAAGTTCGGTCACTGAAATATGTCAGCTTACAGACCTACTCAGGGGTCTTGAAATAGTATGAATATACTAAATACTCATCAGTATTCTTACCTTTTTGATCAGCACCATTCCACGTATCATCGTACGGCGTCATCCTCATACTTCCCGTCTTGCCTGATGTCACTTGTTCGGAAACGAGCTCTAGACGATCGAGCCATGACCCACGCAACTTGGGGAGGATAGCCAAGCTAGAATTGGCAGCGACATCTTTAGATTCGACTGCTACAGTTGCGCTAGCCCAAGTACTTGAATTAGCCGTCTTTATTGCTCCTTCTGGTCGTTGATAGGCGACGACCCAGGTACCTTCACAATCGGCGCCCCAACAACGTTGCCACATCGCCGCTAACTGACCGCCGGGCCAAGTTTCTAGTCTAGCATTATCGAGCGTATCATTATCCCAGCTGTCGGGTCTATTAAGCGCGTCGAAGGAAGCCATAGATCTTATAACGTTACCCGGGTCCGTAAACCATACGTGTGTTTCGAACGTTTGCTTATAATCCATAGACGCGCTCGCTAATGGTGTTCCCGGTTGTGGGTTAAGAGGCTTCGTTGTCGCAGCCATCAACTCGGTCAGGTTATTCGTCTTCCACGACTTATTCTTGGAGTCCCAACGCCGAGCGATAAGAGAGTTATATGCATCCTGGAAAAAGATAGTCCTGTGAATTATTCCGTTAGGATCTGTCCAGTTAGATGCAGTTATTTTCGAGTTGTCGAGTATGAGCTTTTCGTCTGTTGAATTTGACGGCAGATCTGTTGGACTGCCAGTTGGACTGCCATTGTTTGACTCTGACGACTCCGCTGAATCTGTTGACCCTGACCCATGGGTTCTACTCGCCAAGCCAGCCGGTATTCCTGCTGCTAGCGCGATAACCAAGACAATCACCACTCCTAGAATTATAAAAAATGTTTTCCTTGTAAGACCACATATCGTCTTTGTTGGAGTTGCCTTCTCTGTAGGGGGATGCTCGCCGTCGAATCCAGCCGCGCCTATTGGTCCAGGTCCATAAGTAGAAGGATATGCGCTGTTTGGATAGGCTGATCCGTCGGAATAAATCGTACTTGCGGGATAGCCTGCGCCGTTGGGATATGCTGCTGCGTTTTGATGATAAACTGAACCTGCAGCGTAGTTTGGGTCTTTATACGGGCCTGGAACGACACCAGGATATATATGTGATGGATTTACGACTTCTTTCGCGGACTCGGGACCATAATACGACTGTGTACCCCCAATTGCTGCATGTTCGACAGGAACAGCTTGCGGATAGCTGTGGTCTGGATATTGTATTACCTCCTTCTGGAAGGTCTCTGGGTCCCGCGGAGAGACCTCAAGCGTGCTGTAAGGCGTGTCTTCCGGTGACTGAGACATGGCGTCGTCTCAAACAACCAATAACCGCTAGATTGGCAAGAATTGCTCAGCTCGAGAGAATTTGGATTCGTGATAATCTGTGCCAGAGCATGGTCTTCTTTTGGTCAAGAAGCACCAGAGATTAGGTTGTCAAGACACAGCTGACGCTGTGGCGAGAACGGGCTGGGAACTTTCTTCAGCTCTCGCTCGTAGTGTATGTGGCCCAGGGGAGTTATTCAACTATTTTATGAATCCTTCTATACATATTATATTACAAAAATCCAACCTAGCCTACCGCATCCCATGTCCTAGGCTAGCTCATTATGGACTCGTGTAGTTGCGCCTACTTCTCAATGCGACCATAGGCAGGGGATATAAAATCCTTCTGGGTCTACATTTCCGCTTGTCCTATCCAATCCCATCTCTAAGAAAGCTACGGGTCTGGGGGTGTGCAGGGTGCCCTAAGCACTAGCAGACTCGGACTTGGTGGGTAAATCGATCTCTGTACTTTCCAAGTAGATAAGGTATATCCATAGGTATTCCACGAAATAAATGTCTTCTATAATAGTTATCATACTAATTTCGAATGTTGCTATTCCCTATACTGTAGCCGCTTTGTTGTCGAATGATCTTATTAGTTATAATTTAGGTACTTGACCAGATATCTTCAGCTAATCTCTAGACTAACGAGGTCAGAGCTTCAACAGCCCTATCAGACTGCGCCGCTAGTTACCATAGATCATAGATTTGTAGCCTAAAAAGCTTGGCTCTTTTAGGTACGTACGATAGACGACAAAAGGCCAAATCTCCTTCCCTTGGCGAGATCGACATAGCGTATGGGAAATCCGTTTGTAGCAGGCGGTATAATAAGTAAGATTGCACTGAGGGTTGTTATCAAATCTCAGCGGAGTCTCGCCTTTTCATTCCATTTCAGTACTATAAGATCTAATCGAGACTTCGTTCCAACTTTATTGGATGTCATGATTCCCCCTTTCGTCAGTGGACAACATTCCCAGAATCCTTCGTGAAGCCCTTGGGGCCAAGGAATAGGAACTGAACCAACTATTGGCGGAGCCTGTTGTCATCGATTGATCGAGTGTCGATTATAGGTCCTCTAGTTTTCTGCAGTCTTCGACCATTCCTTCGCCCAATCTAGCTGAACGTGGTATCCTATGTACGGCATCGCCTGCGCCCGTTCCTGAATTCGGCAGGGGTTCCCTGTAATGTAAGGGGGGCCGTATGTTCTTTACCTACCTCGCTCTGTAAAAGATCACTGCATGCTCTACAGATATTCACCTCGTTGGATCAGTAGCCGCGCTGAATAAAGTGTTATAATAGATGGCTAACAGGGCGGCAATTCACTTACTCTAGTGCTCTTGTTTAAGTTTAGTATAACCTCACAGCCTCAATAAACGCGACGGGAAGTATTGAAAAAGAACTTTCAAGTCTACTCACCTACGAGTTACCTTAGGTACCTAACGTATAAATGATTGTAACAGGCTTGTTAGATTAGTAGCGTTTTCAGAGCCTCGGTAACGGCCCGTACAGTAAGCAGTGTTTATAGTAGCATTGACATTTTATCCCTGAGATGGCCAATAAATGACCTCGAGGAGTTCCTTTAAGCTTCCTGCCTCGTGACTAGCTTAATTGGTTTGACTGGATTGCGCCGGATTAAGGTCAGTATCAAATCGTAGCAGGTTCTACCTTTTTTTTCTAACGGCTCACACCCTTCAGACCCCCTTGAAACCCGCACGGCAGCGTGCTCGGTCCCGATTCCCGACCCTTTGTTATATCTACCAATCTTATCTCCTACTAGAACGCCGTTACATCTTTCTAAAGAGGTCTAATGCCGATCGAACGCAAATTAGGATATAAAGGACCGGTATATATAACGGACGGGTACCGCGGCTAATTCTTATTGTATCATAGTCTTAAACTAACATGTATGTTATCCCACGCCGATTAACATGAGCGTTTCAATCCCGAAACTGTTGAGATAAAATAAAGAGATGCGAAATTAGAAGTCTTAAACGAGTTAAGTTAACCCCGCCAGCGACGGCGAAAGAGGCAAAACACGGTCCGTCCCCCAAACCGGACCGCAAGCATGTGAGAAACATAACATCAGTCCATTATTCTCTCTAGAATTCGCAATATATTTCTTGGTTATCAACTAATATCTTATCATGTCGTGCCGTACGTAGCCACCGTGGTCTATTACGACTCCTTGAGGTCTAGTAACATAGTCTAGTAACATAGGTATCAACAACCGCCTCGTATAATTATCGATTACC